CACTCCTCAATAATGTTACAATGGTCAAATGAGGCCACACGCGCAGCGAGCCAGCCAGCCTGTGGAAGCCAGGCTTGCCAGGATAGCCTGCAGGGGAATCTCCCCCAACCGTCCGTGGCGTGCCCATGATTCGCCGCCCTCGATGCCTAGTGACCCCTCCCTTCATCGGGCGCAGCGCAATCCAGCGTGAGGCATTCAATTGGCTTAACTAGCTGCTAGCCTGGCAATCTGTGATGCGTCTACGACGAGGGCTGATCACTCCGCAGTCCACACCACAAACAATTGAACAATCGCACAATCGAACATGGGATGGTCCCGCTTCGCCCACTAAAAAGCTGCTGTCTGTCATGACTTTTTCCTGCATCTGACGTTTATTCATCCATCACCACCTCTCACCACCACCATCTACATGCGCTCAGTTGGCCTTCGCCCATGAGCCCTTCTCCCTCTGCTTCTTCTGCCTGTTCTTCTTCTTCTTCCCCTTCCTCCTCCTCCTCCTCCACCTCTTGCTGCTGACTGCAATCGGTTGTCCTCCTGTGCTGGCGAGATCGCACGCCTGTCTCTTTTATTTCCACCCGCTTGTCCTTACAGCCTTGTTTTACGCGCCGTCAGTCCAGCCCCTACAAGAGCTGACAGCAACAGCTGCTCCGCCGCTTTCTTCACCGTTTCCTTCCAAACTCAATACAGTCCTGCCACCCTCGAACTTTGTGGTCTGATCCCAACGTTTGTTCATAGATAACCAACCATCATCTCTCCACCTGCGTTGTCTTCTCAATGGAAACTTAGCTTGTCGTTGGGTACCATTCAAGTCTGTTTGAGTCAAACGTGGACGCCAACTTCAGCCTTTACTCTTGATCGCTCACAAGCCTGAATGGCTATCAACATCTTCTTATCCCGATAATAGCCTTCCTGGCTCTGGCCATTGCTGTGGATGGCGGACAGAGGATCTCATGCCAGTTCTGCCCGCACTCCTAAGAGGTCGACTCGCTCCTATCGATGGTCGCCGACTCCTGCATCTGGTCCCTTCAAAGATGGGTTCATTGAGATTAAACCTCGACCAAATAAGACACCCGCCAGACCCGCCTCACCCGCTCCATCGACCACCCCGTCGACTATCTTGGGTACCATAACCGGAACGAGGTCAATATGGTCCCCAGATGATCAATCCCGAAATGCACCACCACAGGACTCATGTACTCCGGTCTCGGATCTAAATTCAGCACACAATGACTCACGCACAATCGTTCCAGAGAGCCCGGTCGACATTAATCGAAAGCCATCAGCATTGCTACCAGATCATGCTCCCGATAATCCGAGTGCTGAGGAATCAATGCCAACGACAGGATTTATGAAGCCAAATACTCGCGAAGGAGACCGGGCTCGAATAGGAACGCCTACACTTAGCGAGGCAGACGGTGTCTCTTCCAATTCCTATTCTCTGCAGTCACCACCGCCGATACGGCATGTGTCCATCAAGTCCCTGCTAAACAGTCCCTCTAAAACTCGCTCTCAACAGCAGCCGACATCTACAGGTCGCACCACTAAGCGGAAACTGGACGCGAACGGGGACGAGGCGCGGTCAATTCGTCCAAGCACTGCTTCCGAGCGGTTGGAGCGTTCAGGGCAGCAGCTGCCCACCCCTCAGGAGTCCCCGGCAAGGCCACACGTTACCCTCCTCAGCCAACAGCTAGAATCTTCACTAGCTGCCATCGCCACACCCGAGTCAGATCAGTCGGCGGATTTTAACTATGGGAGAATCGATATGTTGCGAGAAGCCTGCCAACTCAACGACCAGTTTTTCCTCCTCGCACATTTGATTTGCAGTAATTTTATGCCGACAACTTTCGAGTTCATTGGGCCACTGAATCTGAGGAAGGAGCACTTTGATGGCCTCAAATCTCTGCGTTCGATTCTGTGTGGGGATATCAAGTCCAACAACTCAGACTTATCCGCGCTATTTGCGACATTCCCCTATCGCAGAGAAGCAATAATAAACGATACAGCCTGGCAACTTCATCCTGTTATGGCTGGCGTTCGCTCATGCCTCGAAACCTTTCATACCGCATTCAGCACATTAAAGGCTAGCTTGAGTCGAGAAGAGGTTCCACCCGCGCCAGTTCAGCTGATGACTGAGTTGAGGCTACCTTCTCCTGTCTTACGGAAGGCTGTCTTTTACCACCTTTATTCCAGCCACGCTGATAGCTCGAGCATGTTCAGGGAGGTTTTTAATCTCTTCAGTGAAGAAACGACAAAGCTGGTGGATATGTACACCCTCCAGCCAGCTCAGCTGGACGTATCTGAATCCGATTCCCGGGACTTGGTGGATGCATGGAGGGAGAGATACTCACAGCTCAAAGCACAATCTCTACGTCCTGCCGGACCCCATATAGCAAGCCGGTTTTCCACCACTCCGGCTAGCCACACGACTACTGCCTATTTTTCATCCCCATCTTCGAGCCGATCCCCCGAAAGACATTTGGAGCCAAACCAAGAGTCTTCCGGTGGAGTCGAATTGACAGCCACCACTCAAGTGCCACAATCCACCATAAGTGATACAAGTATACCTTCCACGGCACCAGAGGGAGAGCAGCGCTCGATGTCCTCCGCGCAATCATCAAGAGTGAGACCACCTACAGCCGACTCACAGCATGTAGTCCCACCACCAAGACCATCGCCGAGCGTTGAAAGACGGGCGACGCCATCGTCCACGGATATTTTGCCGAATCGAGCCTCAAAGGCTCGACGCCGTGCTCCGGCCGTCCCTCGATTTGTTCCATCGCACACCACTGCTGCAGCATCTGGAAGGGCTCCGTTACATCAAGCACGCACCCTCGATCAGGAACATGAAGACTTGGCTGATTCCGGTAGCAACGCGTCTACCACCACCCTCTACCACTTTGTCGATGACGCCATAGTGCTTCAAGAATGTATTCACACAGATTCACCCGTCATTCAGTGGCAGGTCCACATTCCGCACAACGTTTGGGTTCGAAGAGCATCCACTCTACCCGAAGGACAGACCGGCCCTAGAGAACGGGAGGCCGCAGATGGCAAGTTACAATTCAGATTAAGGTCTGTTGCTGTCGATGGCCGAGAGACACCGCCTTTTACACCCACCCAGTCGGATTTCCACAAGCGGACTTCGAAGTGGCCGATGCTCGCATCCGTGGTAATCAACGGAGATGTCGATGTTGACTTGAGCGATCGTCAACGTAGTGTCGGTCTAGCGTTAGATGTGACGGATCTCTTGAGCGAGGGCGATAACCAGATTGAAGTTGTGGCATACTTCCATCCGACAGAAAGAGATTCGCATTGCATGTATCTGATGGCAATCGAACTCATCTGCGTGGCAACTTACGACGAGATTAAAGCCATGTCCACCCGACTCCCCGCGGCATGTGTTCAAAAAGAGATTTTGAATTCCTTCGAGACCAACCAGGATGGGTCTGAAGACCACGATCTGGTTGTCAAGCCCCCCAGCATCTACATTGACCTGATAGATCCACTTACGTCTTCTGTTTGGCGAACACCGACTCGAAGCCGAGAGTGTCGACACCGGGAATGTTTCGACCTGGAAGCGTTTCTCTCCTCTCATGCAGCGGGCGTCGACAAAGGGGGCCTGACGGAAGATCGTTGCTGGAAATGTCCTATATGTTCAGAGGATGGGCATCCAAAGTCGCTGGTGATTGATGGGTTTCTACTAGATGTACGCGATACTCTGGAAAGGAACAACCAATTGCATGCGCGGGGAATTCATGTCAGCAACGATGGCTCTTGGGTGCCCACATTTGAATCCCCTCCCTCCAGAGATCAACCTTGAGATATGACAGCTACAGGGAAGCCGACTCCTTCGTTCCTCGTGCATCAACAGTCTGGTCGCGCATTGTTTCTTTGGTCAATTGACGCGGTCCACTCTCTCCCTTCTTGGCTGAGCACACAAATCGTGTCAGGAATGGCTCGCCAATGTTTATTACGATGTTAAGATGTCAAGATATTAAACGTTTATGACATACATATTTTCGCCAGTGGTTCTCGCCTGCGTGAACGTCTACTCAAGGACGAGTGACGTCTGGGAGGTTTTTCGTCGCTTCATCGCCTATACCCACCGCGCGACAGGTTTTTGCCGTCCTTTGTGCATGCAGTTTAGTTTTGGTTTTCTCATGAGGTACAGGAAAAGGAGGCTGGGGAAACAGACCAAAATCAGCACGGCACCCTGTTTGATAGCGGGATTGGAGACAGGCCTGGAGTTTGGGACTTGGTATCACGGGGGGACAATGAGATCTAGTAAGAGCTGGCATGGTCGATTTGGGATCTCCGGCAGTTGAGGAGGTTGTCCTGAAATTAGCGCTTGCGCATTTGACTGGGTAAAGCAGACCCATTCCAGAAGAGCAGATTTGTTGCTTCTGGTTTCTCAATTGATCAAGAGGGAATGCATCGGTCTCTCGTCCACTCGAGGCCGTGGTCACAGTCGCTCAACCCTGCAGAACTATTTTTAACGCAGCTTGATATTGCCTCTGCCTAGATGTTTCTCTACTTGCTTGCCCAGCTCTCTGTGTGCTTTTTCCATCCATCTATGATCCGGTCGCACCCACTCGCCTCCCTTCTCTCCTCACATGTCGAGGATATGGATCAACATGGATCACGCGCAGGGAATTGGTCCCAACAGCACAACAGCACCATTTGATATTCAACCCTGACCCAGACATGGTTCAGCACGTAGCAATCTGGGAAGAGCTCTGTCATTATTCTTTGTTGTACATTTTTTTCTGTTTGTGAAATATCCTTCACCTTCGCTTTCGCTTTCGCCTTCGCCTTGCCTCCAGCATCAAAGTCGATCATCCCTGCCGACGAGGGAACATTGATACGCACTTACCCACCCAGTACCCGGTGTTGAACCCGATCAGGAAGACTCGGACAAGAAAACATGAAATTTTTTTTTTTAAAAAAAAACTTGAGTTGGTTTGGGTGGTAATACAAAGTACCGCGGACGTTGCCCTCCCTCAATCAATTCCGGGGTTGAGCTGGGCTCCCTGTGCTGCGCGCCGTGACCGGGTCATGGGCCCCGTTGTGGAAGTCGACGACGGGGTTGTGGGCGTGGCTGCTTGTTGCGGTGCAGCCCCTTGTCCTCGAACTTGCTTCCGAGCTGGTCTTCGGGTTTGTGTCGTCGTCTTCTTAGTTTCCTGCTTCTTCTGTTTCTTTTGCACTTTGTTCGCTTTCTGAGGAGGCCGCTTCGGTTTGCTGGCAGAGTTGGCTTTCCCGGTTGCGTTGGAGATGCCACTGCCGCGAGTCCCTGCTCTAGCGACAGTCCTGGTTTTCCTCTTTGTCGCTGTCCTGGGCGCGGGAGTATTTGGCTGCACAGGGGTAGGTGCTGGGGCGACCCTGGGTGTCCGAGGCCGAAGTTTCATGCGGTGCGTGCTGGTCGGAGTAGTGGTGCTAGTTCCCCTCGCAGTCGAAGCGCCCGCGCCGCTACTGCGTAGGGTCATGTCATGTCGCTTTGCAACAGATGTGGCTGGTGTTCCGGAATTGAGCTTGCGTCTTTTGAGAGGCATTTGCTCTTCTTCCTTGTCGTCGTCACTTCTTTCAAGACCTTGCGGGTTAGCATTTTGGCCCGGTGACTGTGGCCGACGGACCGGCTGCGGCGTTTGGCTCTTGTCTCCTCCAGAGAAGGATTGGAGCTGTGCCAGCAAATCCGGTTCCCAGATCGGTGATTTGCCAGTTGATTCTGGAGCTGAGGTGGAGGACAATTCTCGATTGGGCCAGCCACCAGCCGGAACCTGAGGTGAAGATGCTGAGCTGTCTGATGACGACGAACCCCCGCTTGACCGCCCGACTTTCGACACCTCTCGCCAGGTTCCGAACTTGTATCCTGATGATGGAGCCGGCAGTGGTGTATCCTCTGTGACTGAACTAAGGGTTTGCTGCTCATTCTGAGGGTTGTTATGTTGTGGTTGGCCTTGTAAGCCATTGCACTGGGATGGCAGCTCGGAGTTGGCAAGCTGTGACTCCGTCTGGACTGATTGAGGACCTGGAGTCTGTATGTCTTGCGAAGAGGGTGGTCCTGGCGGTGGCATAGCCGGCCCCTTGATTCTGGGAAAGGCCGGGAAGTCGTTGACATCCGGATCGGCGTAATGATTCTCTAGTAGATCAATAGGGCGCCCATCGGCCGAAACCCAGTGTTCAGGATCATAAAATGCATTGATGACGCCGCCTTGCTGAGGATTGAATGTGGCCTGTGTCTTGGGGCTGATAGGGGGTTGGTCCAGAGGCACCCTCCGTGGTTCTGGATTCCAGTCCACCATGCGGAAGCCAGGATCCCTCAACGGCACTCGGGGGATATGCCACGTAAAGTCGGGCAATGGTGCTTCGGGTTCAGTATGGATGTTTGCGTCGACTGGTACGGGAATACCATCACAAACCATTTGCTGACGATGCAAGGCACAGTAAGTCGGTACATAACAGATTTCCACGGTCGGGTTGCATTTTGGCGGTTCATTTAGAAAGTCACCAAACATGTATTGGTATCTCGGAATGCCATCTTCGTGCTGATTGCAGACCTCGGTGAAGCAGGGTATTTTTTGGCTGTCGACGCCGCCATCACAGAGGTTTTTAGGATCGTGCTCGTCGTAGTCTTCACCCGCATCTGCGGGTCTCCAGCACTTGGTGTAGCGGTACCTGATGATCTTGCACATGTTGAAGTATTGGGGGAGAAGCGTTTCACGTATCAGGTTGGGGCAGATTATTCAATGGGTTCTCACGTACAGAGTGAAGGAAGTAGACAGTAGTAACTCGAGTCAATGAAAACATGGAACCACAGGGCAACATCATTACAGCTCTCTCTTTAAGGCGCCGCCCACCTACCTTTGAAACAAGGTCATTCAGACCAGGTCCTATTATGGGGTTGTCTTTGTCCCCCATTGTGAATAGAATATGAATAGCAACAATAGATCTATTCCTAGGGCCAGCGGGTTTGTGAAGGACAAAAAAGGACAACAATAGGATGGCCTCAAGTGAATGGGCGCTACTGTAGACAAAGGCAAGAGGAACGAGGACCGACAAGTGAAGCATTGTCAATGTGATCAATATGATTTCGATAGGCATACACGCTGAGACGACGTTGCTAGTCACCGAGGTAGCGATCTCAGCCTTGGCGATGTGGCAGAACCCTATTCTGAAGGGTAAGAGACATGTATGATTGTTAGACGGTACGAGGGATGTTGGAGTTGAGGAGGAGAGTTGATATGCCAAGAATCAAAACGGGTCGTTTAAATATCACGTGATAGCGTGTGCACCATTGCGTGACAACTATGTACTCCGTACCTGCAGATGAGTACCTCGGCATCAGCAACCGCCAACGTGCTAAATGTTCTAGTAGGCTTCCGGGAGGGTTCTGGGCAAGTTTTCCCGTCCTAGCGAGGCCATCTAGCGGGCTGAAGCGGGGGACCCCTGCCTATGACGACCCTTGGATTGCTGCCCGTGGACCGCAGTTCCTACCTATCTGGGTGCCTAATTAGCAGCATCTCAACGCTGACTCGGCCCACGGCTCCATCTAGCAGCCCAGTGCAGCGATCCTCCGAAATGAGTACAATGTAAACACTCACCTTTTTTGTCAGAGCAATTAATTTCTCGAGGACCGCGAGGGCTGTTCCTCCTTCTTCCGTGTCAACCCGCTCGCTTGCTCAGGTTGCGCCTGCGTGGCATGTTCTCTTCCTTTCACAATTCAGTCGTCCTTTTTCCAGGCTTGAGCGTCTTCACCAGCCTCTCCTTTATCCAAGCAGCTTTTCACTTCTTGCATTCCTTTGCTCTCAAAGAGCCCCGTATTGCATCAGTCCTCGCGGCGCGAGGTCTGGAATGTTGGTTAATTTCAATCCTGTCGAATCCCTTGCCCCCCTCCCCCTCCAAACCCTCTTACTAGCACTTCTGGCCGGGTCGATCACCAATGGTGAGTATTTTGGGGCTTGCGAAGTCTCCGGTCGGCGTCATCGCTCCATGACAACACAATTCTTGATCCCACGAGACGATGGACGACGCCCATGCCCACCCCCAATCACCCGTGACCACCCTACACGTCCGCTCACGGTCAATACCATCGTCTTTCCACGAGTGTCCTTCTAGTCATACAACACCCAAGTCCGCACCTCACACTCGACAGCAGAGACTGCTCCAGACTCGTCACGCGAAGTTCTCGGCACAGAGCCTTTCAGTGAATGGCATCAGCGTCCCATTTCCTTCCCTAAACCGCTCATCCGAGAACGACTCTCCGTATTTTCCATCACCAAGGTTTAATCGACGAGAAGAGAATGGCATTGACTTGAACAAGGCCGAGAGGTTGAGCGGTGCCTCTACGGAATCTGCCATATTGGCTGAGATCTCGAATGCCAATACTTGCCGGATTCGAGGTTTGAAGAAACGGGCTGCTCTACCAATCTTCCAGGATTCCCCAGAGAAGAGCATGATCCGTGACACCGGAGCCAATACACCATCAGTCTACCACGACGCATACAGTGACTTACACCCTCCCTCAGGCCCCGATTCCTTGCGAGAAAGTCCTGTCAATATGGGCCTTAGAGAGGTCTCGGTGAACCTTCAGAGGTCTTCACCTCGCAAGGATTCGCCATATTATCGCCAAGTGCGTTCGGGGTCACATCGTAAGGCTTCTCAGACGAAGCCGAGATTCAATTCAGAAGAGTACATAGAACACATCGAAAATGAGTTACAGATGGTCAAAGACGCCATGTATTCACCCACCACTCATATGCACTGGAAAGAAAAGCTCCGAAAAGCGAAGGAAGAGAATGAACGTCTGAAGAAGGAGATGGAAGCCATCAGGGCCTCTTTCGAATTTGAACTCCATGAAACAGTCGAAAGATCGACGGAGATGGAGCTCAAATTGAAACGCAGGATTAAGGATCTAGAAGAAGAGGTCGAACTTAAGAAGTCGGTGATCCACGATCTAGAATGCGATCGCGAAGAAAAGAGGTCTGACCAAAACGCCTTGGAAGTTCTAAAGGCGAAGATTGAGAAGCTGGAGGAAGAACGATCAAGCCTGGAGACGACAAATCGCGATATGACAAAACGCAATGAGGTCTTGACCCAGCTTCTGGCCTTATCGCCGACAAAAGCTCAACCCTCCAGCGGCATACCCACTCCTAGGCGAAAAAGTGGCCGTCCCATGTCACTCGTTATCCCAAGATTGTCGACATCACCAGTCCTCCCGACATTCCAGAGCAGACCCCAGTCAATCGTGGCATCCCCGGCACTTGCGGCCTCTGACTACTTCGCGGCGCATCCCCCGTCATCGCCGTTGTCGGCAAGTCCATTCGACGCCACTGCCCGCTCCTTGGACGCTGTCGATGATAGGCTCTCGATTGACTCCGTGTTGGAAGAAACCGAGCTACAAGATGCGCACGGCATTGAGTCAGGACGGGCAACACTTGTCTCTAGCTCTTCAAATAGCCCTGATATGCTAGGTGGACATGTTCGTACGCAAAGTCGGTCGCAGACAATCCTGAGACATCCTTCGAAGAGGCGGCCTCGGAAATTCATGCCTGGATCAACACAGCTAAAGCCATTGCTTTTGCCAACATTCACGGCCGAAAGTGGTAACCTTCCTTCGACCACACCTATCACGTCACCCACTCGAGGACTCCCCATTCTCCCTAGCTCTGAGATAAGACGATTTGAAGAAACTCGATATACGCATGCAGTTCATGGAGACTGCCTCGAGACTCCCTTTCCGAGTCCAGACAATTTTCTCGATCGTCCCGGAGCAGATTATCAGAGCTTGGACGAGGTTTTCGCCAGTGATGAGCAAGCATTCCAGCCGGAGGTTCTCCAAGAGCCTCTCGAAGGACTTTCCTTTTCAGGCAACATGGCTCAGTATCAATGTCCACAGCAGGCAGGCGAGATTGAGTCGACCATGGAGCCTTGCTCTAGCCCACAAATTCGCTCCTGGGTTTCGAAGACAATATCTTCCCTGCCTGGAGATGTGGCGCATAATCCGCATCACACCACCGTTAGTATGACTGGGGGCGAAGATGAAGACGCCCCTGATATATCTGGAAACAGTAAAGTCTTCAATCGGCGATATCCTCGGTCAGACTTGGAGAGTTTAGATGCATCTCATTTCCGAGGTAACGTTGACATTCCTCGTCCCTTATTTTCAGACCATCGAACCCCCTGCGGAGGGAATTCCTCCCCCTCCAGCGGTTACCCTGACTCGCCACTCAATCCTCGAAAACGGAGGAAAACAAGCTCAATATACGAGTCAGAGGACTCGAAAGATGATGCTGTTGATCATGAATACCGCAATGGTCAGATGTGTCGACCCAGTCGCCTTGGAGTCGTCACATCTGGCTCTATCGCCGAGCGGAACACGCGGAAGTCGATGAACGAGTGCCCTTCTCTTCCAAAGAAACAAGCCACCGGCCCAACGCGCACTCCTCTTGAAATGTTACAGCATCGTGGCATAAGTTCCAAGCCTCTAGCGACCTTGACGATCCAAACGGTTTATGCAACCCTATCAAGGTATACGACGTACATTCAAGGCTTCAAACGAGATCCACTGTCTCTGGCACGGCGGGTCATAGCAAATGCCTGGCGGTCAAACTGGGCAATGTTCGGAAAACTAAGCTGGTGGGTACTTGGGTTGTTCATCGGCTACCAGCGACCAAAGACCGATCACGAAGACTGGGACTGGGCAAAGTACGACGGTGAAAGTATTGCTGATCAGTGCTGTCTTCCGGATCCTGATCAGTCTCTCACTCAACCCTTCAGTCGATCCATATCCGAGGCTGGTCCGGAACGCTCTGGTGGCAAGATCGAGGAGTCAGAAACCCAAGCACAAACATCTCCTCCTTCATCAACCTCTGCAGCCAACCGTATCCCTCCAGCGAACGGGCCACAAAATGGCTGGGGCCGATCATTGTATCTCTGGGGCAAGTTCAGCGTAGCAATTATGCTTGCTGTCGGGGGCGCCATTGTCAAAGGACCAGCTGAGATGTTGCGTGACGCTGACGATCGAAGGAAGTCTCGGAGCAACAGCCTTACTGAAAATGGGACGGCTAGCTGCCAACCTCGCCGAGCCGAATACAGCAAAGCAAATAGAGCTGCCGACCACCGCAAAGATGTTGGCTTACAGCATCACTCTAGTCCGTCGAGGGTGGATGAGACTCCCGATGTCGCTCGCAAAGCTCGGAGTTTCAGCTCTCCAGCGATTTCACCACCGATGCATATGCGTACAGCGTGTAGTGCCGATGGAAATATAGAGCATCGAAACCTATCGACAGTGTCGCTACCCTCGCCCAACGAAGCGCTGTTTGGGAAGGATGTGAGTTGGTGGGGTGAAGACACTTTGAAACCTGCTAGAAGCGATCGAAAAGGCTTGGACTCGGTCTTCGAAGCACCAGACTATGTCAAATCTATGCCCGACGAGGCTGTCACTCCATCCGCTGAGCATGAGCACATTGAAGGAGAAGCGACGGATGGCGAGCAGAGCGCAGTCAATATTCCAAAGCAACACTAGTAACGTGGGGGCTCAGAACACAGACGTCTTCAAGCATGCCGCGAGTTGGAAAGAGAAGAAAGCTGTACTCATTTGTACGACTAATGACTTGCATGAACAGAACTGAAGCATAATGCATAAATGCGTCTCCCTGGATTGCATTGGACATGAACTTGTGGAGGTGATATCATTAGCTCCGAGGGACGACGGGGATGTCAAGGATCGTGGGATGTCGAATGAGCACATTGAGACGAATGAGATGAATGATGCAGGCGATGAATAAAGTATCCAACTGGGATTGCAACATCTGCCACCACCAAGACAAAGATACGCATCGACGAACAGGTCGATGCTGGTGCAGAGAGGCCACCCATTGCTGTCAATACCACTAACTAATTACTTTGACCTTTTCTTCTTCTTCCTCTCACTATTACCTCCTCTCAGTGTCTGTCCGCCCAAAACCTTCAGGGGCTTTCTCAGCCTCAGCTCGCCCAGCCTCGGGCTTTCGGGAACAAGGCTGAGTGCAACACCACACCCGTTGCTATGTATATAACACTCACTCCTCTTTGTGTTGAATGACGGCTTGGGGATTCCGAAGATCCATGGTCTCGGGAAAGCAGCTACTGGAACAGACATATCGCTAAGAGGCAGGCAGGCAGGCAGGCAGGCAGGCAGGCAGGCAGGCAGGCAGGACATGCAAAGGACAAGAGCACGAGAGCACGAGAACACAACAGGACTGATCGTAAAGCAAAGTCAACTTTTGGACTGGGTGTTACTGACAAGTCGGTCGTCGACTCTCCCCTTCTATGTAGATAGCTCATTGCTATATTTCCCGCCCCCGTCCCCATCCTTAGGATGGGATGAACCAAAACAAGAGGTGCCGTTGACCATCCTTAGCAGCCAGATCCTCGAGCATTTCCCTTTTTTTCCCCTCTTTGGGAAAGGGGCTAGGCGGAGAGTAGTTTTCCCCGAGAACGATCCTAGTGACATGCCCGTCGAGTTGGAGGGATATTTGGATTGGACAAAGGAAGGAATCGACGAAAGTGGTCATACATTCCCTCCTGGGCTAGACCTGGTTCTTGGTAGTGGAAGACTGACTGGTAATATCAACATCTAGCATCGCTCGTGCCTTGGGTGCAGGTGAAGCGTAGTGTGCAGGGGTTTTGTTTTTTTGTTGTTTTTGAGAATCCGTGTGGTTACAGCCTTCCCAACTTTTCAGTGACCAGTGACTTGTTAATAACAGTCTCACTTAGCGAGACACGAGTCGGGTACTGACTTCAACCATGCCAGCCGAGACCTCGACTGTCAGACGTTGTCGGTGTCCGGTGTTAGAGAGGAGCGCATGTCAAAGGTGCTACCGAGAGCACCCATTCATGCCTAGTAACACAGTCGAGAGGCGGCATACACCTTGCTCACTCGACGCCGGAGTTGACAGCTGTGGATGGAATCAGGCCTCGCTGGCAAAGAACAGTTTGCCGTTGATTCGGGCTTTGGTTCGGGGTGATAAAGGTGACGTCGGCAACAGAACAACTTATTCCTGTTGGGTCTCAATCCTTGTCCCTCCCACTCTCATCCGCGGGCAGTTTGCCTTGAGCTCTCAGCTTCCTCTTCTCCCCCACATCCCAATTGTGCACCCGTGCGATTGCGACTTCGAGTGTCGTGATTTGCACCCTCAGGAACTCAAGATCCTCATCGCAAGCAGCAAGACTCTCTTTTGCTTTGTCCAGTTTTCCTTGCAGGAGCTCTTCTGCTTCGTCGAGCGGGTAGGCTACCATGACATTAGCCCCAAGCCAGAGGTAGACATCGTTGATCTCGGCGGGTTTGATGATGGCTTTGGCGTAGAGGGTATCTTGAAGACTGAACGTTGTTTCAATCTCATCTGCCGCCACGGGCTTTTCCCCCAGTAGATCGTCCTCTTCTATATCTTCCTCTCCACTTCCGTCCTCACCTCCCTCTTTCCTCTCGGCAAGATCCCGCCTCTTCTTCTTCAGAAACTTGACCACCTCCAGCGTCCTCTTCATCTCTGGTAATTTCTCCTTCAAGCCAGCCGCTCGACGCTCCACGTTTTGCTGCATGAATGTATACTTGGAAACCATTTCTTGAAACCTCTGCAGCGTAGACTCCACCTCGTCGACGGACTTGACATAGTCTGTCACGTTGTTCATAAAAGGAAAGGTAGGGATGCCTCGAGGGTTGGTTTCGGTGGCCATTGTCGCTGCCGTGGAGCTCTCCGGGGGTGAAACAGACAGGCAAGTGGAAATAAACGGATAGTGCTGAACTCGACCTAGGGTTTCCCAGTTACAAGCTTCAGCCTTGAGTCAGTGTCGGAGTGGTTGCTGTGAATTGTTTTCTTCATGCTCTTTGAGAAAGAATGGCGGCGCGGGGAACTTGGGTGCTCAGTAGCAGAATGACCGGAATTTCGTTTCTCCGCATCAACAGATAGAGATACCTTTACCAGTTGCCAGCTCGCCAGGTGCTTGGATGTTGACATACGCGGTCCATCACGTGCTTCTACCTGAATCACGCATCCTTTCAATAGTGGTCAAGGGCTCAAAGATCAAAGCAGCAAATTGTATTTCATCGACTGGCTTCACTAGTCAAAGCACAAGCTATGGCTATCGCCTTTATGAAGACCATACTTTTGAGGGACACCTCTTTCCGAAGGTCATCCATTTGCTCGTGAGAGCCTCATATCTCTAGTCCGGGTCAGTCCTCACAAGAGCCCAAATTCTCAAGCCAATAATAACATGTTTTCTCTCGTAATTCTTCATCACGTATCGTTACACATTTGCCGAGACGGCTCTTAATGTCCCTCCGTGCGGTAGCAGTAGCCGCAATCCATAATCCCCTCAGATGCCAAAACCGTGTCGTTAAAAACAAAACCATTGTCTGGTACAACGTTGTACATTATGCCTTCACCCCATCATCAGTGCCCTTCTCTTTCAACTTCTGCTGAGTTTCCCATCTTTGCCGGCTCTTGCTCATTTCGTCTGCATCAAACGCTGGCACTTCCTGGATAGCAGGTTCTCCGTGGCGACTAGGAGACCGCAGACCAGTGATTTCCGAGATAGTGGCATTCGATCGCATTCTCCGGATGCTAAGTTTGTTCTTGAGGCTGCGATCTTTTCCCGGTGTCGTTGGTGGTCGATCGTGGTTATCGGGCGCCACCATGTCTGTCGAAATAGACGGGGTACGTGGACGTAAGTCGTCTTTGACATTACTCCGACTCTTCATTTTCCGGAGTTCACGAGCTATCCGTTCCAGTGTTGACCCTGACGACTTCTGCGTCACTGTGATTTCGTCATCTTTAGGAGGCGGAAGTGGCTTTTCGGGAAGTTGTTTGTCTTGAGAGGCGTGACGGCTGGGACTACGACTAGCATTGCTGAAACTGCTGCTTGTACTAGGTCTGGTCGTGTGACTCTTTTGGCTTTGTGCCGACTTATTGCTTTGGGCAGAGTTGCGATTTGATGAGTTTTCGGAGCCAAAAGAGATAGCCGAGTCAACCTTTCGGCGGCCTTCCTCCTCGTGTTCAAAGGACTTGAAAGAGGAAGTGGTCGGTGACGGGGTGTGACCGGTGATATCGTAGCATTCCTCGATGACGCTGTTTGCCATGCGAACATATTTGTCGAGGGTATCACGCAGACTGACCCAGCCATTTGGGTCTTCGGCTTTCTTAGCCTGATTCATCAAGTTGGTCAAGACCGATGGCCCGCTCTTCTCTACCGCAGAGATATACTTGAAGAACCCATTGCGTTGTTGGGTCAGAATTTGAGGCGTGAGTTGGGCAGTTGGTTGCACAAAATGCCCAGCATTCATGTTGATGGGTGGATAAAGGGTATTAAGCATAGCTAGGCAGTTGCCCTTGTCGAAAGGCGTCAAGGTAAGCTCGTTGATCAAGGTCCACCTTCTCAGCCCAACATAGACCTGAGTGTAGAGGGCTTCCACTTTGCGCTCCCTCTCTTCGATTTCGGAGACCCAGCGCAGCACGCCGGGGTACTTCCGCGCCAGTTTATCTCGGTGACTGAGGTCATCTTGGTCAATGCCTAGCTTATCCAAAGCGGCCACCACCTCACGCCGACGTCTAACTTCAAGATCCTTTAGATAATCCATGGCAGTCAAAGCTTGGGGAAAGTCGACCTGATCAAGCTCGCGGGGAAAACATCTCCGAACAAAGTTTGTGATGAAGCTTGGGGGCAAGGATGTTGGCTGAGAGGGTAGCTGCGAGATGTGTTGCATGAGATTGGCACGCAACTGAGCAGCAGCCGTCATGGTGGTCATGTTTTGTTGCTCGTCGGCGGTGATAGAAGACTTCCTAGGGAAAGCATTGCCAAGAACCGTGTTGGGCGACGGCGTTGGTGGACACTGTTGTTGATGTTGAGTGGTAGCATTGAGAGTGTACATTGTTCGTAGGGGGATCTCGTAAGTACCAGGATAGGTTAACAAGTGCTCCAGAACCCATGGGTAAGCCGCGCTCCGAGAGCTATCATCTCCCTCGGTGGAAGACATTATGGCTGCCTCTCAGCGTGACGTGCAAGCACGCTGGCCGAACAGACCGGGTCCAAGTAGGGATTCGAGGTCAAGGTTTTGACTTTGGAGAGCCAAACTCTTTCTCACGTCCCTGCAGCCGCGGCGCGATTGCAGTGACGATTCGCGAAAACAGAAAAACACAGACGGAGTATCCCAATTCTTCAAGGTCCTGCTCTTGTGGTCCGAGGTCCTGTTGTTTGTGATACCTGTTGGTCGGACCGTTGTTTACGACATTTAGGAATTTGTCAACAAAAGCGAGATTGTGAAACCTTTCAGGATGGCAGGTCAATGCAGTGAGATGTCTGGAAAGGTTTGTGAACCGTGCGGCAATAAGTCACCGGGCTTGCAAAATCGAGGTAGGACTACCGCAAAAACCGAGTCTTTGGTAGAGGTTCGTTAAATCGAAGGATTCGTCAATTGATGGGTGGTGAAAGGTAGCAAATAAACTCGACTTCAAGGAAAGGCTCTGTGATTCGTTACAGCGAGAGGTGCAGTCCGAGAATGCGAAGGTCAATGAGGGACAGGACGTGCAAGGTGTTGTGTGGTGTTGCGCACTGGCACTGAAAGCAAGCTTGAAGGAGTGTAGGTATGATGCAGCAAAACAACAGTTAACTGAGGTGGTGCTGGCGTGTATGCAGGTGTCTCGGAAACTGAGGTCGAGTGTTTGCAGAGAGATGAGTCCAGAGGCTCGAGTTCAGTTCTTGAGGACGTTGTAAGGACTGGGCACTAGGAGAGCGACAGACACTAGGGAACGGATACAAGTCGAGAATGCAAGATTTTAGCCTGGTGGATCCAGTTCGAGGTGGAGTTATTTTGACGATGGTGTCCGGACGGCGGAAGGGTGACAGGGGTGCGGATTCGATTTTTCGGAGGCAGGGGACTTGAGTTCTGGGTGTGGCGCTAATATTTTCTAGGCGTGGCTTCTAGGCATGGTAAAGCGAGGGCAGGAGGGGATGCGGACGGCAACAAGGGCGAACTAGGGCACACTATGCCAAAATGCGTAACGGCACATAGTGGCCGCCCTGGCTTGCCTGGGTACCTGGGGACTTTGGGTCGGGCACTTCGGGGGTTACCTACAAGTACGTGCCTACCTGAGCCACGGTAATATCCTCATACTCGTACTCGTACACCCAAGTAGTGAGCACATCTGACTCGTAGAGGTAATAACACACAGGCTACGGGCCCACGGACCCCCACTACTGACACCTATACCAATTCCCTGGGTACCTAGAATACCCAGAGATCACCTCTTCAGGAGGAAGGATAGCCCAACCCAATGTTCAATGTTTGTTATGTGTGTACACTACTTGACTTTCTTCACATCCGTGTTTCGCACTGATTGCCATGTCCCTGCTCCTGATCCTCCCCTCCTCGTCTTTTACGTTCGGCACAATATCTACCAGGTGACCGGCCGGTGGATGCCGGCTTTGGAGGGGGTTCAGTCACTGGTCACTGTCAAACTTTCAAGGCCTGCATATTTCTGTCTGACCTTGTTTGTCCTGCGATCTGTTTGTTGCCCCAGTCAAAGTATCATTTAAGTTCTACTCTGATACACTTCGCTTTGACCTATTCCCTGCTTCTTCTCTACGAGTTATCTTCGAGTCTTACTTTGTACCTGCAGCGTACAACTAGCTCACGTTCTAGGGATTTTGGTCCATCCTCAGTCCTGGTGGGTTTTCGTCCCAGCAGCCCAGCTTTGGAATCACCCGACTTTGACCAGGGCATGCCGGCGGCCCACCATGGAGCACGCAGTATTGGTTCGCTAATATGCGGCCCCAAGCCCTAAGAGCCCTTTCCTTCTGTGTCAGTCCAGTCTGTGCTAACCAGAAGGCAGGCTGAGAACTGGCGAATTAGCGAAAGCTCATTGCTGTCGAACCGCATGTGAAAGCTGTCGAAAAACAACTCCTCCATCACCATCATCGTTCATCCACTGCCTACCCAATGCTACCTAGCCAAACTAGAAAAAGTCCCTATCAGCTTGCGGAGCACATCCTTTCGTGCGTGGGTGTACGTCTAATGATGATGTTCATCACAATGCACTTTATTGAGGCTTGTGCCGCGTCCATTCAGCTGAACAGGAAACTCAGACATGTCTTCGCCCCTCGTGGCTGTGAGGTCGTGTCCCCTGATAAACACGGGGTATTAGTCAACAAGTAGCCAACCACTGCCGGGATGGTAAACTCTCGCAGACGCGTCGAACAGAGTTGGGCCTTGCACCCAAACATATGTCAATCTCGCCAAGTCACATCTGCCTTTGTCGAAGTCTTTGGATTGCCGAACACATACTGAGTGACTTGTTGGAGAAGCATCAGGCTTGATATTCTACCTCTGTTCTCCCAACTGAGAGTGGTTCAGCGGCCATTTCCCACCCCTGGCAGTGCCCTGGACAGGTCAATGCAGCGGTCGTCACGCCAAGGTGCTCGGGCTGGGATACCGCCGGAGAAAAATTCTGTGCAAGCTTTCAGGGATACCGTACAGAGTATAGGTAGACTTTGGTGCGCCAAACTTGGGTACGCGATACCCAACATGGTTTCGGGCCTCCGCTATCACCCTGGCATGTCCCTGGCCCAGGGTGCCTGAAAGCTGCATTCGGTTGAGCATGCGGATTATGCAGGGGAGCCGACAAATCGCGACTTTGCGCGTAACAGCTTGGTCGCTCGACCGACCACCGCGGATGCAGACTTTGAACCCGGCATCATTCGCCTGTTGCAAATCTGCAAGCTCGGCTGTCGACACTCCTCAAGACCTGACAGTTTGCTGCTAACCACTTATCGAGTCGTGCCCCTCCAAAAACCCAGGCCTGAGCTAATCACAGACCAGTGATCCCATTACAGTCCCCTTACCCAAAAGGCACCGCCGGAAAGCTACTATCCGGACAGAAAATCTTGTGGGCGAGAGGTTCTTGTGTCTCGAATGTGTGTCAGACTTCATGACGTCTTCCTCAGACTCATGCGGAGAATGTTTTCGTCAAAATTTTCAGATGGCACCAGCACATTTGAGGCAGCGAAGCCGTGGTAATCATAGGGAAAAAGTGCCTTGTGTGCCACCCTTGGAAGACCGTTGATTGCTCAGGTGAAGCGAGCAAGGGTCCAACTCCAAAAGCATGGCAGAGATGAAGGGTCCAAAACGTGAAGGAAAGGTAAGATGCTGAACCGTTTGCCTTGACACTAGGCCATGGTGATATACAGCCCGTGTAACCATCCGTTCACGGGCGGGCACGAGGTCGAAGTTTGCAATTCACAGGCCGCTCGGTTTGCTTCTGAGCTTCTATCTCCCTCCCATCCTCGAGGATCACCACCATCTCGTGACGATGATTGAGAGGGGAAGTCTACCTCCTTTGGGTCGTCCGACGTTGGAAGAAACCCCTCCACGAACCTACTGGACCCTCACGGGTGATCACCATAAGGGCGCTGCCTAGGGATCCCTATACCAAAGCCTTAACTGTCTACCTACCCAACTACCTTTCCCCAAACCCTAGCTGGGTTCGCAGGATGCATGGAACCGGCCCGGATCCGTGCCACATTCGTCGCACTAGTCTATGAGCGGGTAGGAAGTGTTGATCGCTTCCTGGAAGGAAAACAACAATCGCAGATCACAGCACACTTTTGGAATGGAACACACCTACGCCCTGAATCCCCCTCACTCAAAACCCCCTTGGTGGTCCCGTTTCCAGCTTACTCAACCCTCGCGAGCTGGTCTCGAGAGGCAGTGCGCGTTCTACTTAATACTCTTTTTTGGATCGACAATGCATTTAGGGAGCAGCTACGAGTCCACTATATCGAGCTCGTGCTGAACAGCTTGACAGGGTACGAGAGTGTTCGGTATGCACGCACCCGGCACGCAGTTCTCCCCCTCCCGCACTCCTAGGACTCTTGATCCTGCTATATCCTTGTGGTACTGGCTACCGAGAATTGAAGAGGTTGGAGTTTCTGTAACATGGGGAACTCCTTCTCCGTTCTCCGAGGACACTCCTGTTCGCAAGCAAGCACATCCACTAAGCATTGCTATCTTCGTCGCCCGACACATTTTGACTATTGTTGTCGGATTCAGCAAGATCGCTCAATGCCCACTCGCCCAAGAATCCTTCTTCTTTGACGGGACTGCTCAGCTCAACGCCGTTCTTCTCCGCCCACTCCACAATTTTTGAGCGATGGATGACCATTGTTGCCAGTTCCTCTGGCTCAATTTCCGTAGCATGAGCGAGACTCGCGGATGCTGTCCCGTTCGCCTCAGGCGTGGAAGATTTTGCCTTCTTCCTTTTGGGCCCTACCACTTTACACAGACCCATCTCGGTCAGCGCAGCGACTACATCCTCTCCCAGCATTCCGGTCCTGTCCCCAATTTCCTTGACCGTCATCTCTTCTTTTCTCGGCTGAACTGTTTTTCTGTTTCTGCCATTCGCCTTGGCTTTGTCGAAGACCCTTGTTGCATCCGCATCCGCCGTCTGACCCATCAGAAACCGAGCAATGCGTTCGGACCAAAACCTTAGGTATGACTTCCGGCCCATTGCGCTCAAGGGCTTTTCGGGCCCGCCAATCACCCCGCCTTCCCATTCCCATCCGCTCAGCTTGTACGAGACTGCCATCAATAATTGACCGAGCTGCCGATGCTGAAAGGGAGGGAAGATCAAGATGCACGCAAGATTGTTGGAGTCCCACGAAAGATTCTCCTTGGAGAAGAACCCTAAGACACGCGTCTGGTTGAGCGCGTCGTCTTCTTGTTGCACATTCGCAGACGAGCTTCGTTGTTTCTGTCCTCGGGTCTTGGTTGTCGTAGAAGCTGGTGATGGGGGACTTTCAGGCTTCGTATACGTCAAAGCATAGTACTTGAACCCTGCCGTATCGAAAAAGACACTTTTCTGTTCAAGGAACAACTTCCCGAAGAGACTCAGATTCTGGCAATATAGTTTCTCCTTCTCGCCATCTATTTCCCAAACCGCATACCCTTCCCATTCGTATACTTTGTACGCGGATTCTGGGATGGGTTGATTGGGTTCAAGATTTTCAGAGCGGAGGTGGCGGTGGTAAGCAAGGTGTCGGGTGAATTGTTCTTCGAGTGGTGTATAACGAAAACAGCACGGGCAAACATGGAGGAGGCGGCAAATTGGCTCCTCTCCCCTTATCGAACTGTGATATCCGCTAAGGTGGCTGTGAGAGTGCCCATTTCTCATATCTGCTGTTGTTGAGCCGTCTCCTCGATGCGGAAGAATGATACTGTCAGGGTAGGGGGAATAATACCACGCGTCGAATAGCAGGTTTCCCAGAACGACCTGATGGATATTTCGGTTCAGCACCTGGAAGGAGGCGCGACGAGAGCGGTGAGGGGAGCCATCTTGGAGGACTGAGGTTGAGGTGTTGTTTGTTTTTACTACCGCCGAGGGCATAATGGCTGCATCATCTGTGCGTGTGCAACGTTCATGTCTTTGGTGAAGCCATTGAGAATACTATACTTGAACTAGACGGTGAACCACACCGTTGGTTGTCTTTCAATGGGATGAGTACGAGGCACAAATTCATGTCCAAGGCTGAGATCATATGGCAGCCAAGCAGCGTGGGCAGCGACCGCCAAAGAGTGGCGTCACCAGGCGTGGCACGGGTGGGTGACTAAAAGCGGCGGTTACTGAGCTAGCCAATCATGGAAGAATGTGGCTAATTATGGCTGGGGGAAGAATGTGGCTGCGGATTCTTTGAGAATCTACCAGACGTTGAGGACAGATTGGTTGGAATCCGGCAACGACATTGACGGCGACACATTCACTCATTTCACCTCTCATTGTCTAACTGCTCTGTTTCACTTGCTTTGACTCTAGAGTTGATCTCTTTTTTCTTCCCTCTGTACAACAACTGGCGACTCTCATTATGCCACAATGATTCTCCCGTTACAGCGTCTCGGCCTGCTCGCTGCCCTACTCGGTTTCTATCTCACCTCCTTCTGTGCCGTCGATGCCGTCGATATACCCTCTGACGCCTCTCTTTCTTCTTTGATCGCATCGGGTAAAGCAGCACGTGCTCGAGGAGCCAACAGTGAGGCTCTGACATACTTTGATGCCGCCGTCTCCAAGGACTCGTCCGACTACCTCACGCTCTTCCAACGAGGAATCACCTACTTGTCTCTCGGAAGGAATGCACAGGCCGGTGCAGACTTCGATAATGTGTTAAAATTGAAACCCGGGTTCGAGGGGGCGCTGTTGCAGAGGGCGAAGATCAGGGCGAAGAACGCAGACTGGGCTGCAGCGAGGGAAGATTATGTTGCGCTAGGGAATCGAGCGGCGGCAGATTTGGCTCAACTTGAAGAGGCTGAGGGCGCATACTATCTCGCAGTTGAGGCGGAGAAGAAGCAAGATTGGGAAGCATGTATCAACCAAGCAGGCATTGCCATCATGACAGCAGGTACAGCATTGTCATTGCGGCAACTTCGCGCTCGCTGTCGATTCGAGCGTGGTGAGGTTCAAGAGGGTATTAGCGACCTCCAGCACGCCCTCCAAATCCATCCGAGTCTAGTGGAGCCACACCTACAAATTTCGGCCATGTTGTTCTACAGCCTAGGGGATACAAAGTTGGGCATAGACCAAGTCAAGAAATGCTTGCACTCGGATCCAGACTCGAAGCCCTGCAAGTCTCTCTTCAGGGAAGAGAAGAGTGTCATGAAGCAAATCGAGCAAGTTCAGTCTCTTTTCGACAAACGGCAATTCAACTCAGCAAGCAAGGTGCTGGTCGGCAAGGGCACCGACGATGAGCCAGGGCTTCTCTCGCAACTCCAGTCTAATGTCGCGTCTCACCGTACAAATGGCATCATACATGCCAAAGCGCCCTCGGATCTCTACGTGGACATGTTGGAGAAGACGTGTGAAGCGTTTATGACGATGAACAACCTGAACAAGGCCGGCAAGTTCTGTTCCGAAGTGCACGCCTTGAAACCCAGCTCCCTGCATGGGCTGCTGTACCAGGCACAGCGACACATGGACGCTGAAAATTTCGATGCCGCCATTTCGACCCTCAATACGGCTCGAGACAATCACCCCGATGCTCAAGGGACGATCAATTCCAAATTGCACGAAGCGCAAGTCGCCTTGAAGCGCAGCAAAACCAAGGACTATTACAAGGTCCTGGGCATCTCTCGTGATGCTGACGAAGCTACCATCAAGAAGGCTTATCGCACAGCAACTAAAATGTACCACCCAGACAAGGCCGCCGCAAGAGGCATAACCAAAGAGGAAGCGGAGAAGAAAATGACAGCCATCAATGAGGCCTATGAAGTCCTCAGCGACCCCGAACTGAAGGCCAAATTCGACAATGGAGAGGACCCCAATGATCCCATGGCCAACCAGGGTGGTCACCCCTTCCAGGGGAGCCCTTTTGGTGGCGCAGGAGGCCAGCAGCAGTTTTTCTTCCAACAAGGATTCCCTGGTGGTGGCGGCGGCGGACAGAGACAGTTCAAGTTCTCAACTGGGGGAGGAGGTTTCCCTGGAGGCAATCCCTTTGCAGGCTTTCCAGGTTTTGGATAGAACGGGAGCTGTTTGGTCCGGCTTCCTGGTTGTGCATGTCATGTTTCTCATCGCTTCACGAATTGATACCCTGTTCTCTTTCTCCGTCGACAAGAACCCTGTCTGCGCTCCTAGCATTGAATTTCACCTTCGCCAGTATTACTGTGGCAGGATTTGCAAAAACACAACAGCTCAGACCACCTTTCCCTTCCCAGAACAAGACAGGCTCGTCTAAACCTTTCCCGAACAAGCGGCGTCATTGGTCACATCATTTGAACCTCTTTGGGATCCGACCATTGATCTTCGAAACACGCCCTGGTCCCTCAACCCCATGTCATTGAGTCTGTGAATTCCACCCACGTTGGCCGCCTGCGAACAGGGAAGTCGGACAACGGCTCGTGCCATCCTTGACGAACCCAGGGCTGCACCTTTACTAGGGATTTCCTCCATGGTTTCGTCTTATGCACGGACTACAGCCCTAGCGGTGGACAAGGCCCAATCCTGGCCTTTTCACATGCGCGGTCGATCAGCCGGGGCAGGATTTACACTTAGCGCTACTGCTTCATTCCAGTCCGGTCGTACTCCGCACTGACGACAGCCGACTAGTGGTTTGTATACCCTTGTCGCATTTCCCCAAACACTTTGGCCTTTCATCCCGCCTCGTCTCGTCTCGCCCCGCCACTGACTCGGCGGTACACATGGACCGAGACCAGGAAGGGTGGTGAAACAGTCAAGGCAGTGTGTACGAGCAACCTCCGCATCCGACAAACGTATATTCGAAGGCAGCGCCCGGGATATAGCTGAGTACCCCTGTTAGACGAAGACAAAACAGACAAGTTTCACAGGCCCAAAACACAATCCAGTTCAATCCGACCGGGATGTTTGCAAGGGCAGGGGGGCCCTCACCATTCATCACACTGCCAAATACCTGGTTTCACATACCTTGGAAGGAAAAAGAACTGTGAGGTCGTCACCGCCTCGAGTCTCCTTGGAGTATTGAGTATCTTTCAAGACAATCCTCTGCGCATCCGCACTTGACGATGCGTGCGGTTCGGGAAGCGGCACGCGCTGGGTGTCAGGGGGTTGGACGGCTACTCGACAGGCAAACTACGACTATCTCTGGTAATGCTCCGTGATGGTCCAGCCCGGTCTAGAAGGCAAAAGATCCCTGTGAGTTCACTGGCTAGTCCAACAACAACACCAAGTCTATACCGCAGCGTAACCCGGTCATGGGACTTTGATTCCCAAAATGGACTCTCGAGCGTTTACAGCTACAATCACCAGGTTGACGGAAGGTTGCCTTTTTGCCTTTCCGGTGGGAAGGCATTCTATTCTGCTCCGACAGCGGATGTCGAGAGACCTAACAGCTGGTCACGAAAACCCCCCATGTCTTTCACCTTACGTGTCGGCCGAACGGGAAACACAGCGGGTTCTCTCAACACCGAGACATACGCAAAGAGGAGCGACAAGTCCTTGCTTGATCAAGCCGGAGCTAATTTTTGTTGTTGCTCCTGCTATTCCATGTCGCCTCTAGGCAGGGTCTCACATCCCCCTTTTCCAGCTGCAAAGTGTCAGTCCTCGCAAAATGGTGACCTCTGCCCAGGGACCTGGCATAGCGATGTCTTACCTACCTCCCCTTGTTGATACTCAGAAAGGGGCGGTCCAGATGGGTCTAAGTGAACCGCGAGCAGCAGAGTTCCTTGAGACGTCCTCGGTGGCTTGAAGTGAATCAATTACCTGGTGTGCTCTTCTTTGAAGAGTAGAGAACGGTGGCCGACTGCAATTTCGAATCCAAACAGTATGTCGACGAGCGAGAAGAAGCGCTCCAACCTTAATCTGCGTTCACGTGTAGATTCCTTCTTGTACATCCTTTGAAGGTATGAAGACAGCGTTGTGATACAGACTGCCTCGATTCCAATGAGGCACTCTCTTTTGGTGTGCTTTACTTGTAGAAAAGAGATACTTGATATTCACCAGATGGGATTGCATCGAAATGACATTCTGCATCGTGTCGTCTTTGCCAAAGAAAGAGACACGCTTAGATTTCTATCACCCAGACAAGTCCAGAAATCGTCGCTCGACACCTCCCCCCAGTTCTATTCGCCTTCCTGTCTCTCTCTCTCTCTCTCTCTCTCTCTCTCTCTCTCTCTCTCTCTCTCTCTCTCTGTCTCTGCCGTGTTGCGCCTTTCCTCTGCTGCCTCCTCGTTCCCAGTGCGGTACCAGCTCTCTCTCCAAGGCGACTTTACCACTCATGAGCACTCCCACCCAAACGAATTGTGCCGTCGGATACCTTTTTCCTATTTATACCTCTAACTGCGAGAGGAAGCACAACCGTGAGAGATCTACGGGCAGGTCCGACACATGTACACACACACTCGCTCACTCGCTCACTCGCTCACTCATGCGCACGCAACAGACCCCCCAACAGAAGCCGTCAAGCCAGCCAGGGAAGTCTAGAGATGGGGGGGCGTGGCGTAACCAGTTCAAGAGAAATGGGAGACATTCATGCATGCATGCATGAACATGGCTATATGGCTGTGGTGGACAACAGGAACAAGACAGAGAGAGGGGGGGAGACGACGCCAGGAGGTCGTCTAAGCAGGGCGGCTTCATACCTGGTCGAGTGATGATCTATACGCCCATACGTCGAATACATACACACATACACGCATTCATGCACGCATGCATGAATACATGGCTATATACCTACCAAAAGAACCTAGAGAAAGCCGCAAGACTTCGGCCGGCTATATGCTGTCCATTATTACATGCCAGACGCAGCGGCAACTTTCTCCCCGAACCAAGTACACAGTACCGAGTACATTATTAATTCCCCCCAACATTCTCTCCACCATTACACCACGCAAATGATGTGACGCGCATGCTCGTGTTCAAGCTGATTGATCATCGACTTGGTCCGTGTTCCATTTCTCCATGCAATTTGGGCTGCAGAATCAGCGTTGAATGAGACCAGCGTGACCGGGCTCCGGGCGACGATCGGGGAAGATATTTCCATTTGCACGATTGATTGACGTCACTCCTTATTATTCGGAGAAAGGAATCTATCTGTTCAGGTGAGGAAGAAGGAAGGGGGAAAAGAAAAATATATCAATCAATGCAGCAGAAACGAACAAGTACATGACAAGTTTTGATCTCCTATATCGCTATATCGCTATATCGACCTCGTTGTCCTCTCTCAAGTGGACCGGACTGCAACCTGACTTCGACCACACAGGCACCTATCCACCAACCCAGTGAGGTATCTATCTCCAAGTATGCCTGTGTCGGCAGGCGGCAAAAATGTCCTCATCGTTGGCCCCGGCTTCATCGGCTGGAACGTCCTCGACCATCTGGTCCGCGAGGGCTACAACGTGACGGGCCTGGTGAGGCGTGCGTCGCACGGACAACAGATCGAGTTCTCCGGGGCGAAAGCTGTCGTCGGCGATCTGAACGACACAACCTTGATCAAGACGCACGCGGCCGAGAGCGACATCATCTTCCACACCGCGACCGCTGACCACAAGCCCAGCGCCGAGGCCGTCTGCCAGGGCGTGGCTGAGCGGGCCGCGCAGGGCAAGTCGACCATATACATCCACACGTCCGGCACCAGCGTCTTGGACGACGGGGCCTGCGGAGAGTTCAAGGGCGACAAGGTCTACCACGACAACAACCGCGCCGAGATCGATTCGGTGCCGGACGACGCGCCGCACCGACAGATCGACCTGACCATCCTAAAGTACCAGAAGGAGATTGGCGACAAGGCCAAGATCGCCATCATGATCCCGCCCTTGATCTATGGGTACAACCCTCAGCACCGACGACTGACCATCCAGATACCGACCCTGACCCGGTTCGCGATCAAGCACGGTTTCGCGGGGTATCTGGGCAAGGGTCTCCCGGTCGAGTCACAAATCCATGTGCTGGACCTCGCGCAGGCGTACGTGACCTTGCTGCATCACATGGAAAACACGCCGGCACAGGACTTCCTTGACAACCCCTACTTTTTCTGCGAAAATGGCCGTGAGGCTTCCTGGCGCGAAGTCGCAGAGATGATCGGCGAGGCCCTGCACAAGGCTGGAAAAATCCAGGATCCAACGCCAAAGACTATCCCAAAGGATCTGTGGGGCGATCTCTTTGGCGAGTTCTCCGGCGCGGTTATAGGCTTGAACAGCCGGAGCAGGGCGGTACGGCTGAGAGAGCTCGGATGGGAGCCGACCCAGAGGGGCATGGAGGAGAGTTTCCAGATGTTCGAGCTGGCCGAGATATTGAAGGAGGACGTGGTCGAGTTCCACGGATATGCTGGCACTGCGGCGTCGTGATGGACGTGAAACCCCGAACGCGTGCTGGGGCCTGTAGGCTGCAGATTACAAGGATATCCACTTGACTCGTTGTATTCAGCGGCGTTGACCAGTGGGAGAAATATGTCTCTGGGCCACCCAGTGCTTCCAGTCCTTCTCGTAGTCCTTTCACAACAGCTGTTTTCCGCGTCTTGGTTAGAGTTTAGATAAAGCTGTCTCAATCTTCAGAAGCGTTTGCCACTTTGCCCCCTGGAACTCGTTGCCATGATCTCTTAGGATCCTTCTGGAGAGGCCAGGACGTTCTGTCTCCATCGATCAGTCTTCCAACCGCAGTTTCCAAGTACCAGACTTGACCTTGGGCTCGACATGGCCAGTCCATGGTTTTGATTCACCTCATATCCAAGCCACATTCAGCCGAGAAAGGCAGGTGACTCTGTTGTCCAACTTTACCTAGCGTGCCCTCGTCGATAGTCCTGACCACAACATACTGCTGGCTTGTGAAGGCAAGATTCCACGCGTCACCGGTCAAACCCGAAAGAATCTATTCCATATGTCTCTCTGTCCAGATTATACATTTTGGTCCCCTCTGACAGTTGCCATCTCATAGCTTGGCCCGGCGTCAGTCCTCAGGCCCCTTCCCGGACTGCCTCGTATATGGTCATCAACAACGGCACCCTCTGCCGATCCATTGGCAGCATTTTGACCAGTCGCCTTCTTGTGCGCTGGTGCCCCGAAAGAGATGGGTTGCATTTCACGATACCGACAAGCCCAAACGCCCAAAACAATCATCAACACCGCACTGGAGGCTTCGAGACCCCACCATAGCAAATTCGTCGGAATGGCGCCTGTGTAGAAGGAGGTGATGAGGAGGTGGATGAAGTGAATCGTGAGCGCGAAATCGGGGACAAGTTTCGAGCGGGAGATCAGTAGAAGGATCGGTATTACTCTTTGAGAAAATGGTGTTAGTAGTCTCTCGTAAAAACCCCAATTCGACATTCTCAGAACGGGACGGAGCACCATACGTTATAAACCCATCGACAACCCACAGGAAACCGACGGTCCAGCCGACGGTGGTGTCTCCACGCACGCTATTCCAATCAAATATCAAGTTCAGAGAGAATCTCTGGCCCAGAACCAAGGTCGTGAACAATATCAATACAAACGCCGTAGTGTAATATGAGAGTTGCAGGAGGAGGATGGAGCGGACGATCTTCAGAGGCGGCAGTTCGGTGAGGGCGCCTGCGCGGGGAGGTTTGCGCCGTCGAGGCGGCATGGGGCGCGGCCCAACTCCTCGGTTTGTGTGTGCAAGAAGAGGAGGACGTCAAGTGTGAGTCGGGAGAGCCGGTGCTAGCGTCGCCATGAAGCTGGGGGCTGCCCTCGATCTATAGGCATGGTGGATTGCGGATAATGTTTTGAAAGGGTTGTCTGTGATTGATACATACGTGGAGTTTACAAGCCCAAAAGATGACGATGCATAAATAAACTCCGAGCCTTGTCACGTGTAGGGCTGAGCCTACTAGCAGCAGCTGGTGGCAGCGCATCTCCAAAAAGTCGATTGGAGAATATAGTTTATTCGACGACGTCGATAAAAGCCTATAAAAGAGAACATTTCCATACGACCGGCAAGAAGACAGTATCCGACACGCGGTTAGAAGCGCCATACAGACCTCTAGGACTTCCTTCTACCCCCTTTCCCTAGCTCCGTCGCTTCCACCTGCACATCTCCCATCTCCATCTCCATATCCTCCGCAAACCATGGCCTGGGGCCTTCCGACCTGGCTGGGGGGCTCTGCCTCGCCCAATCCCTCTTTACCGCAATCGTCGAACCTGCCTCCACGATCCAAAGACGGCGGCTACGTGGCTCCGGACCGCACGTCTCGCGAACACTGCTACGAGTCGCGCGACATTTTCTTCCAGTGCCTGGACCGGCACGACATATTGGATGCGGTCAAGGAGGACGAGAAGGCCCGAAAGGTCTGTCCGGCAGAGGTGGCGGCGTACGAGAAGGACTGCGCAAGGAGTTGGGTGAGTTTTCAATACCCGATTTGAGGAGCCCCTCTCCCCCCTTCGTTGTTGCATTTCTACATCCTACCTGGCGATCGACCAACGGTTGCTCATGCTTTTCTTTGTGCCTCCACAGATCAAATACTTCAAGGAAAAGAGAGTCGTGGATTATAAACGAGACCGCACGTTAGAGCAGATCGCGAAAGAAGACGCCGAATCGGCCGCAAAGGCAAAATCCGACAGAAAGGGCAAGTCATGGTTCGGATGAGGGGACAGATGGGTGTATATTGGACTTGCACACAGCTTTGACAAACGTTGCCACATCCTCCGGAGCATGAAAGAATTTCTCCGGTACGTACGTGTTGATGACATTGATGGCAAAGACTTGCCCGCGATAGCACCAGAGAGTCGATCATGTCGGCTGGGGGGAAGAAGAAGGCACCACCCTTTCAACTTATGACGATGAAGGGAAATGTACAGGAAGGGTTACAAATGTACACTAAAAAGAAAAAGAATTGCATAGCGCGGACTCGGGAAATCAGCTGCTTTTCGGTTTGACGGTGCGAAGGGCTTTCTGAGTAAAACATCTTCACTCATGCTCGGGACCAGCAAAGGCACTTATTGTATGACTATCCCGTTCTTCTACCGCCCCAACAAACCAACCACACTCCCAACCATCACCGCCGCCTCTCGTTCCCAATTGTCTACTTCTTGCTCGCCCTTTGCAGTCGACATTGTTTTCGCGTCACCTGCAAGCACAGTCCTCGGCAGCTTTGAGCCTCGAAGGACACAGTCGCGGATTTCCTGCCGGACGGCGTCGCGTTGACTTCGCAGTGTACGTGCGGAAACGCCTCCTCTTGTCAGAATCTCTTGGACACGAGTAGATAGTGAGGAAGCCAGTGAGCGCCAGAAATACGATGGGAGAGACGCAGTGTCGAGTGCATTGAGGAGTAAGGAGAGAAAGTTGTCAGGGGTGGTTGTTTTAGAGGGCTCTAAGGTTGCCTCATCTTCAGAGTCCTCCTCGTCAACGTCGTGGGTGATGTTTTGGTCGTCGGTAGCTTCAGCCTGCAGTAATGGATGGTCAGGGGCAGAAATGCCGCGCAGCATGGCTTCCAGGGCCACAATATTTTGACATCGTGCACTTGTCTCCAACAAGGCCCGGTCTAACATGGGTAACTGGCCCAGAGCTCTCCCGATTGATGCCGAACTGGACGTGATGGCTGTCTGTAAGTAACTCTGTAACGCGCGGAGCAGATATTCAGGCTCAAAGTCCTTCTTTTTCATCTTCTCTCCATCGATTCTTGGTGCCGGAGAGAGGAGATAGAGAATGTGCACTGCACTCGTGAACCGGGCACGGCTGTCCTCGACTTCTCGATACGAAGGGCCAGACGATGTCGAAATTCCACTGCCAGAACCCGAGGAAAGGGTAGTCATTGAGAACTCTCTGACAATGCGTCTTGCAAAGTCTAGGATCTGAGCCTCACCATCTTCGAAGACCCTTCCCCGCACAGTTTTCACAAGATTGATGCGTGCTAACTCGCCGCCGTCCCTTCCAAGGATGGCATCGCGAAACCCAAGAATTGCAAGTGTTGCGCGCACAAGCGCACCGTGATCCTCTTTGCCGGCACGGGCACCTCCTCCAAGGCCGGACTCTGCGAGGATCACCTCGAATTGTCGTGCAAGGTTGAGAATACGCTGTACACCCCTGCCCAAGCGGACAACCTCCCAGCTTCGTTGGGCAACAAGTTTCGCATCCACTGCTTTCTGATGCCGGACCAGGACTTCCTTCTCCAGGCGTTCGTAGCTGGCGTTTAGACGTGCTCGTTCCTCTTCCATCCTGGTGAGTATTCGTTGGGCGGCGGCATTCTGAGTGGCGGTGTATGTGAGAATGTCGAGTGCTGAGCGGGCGGTGAGGGTATGGATATGCGAATCAATTTCTTGGAGGTCGAACAGGACGCGGGAGAGGGGTGTAGTGAGGTCGATGGTCGGATCAGAGGGGTTGTTGGTTGCGAGAATAAGGGAGTTTGCATGTTTATAAGGCGAGAACTCATCAGAGGTGAGAGAGTCAATGTCGATGTAGGTCGACGTGGCGTTGCCCGTGTCCGCTCTGGTCGTCGTTGCGGCCATATCCATGTTGACCTTGAATCACCACACCGTCGAGGTCTTCTTGTCCTCCTAATGTGCCAAGACCATCGAGAGCCGCATGACTTTGTGTACAACGGTTCACAGATGAATGCGAGGCCGTCCTAATCTCAAACACAGTCTCCCTACGACAGGGTTGCTGAGATCGGTGGTATATGGATACTGGCGGCAGTCTCAATCCAGTTGTTCACCCCCCCCAAGGCGGTCGGCGTTTGTGGACTGCGTTGACTGGCTGACTGATCATGCTGGGTGCATGTGCTGGGCGGTGGGTGCATGTGATCTTAGTGTACGAGGTACATGACGTTGGCCCAGAGCTCCCTAGCTCGCGGGGACGGCGGCCCCCATCTTTACAATGTGTAGGGCGTTTATGGGAGATTCGTTCAACTACGAGCTAGTTTACCTACAACTCTTCACGCTTCAAACAATACTCGTGTCCTTGACCACGTTTCTTCAATGGCCAACTCTCGTGGACCTATCCATTCTTTTTGTCAACGATATCAAGTGTATTAACCTGGTTTGCTCAGCCCGGCTATTTCAATCCCCACCGAGGTCGTTCACGGCTGCTTCGAATTTGCTCTCTTCAAAGAGACCGTGTCCGGTGTGTCATATCGTATATCTAAAGGCAGTGTCCCCTTCGATGACTTTCACGCCGACATCAGCCGCCTTATTGTCGCGTGGGAACCTCTAGGATAGGTAGATGACGATCATGGCCGAGCCAAAAGCCCGTGTCCAATGTCCACGGATATTGTTTGCTGGGCGAGTCAGCCGGCTGGAGAGTGCGTGGCGCGAAGACCAAAGGTGGGTTCACTAACCTTGATACGCCATTGCAGTAGGAACATTCGAGTTTGCGCCGACGACGGCGATAAAGACACCTCTGTAGAGCTCTCATGTCAGGGTTTGATGGCTCTGATTGCAGTGCAAGGATGGGGAGGACTGGATCAAACTGACACATATTGACTGGCCGCTCCTTTACTCCACGTCACCACGGGCAATCCAACCAGCGTCAGGAGGCAGTTGAAGAGAATGATGGGCGCCCGCGTCTTGTATCTATCGCCCAACCAGCCTTGACCCAATCCAAGTCTTTGCTGGGTTTGAAAGTTTGAGGGCTCTCGGTAGAGGGACTCAACTGCACACGAGCGCTCGGGGGAAGCTCTTCGACCGGGCCAAGAGGAGCCCCGGAAACGGAAATATCTCGACAGGCCTCGCCCATAGCCTTCCCCCTCCAGCCGAGCCTCGGAGTGCGGGATCTATATCTTTAAATCTGTTGCTTCTTCACTCCGAGACACTCACGGGGTCAGGTTGCGGGGTGTTTTGGAAGGTTCTGAACAGGAGTTCCATCCATCGTATATCGCTCTCACCATGTGCATATGCATCTGAATGGCTATCCTCTTCCTTCGGGCAGCCCTCCCAGAGTTCAGGATACAAGACAAGTCATCCGTTAAACTACCAAAGTTATAGCCTCTATCGCATATTCTGGAGGCAGACGAAACCAGGCGACTCTGAGCATCCTCGTCGGTACCCAGTCGGCATGTCTCTCAAGGTGTTTTGCCTGCTGACAGCGGTCCTCATGGCCGTCTCGCCGGCGTGGGCAGTTCTACCACGTTCAACATCCGACATTCAAAAAATACTTCCTGGTGGAGCCACGGTCCTCAGAACCGTCAGTCTGGGGCCAAACTCGACCTTTGGCGATGTCAACGAGGTGGCGTATCCCCGAAACTCAACGGGTCTCCCGGCCCTGTGCGCCGCCACAATCAATGTCACCAGCTCCACGACCAGCTCTTTTCGCTTCGGTCTGTACCTGCCCCAGGAATGGAATGCTCGGTTTGCCGCTGTCGGCACCGGCGGCATCGATGGCGGCATCAACTGGCCCGCCATGGGCCCCATGTTCAAGTACGGCTTCGCCGTCGCCTCGACAGACACGGGCCACAACAGCACCAACAGTTCGGCGACCTGGGCTTTGAGAGGTCCGGAGACGGTCGCAGATTGGGCCTATCGCGCCATCCACGGCTCGACTGTGCTGGCCAAGCATATCGTCAGCGGCTACTATGCGGCCCCGATCAAGTTCTTCTACTATAACGGCTGTTCCACCGGGGGCTTCCAGACATCTGGAGTGTGGAGTGTGCATGGTCTGGGTTGGTTTCGACCGAGGACCTGAATCTACCACCAATCAGTACAGGTCTTTTCTAGCCGAATCTCCACTATCCGGTCTTGGTAAGGAATGATGGCTGCAAAGCATTCAACAGAAGAGAGAGTGACCACCGGTAGAGGGCGTCAGGCGAGACGCGAGACCGAGGTCTGGGCCTGTTGCTTTTGGCAACTTCTCGCACATGGTCACCGGCAGACTGAGGCATATAACGGTTTGCTGTTATTGTGGCAGAGAACGACAATAAATCACGCGCATATATGTGTGGGCCTGAGCCTTGCAGCTCCCCGGTCAACCTTCACTGATTCCACCGCAAACTTCGGTACGCAACATGCCGTTTCTTGCAGAGGAATGCTTTGAAATCCCGAATAAGGACATCTTGTCCTGGACACACTCTCATGCTAGGTATACATCGTGCGAAGTCCAGCACGCGGGGTGAACAGCGAGCCTGCCTTTGCAGGGATTTCCAATCTCGGCCGGAGACGTTGGACGTAATAAATCTCGTAGACGACAATATCTTCTTGATAACTATTCCAGGTCTTGAGGGGTGGGCGGCGCGGCCTGGCTACAAGGCTGAGGTTAGCCATATCGGTGCTAGACACTGTTTCTTATCGTTATCGCCGTTTTTGACCTACAAAGTACCTACGAGTACCTTACCGCTGGTGCCGCCGAGCCGTCTACATACCACACACAAGTCCTTGTCACCAGTACGGTGTACCTCGTATGAGCCTTTGACATCAGCCAAGAGTCTACCATTTGCCGGTCGAAGCCTAAGCCTGTCCGTGTACCGAGTAGAGAATGGGCTTCTTCTGAAGGAGACCGCCCCCGCCACCTTTAGGTCAAGACTGTGGGGTCGAACGAACCATGATTTCTAGCACATGCCTGTTACTTGACAGCTGAGCACCATTCACCGCATGCTGAAGGGAATGAATTTCAGGTAGGTTTGGTCAATCTGCCCCATGAATCCATGTCCCCATACTTGTATATGGGGAGAGCCGGAGACAGAGACAGAGTCATCTGATACGTACGTTACAAGGCATCGGAAATCAAAAGCGCGAACGACCGGGGGCCTGGATCCTGGGATTCGGGGGTACCTGACGCCTGTGCCTGTTCCTGGACCGACCGAACGAGTTTGCCCTTCTAGGGTCAGTTATTCTCGGCGACCACGCACAATTTACCCACTCTTCACGTCTCATGGTTGTACCTAACAAATGTAATCGCTGAGGAGGGCCTAAGGCTGAGGACAACAAGTCTATTGGATCACGGAATCCGAGAGACCCGTGGCATCCTGCGGCAGGTATGCGGTCAGCGAAGGAGGAAAAAGGTGTCAGAAAAACTGCGCTGCGAGTTTAATCTCGGGTGTTCGAAGAGAGGGGCGGACGCGGATATGCGGGGCATGCCGTACACAAGAAAGGGTCCTGTGGGCGCAACCAGAAGGGTGAGTCAGGTCAACCGATACACGAAGCGTAAGACGGGGGATGACTTGCTCGGCCTCGCTCTTCGGCTGCGAGGCGGGAGAATGATTCGACCCTGGAAAAGGCTGACAGAGAAGGTGGTAAGAAGGCCATAACTCAGATATATTCACAAATGTCCTACAAGCCCATTGAGATTCGAAAACCAAAAAAAGGCGCACATTCAGGCCAGGCGAGGGGCAGTCGGACATTTCACAGACAAAGTACCTCGTAAAGAATGTTGGGTGTGCATAAGTCATGGCTTGGTCTGGTCAGAGTTGCGAGATAGCGACAGAGTTAATTACCAAAACTGTACTCGGTAGAGCGAAGAGGCCTTTTAAGATTTCCTTCTCGAAGCTCAGTGGCTGCGATGCTGATCTTGCAGGGATGCAGAGAGTTGGACGAGGGGCAATCACGTTGGTTGACGCCGGGGCTAATCATGCGCATCAACGGGCATACGAGGTAAGTCTGTGCGGGTAGAAACTGCGGTAACGAAGCGTGCGAAGCCTACTTGGCCCAGCGCACGAGTACTTGTTAGGGCCACGAGCGCCTGAGGGAAACCTACCGTAGTGGGCTGTGTGCCCCCCCCAGTGCCCCCCCCCCAAGTACGAGTACCTGCTTGGAATAACTAACCACATCAGCCTCGCCCCGCCAATCACTTTTTGCCCCTCCCACTCACTTCCACAGCCTATTGGTACTCGAGACAGGCGCATCAAGCAGTTCCTCGAGGGGGGCTTTTCCCAAGCCTTCTCAGGCTAGCCCAATGCCTAGACAGGCACCGTGGACAGGAACCATTCAAGCACTCCGGATATGTGGCACAGTGTGTGGGATGAGGAATTGAGGGATGGTTGATGATGACGGCACTTGTCGGCTTGACGGACCTGCACAACTTTCCATCCCGCTCTATGAGATTGAGAAAAACCTTGGGTCAATGCGACGCCCCCTGCGGCTGCGCTGCACTCTGCACTGCGCTGCACGGCCCTGCACATGCAACTCATTCCCTTTCTTAGTGATTCATCAACCATGACCAGTGACCACCATCACACATTCCATCGCCCAGCACCCAGCAGCCAACAACCCATGGCCTTCGCGCCGCCGCTCGTCCCATCGACCCCCATCGAACATTCATCCAACATCCAACATCATCTTTCTCGTATCAACCTAGCCACCCTATCCGCACCTGCATCGTGGCAAACGTGGCTGACTAAATGCTAGCACACATCTCATCCTCACCGAGTCCTGTCCCCTCGTTGCCTAGCAGGCCTGGGTAGATACTTCTTTTCAACTGGGTGGCCTTTCTGACGCCCGCTAAAGACCCACCCCATAGTGCCCTTGAGGCTCGTCATCTGCCACCCGCCTGGAGCCCACCGACGAGCCCTGCTTTACTTAACTTTACTTAGCACCGACTCCACCATTCACACCAGGGGCATGCCTCGCCGCCAACAATAACCTCTCCTCCCGCTTCAATCACCTTCCGAGTCCTTGCGTCTGCGATCAACCGCATCAAGATCTTGTCGTTCGCCGCCAGTTGTCGACTCTCAGAGTCTCTCTCAGATCTCTCGCTAGCTGCTTCATCACTCCCCTATTCTGTTTCTTGCCTCCTCCCCCTCCCCCTCCATCCCCCGGGGCCACAGGTCGATCATATGGATAATTCGCTTCCGCAACATCCTTGCTGAACCCTTCTTCGCACCCGGAAGTCCCTGGCCTTATCACCGTTCCCCAACCCCTCCGAGAGTGGCCCGTTACATTGCCACCTTCGAACTGCGGCCGTTGTCTGTCAAGTCTTTCAGCCCAGCACCTTGATCTAATCATCGTCAAATTCAATTTGACCTCGACCACGCCGCCTCCCTCATCGTCAACCACGGCCGCTCCGGATGTGCCATCACTGTGAGGCGTAGTGCCGCAGCCTCGAGAGCGCCTGGCCGTCGCACTGGCATTGCTTCACCTTACAACCCCACTATGGCAGCCATCTCCAGCCTCGTCTTAAGCGACAATCTGCCATCCAAGGACAGGAGAGATGACTTGGAATCACCGACCACCCCGCGGCCGGATCGTTATGCATCGACAGTGTTGGATGAGGCCAAAGTCGCAGTCACAGATCATGCCCTACAGTCCCGGCCGAGCATTTCAACCACCTCCCAGCGACCAAGTCAAGGTACGCAGATGGAACAAACGGATGCTGAAGGCGATGAGTCTACAATGAGAAGAGATGGCGACGAAGCAATGTCAAGCGCCATGGACTTGGACGACGATGACACCGGCCAGCCTGGCTCGGACAACGAAGCCGAGCCAGGTGAGGCAGACTCTGCCTCGAGGAAGAAGAAAGGTCAGAGATTCTTCTGCACCGGCTACCCGCCTTGCAACCTCAGTTTTACTCGAAGCGAGCACTTGGCTCGTCACATTCGAAAACACACGGGTGAACGCCCGTTTCAATGTCACTGCAATCGCAGATTCTCTCGTCTGGACAACCTGCGCCAACACGCTCAAACCGTTCATGTCAATGAGGAGATTCCGACGGATTCCCTTGCCGCCACCGGCACTCGATTTCAGCGACAGATCCGGACCGATCGTGTTAGACCAACAGGTCGCCCACGAACCGGCACCGCTGGTAGCACCGGTAGTCACAGTCGTGGTCACAGTCGCAATCTATCCGCCTCAAGTGTTGGCTCAACCTCCTCCAACTACAGCATAGTCACCGATGGAAAACGACGGCCGCCGCCTCTTCTTATGGCCAACGAGAACGTGACCAGACCGAACTTGGGACTTGAACCACCACACACTCCTCCAGCCCAGTATCGTGGGTATAACCCAAATTCCCCCGGTGGTATGAGCACGCCCACCTCTGCCAACTTCTCTGCCACCCCTGGTAGTCCAGGCTTCTTGTCCTCAATGACTTCACCAGTTTCAAGCAACGCTCGCTTGGGTGGTTTTTTCGGCTCGAGGCCACATTCCCGCCGCTTGTCTGTGCCCTCAGGGCCTAATCCATATCAAAACCAATATCCTCCCGGTTACCCTGTTGGCTATCTAAACCAGATGGGCCCACCAAGTTCCCACGCATCGTCGAATTCAAGTGTGTTTGCTAGTCCAACCACTGCGACATTCCCTGGCCAACTTGTTCCACCTGGAGAAGACTGGCGCAGGCGAACGTGGCACGCGTCGACTTTTCCGGCCGGAAATTTCAACTACGGACGCCCCGCTACGAGCGGGCTGACATACTCGCAGACACCAGATGCCCCCCAACCTGCGCATGCTCAACGCGCCACAGCAGCGGCTGGACAAGCCCCTCGACTACCAGGAATAGAGAGTTTTGACCATGTCCAGCACCGCTCGTACACTCCTCCACGTCGTCAACCAAGTCCTATGCAGGTCGACGCGAACATGTCCTCATCAGTTGCGGGCCAGGATCCCCGGATACGCCAGGGTCATGTCTCGTGGGAAGGCCCTCGTCCCAGCCAGTACCCTGACCTTGATGAACACGCAGATCGAAGTCTGGGAGCAGGGGGATGGGGTCAGCAGACACTTAATGAAATCCAGAGCGTGGGCATCCGCTACCATGATGCTCCCAGGCCTGTTGACATGCGACCTCCGCCCCCGTCCGCGATGACGGCTCAACAGCACCAGCAAATGACGCGTGAGGCGCTGGAGGGACAGTCTTCAGCCAACAGAACGAAACGACAAGCATGGTATGGTGGACCCACGCCAACCCGAACGTCGCCTGAAGATTCCAGTAGCAGTGACGGCATCCCTACTCCTGGTATGACTGCAGTTGAAGTGCACCCGATGATCATGCCCAGTAGTGGATATATAGAACCACAGCATGGGCCGTTGGCTCCCGATACACATCAGAATGTAAGTTGCCCTTCACGGGAATATGGAGACTTGTTTTCGAATAGAAACTCATCCGTCTCTAGGTCTGTCTTGCGCCAGCTCCATATATTGAACAAAGCCGCCACCAAAATACGACTTCCTTTGGTGACCGCAACGGAACTGGCGGAGGGATGAATCGACTGGAGGCGCTGGTCGCTGTGGCGACGAGTGGGGATAATGCTGCCCGATGAAAGAGCGATGCACCTGATTGAAGATGGCGATGACTTTGTCAGAGGCACAGAAGTTCTCCCCCCAACGAACGATCTTGAAATTCGACACGATCCTCGACACGGAGGCATACATTCGAAGCGCAGCTCTTCTGATCATTGAGTCTTGACGGCCTGCATTGAGAGATACCCATGACGACTCTTCTTCCGATACATGTATTCTGCTCCTGTTTATTCATGGTTCTTGGTTGATTCGACGCATTGATTTAGGGCAAGAGGGCATGCTTTTGGGTGCAAGCAAGCGTTCAGCGGTGGTATCTTTGGGCGCATCACGAAATACCCACGACTATTTATGATCATGTGCTTTTTGTATACGACGGGTCCCTTGAGGTTGGATTGTGGTTTTCTGAAGATGCATGGTTCATTGCAATCAACCATGGATCGGTCGCATCTCAACGATTCCGCTCCTCAAAACAGCCATCTTCTCGTTTCCGGTCTGACGATCATGTATGCTAAGTGACGCCAATGCATAATTAATGGAATTGTTCTGTTGCTCGTGGGAATAGGAATTGAACCGTGTGCTTTTTCTCCAGATTCGTCCTTCACTCTTTTTCGTAATAAAATCATTTGGGAAATCCGTTTCCGCCGTAATTACAGGAGAACGGATAGAATCGGGATCCAACTTGCCAAGAGACTAACCTTGTTGGCTTCTGGCCTGGAATTGAGAACCTGGAGACTCCTCTCAATTTCTATGGTCGTCCTGAAGGGGGAACAGATCCTCTGCAGGACAGTGATCGGAGTTATTTCAAGAGAAGGAACCCTTGGAGGCACCTGCATGGTGGCAACTGTAGTGCCCGCTGGCTGCGGTCTTGCGATGCGTCCTGCACAAGGCTGACAGACTCTAGCCAGGCGCGTCAGCAAGATGCCGCGATGCGCCTCACATCTGAACAGGCTGGTAGTCTCATCAGGCTGTTCAAGGCCAAGACCGGGTCTGGGGTTTCATCACCCTGAGCTGTGTGTGACCAAATTTCCGGCATGAAGGTCGGCAGCTGTAGGTACCCGGAGGATTTGGAAGGAAAATTCTTATGCCAACCTCGAGGCTGCCGCACTTGGGCGGAGCGCATACGTACTGTGGAGGTGGAACTGACAGATATCCGGCCGATAGCAAACATGTCCATGTCGATCTCATAGGTCCAATGCACGGCTATGCCTCCTCTTGATGCACCGATCCACCAGCGAAATAGAGATGGCATTGAAATGTTGTCCGGCCGAGGACTGTGGCTGGTAACAGGTCCAGGAAAGACTTGCATGAGTATGCAGCTGCGCGAGACGGTGCATGGTTCTCTGTCCTTCCACCATGTTTCCGCCACGTGCTGCGACCTGCTCCGTTGTGATCTTACTGAAGTGGTCTGAGGATAAGTTCACGGGAGGTGAGGAAAATATCACTGAAACAGCCTGAGCTAGTTGGTTGGCACGCTGGCTGGATCGACGGAACGATGCAGGTTGCGCGCACAGCATAGAATCATGTCACAATTCATGACAAGGTTCCAGAAAAGGTGAAAGGAAGTACGTGTCTGTGTCCCGGGTCTGGCAGAGAAGTGAGAAGTCTGGAAGGAAAAGGTGACCCTGAGGGTGAATTCTTGGAGTGGTCAGTCTGAAATGGTGATGGAAATGAGAAGAGAGTGTGGGAGACGAAAGAGACAGACCGAGAGAGTCTCTCACTAAAGTCGTCAACTGCGATCCATGACCAATTCAGTCCTCCTTTCACCATCTACTCACCCTTCATTTGAGTCATCGACAGTCTCACCTCTGGTCATCACTCCTTTAAATCCCTTCTCGCCTCTTCCCTTCATCACTTGTTCCTTGTCACCAGTGACTCCAACTGTTCTTCAGTCTCGTCATCACTCCTCTCTTTGCCATCATCTGATCATTCTCTTTCGAAAGTCATCAGACTTCGTCCTCGACAGCAAGAGGAATCACGTACCAAAGTCAGCGACTACACGTTGTCACGATGAGACTCCCAATCTCCACCCTCCTCCTGGGTGCGGTCTGTGGGTTCTGTGAAGGAGGCGTCTTGCCCATCAGACAAGCGTACGCAGACACTCTTATCTTCCCAGCGTTTTTGATCATGTACTGACTGAGGTCCGGCAGGCCAAATCCACCATGCTCTCCCGTGACTCTCTGGAACTACGCTACAATCACCCAAACCGTCGTTCAGATCCCTGCAACAGTCACTATCGTTCAGCAAGATCCCAATGCGGTCGCGAGCTCGATGGCTAGCCTTGACTCTGCGCAAGTCAGCATCCAGAGCATTGAGAATCCCGTTTCTGCTCAACCAAGACCCGCCACTCAAACCTTCACTGACTCTGTTATTGTATCTGGCTACGAAGCTACCGAAGTTCCCAATGCTGGCGGATCCGTTTTCTACATGTCAAAGGGTCCTTCCTCCACTGATTGGACATATCAACCGTCAGCATCCATCGTTGCGGCAATCACTACTGTCACTGTGCGGCCTGTTCCAGCTACTACGTCTCATCACCAGGAGGCCCAGCTCAGTGCTTCCAATAACACCTTTCACGTCCCCTTCTCTAGTCCCTCTACTGGTTGGAATGGCACTTCGGACGGCTCATCCATCGTCGGACCTACGGACGCAAGCTCTGGAATACCTGCGACTGGCACTGACTTTCCTTACGGCCCTCCCACCCCCTATGTATCTTCAACGGAAGTCCTACCAACTCAGCCCGTGTACACGGCCACAGTCACAGAAGTTGCCACGGTCTACGCCACAACTCTGGCCCCTGTGAGCGGGTATGGAACACCTGCATACAGCTACGATATCTCCACATATAGCAATGATGCGAGCTCGCCCGATAGTGATGACTTAGAAAAGAGACAAACATGCGTGTGGATTTCTGCAACAATAGGTGGGCAAGAGGTTGGGTGGTGTAACAATTGGGCTGGAGGGTCAACATTGACTTTTACTTCGTGGGAGACAACCAGTCAGTTCCTCTTGCCACACAGAGCTGGGTGATTTGCTGACCGAATCTCAGCGACTCCTACTTACATCCCAGGCATTGGTCCCGTCACCAAGTCGGGCACCACCTCGACAAATTCTGCGGAAGGGTCCGTCACAATCCAGACATCCACCAACTTGGCCAGCTCCTCCTCACCATCGTCTGCAACACCAACCGCCTGTGGCCAGACCGGTCCTTTCCAGATTGGAGTAGGTTGTGACTGGGGATTGTTGAGTTGAAGGCTTGCTGACCACATGCAGTTTGACGACCTTCCCGTCTTTTCCACGACTGACAACAACACTGCAGACTTCCCACCTATTTTCAATCCGTATGAGCACTTCTTTTGGGGTGACGGATGGGCTTATGTGCCGCCACCAACGGAACCCTTTCCCCCACAATCAGGCAACCGACTTGCCCAGTTTGTTCCATATCTGAACAACACTGTTAGTGGCTCTACTGGTGCGGGTTCCATTCCACCGAGTTCATTCGGAGCCGGCCCTCGCAATTATGACAACAACTACTGGTTCAGTGCCAGCTCCGCCTATGTCGGATGCGATAACGGCTCCAGAAATTTGAGCCAGATATGTGACTTCGTTGCAACGGCGTACCAGTGGGACAATGTTACTCAGGCGGAGGTGGTAGTAGCCACTCAACATTTCCGGATACCCCCGTGCCCAGACTTCAACAAGTGCCAACTCACACAAATTGTGTTCAACTATCTCTTCTACAAGATGTCGACGCTGAGCTTCTATGCCAATGTTCAAGGTCAGGTCAGTCAGTTCTGGATTGACAGCATCAACATGAATTGGTACAACAACACCTGCGCAGCTGGACTGGCTCGTATGCAGTCGAGGAAGATCTGAGAGTAAGGGACCAAGGCCGACCTCGGCATGGTAGATACTGGCACAAGCTGGGAACAGGGAAAGTCGGCCACCCCGCCTCGCGAATATTCGAATACGAAGGGGTGCTTGGAGTAACTGAGCTGAGAGGTGAACATGTTCAAGCATGGGGAGATCCAACATAGTTGACGGGCAGACAGCCCAATCATCGTATCGCAGGCAGCATACAGACACATGGTGGGAGCTCTCCAATTTTGTAGCAAAAGTGGACAAGTCAGAGCAGAGGCAGTGCAATGGATCGGTGGGAGATAGTGAGAAGCGTGCAACTTCACTCGACGTAATATTGCAAATACTTCCCCTCTCTTTATGTCTTTCTGTTTTGGTCGAATCTGCCACGCTGGCCAGCAACCGCTGTGAATAACGGCGTGAACGTAGCCTACAGTGAGTGCAGATCGGGTATGCAGGCTGTCGTTTGAATAGTCCTCTGTGTGAAACCCATAGCAAGGATATGTTGGGACGTTTTCTGCGCTCTACCGGGCGGTCAAGCCTAGCATTCCCCAGCCTCCTATAATAATGCCCGAAACCGCTCTGAAGATGGCGCTCATAGGCACACCCTGTTGCCAGCACACGTAGGCATCAACGGCGCCGACATAGAAGAGCAACGTCAGGATGGTGTCCACCGCCGCCAGCTTGCCTTGAAGATAGAATGCCCAGATTGCCATTCCTAGGGCCGACACACGCGCTCCACTGATGACGAAGCTCGCCTGGGCGGGTTCTGACACGGCCACGCGCTCAGGAAGTCCGAACTCGAGAATGGCTCCATGGGGGTTCCAAAAGGGTATCATGCCGCCAAAGGTGAAGCAGGTCGCGACGAGCAGAACAGGCGCGTGCAGGGTGCGGAATGTTACAGCCATGATGGGTATAGAAGGGCGACTTGATAGAAGTAAAGCCGTTACAGGGACTCGGTACAGTAGATCGGACGTTGAACGAATGCCGCCAAGAGATGCCAAGGGCGGGACCGTCGACGTCATTCTTGGCTGCTTCTCCTCCAACAACCCTCCCCGATCTTGTATCTCAAGCCCTTATGCCCCCATCAGTGTTGTACCTGGTCGATATGGAAGTGACAAGCGTTGTCCGGAGATCTACTTTCATCACTTCGAAAGGGGCATGTCCAGCACCAATGGCCAACCAGACTCTCTCAACGGCCACTCCGGCTTCATCCTCGCCGTCTTCTGCGTCGTCTCCATCTTGGTTATCTGGCCGATCAAGATTCCGCTACCGGCACCCCTACAACGGCTTCTCCTCTCCACGCTTGTGAATACCAGGCTTATCAGACTTAGTGAGCACAGAACCCTGTCTAGTCGCCGGCTTCATGTCCATTTGTCTCTCACGACAGCCCCCGTCATCGCCGTCGTTCTGCTCCTTGCGACCACGACTATCCATGGCTCCACGATCAAACTTGGTATTGTGGGAGATGAGACGGTCAAACCATATGACGTTCTTGTTCTCTTCATTTCGCTCGCCTACATCTCTATCGCCCTTGACGGGACCGGTGCCCTCGAGGCTACTGCATTCTATGTCTCCAAACGCGGTGGCAGCTCTGGGCGATTGCTGTTCACTTATCTGTACGTCTTTTTTCTGCTCACGGCGTGTATCGTGGGCAATGATCCGCTCATTCTCTCCGGCACACCGTTCTTGGCATATCTGAGCCAGCATACGGGCCTTGATCCGACGGCCTGGGTGTTTGCTGAGTTCATGGCTGCGAATACGGCCTCGGCGGTGTTGGTGAGCAGCAACCCGACCAACATTCTCATCACAGGTAGTTTTGGACTCAACTACTTGACCGACTTTACCAAGTGGACGGTTCTTCCCTCTCTGATTCCGGCGGCCTTGAGCTATCCCATTCTTCTCGGCATGTTCTGGAAGAGGATCCCCAAGACGCTGACACCCTTGACGGACGACCCCTGGAGCAAACTCCGTGACCGCACAGGTGCATTTTTTCTTAGCGCGTTAATGCTGGTCACCGTGTCGGTGCTCGTCGGTACGAGCTTCGTGCCAGGCCATGCGGTGGAGGTCTGGATGGTGACGGCGCCCGCCGGTGTGTTGGCATTCCTCTTCAATGTTGTAAGCGACTGGCTTCACCCCGAGGTTGGTCGGGAAATTGTGCGACAGCAATCGCGAGACTCCGCGGCAGAGATGTCAGAGATGGAGGACAGACGATCAGGGCCAATCCAAATCCACGTCTCGGCAGGCGATCAACTGGAGGAGCCTCCAGTTCTAGAGAACGGAGGGTACCCGTCACCCAAGCCGTCTGGGTCCTCATCGCCATCGCCACCGATCCTGGCAAAAGACACGGAAGACACGCGAGCCAAGGACGATACCCGGTGTACTGAATCTGCTCCTCCTCGACCCCTTTCTCTTCCCCTTTCTGCAAGGTCTCGACACAACAAGGAATCTGTGGCCCCTTCCGACCCCAGCACCAAGGCCGATCACACAACACTTACCTCTCTCCTCCGCGCGCTGTCATCACGCTTCCCCTCCACAGCGCACACCGTCTCGCTGCTCCCGATCCCGCTCCTGCCTTTCGCCATGGCCGAGTTCATCCTCGTCCGCGGCCTCTCCCAGCGCGGCTGGATCCGCGTCTTCGCGATCGGGTTCGCGCGGGCATGCACGTCGCCGGCGGCGACCGTCTTCTTCTTCGGCTTCGTCAGCGCGGCCTTCCTGTGTCCGCTGGCAGGGACGAACATCGGCGCGACCATCATCCTGGTCGAGATCCTCCGAGACGCGCAGTTCACGCGGTCCGCAAACGTGCAGCGCGACCCGCGCGTGGTGCTCGCCGCCATTTACAGCGTCGCCATGGGCAGCAACATCGGGGCGTTCAGCTACACGTTCGCCGGGTCCCTGGCCGGCCTGCTGTGGAGGGGCCTCCTCGCCCACAAGGGCGTGCGCGTGAGTCAGTGGAAGTTTGCCCGTGTGAACATGCTGCCACTGCTGATGCAGATTGTCGTGTCCAGCGCCATTGTGCTGGGCGAGGTCTACTGGTTTGCATAAAAACACTGACTAGTCCAGTGTGTTCAATGTCAATCGTCGTCTGATGTGGTGTTTAGGAAGTGGGGGGGGGGGGGGGGGGGGGTTTGATCACGTAGAGTCCCGTTTCAATATAGATAGAGCAAGCGGTAGATGAATCAGTTGAAGTAATACAACGAAAAATCCGCGTTCGTCAGGACGATCAATCAAGAATAATCATCATCATCCAAACATCATCGCCATTGTCACTGCCATCAAGAAGAGAGGGATGGGAAGGAGATCCGAGAAGAAAAGCGGTTCGGACCCATAGTTAATTTTTGTGTTCACCATCTGGGTGAAACGGATTTGGCTATGGAGGACAGTAATGGATGCCGATTTTCCCTTGTCACTGGTGATCACTGGTAAATCCCGCCTTGTATACACGCCCGTGCGTTATCCATCCGCCGTGGAACGATGGTAGACTCCATCCCAGAAATCCCGGGATCTGGTGGTGGACCTCCGAACCACCCCGGGGTGAAAATGTGGGCAGCAGGTTCTCGTTTCCTCGGCGTGCCCATCGTGACAATGTGCGATATACCTCACGCCGCGATTATCGAGGGAGCGGTGGCACTTTACGCCTTCTTGTCTTGACTCTTGGTGGCTGATGATTTCGCCTCTTCGGCTTCGCGGTCCGCTTTGACCTGTGCGAGACGGTCAGTTGGCTGGTAGGCTGGGTGGGTGGCGCGGGCGGGTGCGAGAGTCATTGTGTCATTTGCCCAGGTTTCCTATCCCTCATTCACTGCAGTCCCGCTCGACCTCAAGATATGGGGGAGGGGGTGGGGAGAAAAGTTGGTGATGATTGAATATTTAACCCCTTCAGAACCTGACCTGACCTGACTTGACGTCGAACTTGAACTTGAACTTGGAACTTACGTCGGCTTCGCTCAGGGTGGCATTCTCCTCGGACCAGTGCCGGTTCCCTTTCTTGTCCGGCAGCTTCTCCTGCGTGAGCGCGCTCTCCGGATGCGCCTTGAGGTCCGAGGCTCTTTCCGCGCGGGCCAGGGCCGTGGGGAGCAGCGTCACCCTGGTGACCGTGTATTGTCTGATTCCACCCAGAGGGACCACGAGCCGTGGCTTTGCAATCTGGTGGAGGACGGCGGCAGAGGTGGGCTTCATGATAAGCGATAAACAACAAGTTGTTGGGGGTTTAGAGGAGGTGAAACCGGGAAGGGGAAAGCAAAGGGACAAGAAAACACCCCTTTTTGGGACCGAAAAGAAAGTTGGATCGCTATTTGTATATATGTATGTATCTTTTAAAACACGGCAAACGCGGGAAGAGCGTTCGCCCTCGGAGGTCTTTGAACGTGGCGTGATCTGCCTTGTTCGAGTCCTTTGCAGCGTGAACTTTCAACCCCGGGGATCTAGAATTACTTGAGCTGTCAAGGGTGGTTGGTTGGCTGGATATGTTGATATCTGGGTAAGAGAAACTCCTCACGCCACTGGCTGGCTGGGGGGGAAAGAAAGTTTCTCTTGGGAAGATGTTATCAATGGGAACGGGAATGGGAATGAATTAGCCGAAGAATAAGAGGGATTGGCTCCTTGGGGTTGAGAGATCAAGAATCAGATCATGCTGGGCAACGATAAAGAGTCGGTCGATACTCACGTGATTGGAATCACGTGTCCAAGGTCACGTGCACATAATCATGGATATATCCAGCCTCCTGTACTTGTACTTGGTGTAATACCTGGTATCATCTCTTGTATAGTAATCCATCAACCATTGAGTCTGACAGGAATCTGGTGAGTCAGCCCCTTCTTAGGACGACCCAGGTATCCATGAACAGTATTATATCTCAAAAATGAACGACGCTGACATCCCCACAGCTCCCCATCTCCCGGCAAACGAGGCTTGTCAGCTCTGGTGGGCACGGAACCCCGCCGAACCACCAAAGGACGTGGCCATCTCAAGTGGTGTAGTGTGGAGAACAGGGTCCCAGGTGTATGCATACAGATGAGGCTACAGCACTGCGGGCTGCTGATCCTGAATGTTCCTTGAATCTGAGAATATCATGCTTATGATATGCCTGACTTTCATTTCAGACGGAATTGGTCCTGGTGAGTCTGAATCTGATTTCGCCGATCCATAGAGTGAACAGATATCATCTCGATATATAAACAATGCTGCATACCTGTCCTGCCTCGTAGTGTTAGTGTCTCTACCAGCCTCAGGGACAAAATCAGTATTTGGTCTCACACAGGACTTGTCGAGATGATGCACGTCCTAGACTTCATCATGAGCCAGTTCTGGGCTTTCACTGCCCTTGCCCTGTCCTTTTGGTCGGTCGCTTTCTTCCTCCGACGATATCTCCGTCTTCGCCACGTTCCAGGCCCTTTCCTTGCAGCCTTGACGGACTTCTGGTTCGTCTATAGATTCTGGACAGGAACGAACTTTGCTCAGCTCACCACAGAGCTCCACGACAAGTATGGGCCGGTTGTCAGGTTAGGTCCGAACCGCATAATCTTCAGCAAACCGTCAGCCGTTCCTGTCATATACAGGACAACTGATGTCATGCCAAAGGTATGGTTGATCCCATCCAAGACCATGTCCAGTCAGACATCCTTCCAAAGGGCTCACTAGACATTTTGACTAGTCCTCATTCTATCTGCCACTTCGAGTGATGATCCGGGGTCGTGAAATCACTTCTTTTGTCAGCATTCTGGACGAAAAACGAATGAGTGCCGTCAAGCGTCTCCTGTTGGGCAATTTCACAATGACCTCCTTTCTGCGACAGGAGGCGGAGCTCGACCATACAATCTCCTCGTTGGTGAGTTATCTCGACAAAACCAAGAACGACATCGCCATCGGCACCACAATGGGGTACTGGGCTTTTGACAGCATCTCGCGCATTGCCTTGACAGAAGACCAAGCCTTTTTGAGTCACCAGCAGGACTTTGGAAACACCATTGGAGGCGCGGCCGACCGCATCACTCATTGGCATTTCTGGGCAGCCATACCGACATTGGAGCGGTGGCTGTTCAAGAATCCCATCATGCAAAGATTGGAAACGTCGTCGATGCTGGGTGCGCTGGCGGCCCAGAGGTTGCAGAAGCGACTGCGCGACGAGAAACAGCTGGAAAATCAAGTCGACCTCCTAGGAAAATACCTGGCAGCCAGCAGAAGAGCACCGGAGTTGGTCAAAACGAATGACGTGGTAGGTTTCCTGGTGTCGACCATGCATGCCGGCAGCGAGACTACTGGGCAGACGACGGCAGCCATCCTCGTCACTCTGTTGCAGCACCCCGAGAAAATGGCCAAGTTGGAGGCAGAAATCCTCTCGGCGGCGCTGAGTGATGTGCCACAGTTTTCCGAGGTGCAGAGCCTCCCTTACCTAGATAGCGTGATTCGTGAGTCTCTCAGGGTAAACCGAGCCAGGACGACCATGCTGGAACGAACCGTTCCGAACCCCGGCGCGACCATCGACGGCGTCTGGATCCCTGGTGGCACTAATGTGTCAGTCAGCACGGCCGTCCTGAACAGAGATACTGAGATATACGGGCCTGATCCTGAGCAATATCTACCGGAACGGTGGATCGGGATCAGCGACGAGGAACTCAGGCGAAGGGACCACGCAGATCTCAGCTTCAGCGCGGGGCGGCGGATCTGCATAGGGCGCAATTTGGCAATGATTGAGATGAAGAAGGTCATCGCGCGGCTCATCAAGACTTTCGAGGTGAGTCACAATTCTTCCAGAAGATATGTCTGCGCAGAGCATGTGCTGAACAAGATGCGAGTTTACACCCACCAATCCTCATGAAGATTTGCAACCGAGGGCGCGAGGGGCCAGACGACCATTCTACAACGCGAGACTTAACTTTGTCAGGCGAGGAGGCGAGAACAAGAAGAACAGATTGTAGTTTTGATAAGGACGGAGCTTGCAATAAAAGAAGTAATACAAAGCGGGGGAACTTTTGGTACGGGTACATTTAAAGCGGCATGAATTTTATTCCGTTGCCGTGGCATCGCGTCCCAATGCGGACAATCGTAAACACGATCGTCAACGACTTAGTTCTCACTTCTTAATGACAGCGACAACATTCCATTGACCAGAGCAGAGCAGCGTAGCAATCATGTCCGCCTACTCGTCCGAAGACGACCTCCCTGATCTCAGCGCCATCTTTGCGCCGAAGCCGTTGATGGCCACCAGCACAAACACCGGGTTGCGACGGTCCCCACGCAAGAAGCCCGCCCTCGAGGAGTCCACGTCGCCACAGAAGAAACCACAAGGAGGACCGAGTCCTGTCAAGAGACGTGAGCTCAACAACTCCCACCTCCCGGGCAATCTTCGTTGTCGCAAAGAAGCCACGAAGCCGGAAAAGCCAACCCGGACCATCCTCAAACATGTCCCGCTTCTCCCTCGAAATCTAAACGTTGCCGAGACCCACGTCACTTCTAGCAACCGCCGCTCACCTGAGAGTCCTCAGAGAAGTCTGAGATTGGCCCATGTAGACTCATTGCTCATTCCACTGAAGGCCTTGGCTGTGGAAGACGACGGGTGGTCAGTGAGGTTGGCAGAGTCGTCAAAGACTGAGAACCTACTCAATCCTCGAGAGCGGGAGGATACATCGCGGCCAACAAGAGGTGACAATCGCAAAAGAAAGCAGGTGTTTAATCGTGCAAGCAGATTCGTCATGAAGGAGGCTCGATGCCACGACGATAGTGGGGATTCAGGCGCAGACGAAGAAGAGGATGATGAGGACACAGATTTGAGCGGCTTCATTGTTGACGATGACGCCGAACTGAGCTACTACGAAACTTCATCGTCAGATCCGGACGAGGATGATTATCGCAGACCAACAATAAAAGCCTCACAAACGCGTCCGCGAAGACGGCTGCACCGGGGATCGCCAACTCGGCGACGCCTCAGTTTTGGTGACCATGGAGGGTCGGACACGGAGAATCAGCAGGAGGAGACGTTATCAAAAGCACTGGGAGATATTTCTCTAGGGGATAACGAATCCCATGTTCGGAGAGGAGATGTTGAAACGATCGACCTCACCTCGTCCCCGACAGTTGTTCCAGACACCACGTTTAATGCTCAACCCAGCTCACTCTCACTTCAATCACAGCATGAGATTCCATCAAATCCTTTTCAAGACCCAAATCGTCTCAAGAACTTCGACAATCTTCCTCAGCTTCCTCCACCTCCTGCTGAGCCTGTCTTGATGATTCCCTCGAAGGACCAGTCTGTCGATACCGATTTTGACAATGACTTTAAAGACGTCGTTGAGAAGCCCATCCACAAAAGGGAAGATCACTTCAAGACACCACCTGCCACACCACCTCGATCACCCTCAAAACTCAAGTCACCCTCAAAATTGCTATCCCCTTCCAAGCGACAGTTCATCCCACAATCCCCACATCGCCAGAGTATGGACGCTTTCTGGGATCATAATGTGATCAACGAGTGGAATGACGAGTATTCTCCAAAGAAGGCACCGGCGACGTCTCCAAGAAAGGGGCCGCTTGGTCGGTTCCAAGTGTGGTCAGACTCAGAGGACGAGGAGCAAGACATGTTTTTCGATCGTTCGGATTCACTTCCCAGTCCTTGCTTGTCACCGACCAAGTCGAAATCAGCGTTCAAGAGTCCCGAGAAGGAAGAGAAGAAACGATTAGCAGAAGAGAAGCGGACAGCTGCAGCAAGGAAGAAGGCTTTTGACTCTAAGAAACAACAGCTTGCGCTCGACTTGTTACACGAGCTCGACGATAAGGTCGCCAACTCCCAACTCGACCGATTGGCGTCCAGCACAGGCGGGGTGCGCATCATCTGGTCAAAGACTCTGCGTTCAACGGCTGGCCGAGCGAACTGGAAGAGAACGATCACCAAGCCATCCGGCTCACCCATAAAGGGCGGCGATGTAAATGAGTCTAGGGAATCGGGAGTGAAGGTGCAACACTATGCGTCAATCGAACTGGCTGAGAAGATCATCGACGGCGAAGACCGTCTGGTCAACACACTGGCGCACGAGTTCTGCCACTTGACGAACTTCATGATCAGTAACGTGCGCGATCAACCCCACGGCGCAAGCTTCAAGCAGTGGGCTGCCAAAGTCACGTCGCATCTGCGATCGACTGATGTCGAGTCCTGGAAGAACGTGCACGTCACTACTAAACACAGCTATGTAATCAACCACAAATATCTCTGGGTTTGCGTCGGCCGCCAGGACAAGTCTGCCGCTAGGGATTTTCTCAACTTGGGGGAGGACGAAGGATGCGGAGCGGAGTACGGACGACATAGTAAGAGTGTTGATGTCGAGAAACATCGATGTGGGAAGTGTAAAGGAAGATTGGTCCAAGTCAGACCGAAGCCTAGAGCGAGTCCTGTCAAGAAGGAGAAACCAGAAGCAAAAGAGCCGCCGAATCTGAAAAGAGAAGAGAGTGCCGAGAGTACGACTTCGGGCAGCAGCACCACCAGCAGTGGCGGTGGACTGGGCCGGATGATTGAGATGATTGAGCTGAGTGACTGATTGATTGATTGATTGGATGGCTTGTCACCATTAGTTGGATCAGAGTGTTGGTGAAGAAGCAAGCGTGTTGTCCGCTCGATGGTGTCATCATCAACAACAACACGACGACGACGTTCATGTCCAGGAAAGAGGCATTTTACAGTCAAGACATTGATTGAGTCGGGTTTCAGGTAGCTGAACCTGTACATACCAGGCAGATGAGTGCGTTGCGTTCCAGTTTGTCTGGCGTCCATACCAGGGCTGGTTGTCACAAGGACAAGTGTGAGAAGTGAATAAATGAATGTGACCTTTCACGATCCCATCCAGAATTGAATACGGCTCTCTATCCTGCCCAGCGAGTGCGATTGCGCATGTTGAATGAATGAACTACTCGTCAAGTCCATGCGAATGGATATGGATATGGATAATTGTTTGTATTGATCGCTATCTAGGTATCTAATGTAATGTGACTGACTGACTGACCAATCGACTGACCGACGGACGAGGCATGAATGCTGAGTACAGACAGTACATACCATTCAACAGTGAACGCGTGAACAGTGAACAGTGAATCGTAGACCAACCTGGCATTCGACACTCGACCGAGCGACCCAGGTTCATTCGAGACATATAATACCTAGGGAGGTAGATAAAGGTATGTAAGTGCCATGGCCCGCGTTGAAGGACGAGCTGGAAAAGACATGACCTCCGTCCGGTCTCCCCGGTCCACGATCCACGGTTCGCAGGTCCCGCGCATAGTGATGGTCTCTTTTTCTCCCTCTCTCTCGCTGCTCTTTTCTCTTTGACCTCCCCTCGTTCCTATGACTGCTATGCACCCCCGTTCCATTCCGTTCCTTGAGGATCGATCTATGGGTCGAGTCGAGGAAATCCATTTCATGCATTGATGCAAGTCCGATCATCCCTGGGCCCTTTACCTTTTCTTTTCCTTTCCTTCTCGATGAATATCCGAATGCGAAGCCGGAGAGCGTCACCATATCCCTCCATCCACCACCACCACCCATGTAATACATGAATGACCATCCCATTGCGATGAACGCACGAACGAATTCCGGCATAGTAACAACTCTCAGGCATTAAAGAGGCTGAAATCCCTAATGGTCAAGGAGCGGACGATGTGGGCAAAGACGTCGCGTGCGTGGGTGACCTCGTCGAGAATCATAGCCTGGGTGGCGGGGCTGTCGGACGACGAGCCCAGGCGCTGGCCGGCCTCGACGAATTCCTTGACGGGCACGTTGATGCGGACGCACACGTCAGTGCTGTAGGATGGGAGACGGATCAGGAGGAGGAACTGGTGGACCAGCGAGGTTAGATGTTGAGCGGAGGAAGAAGATGATGAGGTGGCGGAAGGGGAAGAGGAAGAAGTCGATCCGGCGGTGGGGAGGGATGGTGTCGTCGTCGTTGGTTGTCGCGCTATCTCGTGACTGTTGATGTTCCCTGCCAGCATGTACGCGGGATGCCCGGCCAAGCTGGGGTCGGCCATCTGGACGGGTTGCGGGTTCGGCAGCGGAGATGCAAGCGTGTCCGGCGGCGAAATCACGTCGGTAAAATGGACCTTTGCTGCCTCGGCGTCCAGCTCTTCTCGTGACCGCTGCGGGGCGGCTGCGGTGCCATTGACGATGGTTTGGGTAACGGCTGTAGTGGTTGTGGTGGTCGTCGTTCCGTCAGGCGCCGTGGTCGTCGAGGTCGTGGTTGTCGGCCCTGGGGACGGACTGGGTTGGCTCACGTTGGCCGGGACGTAGTCGTCGATCTCGAAGATGACCGACGTCAGCGTTGTCGGCGAAAGGAAGACTTCTTGATGGTCGGGGATCTGCCGGATGTCGCTGTTGCACTGTCAGCACTCGAGAAACACTCTGTAGAAGACGCCTCCCCCAAACAGATAAGACGAATAGACAGAGATGTGCTTTGCTCGTTCGGAAGGGACGACAGTATGCATGACGCGTGCGCCAAAATGTCGGGAGATGGGATCAGGCTATAGAATATCATGGCAGGCTGGAATCGAGGAGCGCAAGTACGTGTCGTTATTCAGCGACTCCCGCGGTCTCGTCTCAGCCACATCTCCTGTCATACATCCATCCTTTACGCTGTTGATACCGTCTCTGCCTCGGTCCCAATCGACTCTTGCTTGACACTTATCGGAAGAGACTCACTTACCTTGAATCAATCAGATCCACCGGTAACTCCACGGTCATTGCCCCTCCATAAAGCTCACGGACGCCGTATGTGCTAGTCATAGTCGACCTATGGCGTAGGACGGACGAAATGTAGGATTTGTTTCTTTCGATTGAGAGGGGCAAATCCTTGGAATCACTGGCGCGGAGAGAGTGTGTACGTGTGTGTGAATGTTGGTGGGTGGCCAGAGAGATGGAGCCAGCGCAGGGGGGTTTTTAGAGGGATTTTGATGCTTCACCAACAGGCAGCACAGCGAGGGTTGTCGCCTGGATCGTCGGATGAGCTCGCCTCAGGCATCCTCGTTCAAGACCATAATTGCAGACAATATCCTCCAAGCCTTAGTGGTATAAGACGATAAAGATAAATGTTCTCTCATTCACATACTATGAGAGCCGACTGGCGGATCCTGGTACGAATGGTGAATGGGTGGCCATGATAAACCGACAATTACCCGCCCAGCGCCTATACACAAGCACGTGACTAGCACGTGACAAGCAAGGCTGCGCATACAGAGACGCATGAGAGCGATGCGCAGCAGATACTGGCACCTCCTCTTCAACTCTGTGAAATGGCTCTGGAAGACAAGTTTTGATCTGTTTTTGATTCATTCTGTTCGGGATACCCCCTAGGCCAACTGAATGCAGTGCCCACTGAATTCCTCCGATGCCGTCAATTACTTGCCATCGACCGAAGAAGTATTGTAGCTGTGGCAAAGCTGTGACTATCGAAGACCCCCGCAAACCCATATGAACAAGCTCGAATCGCTGCTAACCAATGTAACTAACTACACGCATCTTCAACTCGCTCATTGAACCCCCTACAACAAAATCATACCCGCCCCTGAAACAAATGCGATCGTGAGGTAAACCACGAGCTGCATCACACCCACATGGCTAGGAGTCGAAATTCCATGGATACCGGCATTTGCCGAGCCGCTACCGCTGCTGCTGCCGCCAGACCCTGAGCTGGATCCAGACCCAGAACCGGAGCTCGATCCCGACCCTCCCGTGCCGCTGGGTGCTGAGGTGACAGTACCAGTGCCTCCATTACCGGCCTGGCTGATCAACGTCGCGCAATTTCCACTTGGGCTGGTAGGGGATGCTGTTGAGGCAGAGCCGCTGAAATCGCAGGCCGAGGCGCCGTTTCCTTGTGCAGCTTGTTGTTCGTAGTAGGTGTTGAGTGCCCACCCGAGTTGTTGCTCAGCATTGCACATGCTGTAAGCACCGTAGTCGCCGGTGGTGGCGTTGGCGGCAATACCGTCGCAGACACCATCGGCGAGACCACAAACAACGCCGAATAAGTCACCAATCTCGTCAGTGGGCACGTTGTTGGGACGGCAGGTCAACGCATTGAACATGCATTCGCAGAGTTCTTGGTTGGGCGTGGGAGGCAGGCTGGACGACGCTTGCCAGTCGTCACCGACACTCGGGCAGGAGGCGGCAGCAGTATTGGTCGGGGTGTAGTCGTTTGCGTTGACGCCAGTTGGGTCAATTTGCGCAATTTGGGTGGACAAGGCGTTGAAGTCGGCCAGAGTGCTCACCGAATCGCCGGAAACAGTGACCAGACCTTAACTCGCTGTTAGCATGAGTCTAGTGCAGAAAGAAACATGAATCTCTCACCATAGTCGTTTGCCTCTTGGAAATACATGTAGACAATGCCGCCCGACCACACAGGAGTCATTTGAGGGCCGAACAGGGCCTGCACTTCAGTGAACTGACGGGGTTGAACGGTGTTGCATCCGTACTCTGCAAAGAACACAGGGACATTGTAGGTTGAGAATTCCTTGGTACGTTCATCGTAGCCAGACAGCGTGTAGCTAGACTTGCCGCACCACGAGTAGATGTTGTAGCCCCAGAAATCAATAGAATCCGCCGAGTCTCCGCAGTCGAAGTAATTGGCAAGATTGACACGAATATCGGCATCGTCGTTGGTAGCATAGCCCACTCCTATGGGACGGTAGTTTTGTCTCTTGATATAAGCCTTCATGTCGCGGACGGCAGCCTTGACGAATGCGCTGGCATCGGTGTTGGTGTTGTTGTTGGACACCTCGTTGCCTGCAAAGTAACCCAGGGTATTCGTATATTTGGACATGTTGTCAATGACCGCAGTATAGCGAGCATACAAGTCATCGTCCCAGGTGGGGGTGTCACGGTTGATCGAGGTACCAGGAGACGAGAGGTCAGCAATGACATAGATGCCAGCGTCTGCCAGCGCATTCATGCAATCATCGTGGTTCTTGGTGGGGTCGACCGCGTAGACACGGATGGTGTTGGTTCCGAGTTGGGTGAGGTAGGGAATGTCTCGCTGGCATGTCGAAGCATCGGCCAGAGGGTCAATATAGTTGTCGTCACCGCTGGATGTTGTGCCATTGCCTAGATAATCCTCTTTTTTCACTTGTCAATGTCTCATCGAGTACAGGACCGAGGAGAGGAACGCACGTTGGTAGGCCACGCCTTTAATGAAGCTGTATGCCGCATTAGCCCACGATCCAGGGAGTGATATCAGGAGCTGCACTTACAATTGTGTTCCATTGGTCTCATAGAAGAATTTCGAGCCCTAGGTGCAAACAAACGATCAGTCCTGTTCATCTTCCCTGGCTCGGGACAGAGAGGTTGGGTGACAGCGTACTTTAATGACAATAGGGTCTACATCTGCAAATGCGGCTCTGAAGAAAAGAGTAGCGCCAGCGACAGCGGTCGCAGCGGCGGAGAAGGCCTTCATGGCAATGACAATGTGTGAGAAAAGTAGTTGAACAGAGGGAAGTAGTCTTTCAAGGGCGTGTGCGTGCGGCTAAAAGGTGTGCAGATGTTCTCGAGATACCTCAGAACAGGAATGTTGTTTCCCCAGGCGAGGAAGGGCACTGGTGATTACAGTAATGAGCTGTCGCTGCCCAACAAGCAGGCAGGAACGAAGGACAAACAATGTTAGGGATATGGAAAAGAATGTCACGAATGTGAATGAACCAACGAAGGTAGTAAACAAGGGGCGCAAGGAGGGTAACAAAAAGATCAAGTGCAGACAAACTTCTACAGGAGGATTGACGACGGTGACTGCGACGTTCAGATCAAGGGGGGACAGATTTCAAGGGATGGGGAGCGTTACGCAGTTAGTACGATGAGTGGCAGTAGTGGTGGTTTGTTGTCGTACCCTCCTCCGCTCGATGCATTCATGGGGTTTGGCCTGGTTTGATCTGCTTTGGGTGTGGACACCGAGCATAAACGCATAACGGACCATCACGGGTGCCGATTGAACCAAACCCCTGGGTGTTTCCTCCCTAAGGACGAAGGCAACTCAGGCTGGTAGGCTCCTGAACCACACCACAACAAAAGACCCCAAGATTCTGTTCTCCTGGGGGGCATCTGTGCCTAATTCGTGGGCGCCCCCGTTAGCTGCCTCAGGGTGCTTAGGCTGCTTAAGCTCCCTCAGAACGGTGAAGCCTTACTCGTGGCAGCCCTAACAGAGCCGTTAGGGGGCATCTGCACTCACCTGCTGTCGATTGGTCCTCGGACTTGTTGCAGATCTGTTTTCGATACTGTTTTTGCCGCGTCTGCCGGCGCAACATCAAAGGTGTTCGACACGCGTCCCTTCTCCATCGAGTCATATACGAGAGATACCGATTCGTTGAGGCTGTGCATCTTCAAAGTCCGTGGTCCGCAACAACTGTGATGATTAACCATCATCTCATTTCGTCGGACTATCAACAATCATTGACGAGATTAATGCATACGGGTATCGAGCACACACCCTTCTGGGAGGCAGTGAAGCAGAAGAACAGCACAGATTCAAGCAAAGAAGTCACTCGAGGGAATAATCATGTACATATTATTACTCGGACCGCAATTCCCCCCAACTGATGGATTCCTGAGGGACCCCCAGACCAGGACCTGCTCCTCCTTTGACATACATCTCATTATCGAGAAATATTTTCCCAGGTATTGGCAACACTCCGTTCCCTGTCTTTCCGATCAGGTCCGTGCAAGGACTGGGTTCATGATTTGCCACTGATATGTTGTTAGCAAATAATGAGTGACGGTGTGGAGGAAAGTCTCTGCATGTCTCACGGCTTCCTTATCCTGGGCGCTCCTTTCGAGCTCAAACAAGCACAACAGTGTCTCGGCCTTGCAACAGAATCGAGATAATGATGGCCCTGATATGTCCACCGCGTTCTCCGCAGCCTGGCTCTTATTTGCCCTGGACGAAATTGGATTTGTCTGGGTTGCTGACCGAGGCCGCCACATCCATTGGAGAATGGCCCCCTTTTTTCCCACCTGGTTGCATCCAATGGCCAGGGGTATGGCACGCCCAACACGATCCTTCTCCATCGAGCCCCTGGGCTATGACGACTCCTGGTTCATGATCAGTCCATGAGGGACAGGCCCACCTGAAATAGCAATTCGCCACTTAAAGCTGGTCTTGCATCTATTGTTTCTAGCAAAGCTTGTTTCACCCACAGTGGCCCAGAGATTGACATGAAAATGCCGGTTTCTCGAGGTGGATCAAAAAGCAGGTTTTTTTATTCGTATAATCAAGGATGGAGGGTGTTGGATATGAAAGATTTTCCAGATGATCATGAGCCTGGGAGCTTGGTACGTCAGGCACGCTCAACGGTCTGGCCAAAGATCTGTGATAAGGCCCTTGCTGGGACTGGATCTTTCTAGTCGATATGAGAGCATTCTTCGTCAGGAAATACAAACACGCCAACAATGACAATCGCTGCCGATCCGGTCTCAGAGTTGACCCACAGAATCAATCATGATACTTTCTCGGCTACAAAGCCACAGAAGCCACAAGCGGGATTAGAGGAAGCATGTTGAAAGATATTTGCATATGAATTCACGGGGTACTTTTCTACATGTCGCAAGGTACAGGGATGCCGCATCGAAAGGAATATCACACCAGAAAAAGGACAAGGGCCAAAAACGTTGTTACATGGCACTTACATATTCACATGTAGTCTGTTTATCATCCACGTGTCGAAGAAATTAGTCGACGGAGTATACAACACACAAGACCTGATAAATAGATAACGGCGACCTATAAAACCATTCAGAACAGAATTCCGAACTCCGTACCTACTGTATGTACCTGCTGTACCTACCTACATTGGTACAATATGCGATTGTCAGTCACGGCATTCGGAGTCAATGAAGCCGTTTCGGATGGACTGTTCTTGACCTCGTTCGGCACCTTGTGCCATCTGGAGAACCGCGTTGGCTGGTAAGGCCCTCTTTCGGTGTTTGTCAGCGACATGAATTGTGCATCTCCTTGCCAAAATTCCAATGGATATCATTGTCCACCGCATCCAGGACAGTATTATCAGCACTGGTGGCACCAGGTGGCACTGCATCGGAACAATAACGCGGAGGAACAACTCAGATTACCGGGACCACCATCCGTCCATTGCTTCCACCATTGCGGAAACATGCAGGTTTTGCTGACAGCCAAAAAATTGCCCGAGACGCAGTTGAGATCTGCACGTAAAATGCCCCTCCATAGTATGAAACACGGGTTGTGTGACCCGCGTACCAGGCAATATCTCCGCCAACGAAACAGGGTGAGCTTCATCCTTCTTGCCTATGTAGTATATGATGACCGTTTCTCTTGACCCGTCGTGCACCATTTAGACCATGATAGGCATATAATCAAGGCATTTAGCGTGTGGCTCGATGTGCTGCCCTGTTATGCATATGCACTCGTACATAGCCACCAGCCCAGCCACGGATTAAGTTGTTGGTGTGCCAGAGATAGTAGTCGAGCTGCAGCAAGGCGGGAAGCGTGTCCGTAGCGCAATAAGCGATGTAGGTCAAGTGGGTACAGGCTGAGAGATGACGCTCTTGATGTGTCGCAATTCATCGACCGAGGAACGAATGGCAAGGACGCGGCCAGGAAAACTCGAGGCATTTCCTTCACCAACGGTTAGTGTTATGTGCCATGGCCGAAGACGCCGCCAAAGAGCAGCAAAAGAGGAGACAAAACAAAGAATCAAAAAAGGTGGTGGTGGGTGTGGCGTTCCTCATGGGCCTGGTTCATATTTGCCCAATAATGCTCAATGCCCATTGCCTAGCGCCTATCGCCCAGCCCACCTTTCCCCCCCTTGTTTGTTGATCCCTGCCACCCTGGTCGGGGGGTGTGCCTGAGTAACAGTTAAGCCTCATTTGCTCTCAGCCGTTTGCTGCTTGTTGGGTTGAAGCCCCCCATGCGCCCCTGCCGGCCCGAAATCACAAGTTTGGAGGCAACATCCACCGAACCATCGGCCGACAAATCCCAAGAGCCACTGGGCCACCCACTGTAGCCAGGTCCCCTCTAGTCTCTAGCCTCTAGGCTGCGCACCTCATGCACCAGCAGTCGGCCCCCCTTAATCCTAAGCCCGAAACAAGCATGTCCTGAGAAGACTCCAGTCTTGCCAGCTCTTGTCCAATCCTGCTCCCTCCCTGGTTCTACGGGTACACTGCTCAGCTCCCTTTGTCGTCCTTTTTTCCCATTATTCAAACTCACCAGCCTCGCACCTTGGTCCTTCGTCGACAATCTTCTTTCGTACTGTCGTTTTCTTCCTCGTGATCCTCCTTCACTCGCTTCTATCGCTGCGAGCAGAAGGTAAGGACAACGAGGACTTGCTCGTCTTGGCCTTGGGAAAGGGCAATTGTCAGCTCGGGGTCCGTAAATAAGGGCAACGCCTATCAGCAACGCGCCTTCTGCAGCGGCACATTGGCTGAGCAACCGCACCTCCCCCTTCGTTCGCTTCAACAACAACTTCCGCCCAATTCACCAACATCCGCTCCCTCTACCTTTCACCTGCGATTTTGACAACTCTTGAGCCAGCTTTCCTCCGAGGACTGTCTTGCTGGGATTTCCCAGAAAATAGACAGTGGCAGTTCGACAGGGAGCTTGACGAATTCCATCATTCCCCTACGCCGCGTACCCCCTGTCTCACGTTTACTGCTTATACTCATACCACGCCTAATATTACACACCACACAATACGTGCGATCGACGTTTTCGCGTGTGCCGTATATTGCACTCTGGGACATTTTTGATGGGACATCTCTGAAGTAGGTGGAACAAGATTTTGTCCTGCGGATTTACTGTGCAAACATTGGAATCACCCGCTTTGGCTGCCACATGCTGACTTCAGTCGTGTATCAGAAACCATACTCAAGATGTCAGGTCATCCTCACCAGGGCGACTATGATGATGGCTACGGCCAGCATCATGGCAACGACGCCTATTACCAGGAGGACCAACATGGCTACCACGACCAATATGACTATGGTGGCCACCAGCAACATGGAGGCGAGGGCTATTATGATGAATCGTAAGGATTACGAGTCTTGAACTTATTCATCAGTGCACTGACACGGAGCAGTGGCTACTATAATGCCGATGCATCAAATCCTTACCACAACGACGGCGGTTACTACGAAGGTCACCAAGGGTATCAGGACGACTACTATGACGGCCAATACTATGACCAAGGAGCTGCTGGACAGCACTACAACCAAGGACAACGTCCAAGACGCCGCGGCCATGACTCGGAAGAGGACTCGGAAACGTTTAGTGACTTTACCATGAGATCTGACATTGGCCGCGCAGCTGAAATGGACTACTATGGTCGTGGGGATGAGCGCTACAACAGCGGCTACGATGGTCAGGGCGGACGTGGGTACCGACCTCCGTCTTCTCAAATTTCATATGGTGGTAACAGGTCATCCGGCGCCTCGACTCCGATTTATGGGATGGATTACAACAATGCTTTGCCTGCCGGCCAACGTTCTCGCGAGCCTTATCCAGCCTGGACCTCCGATGCCCAGATTCCCCTTTCGAAAGAGGAGGTTGAAGACATATTTTTGGATTTGACTTCAAAGTTCGGCTTCCAACGTGACAGCATGCGCAACATGTACGACCACATGATGACCTTGTTGGATTCACGAGCTTCGCGCATGACGCCCAACCAGGCCTTGTTGTCTCTCCATGCAGATTATATTGGAGGCGACAATGCAAATTATCGCCGGTGGTATTTTGCTGCTCATCTGGACCTTGATGATGCGGTAGGTTTCGCCAACATGAAGCTCGGAAAGGCAAACCGCCGAACAAGAAAGGCCAGAAAGGCTGCCGCGAAAAAGGCAAAGGAGAACCCACAAAATGAAGAGGCTACTTTGGAAGCTCTCGAGGGTGACAACTCCTTGGAGGCCGCCGAGTACCGCTGGAAGACACGCATGAACAAGATGTCGCAGCATGACCGTGCCCGCCAGATCGCCCTGTACCTGCTTTGTTGGGGCGAAGCCAACCAAGTGCGTTTCATGCCTGAGGCACTCTGCTTCATATTTAAGTGTGCAGACGACTACCTGCACTCTCCCGCATGCCAGGCTCGTGTCGAAGCAGTTGAGGAGTTCACCTACCTGAACAATGTCATCACTCCTCTCTACACCTATATCCGCGACCAGGCCTACGAAATTATCGACGGCAAGTACGTTCGTCGGGAGAAGGACCACAACAAGGTTATTGGATACGATGATATCAACCAGCTCTTCTGGTATCCCGAAGGTATTGAGAGGATCGTAATGAACGACAAATCGCGGATTGTTGATCTTCCACCTGCGGAGAGATATCTGAAGTTGGGCGAGGTAAACTGGAAGAAGGTTTTCTTCAAGACATACAAGGAGACTCGATCCTGGTTCCACTTGATTGTCAACTTCAACCGTATCTGGGTTATCCATCTCACGACTTTCTGGTTCTACACAGCTTTCAATTCTCCGACGCTGTACACTAAGAATTATCAGCAACAACTGAACAACAAGCCTCACGCTGCTGCTCAGTGGTCTGCCGTCGCTCTAGGTGGGACGATTGCGACTTTGATCAACATCCTGGCTACTTTGATCGAATGGTCATACGTCCCTCGGAAATGGGCAGGTGCTCAGCATTTGACCAAGCGACTCCTGTTCTTGATCGGTGTCTTCATCTTGAACATTGCGCCCAGTGTCTACATCTTTGGCTTCTCGCAAACGTCAAAGGTATCTCTGATTTTGGGCGTGGTGCAGTTCCTTGTCGCTCTGGCCACATTCTTCTTTTTCTCAATCATGCCTCTGGGCGGGTTGTTTGGGAGCTACCTGACCGGGAACAGTCGTCGCTATGTCGCCAGTCAAACTTTCACTGCCTCGTACCCTCGTCTCAAGGGTAACGACATGTGGATGTCTTTCGGCCTGTGGATCATGGTTTTCGCTGCCAAATTGGCCGAGTCGTATTTCTTCCTCACGCTGTCATTCCGAGACCCGATCAAGATTCTATCCTACACCAAAATCCAGCATTGCCAAGGAGACAAGATTCTGAAAGACTACCTCTGCAAGTATCAGCCGAAGATCTTGCTCGGAATCATGTTCTTCACGGATTTGATCCTGTTCTTCTTGGATACCTATTTGTGGTATATCATCTGGAACTGCGTCTTCTCAGTCGCTCGGTCGTTCTACTTGGGTGTATCTATTTGGACACCATGGCGAAACATTTTCTCTCGCTTGCCGAAGCGAATTTACTCCAAGGTCCTGGCTACGACTGACATGGAAATCAAGTATAAGCCAAAGGTTCTCATCTCGCAAGTCTGGAATGCCATCGTTATTTCCATGTACAGAGAACATCTCTTGGCTATCGACCATGTTCAGAAACTGCTCTACCACCAAGTTCCTTCGGAGCAGGAAGGCAAGCGCACACTTCGGGCTCCGACGTTCTTTGTCTCTCAGGAAGATCACTCGTTCAAGACGGAATTCTTCCCTTCACAGAGTGAAGCGGAGCGTCGTATCTCATTCTTCGCTCAGTCACTGTCGACACCTATTCCCGAACCTCTTCCAGTTGATAATATGCCGACTTTCACCGTCCTTATCCCCCACTACGGTGAAAAGATTCTTTTGTCGCTGCGAGAGATTATCCGTGAAGATGAGCCTTATTCTCGGGTTACGCTTCTTGAATACCTGAAACAGCTCCATCCTCATGAGTGGGATTGCTTTGTCAAAGACACTAAAATTCTTGCGGACGAGACATCTCAGTTCAACGGCGACTATGAAAAATCCGAGAAAGATACAGCGAAGAGCAAGATCGATGATCTTCCGTTCTACTGCATTGGTTTCAAGTCGGCTGCGCCAGAATATACTTTGCGAACTCGAATCTGGGCCTCCCTCCGCTCTCAAACCTTGTACCGTACAATTTCGGGTTTCATGAACTACAGCAGAGCCATCAAACTCCTGTATCGCGTGGAGAATCCAGAAGTGGTACAGATGTTCGGTGGCAACTCTGACAAGCTTGAGCGTGAACTTGAACGAATGGCCAGACGCAAGTTCAAGATTGTGGTTTCCATGCAGCGCTACGCCAAGTTCAAGAAGGAAGAGCGTGAAAACACCGAATTCTTACTCCGAGCTTATCCAGACCTTCAGATCGCATACCTGGACGAAGAACCGCCACAGAATGAAGGAGAAGAACCTCGCTTGTACTCGGCCCTGATTGATGGCCATTCGGAACTCCTTGAGAACGGTATGCGTCGACCCAAGTTCAGAGTCCAGCTCTCTGGCAACCCCATTCTCGGAGACGGCAAATCCGACAACCAGAATCATGCAATTATCTTCTACCGTGGCGAATACATTCAGCTGATCGACGCCAACCAAGACAACTACTTGGAAGAGTGTTTGAAAATCCGAAGCGTCTTGGCCGAGTTCGAGGAAATGACGACTGATAATGTCTCGCCATACACTCCTGGCTTGCCGCCAACCAAGACTACCCCAGTGGCTATTCTCGGTGCTCGCGAATACATTTTCTCTGAGAATATTGGTGTGCTTGGTGATGTGGCTGCCGGCAAAGAACAAACCTTCGGTACTCTCTTCGCTCGTACTCTGGCTCAAATCGGCGGCAAGCTTCATTATGGTCATCCTGATTTCCTCAACGGTATCTTCATGACAACTCGAGGTGGTGTCTCGAAGGCTCAAAAGGGTCTGCACCTGAACGAAGATATCTATGCTGGAATGAATGCTCTCATCCGTGGTGGACGCATCAAGCATTGTGAATACTACCAGTGTGGCAAGGGTCGCGATCTTGGTTTTGGTTCCATTCTCAACTTCACGACCAAGATCGGGACTGGTATGGGTGAACAGATGTTGTCTCGAGAGTACTATTATCTGGGTACTCAGCTGCCGCTGGATCGCTTCCTGTCTTTCTACTATGCGCACCCTGGTTTCCATATCAACAACATGTTCATCATGTTGTCTGTGCAGCTCTTCATGATTGTGCTCATCAACCTTGGCGCCTTGAGACACGAGACTATCGTCTGTTTCTACAACCGAAATGTTCCGCCGACAGATCCTCTCAAGCCTACCGGATGCACAAACCTGACGCCTATTATGGAATGGGTCGAGCGTTGCGTTGTCTCCATCTTCATTGTCTTCTTCATCTCCTTCGTACCCCTGGTTGTTCAGGAGTTGACCGAGCGTGGATTTTGGCGCGCTGCTACTCGTTTGGCTAAGCACTTTGCATCTGCCTCGCCTATCTTCGAGGTGTTTGTGTGCCAGATCTATGCCAGCTCCATTCAACAGGATCTCTCATTTGGAGGTGCACGATACATTGGTACTGGCCGTGGCTTTGCGACAGCACGCATCCCGTTCGGAGTTCTCTACTCTCGTTTCGCTGGTCCGTCCATCTACCTGGGAGCTCGCTCATTGATGATGTTGCTGTTCGGTACAATCACTGTCTGGGGTGCCTGGCTCTTGTGGTTCTGGGTTTCACTACTGGGGCTTTGCATCTCCCCCTTCATCTTCAACCCCCACCAGTTCGCCTGGAACGACTTCTTCATCGACTACAGAGACTATCTGAGGTGGCTGTCTCGGGGCAACTCGCGGTCGCATGCCTCGTCTTGGATCGCTTTCTGTCGACTGTCGCGTACTCGTCTCACCGGATACAAGCGCAAGGCTCTGGGTGTTCCGTCCGAGAAGCTCTCTGGGGACGTCCCTCGGGCTAGCTTCACCAGTGTCTTCTTCAGCGAGGTTGTCGGTCCCCTGGTGCTTGTCTGCTTTACGCTGATCCCTTACCTCTTCATCAACGCTCAGACCGGCGTAACAACTGATGTCAAGCCACCTACAAACTCTTTGGTCAGAGTAGCGATTGTAGCCTTTGCTCCCATTGCCATCAACGCTGGTGTGCTGGCTGGTCTCTTTGGCATGGCTTGCTGCATGGGTCCTGTCTTGAGCATGTGCTGCAAGAAGTTTGGTTCGGTCCTCGCGGCCATCGCTCATGGTGTGGCCGTCATTATGCTCTTTGCGTTCTGGGAGGTCATGTTCTTCCTCGAGGGATGGGTTTTCGCCAAGGCACTCTTGGGCATGATCGCTGTGGTGGCTCTCCAACGATTCGTCTTCAAGTTGATCATCGCGCTCTGCTTGACGAGAGAATTCAAACACGACACCTCCAACATTGCCTGGTGGACTGGCAAATGGTACTCGATGGGTTGGCACTCGATGTCCCAGCCTGCACGAGAATATCTTTGCAAGATCACCGAGCTTGGATTTTTCGCCGCGGACTTTATCCTTGGGCACATCATCATGTTCATCATGTTGCCGGCTCTCTGTGTTCCCTACATCGACAAATTCCACTCGGTCATGCTCTTCTGGCTTCGACCCAGGTATGTCACTTCCTTTCCCCTTTTCTCAACGCAAGACTAATCCTTTCTACAGCCGTCAGATCAGACCCCCCATCTACTCGATCAAACAATCCCGTCTCCGGAAGAGACGTGTCATTCGCTACGCCATTTTGTATTTCATTATGCTCATTATTTTCCTTGTGCTCATCATTGGGCCTATCATTGTCCGGAAATACATCACTGGACTACCGACCATTCCTCTCGACCTCGTTCAACCTACCGGACAGAACAACAACGACACGACAACTGGCGTTACCGGTTCGGCTCTCGTCAACTTTGGTCAGGATGCTGGAACTGCGGCTGCAACAGCGGCTGCCACCACCTCGGCCAACTCCAATGACCCCTTCAGCTTCGGAGGCGGTGGCGGACGATTTATCCGCTGGTAAAAACAGTCATGGCCAAAGCTTTGCGCAAAACGGTTGGCGTGTATAAATTGGTGCGTACGGACAGGAAGGAGGAGAACAAATTAGACAACACGGCCCTCTAATGAGTTTGAGATTCTCTTATCGGCCATTGATCCGAACCAATTAATGATTGAAATGGCATAGACAAGCAGCCTTTGCAAAGGGGAGCTTTCTTTAGCTGGTCTTTCGAACCTAGCAAATATTGGGGGGGGGGGGGGGGTGAAGGGGGCGTCTGGTTGAACTTTTATTTGCTTAAGAGATATTGTACTGTACATGACAGTCAAATGAGAACTGCATACAATTGAAATGGACTTTGGACAGAGTCTTTGGGTTTCAGGCGAGCCGGTACTCGCGGTACGAGGCACGAGGACTTGATTTCTTGTAGTTGGAGATTTGTTGGTCAGCAGCGAGGACCGGAAATTTGATCTGCCCCTGAATCCAGGCGAGCAGGGTTTCTGACTGTGCCACGTGACTTGCCGCATTGAGCCCTTTTCGCTTTCGCAGGATCCTGAGTGACCGCGGCATGGTTAAATCCTCCCAGGCTCCCGACTCGAGAACCCGCCGTGATCGCCTCATTCCTGTTTCTAACCCCGTTTTTGGGGAGGTTGTTGACACCTCCTTTCTGACCTCACAAGATGGACTCTCATGACGCCCAAGAATATGTCACCAACCTGGCCAACAATGCCGCCGAACAATTCCAGAAAATCCCTGGGTCCGCCATCTTCCTTCGCTACGTGAAGTCCAGTTACCAGAACGACCCGATCCGGTCTGCCGTCGAGCTCTTCCTGGTGCTGTTCGCAATTCGATATTTGCTAGCTCCAAAGTATTCGACCAAGCAGAATTATGTGAAGTTGTCTGATGAGGTGGGCACATTGTTTAGGCAATGGGGATAGCGAGCGTTGAAGGGCTGACTGCGAAACCAGGAAATCGACGATTTGGTTGATGAGTGGACGCCGGAGCCTCTGGTTGGGAAGACCACACCCTTCGAGGAAGCAGAACTGGAAAGGCACCCCATCATCGTCGGGTAAGTCCAGCTTTGAAGATTACTGTTACATACAAAATATACTGAATATGAAGCGACAGACCCAGTGGCCCCCGAACCAAACTGAATAACGGCCGAACAGTGATCAACCTAGCCTCGTACAACTTCTACAATTTTATCTCGAACGAAAACCTCAAAGAGCGGGCTATTCAGACACTGCGTACTTATGGAGTTGGGCCCTGCGGCCCGCCCGGTTTCTATGGTACCCAGGACGTCCACATGAAGATCGAGGCGGACATTGCGGCCTTCCTCGGTACTACGGCATGCATCATCTATGCTCAAGCGTTTTCCACGATTTCCAGTGTCATTCCGGCCTTTTCCAAGAGAGGGGACATAATCGTTGCCGACAAAGCCGTGAATTATGCCATTCGAAAGGGTATACAGATTTCCAGAAGTGCAGTCAGATGGTATGAACACAACGATATGGAAGATCTACAGAGGGTGCTGGCCAAGGTTACCAAGGAACAAGCCAAAAAGCCGCTGACAAGACGGTTTATCATTACTGAGGGACTGTTCGAGAATGTTGGTGATATGGTTGATTTGCCCAAAATTGTGAGTTACCCCCTGATCGATCGCCAGGAGATTGAGCGTTCTAACTGAGGTTGTGCAGATTGAGTTGAAGCTCAAGTACAAGTTCCGACTGATCCTTGACGAGACGTGGTCGTTTGGCGTCTTGGGTCGAACTGGTCGAGGTGTGACTGAACACCAGCACGTTGACGCAGCAGAGGTGGACATGATTGTCGGCTCAATGGCAGGTCCTTTGTCGGCGGCAGGAGGTTTCTGCGCGGGGTCGGATGAAGTTGTCGAGCACCAGCGATTATCTGCGGCCTCGTATACCTTCTCTGCAGCGCTGCCAGCCATGTCCGCTGTCACGGCAAGCGAGACCTTGATGATGTTGCAGACTCAGCCGGACTTGTTTTTCCAATTGAAAGAGAATATCAAGGCCATGTGGCAGCAGCTTGACCCGCGAAGTGATTGGATGTACTGTACAAGTGCACCCGAGAATCCAATCATGTTGCTGGTGCTGAAGCCTGAGGTGGTTTCATCACGGAGGTTGACGTTCGAGGATCAACAACAATTGCTGCAGGACATCGTGGACGAGGTGAGCCAGACAGAAGTCCTTTCTCTCTCCTATCGATCCTGGTCTCACAACTAACTTATTGGACATAGTGCCTCGCGCAGAACGTTCTCATCACCCGGGCCAAGTCACTCCCCGCGGGACCCTCAGGCACCAAGACCGATATTTTTACGCCGTTACCTGCTCTCAGGATTTGCATAACCATCGGCTTGACCAAGAAAGAGATCGAGAAGGCAGGCATCACGATTCGGCACGCAATTACGAAAATCCTTACACGGAAACGGTGAAACGGTCTTGCTTCTTGTCAACCGCAAGTCTCCCGGTCCTCGACGTTTGTACAATACAGTATTAGTTCTGCTTTGTCCGGGATACAGCGGAACAGCATTTAGATTTTTGTAATAGCAGAAGAATAATGAACGGCCTAGGGCGGGTTTTTCCTTCGAGAGCAGCCGCCCTTATCTGGGCCAGAGCATGAGAGTTTCACATACAGAGCAACCAACTAATAATGACGATGATCGGCCATTTTTCAATCCTTTTTTGCTGGTTCCTGCTCTCCGTTGGTATTGCTATCGCCTGGTATAGGATCCAAGCGACAAGTCGGTAGCGCCCAAAACTGGAGCATGATGGATGGCAGGCAAGATCAGGAACTTTCTATCGATCGTGGATTGATCAAGGCACTGACATGAACTAGGAACTCCCTGCGAACCACAGTGTCGTAGCGTAGGATGAGCGGAAAATGCACCGAATTGTATAGGTACGTACCTCCTGGATGGAAAGTATATACACTTGCACTCTTTCTTCTGAGTCTTGATCCTGTACCAGTCCATTCAGGTGGAATGATTGATTGAGGCTTGATCTGTATTTCTGCTCCTATCTCTTTCTGCTCTCCATCCTCGCCCGGATACGAGCTCTCCCGACCCATGTCTGTCACTCTACTCCGCCCCCAGCCGCAGAGAAACAGCATGTGGCATCAACGGCTCCGCGAGCTGAAGGAAATTCCAACGTCTCCGCATATTCCGGATCTTAGACTCTCAGAACACCTGCGAAAGATGGTTAGTATGACGCTCAATTGCGGGGTGTGGCGGTGTCTGGTCGTCCTCTTGGAGAGCCTCGCTTACGAACACTTTCCCTTGGACCTTCAGCAGCTTCCAGCAACGCGGGGAGGTCTGCTGCTCTGCTGGCCACATGTCTGCCATGCCTGTTCCTGTCATTCAGCAGTCGAATGGGCCTCGAACGACGCCCTGTCCGGTGCTCACATGCTCCAAATGCCAGGACTGTTGGTGGAGCGGCTGAATCCGGCTCTTGACAGACTGGTCGAGCTGAATGGACTTGCATTTGGCCTCGTGTTGGATGGTGTCGACTACATAAACCCGGCTCGTGTCACTCTTGTTGCTCGGTCATGCTCTCCTCCTAGGTAGCAAACTGCAGCTGCTGAAACCCCGTACCATACTTTCTTCCTTGTCCAGTTGGCTGCCAAAGAAGATTCTCAGGGCCTTTGTGGTCACCATGTCTTACCCAACCAGAGATGCTTTTGTCCATGTTGGAACCTGGGACGATGAAACTCGCAAGCATCCTGCAATGAAGTGGATGGAGGACTACACGATCAACTTCAACAAGCGCGGCAATTGGAGCCAGGAGGAATGCGATTGGGTGAGGTTCTCATGCTTTATGAGTGTCTCGTACAATCTTGGTGCGGCTCTTTCGCTTCTCAGTCGCTGACCTGAAGGTCCACAGACTTCTGCAGATGCCACTCTCGTCAAACCCGACGGCTCAGTACACACCGGTAACGCACAGGCCTTTAGCGAAGCCAAGGGCATGTACGCACCGTTCTCCCAGGAATTCCATGAGCCCTATTTCCTGGTCTGCTTCGACACGGACGAGGGTTGGGAGATGATCGGCCAAGCATACTTGTTCGCCAACTGTCAAGGGTCACCAACGGCGCAGGAAAAAAAGGTCCAGGACCTGCAGGGACGGGAATGGGATGTCAAGATTCCGGGTGGCTTTCATTTCGTCTATGCCAAGCAGCAGGGAGCGCCGCATGACGGGATCGTGTTGAAAAGGACAGAGATCATGAGTGATTCGATGCCGGCAGTGCAGATCCTTATGGCGAGGGGAGTCTTGAAGCTGTGAAATGTGTCTTCAGTCCAGACATTTGTCAGAGGAACATGGACCAGGGGACGAAAAATGGACTTGATTTAGCAGGCCGGTAATTACCACTCACTATGCACCGAGGGTCAATGGAGAGCGCATTTCTACCTTCTTGTTTCCCGATAATGCCCTTCTCCCGGGCAAGGTCATACCCTGTCAAACGAGGAGGGTGGTGGTGTCCCCCCAAGTCGAGAACAGAGAGCCAAGAAGAAATCAAAAAGCGTGGAAGCTGACCGGGCTTACCTGCAGTTGTGTTTTAGATCCAAGGGGAGTCGATGTCAGATGCGGCCGCGAAGGACCTGGACGAGGCTGCGTCAGAAAGGGAGGGACTCCTGAAGGAGGCAAGGCTGCTAAAGCGGCGAGGGATGAGAATTTGTGAGATGACTGCGTTCTGCTGCTCGTCAGGCATCCTTTTCATCCTTCTCATCATGTCCTTCTCTTCGTTCCCTCAATGCTGCACGTTGTGTTTTCCTAATCCGATCTAACCCACACCATCCTGGAATTTGCTGGTATTAATATCCACCAATGTGCCACCTCCGCTTCCCTTCCCCGTATTTCTTCGCCTAATCCGGGATCCTCCTTACATCAGATCCGGCTTTGGCTAGTGAGGGATCAAATATACACGGTGATGGGCTGGGGATCCTCTCGTCTCTGTTGGAGCCGATCATTCAATTCCTGGAGTCGCTTGACTAGCCTCGAGAGGCGAGCATCACAGTGCTAGAGCTTGTCGTCGACACTTCCCAAGATGTTGCTATCTTTGATGGTGCGTACAAAGACAGCAACGGTTTGGTCGGAGCAGCCAGCCGAGATCTTTGGGGCTATTTCACACATGTCGGACTTGTCGTTGTTGTTTATTCCGACATCAGGCGCCCTTCCTGGGAGGGACCACTACCAAGAAAGGGAATGACCAGTGGACACCGGCAGGAAGTGGTGGTCGAACTATATCCGGTTCCCAACATAGAGGAGAGAGATTAGTCTGGCTCAGACTCCTCTGCGCCCATGCATGCCCAGAGCCGCGTCAAAGCCAATGAGGAAAAGCCATCCTTTTCAAGAGACAGACTGCAAGGCCTGGAACCTGGAGCATCACCCATAGTGATGGTCCGTGTCGGTACTCTCGAGATCCAAAGAAAGATCTGACAGCGCTGCCAGTCTAGAAACCAGTGTCTATAAAGTCTTTGAATTGTTCGCAACCCTTGGACAATGCCATCAACCGCCTCTCAATCCACTCACTTGACTTACCAGTTTCCTTACGACTTTCATTAGGTCTAATTTGGTTTTCAAGACTTTGTACAAGATTTCCTCGCATTCAGTTATTTTCTTCATTGAGCACCATGAGGACCTCAGTCGTTGCCACCGCGGTTTTCTCCAGCGTCGCTGCTGCAAAGGGGAGCTGGGGCTCCGGGGGAAGCTACCCGCCTTATGCCTCGAAAAACTGCCCATTCATCCCTGCTGATGACCAATTCGTTCTCTTTGCCGAAGACATTCAGACGGTCTCACAAGTCAAGGCAGACCAAGCCTTCCTGAGGTCGCAAGATCTCTACGTCGAGACCGCCTACGATCTGGCCACTGCTTCTCAATTCACCATCCCCGACTTCGCTGCCGGTGCCAACTGCTCCTTGAACCTGGCAGTCCCCAGCCCCGATCAGATCTATGGTGATCTCTCCCAGATCATCTTCAGTGGTGGCGGGAAGTACGTGAATATTCAACCTCTTGCCTTGTCCCTTATCCCACATTATCAACTCTATCTAGCCTACCTATTCTATGGGACATGACTGACGGTTAAATCCAAATGTAGCTTGAACTTCTCTCAACTGCAGAACGAACTTCCGAGCTCTGGCTGTACGTACACTCCTTCCCCCCGCGAGTCATCACGCACATCGCCCAAGTTGACTCTTGACGACCTCCGATGACAAAATTCTGACAAGTTCTGTACAATAGTGACGTTCAACACCCTCGGAAACCTCCAAAACGTCGGGGTCCAGAAAGTGATCCCGGGCAAACTGCTCACCCTCGTCCCCAGCTTCCCCTGCCCACCTCCTGGCACCGTCCTCCCCGGAATCATCCAATCTATCGACACCACACTTGTTATGCGCGACACTGTGGGACCAGTCTGCCTCTCGGGTCTGTTCGTCTTGATTGAGCCTGTTGGAAACCCGCCAAGCCCACCCGCGGCTTCCAGCACGAGCGCATATAAGACGACCAGCTACACTGGAAGCTATACCGGCACCTATAGCACCAACAGCGTTTCTGCCACTTACAGCAGCAAATGGGCGGCTTGAGAGGTCGGAGGTTGAGACGTGGATGGCTTAATAGATACTTGAGACCAGGACAATTGCATAGCGCGGTTAGATATTGTGCATATTTCTTTTTCTTGATTTCGTCTTTCGCAAGAGGCGAATGTACCACTCTCCCTTACTCGCTCCAGAATTGGCGTAACACATAGCTTGTACGAGCTAAATGACAAGAAAAGCATTAGTTCAATTTCTCCCAAAAGTACTAGGTATATATACATTGGTGAACCGCAAGGCTGAGGAGGGAAGAGACGAGGCTGAGTATGTGCTGGTCACGGGGTATGAGATCATCGCCAACCGCCTAGAGCCTCCGACGCGTTTCCGCTGCCACTTGGCGTCCCGCCCGACCCTCAATCCATCGCAGCCGCAGGCTTGTCTGGTCTTGCTGCCACTGCTGCGTCTTACTGAAACCAGCCGTTGACAGTGACTCTTGTACCTCGTCGGATAGAGTGCAGAACCTCCTCCCTGTCATGCGGAGGATTCTGCGTCCTCAGTCACCATGGCGCATTTCCTTCGCGGCAAGCAGGCCGGCATTCAGAATGACCTCTCTACCGGTGTTTCACCAGAATCTTTTATGCTAGACGATGTACGCTCGCTCCCTCTGAGATCTGCAATTATTCGGAGAAGACTGACAATGTCTCAAGTTTGCCCGCTATGGCATCAATTCTCAGATCTCCGTGCTCGCCTATGACCCTGTCCAGTCTCTCCTCGCAGTCGGTACCAATGAATCTCAATTCGGCCCTGGGGTCGTCTATGTCTTTGGCCAGAAGCGAGTCTGTGTGACTTTCACTCCTCCTCGACCTTCATCCATCCGGACCATCCAATTTTGTGCCGACAAAATCCTTGTGCTCGACAGCAAGAACGACGTCAGCGTCTTCAGCCTCGACACCAGGCATCTGCTGGCAAATTATTCCCCTCCCGGCCAGGTCGTTGCCATCCTCTCGGATCCCAGTCTCGACTACTGTTTCTCTGGTTTGCAAAATGGTGGGCCCAATAAGATACGATAGACTGGGATGGGGGAAATTTTGCTGACATCCTTTGGCAGGGGAAATCGTGGCATTTGATTTGGACCGCGAGCATCAAACGGCATTCAAGATCCCCAACCTGTGGCGCGAGCGGAACCCCAGAGCACGGATTCTACCCATTGTATCGATGCAGTTCCATCCCAAGGACATAGGGACATTGCTTATTGGTTACTCCGAGGGCGCCGTCATCTACTCTTTTAAGCAGAACAAAGCAATCAAGTTCTTCCACTACGAACTCCCACCAGGCGCTCGAGGCGGGGATGGAGATCCTTCCAACGCCAACTCCGTACGGCATCCGCGGTTGACACATGCTCTCTGGCACCCAACTGGCACCTTTGTGTTGACGGCCCACGACGACTCGAGTCTGGTGTTCTGGGACCCTCGAGACGGCAGGGTCATCCACGCAAGGACAATTGAGGATACAGATGTCAACGTGCCTGGCGCTGGACAGCCAAGAGATGTACCTAGGAGCCCTCTCACGCCGGTAAGCCCGGGCTTTGGTACAGTGAAGGAGCCGTACTTTCATATTGCATGGTGTTCAAAGGCAAATCCGGATGACACTGGCTTGCTTGTAGCAGGCGGCGCACCGACAACTAACCCCACGAGAGGCCTGACATTCCTCGAACTCGGTCCGACACCAAACTATCAAACCTCGACGTGGGATTTCCTCGCGAACCATTTCCGCCGTCCGAAACGCACACATGTGCTGCCTACACCACCTAATGCCGCGATCAACACGTTTACCCTTATTCCTCGCTCGTCCCCACACTTTGCAGGCTCTCATGATCCGATAGCAGTCATGACTGTTCTCTCGTCTGGTGAAGTGATCACATTGAGCTTCCCCTCTGGACATCCCATCACACCCAGCAACCAGCTACACGTCTCGTTATCTTTCGTACATCCATTTGTGACCAAGACAGCACTCGCATTCGTCGATCGAACTAGGTGGCTCGGCATGCGTGAAGTTCGCCAACATGGTCCGCAGTTTCTGATCGGTGGCGCTGAGGGTATCAAGCCTCTTAAGAGACATGAAAACAGAAATATCGTCCAAGCCGCTCACGCGGACGGGACCATTCGCATATGGGATGCCGGACATGGCGATGTCATTGAAAACCCTGGCGTCCTCCAAGTCGATTTAGGAAAAGCCCTGGGTCGGTGGGATAATCTGGACGTGTCCCAGATGGGCATGTCTGGTGCAACGGGAGAGCTTTCGGTAGGGCTGAAAACCGGGGAACTCGTTGTTTTTCGACTGAACCGCAATCAATTCTTTGGTCAGCCTCCATCTGATCCTGGCTCGAACGAAGGACCTGGCAAAATGCAGGATATCAGCAGACGAGCTGACCCAGGCTTGAAGGAAGGTCTCCTCCCTCTGACCATGACGAATGACCAACAAGGCCCCGTCACCGCTCTGCGACATTCCGATGTTGGCTTTGTGGCAGCTGGTTATGCTGGAGGTGGGGTGACCATTGTTGATCTACGCGGTCCGGCCATCATCCACACAGCTCTTCTCAACGAGATGGTCGGTGGTAAACATCGGAGAGGTAGTGTTCGACGAGCTACGCCGGCCACTCAATCGACAGAATATGCCACTTCGATGGAATTTGGCATCTTGACCCTTGATGGTGATGGTAAGTGTTTTCCATCCCTGGACTCCCGCGGTGTTAACATGTAAATAGATTATTCCTCACTTGCTCTATTTGTGGGAACATCTCGAGGTCGTGTCGCCACGTTCAAAATTCTCCCATCTCAGTCCGGACGGTATTCGGCACAGTCGACAGGTGTGGCCCAAATATCAGAGGACCGGGTCATCTCATTGTGCCCCATTGATACCCACACAGGTGCCCCTGCAGCTGCAACTGGTTATACAATGGGCGGTTTGCAGTCCGGTCGGAAAGTCGATGGCGTCCTTGTGGCAGTCACAGTTTCATCCGCCCACATCTTCCGTCCAGCATCTGCGAAGGGAGCCTCCAAGACTTTCGACCACTACCTGTGTGATTCGGCCACAGTAGCCCGCTACGAAGATCGTGGCTATGCGATTGTCGGGTTATTTGGCGATGGCGCCGCCCGGGCATTCTCAATCCCTGCACTGAAAGAAATTGCGAGCATCCGCGTCAATCATCTCCTTGACACGAAGCGTTTCGGGGACGCGATCGTGTCTCCCACAGGCGATATCCTGGGTTGGGCAGGTCCTAGCGAACTAGCCATGGTTAACGTCTTTGGCTGTGGTACGTCCCTCCCACCTAGCACGGATCGTCTCTACGACGGCACCAAAATGGTTCCTCCTCGACCTACGATCAGCAACCTGCAATGGATCGCGGGTACACAATACATCACTCCCTCAGATATGGACATCCTCATTGGAGGGCCCGACCGACCACCTTCTAAGCGAATGATGGCGGAAATGCGGGCTGCGCAGGAAGCCGAGTTCCAACGACAAAGGGAAGCCGCGCGAACAGGACGGGCGCCCAAGCCTGACCATTCTCAGGAGACGTATTGGGCGTACATGCAGCGGCAGCTTCAAGAGAGAACAGAGAATCTGGGATTGGCGGGTGACAGTCTCGATCGAGCAGCGGAATCCAGCAGTTCGTGGAGCGACGGTGTGGACAAGTTTGTCGCGAAGCAGAAGAGAGCGGCGGCGCTGGGGTTTATTGGATCGAAGCTAGGGTTCTAAAAGATGTGCCGATGGAGTTTGAGCGAGGAGTTTTATGACTTGCACGCCAGCTACACCTCCTGGAAGCCGAGCATGTGCGTGGCAAGGCATGCGCTATCACGAGGCTTGCTGTGCTAATGAATGAGAAAAGAATATAGGTTGCAATGGTCAACTACGTACTGGGCATCTTTGGCGCTGGCCTCGGTGCACAAGTGCACAATATAGATATACGACTTCATCTCCAGCTTCACGGTGTGGCTCAAGCCTTTCTCTTGCTGGAGAGTCTCTATACTGGCATTTTTTTGTGGATTTTTCACACACATTGTCACAGTTTTCTGTCAACAGTTATGGGGAGCTAGCTATACAGCATCTGGATACTCACCATGTCAGAAGAAGGCATTCTATCTATCTATCTAGCTGGCTGGCTGGCTGGCTGACTATGTCTCATTTTGTTTCTGGATCCATTTCCGCCTTTGAATTCCAGGGAGGGGAGAACTGCATACAGGATAAGGAAGGGATCAAGTTTTTACCCTTGTACCTGAGTGCATTGGCCATCATCCACACAAATGTCAGAGGAGTGATCGAGTTGCTCTTCACCCTCCACCCTTCAACAACGACAGTGCCATGACAATGACAATGACGCCGCCGCCGCAAACGGCGAATAAGTCGCGGTCGGTGCCACCGCCCAGCCCCATTGTCTTCTTTGCCTTTCCGGTTTCCGACGTCACCACGACAGCCGCATCCGGAAAACCAGGCAGTCACTCGACCGATACTCGAGAACAAAGAACCGAGAAGGTCTTGTCGTTGTTCTGTTTTCCTTTTTTCGTTTTGTGTGTCTGTGCACGGGTCAGGGGGTTTAGGAACCAATGGTATCTCGAGGGCTAGGATCCCATGATGGTCTGTCCGCCCGTGGGTACGGAGGAGTGACGATGTACGATCTGCGACATACTGGAGGCTGGGCGGTGATGTGTTGGTAGCATATTCCATTGTCAAACGGTCGCGAGGATCTGCCCTGCTTGGCTTTTTTTTGTTTGTTCCCCTCGTTCGTCGATTTCTTTGTTCGTTCAACAATCGCTTTGTTGGGCCTCGCGCCTACATACGTCGGGATTTTGGGCGAGGATTATCGATGGAAGATTCCTAAAGTTCTCGAAGTCGTGGGATCCGGGATTGAGAGCCATCAATCATACCTACCTAGCAAGTCCCCTTTCGGTCTGAGACGGTCGAGTCCAAGTGAATTCCAAGTGAAGTCCAAGTCCGAGTCCGAGTCTCAAGTCTCAGGTCTCAAATCAAGTGAAAGCAAGGCAAGGCAAGGCAAGTCATCCTCGCGAGAGAAAGGAAAAACCCCGTGTAAGTGGTGTGGTGTGAAAAGAACGAGACAAGAGAATCTGCGTACTGGCAAGATGAAGAAGCTGGCACGCACGCTGTCGTCGCGCGGCAGCAATCCAAAATCTCATCCTCCTCCTCATCCACCATCACCCTCAAGTGGTGTCAACCCTCATCATCAAGCGACCCGGGCTCGTGCTCGAACATCCTCCCTGACGAGCCCGATCCCGCCTCACACGCATCTCCATTTCCCGCAGTGCCCACACACCACGCCGCCGACGCCCCGACCGGCCCGGTTGCCGGCCGTGCTGAGGACCGAGGTCGTCGAGAATGTCGTCGCGACAGATACCCCAGACGCTTCAGGGTTGGGTGGCACCGCGGCGGACACGGACCGCAGCAGGGGTGTCGTAGAAGTGCGGCAATTCCTGACCATGCCGACGCACTGTCTCGACTGCACGCTCGCGCTGGCCGCGCAGCATGAATCCTGGATCCGAGAGCTCTGCGACGGCGCGGTGCGGGAGGCGAGGTTGAGGCTCGTCGAACTGAGGTCGGGTCTGGCTGCTGCTCCTGCTCCTGCTCCTGCTCCTGCTCCTGCTGATGCTAATGGCCGTGACCACGCCACCGACGACAAAAAGGAGCAGATCAAGCTCCAAGCCGAGATCCAGCGTCACGAGCAGCGCATCGAAGAACACCTGCGCACGCGGGACGGCGATGTCAAGCAGGTGTGGGACCGCGTGCGTAAGGACTGGGAGGGCGGTGTTCGAGAGGTGGTCAGAGACGACGGCACCGGCGAGGCTGAGGAACGTTGCGTCTTTGTGATGCCCTGGGAAACGGAGGGAGAGGTGGTGGATACGGCGGCTGTGTCTGTGTCTGTCCAGGAAGGGATTGTGGCACAAAAGGGGAGTGTGAAGGTTGCGTGGATACCGATGGGTGTGAGTGAGAGTCAGTGAGGGTAAGTTGAAATACGGAGGGAGGGGGTGGCTTCATTTGGCTCTACTAGGTGCTGTACTCGGTAAATACACGCCTAGTGCCATTCTAGTGCTTTACTAGTGTCATATCCGATACCTAACATATGGTTTTATTGCCGGATCTGGTAAGTGCCAAATATCCAGGGTATTGTAATCTAATCGCGGCAAGCTGGTGCAAGCAATGCCTCACCAAGCCAACCGAATACCTACCGTACCTTAAAAAATGTAATGTGCCAGGCACCGACGTGTTCTGTTCACGTGATATCAGGGTTACACCCCCCAGACACCCCCCTTTTTGACAACCTGGACTTTGATTCTCCCGGGATTTTCTCTCTCATACACTGGCTTGACTGGGTCCCTTGCGAAATGGAATCTGTCGATTCTAAAATGATTTATGTTCTTCCACCACCGGGAACCAAATTCTTGTCTCGCGGGTTTCCTGTCCACCACTCCGTCCTCGTGTCATCCACTCTCCGGCTGATCTGTTCCACTCCGACAGTGAATCTCCAAGTCAGATTAGCTAGACACGAAGCCCAACAGCGTTGATTGTTTGGAGAATTCACGGTAGTTTGCAGATCTTGGTCGTAAGTGCATACAGATTGACCTCAGAACTCGCAACTATATATGTATGTAGTGGTCTGTGGATGTGAGGATGCCTTCCCCCAAAGAGTTAGGTTAAACGAGTGCATGCGGGAAGTCATGAGCTTCTACGGACCTAGAGATCGACAATAAGTGCTTTCATTATTATTGTGCTGGCACGTGGCTGGGTATGTTCTCACCAACTACTGCTTCGAAACTGTCAATCACCCAGAAAGTCAAGAGGGAGGTAAAAACCACATTTCGGCTGGATTGTACGATCGCAATGTGCGCGATTGTTCATCCTCTCGACAACAGAGCAACTCACGGAGATAGATGGCGCCTCAAGATACGATACAGCTATCCCCTCGGGACCCCTCGGGACCCCTCGGGACCCCTCGACACAAATTTTGATGGCACATCACGGGACAGCCAGGTCTCTATCCCTGGAGCAGGTGACACTCTTGCAGCAAGTCTTCAAGCTTCTCCTCATCCCCTGGCCCGTTCCGGCTCCCACCACCCGAGCACTCCCCCTCGTGTTTGGAATGCGCGATCTTGGCCAAATATAGCTTTCGTTGCTGCTTGCGGACGATATTCTCCTCGATGCTCTGCTCCACTACATACCGCCACACCGTCACTGGCTTGTCTTGTCCGATGCGGTGCGCTCGGCCGATAGCTTGCTGTTCTACCATAGGGTTCCAATGTGGCTCCATGAGATGGACATCGGTCGCCTCTGTAAGAGTCAGACCCACAGAGCCTGTTCCAAACGTGACGAGCATCACTCGTACTTCTGGATCCGTCCGGAACGCAGAGAGTGCTCTGGCCCGATCGTCCGGCGAGTGCTTGCCGTCGATACGGACGCATTGAATGCCGTGCCGTTGAAGTCGTCTTTCCAGCAGTGCTAGTGCGTGTAACCAGTATGAGAAAACAAGGCTGTCGTCGTCTTAGCATACCCTCACGGATTCAGGAGCTGTCACTCACCTCTTCCCCGTACCCACAAGGAGCTCCTGGTGTAGCTCTAGGAGCTTGGACGTTACTGCGACAATTTTTGCAGGGGTGAAATTCCCTGTGTCATGCTCTGGCGGGACAAGGGAGGTAACCCCGTCATATGTGCTGGTGGCACCCGGAGAATTGCCAGAGACGAGGTCCTCTTCGACCGCCCCACATATGAGACAGGATACCTCCTCAGCTAATGCTTCGACGCTGTTGTTTGGAGAATTGGCTCGACAGACTTTACAGAGCACATGGCCGCATTGTCCGTGGAAAACCGACGGCCACCCGGCTCTCCTGATGGTCCCGCCACATTGATTACAAGTAACGTTGGGGCCCCAGGCTGAAATTTCGGCAAGCTGGCGTGCAGAGCGGTCTTGCAAACTGATCCCGTCGCAGCAAATCCTCCGCAAGTCTCGGATGCCTAGGAGAGTGCTTATCGAGCGCTGTGCTCTTTTGACCTTGGAGGCCTCAGCCAAGGTTTGGAGGATGCTAGTTTTCACCACATCATATTGCTCGCGTTCCTGGTTGGAAAGCGAGACATTGATCGTGCGTAACGTTACACCGCCTAGGCCTAAGGCCTGTTTCATACGGCGAATCTGAAATACCCTGGTCATACGGCGTAGGTTAGAGAGACCAGTCTCATCACGCCTGGATAGTGGATCCGTGATGAACTTCCTAAACGATCGGGTTGAGTCGAAGGGATGGAATCTGAGCCAGCGAGTGAGAGCGCAAATATCGCTTAAGCCATTCTGGACGGGCGTGCCTGTCAAACACCATCTCCTCTCGGCCTCAAATTCATGCAAGGTTTGGAAGACTTGTGTTGAGGAGTTGCGAATCCAGTGGGCTTCGTCAAGGGCGATTCGGAACCATGAAAACTGACCCAGATGACCAGATGATGATTTTCGTTCCAAGGTGATAGTTTCGTATGTCGTCAGCACAACTTGAGCAGTTGCCAAGTCCGAATGCAGCCTGGATTTCGCCTGGCCGTGATGGACGTAGAGGCGTAAAGCCCTTGCGTCGAGATGTCTAACAGAGGGAGTCAGTGGTGTGCTATGTTCCCCCCCATTGCGGCTTGGACTTACTTGGAAAGCTCGTCTTGCCAATTCTGCAGAGCTGCATCGTGTCAGGAAACTTTTGTTTTCATAGTTCTGGAAGTCTTACTTGAAAAAGGGGTTACGATAAGGGTGGCCCCAATTTTCTGGACCTGGCGCGGAGATGCGGTGTGATTGTCGGCCATGAAGTGTCGAGCCTCTTCCAAGGTATGGATTATCAGTGCCAACAACGAGAGAGACTTCCCCAGTCCCATCTCGTCTGCCAGCAAGCCCCCCACACACTCGTTGACTGGGGCATGCTTTTCCTCCCGAGTCAACTCGTGGACATACCTATCGAGCATTAGAACTATAATCTATGTCATGTATCACTAGCTTGATACTTGCCTTGGTTCGAGGCTGGTCCAATCCCGCTTCCACATTGTTGAGAGGAGATGTGTCTCCTCTGTAGCCTCGCGACGCAGCATAAAATCCAGTGCTTCGATTTGATGACTGTAAAGGAGTTAGAACTGAAGGGTCGATCCAGTGGGGTTCTTACGGCTGCAAGGTTGTCTTGATTCTCGAGTCTTGTTCGAAGGTCGACTGCAGGCCACCGTGATGAGTCTCACACAGTATGTTTTTGATTTCTTGGTCGAAATGGTGGGTATCATCTGACTGCTGGCTTATGAAGAACGGGGTGAGTCCCTCCTCTGTTGTAGAATATACATGAGGATTGGAGTAGGGGATGGATGGATGCAGCACACTGGGCTCCTGTAAGAAGATATGTGCATCCCCAAGACAGATTCCGACACGCTCTCCGTAGGATGCTGGACCGAAGAGGTTTATCTCGCAGGACAGGACCATATGGGCCTGCTTCTTAGAAACATTTCTGATTATTTCGTCGTCGAGGGAGAGGTATACTTCACACCTCAAGCTTGGACACAGTGTCTTCACCTCTTTGATGACCGCCGCGTGTTGCTGGCTTAATTGTGCCACCTCCTGGGCATCGGTGTCGCAAAGGGTGATGCCATCGGATCGAATTCGGATCGAAAAAGCCGTCTCTTTCCTGAGGAATTGGGTAGACGACCGTTGGGAGGAAGGGAAGAGTTTTGCGGAAGCATTGGTTATCTAGGCAATGAGCAGAGAACTGCAATGATGTCGATGGATTTCTTACCAGTCCGTAGCAAACAGTAGTCGCTTCATCGGCCTTAACCAAAGGTTCTTTCTCCTCGGTGCTCCGAGAAGTGGAGAAAGTGTCAGAGTCGATTGCAGGGCCCGAAGACGTCTCGTCAAGGGGTTCAGCGTCGGCCCGGTGAGGTTCGTCGCGAGCCGCGAGCCTCGCCGAGGATTCCAAGGAATGCTCTCGACTTTCGTAGAGGTCAACATGGCAATTTTCAGCCAATTGGTCATTGAGGCAGGTTTCGGAAAATGGCTCTTGTGGGATCTCGAGGTCATGGTGGTCTTTGGTGTCTGTCGGTCTGTTCAGCTGCGCAGTTGACCAGAGGTTGATGTCAAGCGGGCGAACCAGATCCGGGCAAGTGTCGACATCCCCCAACGCAGTCGACCACGATCTTTTCTTCGTGAGCTCCATGCTTTGTGTTTCATTGTGCAAGAGGTTGATGTTCTTGTGTCATTAGATCGTCCCGATGGCCTTTACTGGGGAGAGACTCGGGCAACCACACCTGCGACCTTGATCGCAAATCTGCCTCGCCTGCAAGGCAACCTTGACAACCTGCAGGATGAGGCTGATCAGGCGCATCTAGCAGACTGCCACGTTGCGCTGGTGGCGATGCCCCTCGCTTTGTTTCTTTTCTGATGTGGCAGCCTGCCACCCACCTTGTTCCTCCCTTGCTCACTTTCACCCATCCTTCCAAGGTCACAACAAGGTGATGCAGCAGATCGGTCAAGATGGCGACTGTGACACACGCAGATCCTGCGAGCTCCATGGCTCTTGTATCGTCTCTGTTCGCTGACGCTAGTATGGACTTCAAGAGCAAGGTCCCGGACCACCTTGTTCCAACCTTTGACGAGATCAGAACTCTTCAAGATCTGGAATGTGCTATTCGAGACATTGAGGCAAGTCAGGGAGGCAGAAAATCACTCCGCTATTTGAGCAAGATCAAGCCATATCTCAATGCCTTGGACGAATACTCGAAGGTCATCGAAGTGTTTGTCAATGCAAAGCCTGAAATCATGGCCTTTGTCTGGGGGCCCATCAAGCTGTGCTTGTTGGTAAAGTGTCCTCCTCATCCTACAGCGGGACTTCAACTGATGACCTGGACCAGATCGCCTCAAAGCATGAGAAGGCATTTGGTTCTCTCCTTTCAGCCTATGTCAAGATCAAAGACGCTCTGCCCCATTTCTCTGCTGTCGAACAATTGTTTGAGAACAACCTGCAGATGAGACACGTTCTAGTCAACCTCTACAAAGACATTCTTGCCTTTCACCTGCGGGTCCTCACTTTCTTCTCCAGACCTGGTAGGTGTCTCATGCCGTTTGACATGGCAGATCTCGCAGGCTCATGAGTTAGGCTGGAGCATAGCGTTCCGCGTTACGTGTAGAGCGTTTGATGATATGTTTGGTGATATTGTCACCAATCTCGAGCGTTCAAAAGAGCTTTTCTACTCTTCAGCAAGCATTGCGCATTACCAAGCTGCCCAGGAAGCACGGCAACAGATCGAGGTCATCTTCAAAACACAACAAGAGACAGTCCGAATAGAGAAAAGAACCTACGTGCATGGATGGCTCAGTCCTCCTGAGCATCGCGAACGGCACGAACAGCTCTGTGAACTCCGGTCAGAATATCCACAAACAGCACAGTGGATTTTTGAAGAGCCATGTTGGAAAAACTGGCTCAACAACGAAGAGCAAAGTGGTAGGATCTTATGGGTGTCGGGAATCCCGGGAGCGGGTATAACACTGCACTGTCAGTTACCTCTGCATCGCTTTGCTGACTGCAACAGGCAAGACTGTGATATTTAGTGCCATGGTCGAATCTCTGATCCTCCGATCCAAGTCGAACTCATCGTGTGCGGTCGCTTACGTTTACTGCAAGTACAATGACCGCCAAAGAAATAGTTTTGCGGAGTTGGCTCGATCTTTGATTCATCAGCTCGCTGGCATGAATGAAATCTGTGGAGACTATTTGTACGACACTGCCACAAATAGTATGGAGAGCAAGGCCCGTGGGAAGCAAGTGCTCACGACTATAACTCAAGATGTCCTCCAGTGCTACGAAGAGGTGTTCATTGGAATCGATGGACTCGATGAGTGCGAGAAGGACCAACGACGACCAGTCCTTGACTTTCTCAAAGAACTGTTCAAGCTCTCTCTCCGGGGTTGCAGTCTTCGTTTGTTCTTAACAAGCCAAGGAGAGCGTGACATTGAGAAATTCATGGCCTTGGCCCGCTACCATGTGAAGATTGGGCCACTCCATCTGTCGAGGGATATTCTCTGCTACGTAGAGAGGCGAAGTGCAGAGCTGACCCGGTTCAATTTGACAAGCCAACAGATACGTGATCTGAACAGGGAGGTTTCCGCAAGATGTGCCGGTGAGTCCACAGCTTTTACTTGTCCTAGACCGAGAGCTAAGTTTGAGCGAGGCATGTTTCTTCTGGCGAGACTCATATTTGATTTATTTGAGCGCTGTGTGACTCGCGCAGACTTCGATGATGAGTACACCGGGAAAGGTCTTCCTAGTGGTATTGACGAGGCGTAAGCATACTACTCCGAGGTTCAAATGGTAAGGCATGCACTAATGTCCCTGTTCAAGGTATGGTCGGATACTGTCCCAAGTCAGGAAAAGAGAGAACGAATCCGGACGAGCCAGGGCAAAGCCAGTCTTGGAAATCCTCAGCTGCGCGAAACGGAAGCTTTACGTCCACGAGCTACAAGGCATGCTTTCGATGGATACGACTAATCGCCAGATCGATTTCAGCCGTGGAAGGTATACCCAGCACTTCAAAGAGATATGTGGACCGCTCGTGGAGCTAAACTTGGATGGAAGTGTCGATTTTGCACATCAAACAGTCAAAGAGTAAGGCTCGATCCCTTCATGAAAGATCCAGCACTCATTTCTGCAGCTATCTTGATCAGTATCACTCGGAGTATGTCAACCTTGGATCTGCCGCCTTCCACTCTGCTGGCATACTCACGTCCTACCTTTCACTCGATTGCTTCGCTTCTACACATCAAGACGAACAGCTGATTGAAGCAGCCGAAAAAGGATGCTTCTCTTTCTACAAATATGCTGTCTTCTATTGGCTACTTCACATCCAATGCCTAGGGGAAACCGGTCTCATAGAGGCTCGAATCAATATGAGTCTCTGCAGGGACGTCCAGGCCACATACCGAAATTTGATTTCCTTCTCTGAGGTGGCTTATGACGATCAAGATGACATGCAGCTTGATGGGGGCGCCAACTTTACACTGTTACTTGTACAAACAGATTCCTTGTACGAGGGGCTTTTGCAAAGTGATGGTATGACCAAGCCGTATGCTAGTCAGGATTGCATAATGACCAGTGTTACAGGTGAGGGCTCACCAATCGTGCGACAGATATCTCGCATTCAGCGGGCTATCGAGGCCGTCATCTCTACCGAAACGGACCGTGACAAGAAGGGATTCCTCAAAGACGCTTATGGTCCCCGGCCGTACCACTGTCCAACCCTCTCGTGCTTACGATTTCATGACGGTTTCTCAACCCCCGAGGAGAGAGACAATCACCACCGAACCCATGAAAGGTCGTTTCTGTGCCCCTTTCAAGATTGCAGCTTCCACTCCGTTGGATTTCCGACCAAGAGGACCCTTGACGCGCACGTTGACGCATTCCATGTGGCAAGTATAGTACCACAGTTTTCGAACATGAAAACCTGCTCGATTTGGGTTTCTTTGCAGAATATTGTCAAAACTGATGACGAAACGTTAGTCGGTGACATGTGCATCGAAGCTGCAAAGCATCCAGAAAAACCACCAGGGCTGGTTGCCCATGCCATTGAGAAGGGTCACTTTAATTCGGCACGCGCCTTGCTTCACCATTTCCATGGCCCCGATGACCTAGTTTCTGGAAAAGACGGACAAGGAAGACTCATCCATGCACTGGCAAGGGCTGGCGAACTAGGTATGTTGCGACAAATCCGCACCCGCTGCCCATCGCTGCAGTGGGCGCAGCGGGAATATGTGGATGCCTGTATTGCGGCTATGGATAAAGGTCACAAGGATATGGTCTTATTCTTGCTTGATCAAGCGTGCCTCCAGGATTCTTACCTTGGCCGGGTACATTCTGCTAGGCTCATTGGGAGAGCAGCACGAGCTGGTTATGGAGATCAGCTGTCGATAGTTCTCGACAAAGTCGGCCATCTCTGTTCGCCGAAGTATTTTGCTGCTTGCTGTCTACAGATAGCTGGCGAAGACAACGCAGCGGCTCTGAAACCAGTCTTGACCACCTTCTTGAATGCGTATGGCCCCCAAGCCAAGAAGTCTAAGCGGTTCAAGCACTTGTATGAGCTACCTATCGGCGATGCAGTGACGAGGCTGATCGAAGAAACGGTGAGATATTCGCAGGGCAAAGAGGGCGGGAGCTTCAAATCTGCATTCCAGCGTGCAGCACTCCGTGGAGACGTTGACCAGCTGACAAGGATGCTGGATTTGGGGATTGACATCAACTGTAGCAGCGGGCAATATGGCACCGCGCTGCAGGCTGCATCCAAAAAGGGCCATGTCCATGTAGTCCGCCTCTTAATCGACCGTGGTGCTCAGGTTGGGATCTTGGGCGGCAAATATGGCCACGCTGTTGCCGCCGCTACCGCCAAAGGCCAGCTGGAAACTTTGGAAATCTTGCTTGCAGCTGGCGCAGATGTATCACAAGAGGCTCAGGCGAACCCCGGGAAGGGACGTCGGAGTACCGGGCTCCCTCTAGTATCCCGTCCTAAAGCAGCGCCTCCTCTGCATTTCGCCGCAAGTGAAATGCAGGAGGGAACATTGCGAGCGTTGATCGAGGCCGGAGCCGACGTGAGGGCGGTCGACAGCAACGGCGACACTGCCTTACATATGTGTGTCCTAGGCCCATTCCACATCGTTTCGCCATGGATATTCCGGTCCGGGCTTCCCTCCTGGACGGATCCCTCGGTCGCAAGGAGAATCCGGCGTTCGAGCTGCATAATTGCAAAGTTGCTTTTAGAACGAGGCGCCCTAGCCACGGCGCAGAACGAGGCCGGCAACTCTCCCCTACATCTGCTCTTGGCTACTTACGACAGTATCAACAAGTCGTATGGATCCCACCCCTGTACCGTGCAAATGGCAAAGATGTTATTCGAGGCTGGCGCTAGCTTTGATCAACTGAACAATGACAGCAAAAGCGCAAGGGACGTAGCCATCCAGACGGGCGGACAAGATCTAGAGGACCTGAAACGTGAAATTCCAAGTGCATGGGAAGGGCATAACCGCTCCGATCTCGACTGTGAGATGCGCGGGCACTTTGAGCCTCGCAAGGATTTGTCACAGTTTGCGTCCCCTGCACTGGGACTGGGGCCTTCGGCATCTCAGAGCCCTGGTGGTCCGTTCGAAACAAAGCCCTCATACGCCCCTCTGGAAGCAGAGCAGCGGCCAACGACTCCCGCTGATGATACATCTATCCTGTCTCCCCTTGTGACCGATTACCAATATACGCCTGGAGACGGAACATACGGCGCGGCTGACGGGGTAAATGCGCCCGGTGTCTACGAAGAAGATCTGTCGAGCAACGGTCTCCACGACCCGGATTCTGAGCTGTTGACGAACCCCTGGCGAGACGCTTGAGACGAGCGCCAGAAGAACCAAACTACGGGGGGATACCGAGAAGCATAGAAACACAAGGAGAGGCAGGCGGATCAAATACACAATTGCACGACAGGGAGCACTACCCTCGCAGACTCCTTGGTTTCGAGGTCGCAGAGACTCAAGTTCTTGTTCCAAGAGGACAATAATGGCACTAGCTATGTCTATCGCACACGAAATATCAGAGCATTCGAACCTCCTCATCTCCGACACCGATCAAGTCGACTTGGACTGCGCCTTGGCCATGCTTCTCGTGACGCGCTTCGCCGGGCCATCCTGGGACTGTGCAGCGCCTTTCTTGACGGGGGCAGCTTTCTTCTCGGACGTCTTCTTCTTGGTAACCTTTGTGCTGGCGGCGGCAATCTTGGGCTCGGTAGTCTTCTTAGTAGCCTTGGCCTTGTCCTTTGGCTTAGCTTTTGTCGTTTTCTTCGGGGCCGCTTCGCTGTTGGGTCCTGGTTGTTGTTGTGCTGCAGCAGCAGCAGCAGCAGTAGTAGGTTTGTCGATCTCAGCCTTGTCCTTCAGATCCTGCTTCTGCTTCTCCTGCGTCTCCTGCGTCTCCTCGTCCGGCTTCTCCTTCTTCGCCTCCACCTCCACCTCACCAGTCTTCTCCGGGGCAGCTCCATAGGTGGATGTCATCGTCCCTTTTGACTTGTTTGGGACCTTCCTCGGCGGAGGAAGAGGGGCGACCTCGTCCTCGGACCAGTACGGGGAAAGGTCCGCAGGCATGACATCGGGAATGCTGACGGCCGGCGGCGCCAGGGGTTCGTTTTCCTTTTCCGGCTTGGGAGGACTCGTCGCCGTCTTCTTCTGCTTCTCCTTCTTCTTCTTCTTCTCCTTCTTCTTGTCCTCCTCGTTCGCCACCACCATATTCTTCTTCTTCGTCACCTTCGTCGGTTTTCCCAAACTCTTCGCCTTCTTCGAAGGACCGGCAACCTTTGTCTTCTTCGACCCCGAAGCTTTTGCGCCAGGCGCGGGAGTCGGACTCACGTACGCCGGGCCCAGCGCGTCCTTGATGGCCTGCTTGAGCGCCCGCTTCGTCTTGTACTTTGGCGACACGATGGGCGGAGCGCCGCCCGCGGCGAATTCGTCTGCCGTGTTGGCGGCGGCGGCGGCCTGGGCCCGACTCCTCGTCCTTCTAGAGGTCACTATCGGGTCCGAGTCCGGAGTGCTCAATCGTCGCGCCCTGGGTGGTTGTCCGCGCGACGGCGGCGGCGGCGGCGGCGCTGCAGTGGCTGGGATGGGACCTTTGGACTTGGCCTTGCCGGTCTTGGACACTCCGGCTGCCTCGCTGGCTTTGCCTCGGGGGCTAGGAGGGGGAGATTTCTGCATGGACCCCTTGAGTCAGCGGGCCAAATCGACAGTAGTATTCCAACATCCCTCCAGAAGAGAGAGGGAGGGAGAGGATGGAGGGAGAGATCATCCATTCCGAGGCCAGCGAGGTTTCGCTATTCGACTTACATTCGATGTCATCTTTCTGCAATTCTATTGTTCTCTTGCCCTTGATCCTTCCCTGCCTGTCAGGCAACTCAACCGAGCTGTATATCTCCTGCGGTGCGAGTAAAAAAAAAAAGGGAAACGAGATAGGAAAAATCCAGACACAGAGGACGAGGAAGGGAAGCCCATGACCCGAATTTTGAACGGGAAAAGGACATGCATGCATGATTGCTCGCCTGCTCGCCTGCTCTCTTGTTCATGGCTTTCTTTCTTTCTTTCTTTCTTGGTCGCATTTGGGTGCCAACCATGGACAACAAAGGAAAAATGACCAGATGGAAAAACCAAGAGAGCACGCCAGTCAAGTCTTGTCAAGTCCGCGCGCGAATGCATCCGGCGCAGAAAACAAGAGGCCAAGAAACAAAGCCATCGACCTTCGCTGAAAACGGCCCTGGCCCACGAAGCCGGACATATCGCCCTCATATTGTCGGTGCCTGTGTTCTGGGACAAGCCAGTCAGCAAAGCACCTAGCGAGGCTCGCCGCGGGCTTTGTCTTGGATGAGAGCGCATGCAGCGCAGCTGAGATCGCGAGTCAGGTAAGGTGAGAGAATGAGGGATCACAAAAAGAAAAGGCTGCGTGTGCACAGGTAGCGAGCAAAAAGTGGGTTCGGGGCAACGGACAGGTCCTGAAGAATGTGGAATGAAACGTGGGGAATTCCTCTGGATTCCTCGACAGCAGTCCCTTCATATCCAGGGTAGATAAGCAGTAACACCATCGCTGGCTAGCCCCTTGATCGCATCGCCTTGTCCAAATCCATCATCTTTCCAAAATTTGGCGGGTAGATCAATCCACTATAGTAACAATCGTGTAATTATGTGTCTTTATGTTTCTTTCGTCAGACTGCGTTCAGGTCGTCAAATGCCGTCGTGTGAAACCCGTACGAAGGACGGCGCTAACATTTTTGGATATATTCGCTCGAAAATGTCCCTTGGGATTCCCCGGGAGGTGCAAAGGTTGTTGTCATGTGTACATCGAGGTCGATATTCAACCGCCTAGCCCAGCACCGTCAACGTTTCTCAGCTTCGCAGCCAATGTGGTGTCGTAGAAGTTGTAGTATGGGTCGGGGATACAAAAGGTAGAATGTCGAAGCAGGGTGTCGGCTGTCGGTCGATCGGTCGGGTTGCTGTTTATCCATTAGTACACGAGAAACCCATGGCCAGCGGTCAAGACTTACACTTGGAAGCAGTCATACATGAAGTTCAGCCCGTCAACCGAAGCTGTCGACTGTACGTCTTCAGGAATAGGCGGTGCTTGACTGAGACTTCCCAGCTTGAAGATGGCACCGATGGCTTCTTCTCGGCTCCATGGTCGCTTTCCTGCAAACATTTCCAAAACCACACAACCAAGCGACCAGATATCGACTTTGGCACTATAACCCTGGCCGTGGGATCGGATCACTTCAGGGGCCATCCAGAACACCGAGCCTTGCATACTGTTGGTAACGTCGTTGCCGTAGATGTTGTCAGACTTTTTAGAGATGCCAAAATCCGAGATCTTGCATGTGCCATCAAGGTCGAGGAGGATGTTGTCAGCTTTCAAATCACGGTGCAGAATGCCTTCTTGGTGGAGGTATGCCAGTCCTTCCAAGGTCTGTCGCGTAAGTGATCGCACCACAGACTCCTCGAACTTTCCATGCTTGCGCAGACAGCTGCCGATGGAGCCACCAGGAATATACTCGAGATAGATACTGATAGAGAACTGACTCCGTTCGCAAGCAAGGTATTGCACAATGTTAGGATGCTCAAGATGCTGCATGGTGTCGATCTCTTGGTCCAGAGCAGCAACCATTTCTTTGATGCGATCTTTGTCTTGACCCGCAGCTTTCTGATTGACCTCGACCTGTTTGACGGCCAGGAACTCACCGGTTGTCGCATTCATGCCGAGGTACACACGTCCATAGGTGCCCTTGCCGATAAGTTGACCGCGAATGATTTTGAAGGTGGCCTGCCGCTTGGGCGTCTCGTCCGTGGGAACTTCTTCCTGAGGGATAGGATCAAGCGTGGATAATCGACTGCCTGGTTTTGGTCTGATCTGCACGATATGCGCACCAAACATCTTCGTAGACTTCCGGCGAACAATGCTGCTTGCATTATTCTGTTCCACGCGGGCGGCCACCGAAGGGCCTCGCTTGATGTCGTTGCGCTTCTGAGCAACCTCACGGATAGACTTCATCCTAGAAATGCCTCCTGTCGCTTTGCCAACTTGCCTCTGTGCAACACTTGCAACCCTATCACGATCCTTTGCCTTGAGAGTGGACTCGTCAGACCCCAGAGTATCCGATTCGCTCTTACGGCTGAACTCAAGATCCAGTCCGGCGGTGCCAAAGGTCACACTGGTGGAAGGTCCCTGGAGGGCGTCAAGGGGATCCTGATCCGTCGTCCTCATGGGCGAGTTGTTGTCGCCTTTCTCTTCTAGGTACGGCTTATCGAGATCGACGCCTGGGAAGAATTCGTCGAGATGATGAACGACATTTTCCACCGCCGGTCGATTCGCCCAGATGTCACTGATGAACGAATCTCTCCTATTCATTCGGTCATCTGGTGACTGGGCAGATCCACTGAAACTGCCGTCGGAGAGACTGCGGTCGTAGCCCTCTCCACTGGCCGTGGCGCTATCGTCGCCAGTGTTTTGCATGCCACTGGATGAGCTTGGCGACTTGAACCGTACGTTCTTGCTGATATTTTGGTCTGTATCCACGGTCAAGGTAGGTCTCTGATCTTTACTGCGCAACGGCATATCGTCCTTAGACAAGGACTTATTTGTCAGGGGGATTGCGAACAGTCCATCATCCGAGTCATCGTCCGAATCATCCTTGAGCGGATGGGGCGAAGGAGCAAAGGAAACGTTGGTCTCCTTGAATTCAAGATCCGGTCCGTACGACTTTCGGGTTTGCAGGAATGGCCGTGGTGCCGCCTCAGTCGAAGGACTGACCGCCGGTGAAGGACCAAAGCGCCGAGCACTCTCCAAAGCAGCATTCCGTGCCCGGCTCTCTTGGTTGGTATCGGCGAAACCTTCTTCATAGTTAGGAACTTTGAACAGCATATCACCTTTGCCCCGTGTAAAGTCGGGACGAAAGGACCCACCTGAATTACTGCGACCGAATTCAACACCCCTTCTATCTTGTTGCGGCCCTTGGCTGCCCAAAGTGGCTGGAGCGCCAGCCATCTTGCCAACATTGGCCAACGCGGCACCAATGCCACCAGAAGGAAGGGCCGCGAAAGCGGCTTTCTTCTTTGCACGCTCTGCGTCTTCTTCAGCAATGGGATCAGAGATTCGCTTCAAGGCATCGAGGGATGATCGATTGCCAGATCCTTTGGCCCGAAGAGAATTGACCTTGGTCAGCGTGGTGGATTCCGCAGGTGCTGTGGGTGGCCGTCGGACTGGCACAAGATTTTCGACCTTCTTCTCTTCGAACGGTGACAGGCGGGGACTGTCAAAGTCTATGACCGTGCTTCCTCGAATTCCACCACCACTGTATGTGGAAGTCGACTCTTTTTGAGCTCGACGAGATTCCAGGTAAGCCCTTTGTTTGGCCTCCGTCTGTCGTCGATATTCTTCAGCCTGCTTTTGCATGAGAGCAGGGTCAGTGACCAGTGATTCGGCTACAGGAGATGTATACCCATTGCGACTGATGCCACCAGACGAGTTTGATTTGACCATGGGTGGAGCTCTTTCGACCTGGCCCTTTTGGCCAAAAGAAACCCCGAGGCCAGCTGACTGAGTCGCCGAGCCAGGAACTGCGGAGAGTATAGGACTCTGAACGTACAGCTTGAAGCTGCCTAGGTTATCTGTCCGGTTCCGTATGGCGACAAGCATACCGTCCGAGAGTGCCGTTTCGTGCTCTGTTTGACCGGGCTCGGTAATAAAAATCTGTGCATATTCGGCGTCTGGTATCCCAAGCTCGATACAGATGAGACTGCGAAGGGCGATGGCCGTCTCCACTTCCGTAACGTCCACAAGCCGGTAGTTCCAACAGTCTGGCGTCACAAAAATGTATCTTCTTGATACATTGGGTCCTCGACGACCGGCTATCAGTGCCTTCTCATCTTCACTCGTTACAGAAGCCGGGCGTTGGAATAGTGCCGAGTCGCTACCATTCGCGCTGGGTCTTGCAAATAGCTTCAATGGACCAGGGCTTGTCGGTGACTCCAAAGGATGTTCATCTGACTGGGCCTGATTGTGCTCATGCCTCTTCCTCATAAACTTACTGAGAAAGCCTTTGCTGTGATCTTTGCCTCCCGGACCCGGGGCATAGTCATTGCTCCAAGTCCTGTGAGATTCTAGGGGCGAAGGTCTAGTCATCTCTTGTGCGTCACGCCTATCTGCATAAAAGCGTTCTGAGCCTCCAGATGACGTGTTGCTCCTTTCATAGGGACCTTGCATGTTGACATTCGAGCGAGAGTGGCTTGATGCTTTGAGCATAGAATCGGTGCTGTTGCTCTTGCTATGATCTGGTCGCTGTGTCTGAGAAGAGGTACTTGTAGCCGAAACAGGGATTGCACTTCCAAGACCTGGGCTGGCACTCGGAGAGGCATCAAACGTCTTGGGCAACAGACCCGTGGAACCGTCGCCCGAAAGATTGGGGCTATGTCGTCCTCGGTTGTTCATGCTGGTCAGAACGCCCCTTGTGTAATCTGTGCGCCCTGCGCCGGGAAAATTGTCTGCTGGCCGTGGGTCGCTTGGGGTTGAGGAAGCGCTACTATGTTTGCTGAGAACAGGCATGGTACTACTTCGACCCTGTGAATTTCGAGGCCCTAATCCTGTCGGGAATTGCGGAGGCATCTGCTTGCCAGGGCTTCCTTCTGGACCAGCCGTTCCAGGTGCGCTACCAAATTCAGATCGGGGAAGATGAGGCGAAGTTTCCAGATTTCCCTCAGTTGACGCACTCGGAATCATACCAGACTCTCGCCTCCGATGACCAGTGCCTGCACTGGCTGGACCCTCACCTCCCTGTTCGACAAGGCGAGAGATTAGCTTCCGTAATCTCTTGCCCTCTTCCCGCTCGCGAGCCTGGTCCCAACCAGTATTGCCGCTCGAACAGACCTTTGCGAGCTGTGGGTAAATGGTCTGATGCATCATGCCCAAGTTCCCACGGCCATTCGGTCCCCGGCCAAGGTCGAGAAAGTCGGAACCTTGCAGCTTCAACAACCTAAAGGTCTCCTGCCAATCATTTGAGAATCCATTCGCAGCCAGCCAAGCAAGGACGCGATCCAAGGGCCACTGCGAAGACAACTCGGCCGAGTTGCTGCCCGTGACGGCAGCACTGTGCGCTCGCTGTCGACCCTGGTCAGTGCTTGACTGTTGATTGACCAAGGTTGCGGTTGGGGGACCTGGAGAGATGGGTTCGTTGATCTCGCGAAGGGGTAAAGTGAAAGCGGCCCTATTTGAAGAAGCGGAGGCTGCCCGATTTTCTCTATTGGCAATATCCGGGTTCGGATGTATCGGATTGGGATATGAGTAGCTATGTGAATTAGTGGAAGTGTCAGAATATTTCTGATCTGAGTGAGACAATGAAGGCTCGGAAGTGAATTGGGCATCATATCGCGAGTATGAAGAGTAATCGTCGAGGGGTGGAATGCCGACGCCGGGCCCAAACGAATCCCCAGTGGGAATAAATGTGGCGGACAGGATGGGTTTGTCATTCTGCGGAGGCGGCGGCGGAATATTCAGCTGTCGCATACCGTAGGATAGGTGTTGTCCCTGTCCCTGGGTATGATTTGTTGGCGGAGGAGGTGGTATATTCTGGCCCAAGCCTGATCTTCCCCATGGCTGCTGCCATCCTGCGCCTGGCAGCCCGAAAACTGTCCCAAGGGGTAGGGCGGAGGGATGTGGTCCCGGTGGAGGGGGAGGAAGATTCGATTGAAGATACGGTCGCGGAGGAGGCGGTGGAAGATGGCCTAGAGTGCCTTGTCCCGGGGGAGGGGGGGGCCCAGGAATATATTGTTGTTGTCTCTGGTTATCCATTATCTGGCCGTTGGAGACCATCCTTCAAAGGTCGGTCGATTGCTTAGAGGTGAATCAAGCAAAAAGTATCATTCGACCCCAACAAAGCCAGGTGGCTATGTTTGCAGTCGGACAGACGAGAGTTTTATTGCCTGCGATTCCAGTTTTCCTAGCTTTTTTCGGGACCTGGACTCTCACGGTCGCAAGTCTGACACAGCTCCTCAATGGACTCTATCCACGCCACTTTTCGGCTTCGAGTCGAGCAGAGCGACGAGGCGCACGCCTGGACAAAGCACAATGTCACAGACACATGATAGAAGGAGTGAGCTCGCTAGTAGACGGACTAGTGAACAGATAAAAGACGAGGAAGCGGCATCGACGACTGATACGAAGTAAAGGAAATGGTTGGTGTTTGTAGAACTGAGGAAACGGCGGACACTCCCACGTGCAGTTGGTGACAGCAACGGGCGACGAGCGCTGATATATCCGCAGAAGATGGCGTCGGCGTCTTAACTATGAGTGAGAGGGGTGTAAGCGGAATAGGATGTCGACGACGGTGAGAATTGAGAAAGTCGCAGTCCGAGCGCAGTTGAACTGGGGTATGGGACAAGTGGCTGATGAGCGGCAACCTGTGATTTGGGGCCGAAGGAACCCAGAAGGCTGACCTGGGCAAGCCTACAAAGCCGGAAGAGGCTAGATCGGGGCTAATGAGGCTGTCGGCTGGTATGCCCAATGGAGGTGGCGGAATAAGCGCGTAGCTGGAGGGAAAAGGCCTCGAGGGCATCGGAGCCCAACTACTGGCTCCCGCCCCCAACGCGATGAACAAATACCTGGACACTGGGCGCTGGCTAGTGGGGGGTCGCTTGATAGGGACCTCTTTACCTAGAGTTACCCACCTGGGCATGGTGGGCGTGCCTAAGGGCCTCGGCGTGCTAGGTAGGCACAGTACTTGTTAGGTTTGGAGGTACGAGTAAGCTTTGCTCCCAGATAATCCAGCTGCCAGCAATATTTATACGCAGTGCCACGTTTCTCCCCAGCAGGTTGCACAACAGCCCTGGCGGCCGTGGCAGCTTAGAATGCCTCACATAAGGATGCACCAGATGCTTTGTTCGAATTATCACAAGCTTTTGCTCTGGCGTGGTGGGCTGATGTTGCGCGTCACATCATACCACTCTTGCATCACAAAGCATCATGATCCCAGCTTTTTCCCTGTTACATCTGCTTCTCGTTGACCGTAAAGTTCATCTCAACATTCTTGCCGGCCTTCCGCTGCAGACCTCAATGCTTATCATGCCCGACGCGATCGGAGCATCTCGTGAATTTCTTATAAAATCTACCTCATCCCCAGTTCTGTGGACGTAGTTTCCTGTCCACCGTCTCTCAATTGTTTTTTCTTCTTCTTCTCCGTGTCCCTCCTCTTGTAGTGTGCTCGTCCTCAATCATGGCCGATCTGACCGAAATGCTGAGAGAGCCCGTGGATGTTGCTACTTATCTCTTCACTAGGCTGAAGCAGATGGGCATCGACTCTGTCCATGGACTTCCGGGTGATTTCAATCTGGTGGCTCTGGATTATCTCGAGGGCTGCGGTCTTCAATGGGTGGGAAACTGCAATGAGCTCAACGCCGGCTACGCCGCCGATGGCTATGCTCGAGTGAAAGGGATATCAGCTATTATCACCACCTTTGGAGTGGGGGAGCTGTCTCTGCTCAATGCAACCGCAGGAAGGCGAGTCACGTGGTCTCGGAATGGATGTCTCTGATACAACTCACTAACTTGTTCATTTCAGCTTCGCCGAGTTCGTGCCAGTGGTGCATATCGTCGGGACACCTAGTACCATATCTCAGAAAAATGGCATGCTTCTGCATCATACCCTGGGCAACGGCAACTTCAATGTTTTCGCCGAGATGGCTGCCCATGTGGCAGTCAACGTCGCCAAATTGAAGGACCATCGCGATATCGCCTCACAAATCGACAATGCGTTGCGCGAGTGCTATCTTCTCAGTCGGCCCGTTTACCTGACGCTCCCGACAGACATGGTCAAACGGAAGGTTGAGGGTCAACGACTCAAGACCCAACTGGACCTGAGCCCGCACAAGAATGACCCAGAAAAGGAAGAGTACGTGGTCGACGTGATTCTGAAGTATCTCACCGCGGCCAAGAACCCCGTCATTCTGGTTGACAGCTGCGCCATTCGTCACCGCGTGCTGCCCGAGACCCACGAGCTGATCGAGAAATCGGGTCTACCGGTGTTCGTGGCGCCCATGGGCAAAGGCGCCGTCGATGAAACCTTGCCTAACTTCGGCGGTATCTATGCAGGAGCTGCGTCCAACCCTGGAGTCCAGGAGCGTGTTGAAGGGGCAGACTTGCTCCTGACCATCGGCAGCGTCAAGTCCGACTTCAACACGGCCGGATTCTCCTACCGAACCTCGCAACTGAAAACCATCGACTTTCACAGTACGTACATGCGAGTGCGGTGGTCAGAGTACCCCGGGGTTGGCATGAAAGGCGTCCTCCGCAGACTCATCGACCGACTACCCAAGCTCGACGTTCAGCCTGGACCTACATTACAACAGAAACAGATCCCCGAAGATGAAAATCCTAACGACACTGCCATCACGCACCGTTGGTTCTGGCCGCGGTTGGGACAGTGGCTGCGTGACGGCGACGTTGTGCTCACCGAGACTGGAACGTCCAACTATGGCATATTTGATACTCGATTCCCTCCAAATGTGACGAACATCAGCCAGATTCTATGGGGGAGTATTGGTTATGCGACCGGCGCATGTCAGGGTGTAGCATTGGCCGCCAAAGAGCTCGGTGGTAACCGTCGGACAATTCTCTTCACCGGCGACGGCAGCTTCCAGCTTACATGCCAGGAAGTGAGCACGATGATCCGGCATAACCTCAACCCAATCATCTTCATTGTCTGCAACAACGGTTACACCATTGAACGCTTCATCCACGGTATGGAAGCCGGCTACAACGACATCCAGAACTGGAAATACAAGGATCTGGTCCCAGCCTTTGGAGCAACAGAAGGCAGCTACAAAACATACCAAGTCAGGACAAAGGACGACATCCATGCTTTGTTTCACGACGAAACCTTTTCGAAAGCTCCCTGTCTGCAGTTGGTCGAGATGTACATGCCGTGGGATGATTCGCCTGCAGGATGTAAGTCTTCTCTAACCATTCGACTCTTTCTCGCTTGGGACAGAAGATGCTAACGAATATACCAGTGTCTGTGACGGCAGCTGCCAGTGCTCGGAATAATGCCAAAATGCTCGAGACTTCTTAGACGTTCAAAATAGACACGGTGGAAACAGACACGCAGAACAGGCTCGCGTAGGCTGGAATGGACGGTATATAGACAAGGCTGGTAATATCTATTATCGCTCTTCTGCTCTTCTGCACTTCTGAGCCTATCGCGGTAGGCTGCAACGATTGCTTCTCTGCGTATGTGGTGCCTGGAATGTTGAGCCCGAAGCTCGCCTAATGCTGCCTGCGGGCTTTGTTGTAACTTTGTTGTAATCAAGCAGCCCCAGGCCTTGTGATTGGGTCGATAATTCAGACCCTGGCCAACTAGCGGATACACGGTCTCGAGGCTCAGTCACACACCCCCATGCAACACAGAACCGAGAAAGACGCAGAGAGACAGAGAGAGCGAGAGAGAGAAAGATACCTGAATCATTTCATCCTCTCCTACTGTTGACTGGCACGAGAAGACCGTCGGCGGTATCATATCCCGACTGTTTTGTTCTGCATCGGCATCTATGTGCTGTAGAGATGCTTCCATAATGTCCTCGACGCATAGCGGATGTCCTGGCTATCGGGCTACCTCCCATCAACAACCCCATCACGCTGTCAGGTGAGAGACTGTGTGTGTGTGCACAGTGAACTTGTGACCCTCAGCGACTCGTTGCTCTCTCACTGGAGACGCTGACAGTGTGCACTTGGCCCAAATGCCTCACGCGTTGCCGACACTTTGAGAAGGGCATTTCTGCCATACACTGAGGAATCCAAAGCCGTTCGTCAACTTGACCCGCGCGTCCCAGATCTCAACGAGCGAACAAGATGTCGAACCTCGAATCTCCTCCCCCCAAGAAGAGCGGCCTCCGCAAACTTCACACGCGACACACAAACCTTCATCGCCTCCCTTCATCACACATCCCGTCTCGCCTGCGCCTGGGAGACGATGCCCAAGAAGACGTGACGGCCCCCAATCGAGGCTCAAATATGCCTGCCCAATACATGAATCAATCGATCTTTTCCATGATCGCGGCCGCCGGGTCGCGAACCGACTTCAACACGAGATTTGACGAGTCTAGCGATAGTGAAGATGAGATCCCGGAGGAACAAGCACAGACAGCCACCGATGATGCATCCCTCCCGGTTACTTCAGAGACAGGGTCAAAAGAGACACAATCTGTGGCAACAAAGGACGATAAAAGTAGCAGTGACAAGAAGAGCAAGCGTCTTTCAAGTCAGCGATTAGTCCAGTCGTTGCCACGTCTCACAGGACGATCGATCCGCAGGAAAGAGGGCACGCCCCAACAAGATCCAAGTCCTGGAAGCGATGTGACCTCGGAGTCTTCGAGGAGTAATCCGCGAGATGCACCTGTTCTCAGTCGCTTGATAACTGCAGAGGCCCAGTTTCAAGAGAGTGCGGAAGGTCAAGATCCTATGCTGTCATCTCCTACAGCCCTGAGGTCTAGAAGCAGAGGCGAATCGACGCCGCAGACGCTTCTTGCGACACGGCTGATGGAAATCTTCGGGTTTGAAGAGCCCGAGCCCGTGGTGGCAGAATATCCGTGTTGGCTGTTGCAGAGCGTGCTCCTACAGGGCTATCTTTACATCACAAAGCAACACATTTGCTTCTATGCCTATCTGCCCAAGAAGTCACACACCGTTGTCAAAACCGGATATCTTTCAAAGAAGGGCAGGACGACTTCCAAATACAAAAGATACTGGTTTTCCCTCAAAGGGGATGTACTGTCCTACCACTCCGATGCCTCAAACCTCTATTTCCCTTCCGGAAATATCGACCTCAGATATGGCATATCTGCTAATCTCTCCACCGACAAGGACAAAGGCAAGTCCAAGGACTGCAAAGATTTCTCTGTCACGACAGACCATCGCACATATCACTTTCGAGCAGACACTACTTCGAGCGCTAAGGAATGGGTGCAGACTCTTCAGAAGACAATCTTCCGCTCTCACAACGATGGTGACAGCGTCAAGATTTCCTTACCAGTGGAAAACATCATTGATTTCGAGGAGAGCCCGGTGGTCGAATTCGCAGAGACGGTCAAGATCAGAGTGATTGAAAGCGAGGATTCCTACGCTATCGACGAAGTAAGGGCCCATATCCTATCAATTCTTGTTTTTGCGCGATGCTGACTCTTACAGTATTTCTTCTCCTTCTTCAGCTTTGGCCAAGATGCACTCCATGTCCTCGGAAGCCTGATCACCGAGGCTCCAGCTAGGAGGACGTCGGAAGATGTACTTTCGCCGACAAGAAAGGTCGAGCCTTGGTCCAGCCCCCGACCTAGACCAATCCCACATCGGACTTCTTCCGATGTTGTCGCTGGGAGTCCAAGGGCTCAATCGAGCCCTCCTCTCAAAGACAGTGTCAGAGCTACTCTGATCCCATTCTCTGTCGGAAATGATGGCAGACTATCACCGAGAATAAGCGGAGAGTTTCCTCGCGGCAATAGTCCTTCACGTTCTAGCAACGAGTTTACGGGGGAATACGGTCGTGCCAGTTTCGAAAGAGGCCGCAGAAGTGGAAGTACGAGTCGTCTCGAGGCGAGCAACTCAAAGCGAACGACCCGATCACCGTTAGCGAGACATCACGACTCTGAAGATTCATATGTCCAATCTATCGACAAGGAAACAGACTCGTCTACCGCGCCCTTGTCGCCACGCGCAGAAGCACAAATGTCCGCTAGCCAAATCTTGACAAGGAGCGATGTTTTTCACCAGCCGGCCGTTCACCGAATGGAAACTTTGGCATCTATATCTACTGAACCTACGAGAAAATCATCAGAAGGGGGGACAATCCTGTCAAGCTCTCCACAGCGAGGAGATACGTTTCCCGTCCCGATCCGAGGCACTCATGAGCCACACACAGACCGCCGGGGGAATGTTCAACATGAATACCTCTCATCAGAACTAGAACCCGGCAAAAATTATGTTAGGGACAGTTCCTCACCCACTCTGCAGGATCTTGTGAAAGCCGGATCTTACCCTCTACAACGAGCTGGAGCTTTCGCCGACTATCTCAAAAGCCGGTCCAGTTCAATGAGAAAACTTCTCGCCACCGAGTCTATGTCATATCTGGAGAAAGTATCGGGTATGTGGGCGGGGAGCAGGAAGCACTATGGAGAAAACGAGGGTGTCGTCCCTGATGACAGAGGCGTCGATCCCGAAGATGAAGAAGCCAACGTCGGCCATGGCGATCGCTTTCGCGCACATTTCGCATTGCCTGTCACTGAGAAACTACAAGCAACTTACTTCGGTTTCCTGCACCGCGTGCTCCCCCTGTATGGCAAGATATACATCAGCAATCGAAAATTCTGCTTTCGAAGTCTCCTACCCGGGACGCGGACAAAGCTGGTTCTTCCATTGAAAGACATTGAGAACGTCGACAAGGAGAAAGGCTTCCGGTTCGGCTATCACGGTCTAGTCTTGGTGATTCGCGGTCACGAGGAATTATTCTTCGAATTCAGCTCCGCCGAACATCGAGATGATTGCACAGTGACGCTACTGCACAGTCTAGAAACAGCTCGCTACATGGCTGAATCGGGCGTCCTGCCAAAAGCAGATGAAGATGACGCAGAAATCGCCAAAGAAGAGCATCGAAAGCTTCAAGAAGCCCGTCGTTCCTCCACCACTGGTGATCATGCTCTGGTCTTGCCTGATACAGCTGAAGCTATCTATAGCCACAAGGATGAAGAGCCCTCAGGGCCAGTGCTGTTCGACGACCCTCGCTCCTCCATCATCAACCTGTCGAAACCTAGTGATTCACTTCGCATCACGTGTCTCACAATTGGCTCAAGAGGGGACGTGCAGCCTTATATTGCCTTGTGCAAGGGTCTCTTAGCAGAAGGCCACCGGCCGCGTATCGCTACGCATGCTGAGTTTGGCCCCTGGATCCAGAAGCATGGGATTGATTTCAGACCTGTAGATGGTGACCCGGCCGAGCTGATGCGCATCTGTGTTGAGAATGGCATGTTCACGTACTCGTTTCTACGTGAAGCCTCGGCCAAGTTCCGCACATGGATCGACGAACTTCTGACTTCAGCCTGGGCTGCATGTCAAGAGTCGGATCTTTTAATCGAATCACCTTCAGCGATGGCGGGTATCCATATCGCCGAAGCCCTGGGCATCCCTTACTTTCGCGCATTCACTATGCCGTGGACACGCACGCGTGCATATCCGCACGCCTTTGCCGTTCCGGAACACAAAATAGGGGGAGCGTACAACTACTATTCATACGTCATGTTCGATAATGTGTTCTGGAAGGCTATCGCGGGACAAGTCAACCGCTGGCGCAAGAAGGAATTAGGCTTGAGGAGCACCAATCTCGACAAGATGCAGCCCAACAAAGTGCCCTTCTTGTACAATTTCAGCCCGCATGTGGTGGCACCGCCTCTGGATTATAGTGACTGGGTCAGAGTGACGGGCTACTGGTTTCTTGACGAAGCCTCGGACTGGACGCCACCTAGCGAACTGACCGATTTCATCAAAAAGGCTCGAGACGACAAGAAGAAGCTGGTGTATATTGGGTTCGGAAGCATCGTCGTCTCTGATCCCGCTGCACTCACCAAGACAGTCGTGGACTCGGTCCTCAAGGCCGACGTGCGTTGCATCCTCTCCAAGGGCTGGTCCGACCGCCTCGGCGATCCGCAAGCTGTCAAGACTGAGGTTCCGCTACCCCCCGACATTTTCCAGATCAAGTCGGCGCCGCACGACTGGTTGTTCCGCCAGATTGATGCGGCGTGCCATCACGGCGGCGCGGGGACCACTGGCGCCAGTCTCCGAGCGGGGCTTCCGACGGTGGTGAAACCGTTCTTTGGGGATCAGTTCTTTTTTGGATCGAGAGTGGAGGATCTCGGCGTGGGTATCTGCTTGAAGAAGGTCAACGTGAGCGTGTTCTCGAGGGCGCTTTGGGAGGCGACGCACAGCGAGCGGATGATTGTGAAGGCGAGGTTGTTAGGAGAACAGATTCGCAAGGTGAGAGAGATATTTCCCTTTTTTTTTTTTTTTTTTACCTTGGATGAGTCAATTGGTATTGTTCTTGAGGACAAGAAGCGGAACTTGTGTGTGAAGAGATGTACTAATGTTGTGCTGCAGGAGAACGGCGTGCAAACCGCCATTCAAGCAATCTACCGCGACCTCGAATACGCACGATCGCTAGTCAGGGCCCGCGCCGCGATCCAACAACGGGGCGCCGCCGCAGCAGCTGGAGGAGCAGCTGGGCTTACCGCTATTGACCTCGATGAAGGCGGCAACATTGAGGAGTCCTGGACATTCATCGGAGACGAAAGCGATCCGGACATACAGCGCCGGATCCAGGAGTGGGACACTACTGGGACAGGTCCTACCCCGGCGCGCGGGAGGGCGCCTCGAGTAAGCCTAGATCGAGTGAAGTTGGGTGCTATGCAGGGTGTCGAACCGGTCAGAAAGGCGAGTGTCAAGCGGTGATCAAGACGACGGAATCGTTGGCAATACGAGGCCGAGGTCATCATTCGAAACACGTACGACGCTGGATTTGGGTAGGACAAAGGGAGAAAGCAGGACAAATACAAAATGACTGAGTGTCCTGGAGGGATTTGGGATGGGCGATGGGAAACCAGGGAATCATGGGCGATGTTGATGTGTTGCACAGCGTGGGCGTTTCAGGTGATTTCGTGGGTGCTTGTGATTGTGCTTGTGCTGTGGTTTTCGCATACACCGCATGCAGAGTATGTTGGGGCGACCTTTTCCTCTTCTAAGAAGGGTGCAAAATCTGCTTCTCTGTGTGCGTTTGTACGCGCGTATTTGTTTGTCTCACGATCTGGCGTTTTGTTGGTTCGTTGGGTGCAGGAACTCTCATTGACTTTGTTGAAAGCTCTCCACATGCAAATCGAGAGCAGCAAGCCATCGGGAGTAAGTACCCGATGTTGTTATTGTCGGATTTCGACCTTTGACGACGTCATGAGTGTGTCATTTAGACAGATCTAGCGGAAGAGACGGGAGTTGGGCCTTGCGATAGACATGAGATTCAATAAAGGGGTGGACAAGAGAGAAGATGGCAATCGGTTTGAGACGCAGGGGGAGATGCATACCGGTATTTTAGACTTTTTAATTTCGATGAAGCTCGATGTTGTGTTTGCTGTCCGTGGTTTTTGGCTTCCGGATTCCTTTTCCACTGGGGTTTTCACGTGTCGCGGCGAGGAGAAGGTTAAGGTCGTTGCATCATACCGCTGGTTCTAACTTCGTTTGGGTCGTGTTGGTGAAGATTCCAAACCTTGACCAAGCTTTACTTGTCTTTGAAGGACATCTCTGCCACAGGAGTGGGAGTTTCAGCTCGAGTTCTGAGCAGGTGGAGTCAACGAAGATTCCCCAAAAGGGCCAAGATGGCATTTCATAGGATGCCCAGTTTGTTGAGGAGGGAGAATTGCATCCTGACAGTCTCTCTAGACAGGCATAACTGATACAAGTATCTGCAGGTGGATATCACCGAGGCTTTTGAGAATCTGCGAGGCAACCAGCTCTTCAAACTCGTTGGATAAGGTTGTACCTTTTGACGAGAGGCTCCGCTGACTGCCCCTGACTGCGGAGGGTGACAAATTGTCTGTTTCTTTTTTGTCAGGATGGACGAGCCACAATCGAGCTTGTCAAACAATGATACTCTGACACATTTCTTGAACTCAGCGGTAGGTACTCAGCAACCCCAATTTGAGGGGGGGTGCTGTGCGTGGTTGTAGGCGACCTGATGTTTTCCAAGTTCGTGCTAGCACCGTCGTCGGTTCATGCCATGCGTCAGACAGTCGCGTGATGGAATGAGGCGAGGTGCATGCAGGCCCCGACGCCACAAGAGCGGAGAGAGCAAGTGTGCCCGTAGGTAGACTTGGAACCTGCGAAGAAACTCACGATTTCGGAATACGGTGTACTTGTAGTAAACGCACCCGAGTGTACGGATCCGTAGAGCTAAGAGGAGGCCTGTGGAGACTGCAAGAGGGATTTTAAATCCGATGCTGGGGTTGTTGTCCGAACCCAGAAGAAAAGTGTGGAGCATAGATTGGATAAATTTCCCGATCTCCAGCCGAGCATGATTGGATGAGGGAAGAGAAGAGGTGGCTGCAGCAGAGGAAGAGGAGGAACTGTGGGCATTTGTGGAATTTGTGGAAGCTATATCCGGCTGAACATTTTGTAGTGGAGTTGAATGGAGAGGAAGAGGAGGCCAATAGCCAGCGGGCCAGGCCGATGTGGTAGTGCTAACGCGTGTATTCCTGGGAGCAGTCAGTGTGTACACAGTGAGTCGTAGGAGTCGAAGGTACAAACCGCTTAGGTGGAGGATGGACATACCGCGTCGGATGTTCGGAGAGAGATGAGATGATGACTTGATGTTCAGTGGCAGTGGTGGCGGTGGTGGTGGTGGTGGCGACGAGGACGAGGATGACGTGGACGAGGCAGCGAGGAGTCAGATCTTATTTGAGCAGGGAGGGTGCATCTTATCGTCTTGCATTGAGAATTGACTGCACAGTACGAGTATAGTACCGAGTAGAGTAAGTGGACTGAGGAGTGTGTAGCAAGTACCGAGTACAAGTACGAGGTAGAGGGTGCCGGGGATGGCCGCAGATGAGAAAGAGATGCATGTTGACTAGATCTGCACTAGCATCGCAACAGAGAGACGCCAAGGACTGTCCCTCCTTGTACTCGTGGGGCCTAGAGCAGATGTCTTTGGGGGGGAAGGAACTGACGTGACTAGGCATTTGGGCGTCTGTTAGGTACAGGTACCCGCCACTTGGTACCTGACTGTGCACCCGAGTTATCTACTCACTACTAATAAGTATATAGGTATTTGATATACTGATGCCCCCCAGTACTCGGTACAATCTGTCATGGCGGATCCCGGGCCGCCAGCCGTTGCAACAACTCTATCTGCCATTAATTACTCGGTATACACCTGAGGTACTCCCAAGTTACTCGGTACGTACACGTAGGTACGTGGGGAACTAATTACCAGCCTACATAGGTAGGTCCACGAAGGTATGAAAAACGTTTGTGTTTATTCCTACCAATAACACGCCTGCTGCCTTAACTTTCTACCCTTTTGCATTTTCTCATTTTCTTCATGTTTTCCTTTCCCTCCTTTCGCCTTTCCATTCGCTTCTCTAGGCTCTTTTGAGTAAGTGATCTGTCCGTCGCCGCACCCTCTCTCGGAATCCTTCCCACACTCCTCTTCGCCTCTTGACTGGCCTTCTCCTATTCTGCTAGGTAACAATACACGCGCACAACACATACTTCCAACCAGAACCACGGCTGTTCCCCGTCTTTCGCCGTTACAATTCCTCTTTTATGCGCGCGTGAGACTTTTCCCCCAATTGCTCCCTGAATCTTGGACCAACGGCTCTTTTCTCGCCCCCAGTCATCAGTTCCCACCTTCTCTCCCACCCTCCCTCGACAGGTCATGCTACAGAGCCACTCAGCCCTCACAAAACCGTTATTCCCTCCCCTCTGCTCTTTGTCTTGCCCGTTTCTGTCTCTCTCCGTAGCTTATCCGTCTTTTGCGCATCCACCCACAAATCTCTCTATCGCCCCCCCGCCATCTCCGAACCCTTTTGCTCTGGCACGTCCTCGGTCCGAGATCGCCGTTTTGCAAGTATCAGTACCGAGTTACCAAGACCACAATACAATACCAGCGCCCCGTCAAAAAAACGAAAAAAAATCCTGATCTAACGAATTTGCTCGCTTGTCTCCAAAACAGACGTTCTAGTCGAGCCTATGGATTCCTTGGGCCCTTGAACAGTTCCAGCAAGGTACGGGAATCCAGACACGGTCTATTGCGTTGGCTTGTTCTGGGTCTCATGCTCCATCCTTCCGGGTCCCGACCAGCACCGTTGGCCCACCACACGATCCGTTACAATTTTCCAACTGGCAAACCATTGACCCTCCCAACCATTGGCGTCTGGCGTCAGTACAACGACAATAATTTGCTTGGGGACCATGCTTTGGTCGCCTAGAATCACACCTACCCGTCTTTCCGCAGCTGCGCAGCTTCGCAGCTTGACTGACTGAGTGACTTGACCATTTGCCTGCCTGACTGCGCTCGCTGACTGACTGACTGACTGACAGAAATCGTCCTGATCACAGAAACCAGCAGAAATTTCGCCATTCCACCCTTCGCTAGTCTCTCTCTCACCACTTAAACAAACGCCTCTTTTCCCCCCTTGGAAACGCTCTGGGGGACTCCGTCTACCGCGTTGCCCTACCACACTTGCGCAAGTCCGCCATCGAATCCACTCGCCTCGCTCTCCACCCTTTTTCCCTCCTCCGAATATCCTAGTACCACGAGATCGGCCGCACGCATCTTGCAGCTTGATACATCTACCCGTTGATATCCTCACCATCTTCTTCCGAAGTTTCTAGCTTGGCTCCTTTCTTCCTCCCTTTGCTCCTACATCAGCGCACCCGTCTGCCGCTGCCAAAGGCTCTCTCCACAACGCGATTCTGGTCTGTCGGCTTGGACATTTCGCTACCTCTAGATTGCTGCATCCAGATATTGATACCCATATGCCTTGATCTCTTCCCCCGAGAAACCCCCCTGTGAGCCTCGGCAAAATTCAGCCATGAAGCCTGGCAATACCACCAGTGGCCTGTCTCCACCTTCTACCGTGTCTCCCGCCGGTGTCACCAAAAGTACCTCGTTGCCCATTTCACGGCCAAGCAACTCGGCATGGGACAAACCTGAACGGGCTCGAACCAGTCACGCTTGCGAACCATGTCGCGAGCGGAAGACGAAGTGTGATGGTTCCAGGCCTGCATGTCGGAGGTGCCTTCACACAGGCACCACTTGCTACTATGGCTACGGCAAGGGCTGGAGGAAGCGGAAGTAAGCTTTTGCAACTTCAGCCCCCATTGATGAGTGTGCTTGCTTGCGAGTGTAGATGCTGACCATCGGAAACCCCCCCGCTCCCCAGGACTGCAGAGGACCTCACAGCAACCTCGCGGCGTTTGGCGCGGTATGAGAGCCTTCTCAATGAGATCTTGCCAATGGTGTCGCCAGAGGTACGCGCCTTGATCGAGGAAGCGCGTGACAACGTAAGGCTTTCTTCTTGCTGCTGATCGAGCCTGCACGTGGCTACGATACTAATTTGTTGCAACAGGATACCGCAGTGTCAAATAACGGTTCCGAGACGGCGGAAACAGATCAAAATTTCCTCCCTCCTGCTTTACTCAAGTCCGAGTCGAGCCTGGCAGCATCGGGAGGGCGCATCATCCTGCCGCTCCCCGTGCCCAGCCCACACGCTCCAGCACCCTCGCGCTCCTCGACATCGTCGGGGACGTTTGATCCAGTTGCCCCGCCGCCCACGATCGCCAGCACAGGACCAGGATCTACTGTCCAGACGGCGTCACGACTCTCGCCCGAATCTAACATCTCGGGAACACGATTGCCGTCTATCACTGCCGAAGGGCTCCTGATCGAAACCGGACTGAGGGATCGTTCGCCTACAAGTTTACACCGACCGGTCGACACAGTTGGCAGCTATGGGCAGGACCGTCTCGGAGCACCGCCAACCTCTCCGGGCAGTCACACGTCCCTTGGAGGTGCGTTAAGCGGACCACATCCTGGACGTTCAGATACTGACCCGCGGAGAAGAGACTATGCGGTCCCCACAGTTTTCCCCTGGCTGAAATCCAACGAAGCGGCTGCCGTGCGAAATTGATATTCTACATCTCTTGCATTCCTTATCTTGCACGTGTTATCTGTCCTCGGTTGTGATCTCGATCTCGCTTCCTGGTGGAGTTGATGGACCTGGACTGGACACTTCAGACTTGGCACCAGGACGATTTCAAGGTCTCGAAGCTCGACCCTGCGCAGAAATCTCAATTGTGGGACAAGCCGTGTGCACAAGCCATGCTGCCACGTCAAGGGGAGAAATACTTTCCCTGATCATCACGGAGATTTTGCTCTGAAGAGAGCATGATCTGCAACTGACCATCGCCGATGGAGTGTGGCTGTATCGTCCATCATCCCCACGGGAATCGGCCGCCAAAAGAATTCCGCGAGGTGGGTTGGGTTTGGGCGAAGGGGTGTTCCTGCAGAGTGTGCGAAAGAGAGGCTGATTCCTCACGCGCCATCCGATCAAGGGCGATCTGCGGGTCAACCACTCGTACCGCTTCCCAGCTCATGGAGGGCAACGAAGATGGCAGAATTCTTAAACTGCGATGCAGGGGGACTTGGTACAGAAGGGTAAACTTTGAGGTTGCTTGGTGGAGAGGGACGACAGTCATTCGTTCGCGGGCCTGGCAGGATCCACCATCGCTCCATTGGCCTTGGCACTGCAACGGTACGGGACTGGACCGGTCGGTCTAATTACCTTCCAATTTGGTTCCGAGTGGTGGCGGGTTTCTCTCCCGGCATGACACGTCATGCATCAGGCCTATCTCACCCTATGACAATGCGGCCTCCGAAACAAAGGGAGAAATGGGTTGACGGTGCTGACGGTGGTGGCAGGGGCAATGGAACGTTGTTATCGGATGATGATGTCCGTGATCAGTCCATTACAGGGCGAATAAAATGAGCTGGTTTGGCAATGGCATGTTTGTGTGAGATCAACGGACATGCACATCCAAGGGACATCAACCGAGTTCCGGAGTCGAAGAGAAGATCGCTGTTTCCGAGGTTCGTTTCTTGTTTGTGCACACACTCCCATGAGCCCAACCATGGAGCTGCAAGAGTGCAACTACAAAGTCCAGGGACCTCAACTACGGCGGAAGAAAAACTTCTGTGGACTGCTCGGCTATATCAGGATAGGAGGATTACAGATGATTGTCTGACAACATGCTTGTGGCCGAAGTTCTGGGAGTCAGCAACCAGTCATGACACTCTGTGTGTGCTGACTCACAACGCTTCGCCTGGGTGGTTACAAAGGGTAAACAGCACCAGCATCGTGGCATGACACATTAACGCCGATATAGAAAAATTAGATCGCTGCTTACACGGAAATATTTTTTCTAGACAAATACATGGACATTCGATTTATAACATTTAATTCCCCTTCCATCTTGACTGGGGGAACGAATATCCCAGATTCGCCATAAGTACTCGGTGCCTTGCAGTGATCGAGCGTCAACACCACACATTAGTTGCTGACCTGTGGAGATGTACACAGTGTTAGTCATAGACTTGTTAATGTCTGGGGCATAATAGCGCAAACATAATTGTCGAGATAGATAGAATGCCAAGTGTGATGGTATCCCAATCTTCCAACCCAGCTTGTCTTCACTTCTTTTTTTGTTCCTGGCACATTTCTTACGTTGACGATGTTGGGCGAGGAGCGATGCGCGCGATATATAATGCAACCAAGTCCGTGAGGTTGGGGAGTTGAACAGGCAGCTTTGTGAATGAGCACATAACCAACGTACCTTGTCCGGAACGTCTTTCCCAGTGGCCTTTTCAAACATATCTCGCGCCTTGTCGGTGATCTTTTCGTTGACACTCCTTTGCTTTGCGGGGTCGATTTTGCCTGATCGAGGGAACAAGGTCAGGACGAGTCTTTAGAGAATCTGCATTTCCCCTGGTATTTGACGAGACTTTACGAGGAGTGGTACAGAAGAGACGACGCAGACCGAGAGGGAAGAAATGTGTTGAATGTACCTTGGCCAAACTTTTTCTCCACGGCATCGAGACCTGTGCGCAGAAAGAGACTGATTAGTCTCCCGTAGCTCGCAGGGAAAGAAAGGGGAGGGGACGAATCGAGTTACCCTTGTCGAGGTAGTCCTCCTTCTGTCCAGCTGCTTGTCCTTGGTTGTTCATGCTGTCTGTGTTACAGGAGGTGATGCTGTTTCTTCTTCCCAGGAATGGTTTTGATTGTTTTGTAAAGGGCCACAGAATGCGGATATGCAATGAAAGTCCAGGTATAAGGATAGGGTTGGAGAAAAGGGCGCCAGCTTTATAGTTAAATTCGACTGTCTCTCACGGCATTGGCCATTGCATATTGCACATGCTGCCAGTGCTCATACCAGCAATGATATAGGAAAGGATCGGACAATCAAGGCGTGCTGCGAAATACCGTCATACATCATAGCGGAGACGATGTTGCAGCAATGAACCTATGGGATTGTCAGATGAACCACTGGTGTGAGTTCCCGGGCTATGCAGGGCAAATGGGTAGTGAGCTGAGAAGTGTACACAGGGAGCTGAACAGGACTTTGAGCGAAAGTAAAACAAGATTGATCTACAATGATGTTGGATGAGGCACAGAGAGGGAGAGAGCCAGGGCCACCAGGGCCCGAGCTGGGGATCTTCAAGCATCGCCCCACTGACGTCAGGTTCTCTCAAATAGGTATAGACTACTATCGAAGCTCCATGCCGAAGCTCATGCCAAGCTTTGCTGGATTCACGTGCTCCGGCTTGGCATTGTCGCGCCTTCTTGTCGCTGAAACATGGCAACAGCTTCACCATTGTTCGGCTGTTCAACCCTCCGGTCACCATCTCCCTCTGCCATTTCTTTTTGAGCCACTGAGAGACGTGAACTGTTTCAAAGTTACCACTGTGGCTGGTACCTGCCACAACGGTCAAGAAGACAGCTGCTGGATTTACACGCCCTGCCCCGCCCTGGCCTCATACCGCTTCCTCAGGCTCCTCCGGTGTCGCAGTTAAAATTGCGATCTTTCGCGACGTTCAGCGAATTCTGCAATAAACACCCCGAAATGGAATAGGCACTGGCTCGGTCAGGTTCTGGGCCCCCTCCCCAGATCCCGAACGAGGTGCCAGATCTCGACCTAGGTGTTAGCCCTGCGCAAACATCCCCTTTGCCCTTCCTCCTGGCGCAGATCAATGCGGGAATCTCAACGCCTACCTCCCGGCAACTATCAACTTCCGAGAGATAGCTTGGGCACGCTTACCCCATGAATGAGATACAGGGCTCCTTTTTTCTTGCCCCCCGAGGTATTGCTCCTTGATACAACACCACTGGGAAAGTTGAAACAAACACCTTCCATGATCCGGTGTCAAAATTTGTAGTGAGTTGAACACTTTTGCTGACATGATGAACTCCGTACGGGTTACCGAGATGGATGAGCGAGCAGGCGATGCTCGGATCTTCACACTTCCTTCTTGGAAGCTGTCTGCTATGGCAGAGACTATGTATATAACTCTCCCTCTGATGGCCAGAAATGCTATCGATCAGCAATTCTTCCAACCAGCACTCAGCTTACATTCCTTCCTTCAAAAGACTTTTGATAAGTCATTCTTTTCTACGAGGCTTTTGACAAGTCTGCCTTTCATTCCATTCACCAAGCTTTTGACAAGCTCTGCCTTTGCCTGACCGTGTGCTGGACACTCTCATTCATACGTCTTCTTCGTCATATCCCTTTGATATCAGTCGCGCTCGCACAGAACCCCATTCCTCCCTCAAAATGAAAGCATTCACTCTTTCTGGTCTGAGCACCCTCTTCGCCGGCTTGACGTTGGCCCATCCTGTCACCAAGCGTGGTGGCGGCTTCTCCGAGGTTGACATCACCATCTTGCAATTTGCTCTGACGGTAAGTAGTCCCTTCTGTCAAGCTCTATCCTCGAGACGGACCTCAGCATTCTAACCCGTTCTGAATAGCTCGAGCACCTTGAAAACACCTTCTACAAGGAAGCCTTTAGCAGCTTCAAGTTGCAGGACTTTGTCAATGCCGGCTTTGACGAGGCATTCTTCCTCAACCTTGAATTCATAGCGTCGGACGAATCAGCACACGTTGAGTTCCTCATCGCAGCGATTGAATCTGCCGGTGTTCGACCGGTCCAACCTTGCCAGTATAGCTTCCCAGTGACGGACGTTGCCAGCTTCGTCACTGTGAGCGCCATCCTGGAATCTGTGGGAACCAGTGCTTATCTCGGAGCGGCGCCCTTCATCGGGTCGCGAGATATCCTTTCGGTGGCTGCCAGTATTATGGCCACGGAGGCATTGCATACCAGTTCGCAGAGAAGCTCGCTCGGTGCAATCGCCGCCCCCAGTCCATTTACAACTGTAAGTCTACCTACCTTTGGGTACAAATGGCTGTTTGAGCGATAGACTTGGACTAACGGAGAACCATTCAAGCCTCTTGACCCCAATTCGGTCTTTACCATTGCCTCGCAGTTCATCGTCTCCTGCCCTGCCGACAATCCACCGCTACCATTCACTGCGTTCCCCGGCTTGAAGACCAACTCCCAGGCCTGCTTCGACGAGAGTGGTAGCAGCGACAGTTTCTCCACGGAATCCGTCAACTATGCTACCGTTGTGGCCAACATTGAAACTGCTACGGACACTGTAAGCGCGTATGGAACCGATGCCACTGACTCGACAACAACAGCGGCCTACGACAGCACCTCGACAACCACCACCACTACCACCACCTCTACCACTACCACTGACTCAGCCGACTCAACCACCACCACCACCACCACCACAACTATGGATATGGCGACCGCAGAGGCCGCGGCGTCAGTCACAACTACAACGACCACGACCACGGACATGGCTTCGATGGCCACATCTACACCTGCCTATGCACGACGAAGCACCGCTCTCGAGGCGCGCACAAATGGTGGCTCTGCTTCATCTTGCTCCGCCCCCGGTGCCGGTTCGTCTCTTCAACTCATTCCGGACTTTTCCAAGTCGCACCATGACTTCTCTCGAGTCGAAGTCGTCTTTGTGACGTTCATTGCCGGTCTCGAGGTGGTCTCGGTACAGGCCGTCTTTGGAAGTGACGGAAGTATCAACGTCAGCATCCCAGGCAGCATCGGTGGTGGCCAAGTATTCATTTTCATTACGATCGTCGACATTTCCGGCAGAAGCCTGAGTGCCAACGAAGTGCTTTTTGGTCCCGCCATCATGGAGAGTGAGTGGCTGCTCTTTCGCAAGTCTTTTGGAATTTCAAATTACTGACATTCGACCAGTTGCCCCATCATTCCCTTCTATCATCCAGTAAACGTGCCCTCAGGCAGGAAGCTGTGGGTGGACATCCCTAGGTGAGTCGAGAATTCTAGGGATGGTCAAGAGGAAGGAAAACAGGAGGGAATGTGGCCATCGGAGAATAACTTCTCTTCTCCATGGCCGTCGGGAGTTGTTGGATACCCTTTCATGTCTCTCCTTAACGACCCTTTTTGTGCTTGTGGGCTTTTTGTCTGCCTTGTACGTGTTCTTGCGAGACTTGAGAGAAGAGTGCAAGGAGAGGAATGGGGCTCGATCAATGAGTGTCGAGCGTTGAGTGTATAGAGAGCCTTTTTTTATTTTGCATATCGCCCGCTAAAGACGTCTGCTGATGGGTGGGAAGCGAAAAGCAAAAGAGGCGCGCGTGTGGAAACGGTTTTTTTCCAAAAGGAGAAGAGATACCCAGAGAAACGGCAGATTTTATATACCAATGTGATATGACGGAAAAAAAAAACAATGACTTTGAAAATCTTCCGAACGGGCTCTGAAGAGGAAAGAGGGAGGTGGTGATGAAGCTTCAAAAGAGCCAAAGAGTCGCGTTCACATGGCTGATGACACTCGAACCAGATCAGGTCAACACATGAAACCACTCCGATACTGACAGACGTGTTCGTGGTAGTACTCTCTCCTCTCACGCAGGACGGGGTCTTGATCCTGAGGACCGGCGCCGGCCCCCTCTTGCCCCAGACACGGACTAACGCCAGTCTGCGGTCGGTCGAGGTGCTTGTGCATCAAGCACCCCGGGACCCCCCGGTCGTCGAGCCAAAATGTGCCGGCCGTCATGCGCGGCTCGATCTCTGACGCCTGCACGACGTAATTGTCCACGAGGACTCTGAGTCGCTTTTTGAGATCATCGAGAGATGACGCCATTGGAGTGCCCGTGCCCGTGCACGTAGCTAAACACTCCAGGTAGTGTTCTAGCTCATTGAATAGGCAAGGATACATGATGGTCAGCTCGTCGATGGTCACCAAAGAATCTTCCCGTACCAGCTTGGTGCGGACCTCGGCCGCAGGCACGACCCCGTCATCTTCAGAAAATACCAGGAGGTCTGGGTACATGACAGAGCTGATGGCTTGGTTCATCGTGGTAAAGGCGACTGAGAGGAACCCCATCGTCGGCGTGTCGACGTCTTGAAGGCGCAATTGCGCTATCCGGCGTATAAGCCTTGCGTAGTCTGCGCCTATAACCTTCAGCTCAAGAAAGGCTCGGCGCTTGCTCGGAGGGAATCGATCCATAACACTGATATCGTTGTTTGTGTCGGCTGATAGACCAAAAAAGCTCGCAACCATTAACCGAACAATTTCGGACCGTGTATGTTCATTTCGGGTCGCTTCTCTGAGAATCTTCTCCCCGCTCTTCATGTGCGCCATGGCGGCCGTGAAATCCTCGTTGCACTGAGCCATTGCAGAGAACAGTCGGCAGACGATCAGCGCAACATCCCATGAAGGAGGCTGGGCTGTGAATGCACGAACAGCTTGGGTTCTTCGCTCCAATATCAGGATGGTGTGATCAGTCCCCGAAATATAAGAGTCGAAAGTCGCCGCCACCGATATCATTGCATGATGGACCGATGGGTTCGCCCAGGCAACTTGTGGGACGATGGATTGCCAGAAATGACGCCATTTTCTGGTGGAAGAGAGAAGAGGTGCGGTTTTGCGGAGGAACAACTGGGTGTAGTTGTGGTCCACGTCCACCATCCACGGTGTCGAAGGTTCGGCAAGGATCCTGGAGGGATTGGAAAGAGTCTGATTGTTATTTCTTGCGATTACAGAGGACCTGTGGCACTCTTGGTGTGACGGAAATGCCTGCAGCGAGCTTGATTCTCGTTTTGAATTGTCGACTATATCCTTTTGAGATGGCTCAAACAGCCAGGTCTTTGGAGGTTCGTATCCGTCACAATGAAACTTGTCATTCAAGCATCTTGGTCGCCGTTAGGACATGGCAGCTCGAGATCGGGCTGTCGTTACCTCATGCAATACGGCTTCCCTTCGTCGCAGCGTTTCCGGCGTTTCCTAGAGCTGTCACCGCGGTGAGGAAACTCGAGATGAGTCGCGTACTTACTTGCAAGTCTTACAACCAGTCCTTACTTTTGGGGCCCATCTCCTTTGCCGCGGATTCTGTGGAAGCGGCATCTAGTCCGTGATCCCTTGCGGATGGGTACCTTGCCTGAGAATCACAGAGTAATTGTCGTGACAGGAAATAAGGTGTGTCAAAAGGAACTTCAAGCGTCCAACTTGTTGGATAGAATTAGAGTCGCAGCTCGATGTCGAAGTGACGTCGTTGCAGAGGGAAAACTGACAAACGTACAAAACAGTGCGATCACACATTATCATGCAAACAGTGCAAACAAGCACCCTTAAGCCTAGGAACTACAGCCTTGTCAGCCCCTCAAACCCTCATCTGATCAATTCCCCTCGTTCGGCGTCAACTCCGAGAAACCGATATGACAATGTGGGGAACACAGAGGATCATGAATGCCAGAGTGAGCAATGGAGCAACGGATTCTGCCAATCGAACGTCTTGTATTTCGAAGGTTCTTCCCGGCCTGGAATTTTCCAGTCACAAAGTTTCTGTCGCATCCGTCAGAAACCACAGACAGCATCGTCGCTGGGAGCTCGAGATCCCCCACCCTTGGCCTGGGCAAATCTATCACCGAAAGTGTCTTTAACATTAGCCCATCATTTCTACCCCCCGAGCATCGCCTGTCATACGGCCTTCTCTTTCAATCGCGTGCAGGACTGAGCGTCAAAAGCAAGGCAATCCTTCAAAATGGATAAAACAGGTGGCTTCCAGGAACCCCGCTATCTCGACTTCGTGCGCTCTTCGGAGCCCACTGGCGTCGATGGCAAGCCCATGCTCAATCGCTACTCAACGCATCTGACTCGTCAGCATGACTTCCCCGGGGCACAGGCTATGCTCTTCGCCGCGGGCGTGCCAGACAGACAAGCAATGCAGACGGCTCCTCATGTCGGCATCGCCAGTGTTTGGTGGGAAGGCAATCCCTGCAATATGCACCTTCTAGACCTGGGCAAGGAGGTCAAGAAGGCCGTCAATGCTCGTGGAATGCTGGGCTGGCAGTACAATACCATCGGTGTAAGCGATGCCATCACCATGGGAAACCAAGGAATGCGATTCAGTTTGCAAACTCGCGAGATCATCGCCGACTCGGTCGAGACAGTGACTTGTGCCCAGGCGCATGATGCCAACATCACCATTCCTGGCTGCGACAAGAACATGCCGGGTTGCATCATGGGCATGACGAGGCACAACAGACCGAGTTTGATGATTTACGGAGGGACTATCGACAAAGGATACTCGGAGACTTTGCGCCGGCCCATCAACGTCGCCACCTGTTACGAGGCATTTGGTGCGTACACGTTCAATACCCTGCGTCAACCGGACGATGGGGGTGACACATCCAAGACCAAAGACGAGATCATGGAGGATCTTGAAAGGCATGCCTGTCCGGGTGCCGGGGCCTGTGGTGGCATGTACACCGCCAACACCATGGCCACAGCAATCGAGTCAATGGGATTATCGCTGCCTGGATCGAGTTCGACACCAGCGAGTTCGCCAGCTAAAATGCGAGAATGTGCCAAAGCCGCAGATGCCATCAAAGTCTGCCTGGAACAGGACATCACACCAAAGAAACTTTTAACCCCCAAATCCTTTGAGAACGCACTCGTCATAACCATGGCCCTAGGAGGAAGTACCAACGCGGTCCTCCACTTGCTCGCCATGGCCGTCACCGCCGGTGTGGAGCTCACCCTCGATGACTTCCAGCGCGTGAGCAATAAGATCCCCTTCCTCGCAGATCTTGCACCATCGGGAAGATATTCCATGGCAGATCTCTACGAGATCGGGGGCGTGCCAAGTGTACAGAAACTCCTGATCGCAGCGGGCATGCTCGACGGCTCCATTTTGACAGTAACTGGTAAGACCCTGGCTGAGAATGTCGCGAGCTGGCCCAGCCTTCCCAGCGATCAAGTCATCATCAAGAGCCTAAAAACCCCCATCAAGGAGAGCGGACACATTCAGATTCTCAAAGGCAATTTTGCACCTGCCGGAGCGGTGGCAAAGATCACAGGAAAAGAAGGCCTTCGATTCACGGGAAAGGCGAGGTGTTTTGAAAAGGAGGCTGAATTGAACGATGCTCTGAATAGAGGTGCGATACCACGTGGAGAGAATCTTGTGCTCATCGTCAGATATGAGGGACCCAAGGGTGGGCCAGGGATGCCGGAGCAGCTAAAGGCCAGTGCAGCCATCATGGGGGCAGGTCTCACGAACGTCGCTCTTGTGACTGACGGACGGTACTCGGGTGCATCACACGGATTTATCGTGGGCCACGTTTGTCCCGAGGCAGCCGTTGGTGGCCCGATTGCGTTGGTCAAAGACGGTGACGAAGTGACCATCGATGCCGAGAAAAACAGTATCTCGATGGATGTCAGTGACGAGGAGCTGGAAAGACGTCGAAAGGAGTGGAAACCTCCAAGGCCGGCAGTAACGAGGGGCACCCTAGCAAAATATGCAGCGCTCGTCAGTGATGCCAGTCATGGGGCTGTCACAGATCTGTTCTGAAAGCCACAAGTCAGTAAGAGAGAGGCCAGGCCAACAGAGACTGGAAGGCTCGAGCCACGAGAACAGAGCAAGGTCCGTCAGCCAATTCTGATAGAGAACAGACATTGTCCAGTTCCTAAAGCATCTTGAGCAGAGGTCTTTTGTTTTGCACCATAGTCTACCGGGTCTCAAGTATCTATTCACGTAGGACGCATTGAGGCTGTTCCAGTTGACGTTGTAGGGGGTTCTTGGGGCGCTGGTGGGTTCAGTTGATGTGATGCTCTGGCAGCTTATCGCGGAAAAGCTGGAACGGTGAGCGACCAGGGGCGAGGCGGATAGTCTTATCCAGTCGTGGAACAATAGTCGATGCGGGAGAATCGTATGGTTCGATGAGGTTGTGGTATGTAGGACTGTGAGTAGAGATGAGCCTTGATGAATAGTGATGAAGGATGAATTGTCTGTAGGCGACAAAAGAAAGGGGAAGTTGAATTTGCCGAGTCTGATTCTGGCTGCGGATCGCGCCTTGACATCTGCACCTTTGATCCTTGCACATCAGCCTCTTCTCTCTTCTCTCAGCACCAGCACCACCGTCACCACCACCCTATTCTTGACTTTGTATTCTGGACCGTGTTGCTCACCCATGATTCAGTCAAGCCCTCCTCAAGGTAGCTAGCAGAACAACAAAGGCATCCGAAGCTGAGCTCACTCATGTTGCAGCGCCTGGAGACCATCAAGTGGCTGATATTCCTCAACCGGCAACGCTCCAGCGATGTGCCGCATTTGTTCAAAGGAGTACTCGGCCCGGATTAGAGATGCATCCCGCAAGGGGTAGACCTCACAACCACCGAGCAAAGGCGTTGAATATAGCCGACTGTGAGCTGAAATCCATGGCGTATCGAGGCCATCTACCGGAATGCATGACTGTCAGCCCAGGTCACAGGGAGAGACCGGACAGTCTCAGCCTGACGTTGCGTTACCTTGCATCCTTCTGGTCGGAGGGCACGCTATACCCCCAATTCAATCCATGATAAAGGCATATTGGAACGACATGACCTTACTTTATTCACATTACGTCTTGGTCTTGCAATGTCTGAGTATGCCACTTAATGCTTTGTCTCTGCTGTCATGGGACGTAACATCGTCATACAATGGTCAGGACACACGGATGGTGCCAGCAAGGTCATCGTCGGTAAATATCTGTGATCGCGGATGAGTATGTGGGAGATAGCGACCCAATTCAACTGTGAGGCGATTTCGAAATCAGTGACTGAGGCGTTCAACCCGTTACCGATCTGACTCCTGCTGGGACCTTGACGTGGCAACACTTCATGTTGTTAGAGGAGCATGTGCCGAACTGATTGAAGATATCTAGGTGAGTGAAGTGTGACAACGACCAGATGACCAAGGATACCTCGAAGCGAGTTTACCCTCCTCTTCACTTCACTGCTTTTCGGCCTCACCTCGAACGAACTTGGCTAGATTTCTTGACACCCATATCACCTCAAATCGCCAAGGTGCTGTCAACACTACCACAGTCAATTCCGATCTGTCTTGATACTCTTTCCAATCATCATTCTTTGTGATAACAGGGTCACTTATCTTCGACAAACCTACACAGACAGAGAGGCTAACAGCTGTTCTCGAGCTCGAAATATTTGCTTCACACAGATTGTGCTCCACCTCACTCCTACCTGCGCTTCTTCACCACTTTCACTCCAGCTGGAAGCCTTTGCAAACATGTTTATCGGCCCCAGCTTCCTCTCCTGCCTCGCTGTGGTTTCTGTGGCCTTGGCTGTCGACAATGACAAGAACCCAGACCTCGTTGCTAAGCTTCGCGTGGCTGACACGCACCTGGACCGCATGAACTTGCTCCCGAATGATTCGGACTGGTTCTTTGACTTCACCAAGCAGGACAAGTACACCTTCTCGCCTGGGGGAGTGGTCAATGCCAACGCTGCTACTTTCCCAGCAACGGTTGGCCATGGCATGACAATGGTAGGGGTCAACTCTATCTCACACGTACATCATGTCCTTCTAACTGACTCTCTTTCAAAAGGCGCTACTCAATTTGGGCCCCTGCTCCATGCTTCCACCGCACATTCATCCCCGTGCCACCAACTTTGTCGTTGCCATCGCAGGGACCACGCAAACCTACATGGTGGCCGAGAACGGTGCCCGAACCGTGACTGAAACGCTCCAACCAGGCCAGATGACCATCTTTCCTCAAGCCTCCATCCACACCATGATGAACATTGGCTGCGAGAATGCGCAGTTGGTCTCGGCCCTCAACTCCGACGACTCCGGGACCACCAACCTCGCCAACACATTCTTCTCGTTTCCACAGAACATCACCGGGACCATCATTGGAGGCGGACTGAACCCTCGGGACATCTATGGGCGAGTACCGGCCGTCGGGACAGGCAGCAACGCGGGCCCTCAGGCGTGCATTGCCGCGTGCGCGAAGAAGGGGAAGATGATCAAGCGAAAACACGAAGTGCCGTCCTGGAACTAAAACCGAGAGGCGTGGCCGGGGACCCCAAGAGTTCGCTTCGAGCTGACAAACACGAGGAGAGGCGGTCTTGGGAAAAATCCGGTCTTGGAGACAAACAGACAAACGCCGACATTATTTGTTGCGAGTATTTCTCAAGGACGCGTGGAAAATATCTTCTTCCTCAGCATGCGGTTAGCACTCACTCACGAGACTCACGATGCTTGCATGGAATTATAGTGCCGAGACAGAGAGTGACTCTTTCCAAGTCGACGTGACAGTCGAACAGTCCGCACAGGTGTGCAACTGTTACTGGAACATGGAATTAAATCCTTGAAAATTGACGATCCAGACTGGGGGTTTTTTTTTTCTCTCTCTCTCAAAATATTAGACTGTGATGCTCATGGTACTGTGCTCCACGCTGAATACACAGATAAGCTACTCCGAATCACCTAGGGGTGTTCCCCCTGGTACTGTGGTCAAGTGTAGCCGTTCTAGCCCTTTACTGCATCGTCACGGCACACGGCAATCGCGTTAAAAACTATTAAACAAAAAGAGTCACGGCTAATAATCCAAGTGACCTCATCACCACCGTTTGCTTTTGATGTCATGGGACCCCTCTGAACCATGCAGCCATCAACAGTGACATTGTCGCGACTCTGATTGTTCATTCTCCCCTGCACCTAACTAACAATCGGCAGACTACATTCTTCCCTTCCGACTCCATTGCCGGTGGTTCACCTCGGAGCAATCCTCTCGTTTGGATCCCGCCATACTAAGGATATGAAAGAGGAAGAAACAGTACTGTCGAACCAGGCACGGAGACACCCGAGGGATGCGTGCATGTTTTCAAACCGCCCACGCGGGTATGTACTCGTGTCGGCCTTTGGGGATTCTTGGCTCGGGAGGGTCGAAGTTCTTGATGGCTGCAGAGCGAACAGAGGGGGGTTTGATTAGCCTTTATCCTTTTTGTCCACAGGTTCAATGCCATGTCTGACAAGAATGAGCGGGCAATGGGTCCATCTATATTGTACCTGTTACGACCCTCTTGACCAGTGAATCCTTCTTCTCCTTCTTAGCCCGTTCCTTCTCACTCATGAGAGATGAGGTCGATATCGAGGCAGCGTCGAATGACACGTTGGCCTTGGAATCCGACGGCATCTTGTTGGTTCTGGATGTCAATGGTTTGTTTGAGTGGGTGGGCAATGGTGTCTCGGAGTATTCTTGTAGAGGTTTCTTGGTCGAGGATGTTCAAGTAAGCTTTTCCCTCCAGCAATGCCGAGTGCTATGGTGCGTTTCAGTATGAAGACAGAGGACGTAGGCCTCAGGGCTCAGGCAGACGGCTTTCGTCCACGTCTTTATAGCCCGACCGCGAAGCGGACGAAGGCGCCGGCAGAGGTTTGGCATGAAGCTTGTCTGTCATTCAATGGTGGCCTAAACTTTACCAGATGGGACCACGCGCGGGCAGCACCATACCGCCCACAGAGGAAGTGTATGGTGCATTCGGGTGATAGGTCCTGAATACAATAGAATTCGCGTAGGAGCTACCGCATCAGGTAATGATTCGACGAATCCATATGAAGTGGGTATTGTCAAGTGGATGCAGTGGATGCAGTCGAGGAATCATGGCTGATCTGACTCATGAGGGTTTCTTCGTCAGCCTTACGGCTCTCTCACGGCGATGATTCCTCGATGATTCCTGCCGTGCGGTCCTGCGGCCTCCTCTTGATCGTCACCTCTTATAAGAACCCACCTGCCCTATATAGCGACCGAAGAGGAAGAGGAAGACTTGAGGTCGAGGGATACAGGGAGGAGGGGATGGCGAGCTGCCTGTTCGTGTGATTCTGGCGGCATCAGTTGTGGGGAGAATGAAAACAGAAAAAAGGTCCAATAAACAAGCAATGGACCGAGTACGAGGTAATAGCGAGTACGCCGCCGCCAATCACGGGGAAACAGACCCAACGACAAATTGAGGCACGTATTCGCACTTTTTGCCTCGACGCCATTTTTTCTCTCTGAGTCACAAAAGTCACGCATGACGCACAAGTCTAGACTCGAGAGAGAAGTTCGAGTTTCCGAGTCAGGCAACTGGAAGGGGTGGACGACGAGGAGATAATACAAGACTCGTCAAACTCGCAGATAGCCGATCTTCCTCCTCTCCCACGTTCATCGTTTCATCGTCCCAGGCACCACTCTGTCTACGAGTACGTGCCTGATCATGTGGAGCTCTTCTGCCACGAACGGAGCTTCTACAGAAGGTTCATCCCGTCATTCAGGCTTGAACACGAGGGATTTTCCTTGATTGGGGACTGCTTCGCTAATTCTCATGGAATTGACTCGATGTGCTAAAGAATGCACTTCAGTCACGACTCGCCAGACACACCGTGACATCCTGATCCTGTCCTCGTTTGCAAGTCCCATTGATCTTGTCCACGCCATATAACCGCCGTCACAGCCTGTTGGAGTCGAGTGCAAGAGAATCAGAGTGGCCTCGTGGCTCCACATGATGATAAATCTGCGCCATGTTGCTCAGGACCCTATTGATGCTGCGTACCAGAATACGTTCGCAGCTGCGGTCTCGATGTCGTTTGGACGATCACCCCGCAAGCTGCTGCCAGTGACCTGCTCGTCATCTCGAACAAATAGTACAAGGTTTGTCAATGATGTGCTAACCCTTCTATAGTCCTCAAGATATATGTGCCTACTACCACGGTGGCGTCCCCCTGAATGGCAACAGAATCCCCAATCACAGAACCATTCACGACCGGTCCACAAACAAACGAATCCAGCAAGCCCTGGGTCCGTGACAGCCGGGACTATCCTCCTGGTTATACGTTTGACCATCTCCTTAGGCCTCCATGCTACTCGCGGTCTGCAGCCCACGAGCGCGTCTCTGGCTCGAGCGGAGGGATCGTTCATGTGACTTGTGTGGCTAGGTACATCGTCGAATCTTGCCCAAGCGGATATCACAAAGGGATACAATGACGCAGAAGGAATGGTGACATGGTGTAGAACAAAAGAACAAGGTGACAACAAGTTTAGTCAAGAAGCTGGATGAACGGGGTCAATTTGGCAGGCATGTCACAAGGAATAAGGTGACCCGTCACCATGTATCCCTATCCGTTTGCATCTTGTCATTCTCCTCGCCCTTCTCTATGGTTCTCGTAATTGCACTTTTGCCTTGGACCTCTTCCACATCCATCAACACAACCTTCCCCTCGAGGAAACGGCAGTAATGACCGAGAAATCCGGGCACAAACCCACCTCGACCCTCTCGATGCAGACTTAGACCACGGAAGTAGATCTCGCTGGACCCAAGCCTCAAGATCGCGCGAACGCCGACGCGGACGCGGCCGCAGACGGCGCGATGTTGCCGTTCCACACCTCCCTCGCTCATCCCCGGTCCCGTCTCACGATGGAATCCTCCCGGACAACGCGCGATGGCAGAACCCATTGCGCTGGCAGCGCTGTCGTCAAGGATAAACTCACCCACTTAAACAGATGCCCCCGCGCGTACCACTACTTCAACAGCGCGTATCCGGACCACAGTCTCAGAGTCGAGTACTCCGACGACCCTCGCTATCCCGCAGGCGAGTACCCCGAGGGTGCATATCCGACCGACGCATACCGTGTAGCAGGGGACGAGGACTCAGAGTCAGAGCATTACGATGGCCGCGAGGACGAGACCGACTATGATGATTATGGGGGCAGTGGAGAAGCCGAAGATGACGACGACTGGGACGTAAGCCGGCGCGCGAGTTTGCTTTGCGACGGTGATGAAGAGAGCGTAGACCATGGCCGGTTCTGGGAAGTGGATGAGGCCGAGTCTGTGGGTCGAGAGCCCTTGGAGTCGAGCGAGGGAGAGTCGACCAAGGCTTGGGACGATTCCAAGGATACAGAGAGGGTTGCAGCTGCGTTCATGGGAACGACGACGGTCCCCGAATGTAGAGGCCAAGGGGAGAATGGAGAGATCTGTCATCATCCTTGCCGCGTCAGCGCTCCCCGTGCTCAGCCCAATTTCACATGGCGTACACTTTTCGCATTAGGCGCTTGTGTCGGGGTGGCATTATATGCTTGGAACTCGGCATTGGATCGAACTAGCAATCCAAGTCTCTAGCGACACGAATGTTTTTGGTTGAGTCATATCATCCCCGCTTTGAGGCAGTCCCTTGTGCGTTGTGGAAAGGTCCATTTTTGGCAAGGTGGCTGACTTTCATGAAGCAGGTCCAAACGCCCTGGTAAGCTCTCTGTAGAGGATCTGCTCGTATGTCGTTCAGATCGGTTGTGCCTGGGGTGAGGGGAAAGTGAACCTTTAGACGTGCCGAATCTTGCACCAAGCGTGGGATCGTCCTCAATCATCTGCGGATCGGTGCGTGGACAATTCGAATAAGGCGCTGTGCTGCTAATTGTCCATTTGGGGAACAAGACAAAGTTGCCAGTATTGGTTCACAGTTCTTCAAGGCCCTTTTCCACTGCCGCCGCTCACAAAACGTCTCGCGACCCAGGCACTCCCATGTTCCAGATACTCTTCGCGCGTAACACCGTACTCCCTGACAATCCCAGGAAATCCACACGCCAACCTTGCGCCTCCCAGCCAAGTTGACGTGATGGGATCCGCCATTTTACGAACTCGAACCTGCCATTCAGTCTTCACCCTCATGCGTAGCTCGGCTTCAAGTCTTTCTGCAAAGCCAGTAATATGCGCATTTCCGCCGACGAGGAGGACGTTGCTGAGCATGGTGACCTGCAAGAGTGGGGGGAGGACACTGAGCGACTGCATCACAATATCTGCTAACCCAGGCTGTTTCGAGCCTATGTCGCCAGGCGAGAAGATGATTTCTGGGATAGAGAAGCGTTCATTCCCCAAGGTCATTGAGATTTCAGCGTCTGGCCCGGAGGAGAGGGCGGCTTGTTTGCGCTTACGTGCGGCGGCGGGGGTGGGATCATGTGGACGGCTGAACCCTCGAAGAAGATGAATGCCATCAGGGAGGATATAGTCGACTCGAATCTCCTGATTTTCCGCGGGAACTTTGTGGTCGACATCCATAGCCACGTCCGAATCATCCAGTTTCGAGGGCGTTGATTTCAGCCTCGTTTTGTTTCCCTTCCACGTCTTCTCCAGGTCGGTTCGGAAATCTCCACTGACAAAACAGACATCTTCCTTGATGTCATTGACGATTTTGGTGTCTTGATGCAAATCAAAATGTCGTACAGAGATAACTTCTTTTAACAGATTCGTCAGGTGCTTGCCTCCGAAATCCAATCGACGGACTGCTCGGTGCAAGGGGCGGCCCTTGAAGAGCGGTGTGATGGTGGTATGGCTGTACCCGCTGTCGATCACAAGGACGCATTCCATCGGCAGGTCTGCCCAAGGGTCATTGTCTGGCTTCGTGTACGATGCTCCTTCAAATAGTGGATGAAGATCATTGTAGGCATTAAGTGACGGGCCTGCTTTGCACATCAGCAAAGATTTCCCTAATGCGAGGTGTCTCTGGCCTAGCCATACCTACCAATGACCCTGGAATATCCCCCAAACCCCCACTCTTCCATGATGATCTCGTCTGCGTTCTTCTGGAAAGGAGGCATAGTATTAGGCGGCTCGGTGAAGATGAGGGTGGTGTCCTCCGGACTCTTCACCAGCAGATCCTTCTTAGCAATCCGTTCATCGAAGAAGGACTGGTCCCATATCTCTTTCTGCGCCTCCCAGCTCACAACCTGACCGTTCTCGACGGGCCGGCGAAACAACGCCTCGCTCCATTGTGTGATTTCTTCGGATTGCGAACCGACGTAGACTTTCCGGTCACGGCTGCGGACGATGCAGTTTGGAATGATATGGCATTTTGACAGGGCATCTGCGTCCGAAACAGGTCCCAAGGGCGCGAAACCTGCTTTGAGGCTGTAACCACCATTGTCGAGGACGAAAGTAGTGGAGGGAAGGCCGGGGGTGCTTCGTGTGGACTTGGGTGCGCGGGGCATGGCGACTTTATGCAGCCCGCATCATTCCTTCCAGGAGATCAGAGATCTACTTGGAGAAATGATATCTATGGTGGTGGCCCGGAGAAACTTGTCGCGTATGTGTATGTAGAGTACGAGAGAGCATTTGATGGGTGTTTGGAACGTCAATTTGATTTTCGAGAAAAGTTGTCGCATCACATTTGTTCCGCGTCTAGCAAACATGCACCCCAAGCACCTCTCGCCGCTTTACCAGGCGACAAGCGTCCTTGGCCAGCCTGCCCAATCAACACGTTCTTCATTCCTCTCTCATTTCTTCCCGCCACCTCATCCTCCATCAGTGTCGGTCGCACCGCAGGATGATCTATTTACCATGTTACTTGTCCCAATTTGTCCGGTTTGCCACTATCCTTGACTCTTCAATTGTACGTGAAGATTAAAATCGGCCACTTTCGAGTGCTTCTCGAGGTCGAGCAAGGCTGGGAAAAAGGGGCAATGGACACTACCGAGGCACTATTACATGGTACCATCGAGAATTACCTTGTCCTGTTCGTGAGGGCCGAGTTCGTGTATTTTAAATCGTGGCGCACTCAGTCCATAGACCGTGTGCGTATGTCTCAGAGGCCTTCTGCGTCATTCATGCCGTCTCCCATTGCAGGGTAAAGAGAAAGACTGCAGCATGTGCTGGTACACCATCTATTGGCTCTGAACATGTTTCATACATGTATGTACATGGCCCTCTGAAAATTCTATAGACAGGAAGAGATAGTCAAATCACTTGAAACTCGTCCGTGTGACTTCACTGGCTTTGGATTCGCTGACTTCGGGTTTCAGATCCTCTGTAATATTTCTCTCGTCCTTCCAGGCGAGGGCGACAAATTTGGTGTGGCTTCCTCGAGCCACGATCTCGTTATTCTTGTTCATGAACTTGACGGAAGTGTATGCGAGGGTTTTGCCGACTAGATGAGATCAGCACAAACTTCGACTATGGAGGAGAAAGAGCACATATCTCACACTTGTCGCAGATGACCTCGCCTTTCACCAAATCACCGATCTTACCGCCTGCATTGAGGTAGGTCACGCTGAGATCTGTTGAAACTCCTGTCGAGTACAGACCACGAGATGCCAGAGCAAGTGAGCCACTAGTATCGACCATGGTGGCCAGTGTGGCGCCATGTAGTATCCCTAGGCGGTTCGTGTGCTGCTTCTCGATGGGTAGTTCGAAGTTGACTTTCCCAGGTTCCGCAGCTGTTATCCGCATCTGAACGACACAATTGAGTCAGAGACCAAGTTCCACTTGCGGTAAGCTCATCAAGACGCGGTATGGTGACTTGGTCCGACTTTGCCAGTTGGTGATACTTACACCGTCGATCAACCTGTTGTTCTGCTAGCTTAACGAGAGTACTTTGGATCAGGAATGAAGAGAATTACCGTGGCTCAACCCCCGACGTTGCTCTAAAGGATTCCCATACCTGTAAGGCTTTAGCTCTGTGTCGCCCTAAGTTCATAGATTGCTGGAAACTCACCGAGCGGACGAACTTTAGTGCCGACATTGTATGGTTACCAAGCTTCTGAGACCGCCACTCGTACTGCCAATTCAATGCTGGACCCGATGGAGCACCCGGAGCACTCGAGCCACGGAGTGAGATCGGATTGAAGGTTGATAGTGGCCAAATTCCAATAGCGTAAAGATATCAACCAACTTGTTGTTAGAGCCGAGATGCAATGAAGTCAAAATGAGATGGTGAAGGAAATTACATTTTATGGGCTGCTTGATTCACCGCAGCGAGACGCAGAAATGATCCACCGTATCAACTGCTCCCAGATGAAGTGGCGCACACCTCGAAATCATCCCCCGTACACTTCCTCTCCCTCCGATTTCGCTTTGGCGGTTTCTCTGGTCACTGTTGATGCCATTTTCACCCTTGTTCCAAGATGGAGACACACCACCTCTGAAGTTTTAACCTCTCTGGGCCACCGATACGGAACGGTGAATACGAGTCGAGGTTAGCGCAGATTCTGCAACCCACCAGTTGGCGCAAGATGACCACCAGTCAAGAGCCGAGTTCGGACCCTTTCCTCCGTCAACCATTGCTTGTTTCGTCCAAGACCAAAAATGGGGTTTGCAGGCTAATATCCGGCGCCCTTTGTTAGGAGACTCTTGCGTTTCTTGCTAAAGTCCGGCCGAGTCCATGACGCTGTCTTTCCTTCTCGTTACCATGCTACCGGCAGCCTCTTGTCGAACTGCTCAGGGAGCACGCGACAAACAATTAGCACACCAATCTCCCTGGTGGGATCAACAAAAGTTGAACCGGGCTCACAAGAATTTGTTAGCATCATATTCACAACACTATTAAACCTCCAATGGCCAGGACGACCAAATACAGCCAAGGCCGCGTGCCAACTACTCCCGTTGACAATGCCACTGTGCGCAAGCGAAGGGCTCACAAGAAGTCTCGGCTAGGCTGTCGCAATTGTAAAATCCGCAGAGTCAAATGCAACGAGGTTCGACCAATGTGTGGAAAGTGCCTGGAATACGGCGTGTTGTGCAATTACGATCCTGGTATACCTGATCTCCAGCCTCGAACCCCCGCTTCTGAATTTGGCTATCTGCAATCGAGGGTGGAAAGGTCGCCTTTGGGAACGACTAAACCTATCTTAGACATGATCACTATCTCCTTGGACAAAAGCACTTCTGAACTGGAGTCGCAGAGTGGAGCTACGCGATTCGACAAATCTGATCTGGCACGACTTGACAGATTCCAAACTAGGACAGTTCTCAGCATTGGCACAAAGAGAGCTGCCCGGGTTTTCCAGAGGGAAATCATCCCACTTGCCTGTGCGAACCCCTTGCTCATGCATTTGGCCCAGGCAGTGACTGAATCCCACGATCGTTACTTGTGTGGAGTGGCCACATCGAGACCCAGCACAACCGAAGCCTACCACTTGAACAAAGCCTTGGTTTCCTTCCAGAGCATTCTCTCCCGCCCCATCAGACGTGACGAAGGGGATGCGTTGCTACTCGCCTCATCCCTCCTTGGGGTTGTGAGCTTTTTCAACCTCGAGGCGTCGTCTGTCGAAGACGTCTGGCCGTTGCAGGATACTGACATGGCTTGGCTCAACTTAAGCGACGGAAAACAAACCATCTGGCGATTGGCAAGCCCTTTAAAAGTCGACAGCCTTTGGCGACAGGTTGGCATTGCATTCGATCACGACAAGCTACCTGATAATCAAATCCCCGACCACAGCCCCTCGATATTTGACCATCTCTGTGCTGAAGATGCTGAGTCGCCATCAGCTCGGGTCAATCCATACTACTGGACTGCAAAACGGCTCCTACCCTTATTGGACCTCGAATGCGATGACTCCACCTGGCTGCGGTACCTTGGATTTGTCAACAAGATAGATCCACTGTACAAGTCCCTCCTTGTGCGAAAAGATCCTTGGGCGTTGCTTATACTTGTGTATTGGTACATGAAGGTGTGCAGAGGTTCTTGGTGGATTTCGTCCCGCTCTATCCTTCAAGGGCAGGCAATTTGCCTGTATCTTGCACGGTACCATTCGGATGATCCGACTATTCTCGCAGCTTTGGAGAAGCCAAGGATGGAATTCAATGCTGCACAAATGGAAGGATGGGGAGGCATATCTTCTGTAGTAAGCAGTCCGGGTTGGTCTTAACTTCAGAAAGGCCCATGGTGCAGTCATTAGGCGTCTCAACCTTTTAATAGTGCTGAACTAGCAACATGATACCCAAGAGCCTTGATATTATCTCTACTTAGAGGTTGCGTCATGCCAAAATGTGTTGTAATCGCTCCGTCACAGCCTCGTCAGGACATTTTCAAAAGCGGCGAGATATTTGTACAAAAGAAGACATGATCCTCTTGGCATTTTTGACTCAATTTGAGCCTTGTTTGCCTTGAATGAGGCTCTATCACCATCTATTCCCCTTGGACTTCCCATCACTGTCGCCTCGGAGTATGTGCATCAGCGGAACCAGATGACGGATAGGTGAAGATGGTAACGGGGAGCTAAGCGTGTGCGACTCCGACTTTCTATTGATTTGGCCGAGTGATCATGGCGGACGCAACACTTCAATCATGGGAGTACCTCGAGACACTCCCAGGGACCCAATTCTACCGTCTCTACAGGAGTCCAGCCTCTGCTCTGGCGATATTTCGAAAGCGACTGTCTGCACTGGCGAAATCCTTTGTCTTGATGCTGTTGTACATGCCCCGGCCTCTGCCAGTCAAACAACTGGAACAGTTTGTCAAGGACACCAGCCGGGGTGAACGCGAGCACGCTTTGGATTTACTTCACCGTTACCACATATTTCGAGATGTCACTCTCAACTCGACAAAGGCATATGCGTTGACTCCGGACTTTGCTAAATCTCTTCGTCGCGCTTTGACGGGAGCAGGAGATACCCGGTCTTTCGGACAGGTCGCGCGAGTTCCAGAGGGTCGCAAAGTCACGATATCGCAACTAGACGAGTATTCTCGCCAGCGATGGGAAGGTATATTGGGTTACATGGTTGGATCTTCTTCCATACCTCTCGAGACGGCAAATGAGCAGCCAGCGATTGAACCGGCGCCAGGAGTCATTGAGCTTCTGAAGGCTGGTCATCTCATCGAGGTCAGCGGGGCGTACAGCCATGGCCAAAGAGCCAGGATCACGAAGGAAGGCTTTGCGTTTGTCCTGCAAGATATCAATACCCAGGTATGGGCATTGCTTTTTCTCTACGTGGATAACGCCGAGGTCTTTGACATGGACAAAGTCGATGTCCTGTCGTTTCTTTTTCTTGTCTCGTCCCTAGAGTTAGGGCTGGCATACTCGACCTCTACTCTGGATGAAACCCAACGGCGCTGCCTGTCGGACCTGGTTTCTCTTGGACTCGTCTACCAACCTCTGTCAGACGACGGCATTAACCCTGCCAACTACTTCTACCCCACGCGTCTAGCAACCACCCTAACGTCCGACTCGGCCTCGGCTCTGTCGACAACCAACCTGACCATCGGTACGTCTCTCTCACAGAAATACTCCTCCTCATCAGGCACCACCACACCTTCCGGTACCGTCACACAAAAGGGCTTTATCATTGTCGAGACCAACTACCGCGTCTATGCCTACACCTCGTCTCCCTTGCAGATCGCCCTTCTCTCACTATTCGTCAACCTGCGTTCCCGCCACCCCAATCTCGTGACAGGGAAAATGAGCAAGGCTTCGGTCCAACGAGCCGTCCAGGCCGGCATCACAGCTGATCAGATCATTTCGTATCTTACGACCCATGCGCACCCCCAAATGCGAAGGCACGCGCAGGCAGAGCAAGCAGCCCTGCTGGCGAGGGCCACCACCACCGAGTCGCAGGTACAGAGAACGGTGCCGATCCTGCCTGCGACGATATTAGATCAGATCCACCTGTGGCAGCTGGAAAGAGACCGCATGACAACCACCCCTGGGTTCCTCTTCCGGGATTTCTCCACGCGGGCAGAATACGAAGCCAATTGTCGGTACGCGGACGAGACTGGTGTGCTGGTGTGGAAGGACGACGCGAAGCGGCTGTTCTTTGTGACGCGGCTCGAGGGCGTGCGGGCGTTTATGGCGGAGAGGAGAGCGACTGGTTCGGGTGGTGGAACACAAGGCTGAGCGCTAGGGGACTGGCGAAGAAGGCTGGATGGGATATACACACACCCTTTTCGAGTCTGGCATCAGGATTCCAAAGCACCTCCCACTCACGGCTTGAACGGACTAGGTGGCCCGGGTGCATTTGGCGTCGAATCTGTGAGCTAGCGGACGCGTTCACAGATCAATGGAGAGCGCGGAAGGCAGCATTTTGACGTGCACGAGATCATGGCAATGGGTAGGGAGGGCCTTTGGTTCTGGTTTGCCGGATACCGAGCATCGGCCTCCTTCTCTTTTGACATATCAATGTCCAATAGGATAGGCCATTGGTCGTTTGTAACAATATCACTGTTCTTGACTTGCCCTGCCTACCCCCACCCTATCTAACAGGAATCCGACCACCCGACCACCTCCTCTGTCCTTCCGTGATCTTCTGTTCGCCATGGCTGGCTGAAGTGAAACGTGGTATTTGATCTGTGCCTTGACCTTCCCTCTTTTCTTCGATTCGGTTCCAGCATGCGTGCATATACGCATGTCAACTGACCAACCCCTGTCGAAGACTCCCCGGCCTCAAGCCGAGAACCCCAGGGCCTCTTTATATCAATCTCATTTGAATATAGATATTCATATATCCCCTGGCTGGCCGTCCTGTCTATTCTTGGTCTCTGCAGGATGTGAATAACCCTCCCGTTTTGGGCTGAGTCAGGAACCCCTTGATTCCCTCGCCTTGACAATCTGCGAGAATGTCACTGGAGGCTGACGAGGGAGAGACGCGTTGAGACGCGGAACCGGATGGGGATTGGAGGCAAGGTAAGCAAGCGGAGGCGATAGGTGTGTGTCTGTCCGAGAGAGTCAATCAACAAACGAAAAGAAAATAACCCGGCCACACAGCGAGACAGCCAGATGAGCCTCCTCTTGCGGTTTGTTTCGCCTCTCTTGTCCTGTCCTGTCATGTCTTGTCTTGTCTTGTCACCAAGCGAGATCCAGGCAGGAGGGAGGAAGGAAAAGGGCGCAGGTGGAGTGCAAAGGCAGAGGTAGACAAAATCCAGACACTCAGATTGTCATCTATCTAGCCAGGCGACACGGCAGAGAGGGTCAAATAGGGACATGATCCGAGGGTGTTGTCGTTGTCCTCGAAGGCGAATATGAGAGGGAGCAGCTCCGTAAGCTTTCGCTGCGAGAACAAAAGACATATTCGAATTCACCAAATCACATGCCTCGCTTCGTATCAATCGTCGCAGGGCGGAGAGACTGTTCGGAATGGTCTCGATTCACCTATTTAGCTAGATTCACAATTTGACCAGCCTGAATCAAAGACAGTCATGAGGGCTTCATCTTCCGCCAGCTCGCACATCCAGGTACCGGGCATCAGCAAAGACGAGTCCTCTCGTATTCGATCAAAGTGCCAGGAAAGTTGCTCGATGTGGAAACGGTTGCATCCAGTCATACCAGGTTGGTGCAGGCCAGGTCAGGATGCACAGCCCAAAACTCCTTTCGTTATCGCTTCAGTAGCATTTGAGAGCCGCCCTCGACTGCATCCACTCAACTCTCCCCTCTCTTCCAGCTAGGCGCTCACCCTGCTGTATCCCGTCCGCTCCCCGGCTCCAGGTCTGTTCGGTTCGACGACGTGACAGCGACAGATCCCTCAATTTCCGCCACAGAACACAGTCTTGCATCGTTCCATCCTTGACCACGAGAGCAACACCCCACATTGCCAGAGAAAGGGCAAGAAACTTGCTGCTTTCCAGTCTTCGGGCTTCAGCCAGAGCACACCACCTCCACTCATCTCGAATCAAAGAAGGTTCGGGCTTCAGAAGGTCGCCGATGTCATGGGGGCCTTGCCCTTTAAGTACCTTGAACACGTCCCAGGTAGAGTAAGCACGGAGAAGATAGGAAGACCGTCCAGAAACAGACAAGGACAACTAGAAGTCGAAGCCGAATGATCCACTTTCCACAACAAGCAAACGAGATGCCGCAGAAGGTAAAGGCATCGCGAAACGGAGCGTCACCTCGGCCGTATGCCTCGCCATCCGGCCGCAATTGACCATAGAGGACGATCTCCTGTCTGCCCTGGTCAAGGGAAATATGAGACAAGGGTAAGCGGGGGTGAGCGTAAGCGCTTAGGCCACGTGGTGGGATACGAGGATGGCTTCAGGATGATCTTGCCATGTCTGGGCCCGCAAGATTCGGTTGGTATCGGCCTCTAAATGGTACAATATCGTCAACAATCTGGTGAACAAAAGGAGGTCAAAAGCTGTTCGGGCAGAATCTCGAGTCGATGGGTAAGAGACTGTGCCTTGTTGTCGCAGTTCTGCCTCTCCGCACGTTGCTTGCCGTGTAGTATCCTCGAGAATTCCGACGCAGGCTTATTGTTTTGGCTCAGACGTTCGCAAGGCTGTCGTGAAGCAGCCGCAGAGTGGAACAGGCAAGTGAAAGGTCAGCAACAATGAGTCGGAGCCCTGTCAGCCACCCACAGCCTCCATTCTTTCCCTCGACGCCTTGCATATAGTACATCCCCCAACATTCTGTATTTTATCTTTCAGTAAACGCGCATTTGTGACCTTTGGTCCCACTGATCTGGAAAACCTGGTTTCTTCAGCCTCGCCATCATCCGGACGAATACCATTCTGAGGTAGTAGCACCTCATCTCCTTCTGCCTCGGGACCATGTAGCAGATGTGAGACGTGATAGACATGCCCACAAGCGAACCCGACCAGGGTTTCGGTTTCATTTTCATGAAACGCTTTATGACACGACGAACAGTGTCCTGGTTTCACCTCCGGTTCTGGTTCGGCCTCTGGTTTTGTTTCCTCTGCCAGCTGATCCTTGGAGCCAGCAACGTCCTGGGCAGATGGCCGTTGGTGTTTCACACTTGGAGCGACAATGTCGAACCTGATACCTTTCCTCCGACCTCTTCTCAGCGTCTCCATGCCCACGGCAACCTCGCTGCTGAGTACTCGCGCAACGCCAGCGCTGATACTGTCTTGTAAATCATACTCTCGAATCATCTTCTTCAGCCCATCTTTTAGGCCTTCCACTTCCAGTCCAGAAGGTATTCTCTTCACCAAGGTAATAGGGTCAATGGCAGTCCCGACCTCTGCTAGGAGACCTGAAATGAATCTCGGGCGTGACATGCTGTATTCGAGAAAATCGTCCCAGAGACTCTGGTCATCTTGCTCCTTGGCGAAAGCGATGGCCTTTGAGACATCCTTCAATTCATCAATGATCAAAAACAGCGCCTTTTTGGTCTGTCCCGTCTTGCTCAAGAGGTAGACAAGTTCCTCGACGTAATGCTTCCTTTCGCATATCTTGACAGCGTTTTCGAAAGTGTAAGCGGTGGACGCTTGCAAGAATTCCATGAGCAGATCTCGATCGAATTCTGCAAACAACTCGATAGCGACATCCGCGAATTGTTCAACGTGCTGCTTCCCTGTGTCGGCCGCAAGCGACGTAGTCATGGCTGAATGGCCGACCCGGGGTAGCGCAGGAGCTTCCTGGGTTCCCTCGCCGCGCCACAAAGCGCGAAGGTAGAAGTAGAGGAAAGGCTTCAATGTCGGCTTATCAAGTTGCGCAACAACTTCGTCGGGCTCAACCACTCCAGCTGTAGCTTCGTCGACGAGGACCTTGACTGGGTCCGCAGCAAGTTCGTCCAGTTCCTCGCGAGTTGCACTCTTCAATTGATCGGGTGAAACTCGCAGCATGACAAAACTGGGAATGTCGTCGGCAATGGCGTCAACGAGATGGTGTTCCTTGATCAACGACATGGCCGTGTCAGCATCCTGCAGGGCGATGTAGCATCTCAGAGCTTCGTCATAGTGTCCATCTGCCAGGAACAATTTCCCCAGGCTTTCCTGCAAGAGCCTCCAGTCCTGTGACCCCCTGGATGCGGTACCAGAGCGCAACTGATCTTCGACCGCTGCTGTGATGCTGCTGATCTCAAAAAGATCGGAAGGCCACTCATCAAGAAGCTCCTTGAACCGCGATCTGTCAACCTCCGCGTAGTGACCAAGGATGATTTCAAAGATGGAGGATGGCAAAGGGGGTGTCAGTTCCAACGTCGGTACGTGAGGCGATATCTCGTCAAACTTCGCGTTTTTGACGAACGTCCACACCCAATGCTCCCAGCGACTCGTCGTATTCAATACTTTTGCAGCGACCTCGCCAGCTTCAGACCATCTGTTGGCATCAACGAGCTGCTTTAGCCACAACTCGCCTATTCGTCGCTTCTCCTTTTCCGCCGCAGAGAATTTGTTCTTCGATTTGGCTTGCGCTGAACTCGTGACTGAAACAGAATCCGAGAAGAATTCGGCCAAGGTAGCGTGCTGACGAGCCTGCGTTGGGCTGAGGGAAGTCGCCGTGCCTGATCTTGCGACGGAACTAGCTTTCGATGGACTTGGTGGTGTTGAAGTTCCAGAAGCTTCAGAGAGGGTGCCCGCTGCTTCGGGATGCTGATCAACCAGTTCCCACGCTTGTTGGTATTTCTTGAGGCTCACGAGCCACTGCATACGGTCGTTGAGATTGCGTCGGACCGCGACAATGCAGTCATAGGGGCTGTAGATGAAGATCTTCATGCTTTGTGCCGTGGCCATGGTATTGATCTCCTCTTTGGCACTCGTCTCACTAGATCCAAACCCCGGGATCCAGCCTGTGAGATAGTTGCGTTCTCTGGTGCTTCCTGTTCGATCAGGGCCACTGACACCACTGCGAATACTCTCGCCTGAACTGAAAATTCGATTTGCGCCCAAAAGCCGTGGCCCGTACATGGTGGCATCCCACATACCTTGACCAACGGATTCAACGCCTGTAGCCAGACTTGTGCCAACCGTGCTCATACCAGATCCAATGGTGCTGAGATACCCCTTTTGGAGAAGTGCAGCTGGGATGCGAACTGGAGGCAGAACGCCCAGGTGATAGTCTGAAGCCGAAAGAGTCTCAAATCTGCTCATAGTGAGAGTGTCGGTGTCGACTTCTTCCTTTGTATCGATATTGACCAAACGCAACTCTGGTTCCAATGCATTATGTCGTGCTCGTCGGCCTCTCCTGCTACCTCCACTGTCTTGCGATGCTGAGCCATTGCCTTTCTTTTTTTCCATGAATGCAAGCACCAAAAGCAGACTTGGGGTATATAACGAAATTCCAGATATTGTACAGTCATCAAATCGTATACTGTTCGGTGGTCAGTAGGCGCATCTTCCCGAGAAGACGTAGAACTCACATCGTAGCGACTTCAGCGCGTCCAATTTTATTATTACCTCCGCTTTCCACAGAGCCTGGGTAGACCTTGATGATCCATACTGAATCTCCCCACCCTACTAAAACTTCTTCAACCTTTGCATTTTTCGGATCTGGCTTGGGAGATGCACCGTTCGCAGGAGCAGGGACGAGGGTGCTAACAGGGGAGTCGTCGTCGGTATCGAGATTGTCGCGGTCGATCCACTCTGCACGAGCTTTCCATACACCCGCCATATCCTCCCAGCCGGGACGATTAGGTCTGTCAATATGGCTCATCCGTTTCCACTCGAGACCGGATTCTGAACTTTCGAGCTTCAAGTTTGATCTCATGATCTTGATTCCCTGCTCATTTACCCAGAGGACATATTTTCCTGAAAGTGACCATTTGATGGTGCTAATGATACCTTCACCACCGTGCACAATTTTGTCTGACCCAGTGTTGGTTCCAAGGCCAATTGACCCAAGCCAGCCAGAGGCCACTGCCGCCGCTCCTGTCGTAGTTGCATTGGCGCTTTTCCCTGCTTGTCCGCCAGTAGTCAAAACCAGAATGCCCCCTTGCCCGCCAGATAAATAGGTTCTGTCCGATTTGTATTCTGGTGAAAGGGCAACGGTCTGGACAGGTCTTCCGAAGTTGCGCAATTGAACATCACGAGGATCGACTAATGAGGCGATGCAGACATTACCGTCGATGGACGACGTCGCGATATATATCCGATTTGGAGGTATATCCGCTATAGGATTTTGCACATGCTTTCCTTTCGGTGCCGGGGAGCTTGAGGGCGACTTGTCCGCATTCGAGGAAGCTTCTGCTGCTAGTTTTGAACCAGGCTCGTAGCGGAAACCCGCAAGTGGAGGGTTGTAGGGAGATATCGAGATCGCGGATATGCTGGCTGTATGAGCATGGTAGACGCGCAGGGAGGTGAATGTCGGCAAAGCGAAGACATGAATGTTTCCATTGTGAGTCCCCACGATCATTTTATCTCCAGCCACATGAAATGTACTCGTCGCATCTCCATTGCGGTATATCGAGCTCACGTTCCTGGTCAATGTAGCATATTTAAGTCGCGGCTCTTCCTCCTCTTCATCCTCCTCTTCCTCGGAGTCGTCTGCTGTGGCCTCGGGCCTTGCTGGCTTCGGATGGTGGCTGATGATTTTCTGAGGCTTGTCATCGTCGCCTGGCTCAGACGAGCCATCTCCGGCCGCCATGCAGAGGATAGGATACTCAGAAGCGTGACATTTGCACGAGCGCAGAATGGAGTTCTCCAGATGGAGTAGTGATGGTAGACACTTGACTCCAATTCCCACGGAGAGTCTGGACCATTGAAATGACGAGCGCCAAGTCCTCGGCTCATGCAGCCTTGTAGACACCAGAGCGCAGTTTGTTTGAGCATCTGGAGCTACAAGAAGTATTAGCATTTCACGGATGGCGATGCATTTCTGGGTGTCTGATGCACCCCCTTTCTCTTGTTGACCATGCGCTCAGTCGCTACTCGCCCTCTGCTAAGTTTGGGAAGTCAGTTTGTCTGCGCAAGTTGTCGACGTGTGGGATATGATGCGCTTCGTCAACCGGGCTTCCGCCCTCTACATGCATCGCCAATCTTCCAGCGGCCCCGCCGCAGGGAGTTCTTTTCCTCCAATACGTCGTTTATGAGCCAGTCGACGCAGAAAAAAGAGTCACAGAGGGACGAAGACTCAGTAGATTCCACCGTCGACTCAGCAACCGCTTCGTTAGCTCAGAAACGAAAGACTGCACGCTCCCCCGGGACGAAGACATCGCTTCGAAGAGTAGGACTGGAGGCTCAGAGATCTAAGGCTGGCCTTACGAAGCCAACCTTGAGACTCCATGAAGAGGCAGACCAAACACCAAAACTTGTGACAGCATATGCTGTGGCAGAGCAATTTGACCTGGCCAAAGTCGTCGAGATTCTTCGCAATAAAGGTTACGAACCCGATCCACTCGGCACTGGACTATTTCCACAGGTCGTCCACGTCCAAGTACCCATCTCCTCAATCTACCGTTCCACCAATCCCTCCGCCAGGGACCTGTCGTCGACAGAAGTCGGTGATGTGTTTGTCTTCCCATCGGGTACGGTGGTAACGTGGGCTTTACCTGACGGGTTTACTTCATACTTTGCAACACGCACTCTCCTTCCTGCCGCAGAAAATCCTCATAAAGAACCTATTGAGACCGAGGACTTGGATTATATTGAAGATCCAAACCGTGAACACAGCCTCATCCGTGGCGAAACGATCGTCCTGGGAACGAAAAAGTCAGAGTATCAAGAACCACCTTCATCAACAGACTATACACAGGCCGAATCGCAGTTTCAGACTGTCGATACAGTACTTACTAAGATTGCCTTTTCCTCGGGGTTTGCTCGCTCCACCAAACTCGCCGTCCTTGAGACGAACCTTTCCACTTATCTAGCCTCTACGGCGGACATCCCGGCTCTTCTAGCAAAGGGCTCGCGGCTCCCATTCAAACTTTCCCGCGACTTCATTTCCCGCAAAACAGGTCAACTCCTCCTCCTGCGCGCGCAGCTCAATCTCTACTCTGAACTGACCGACTCTCTTCCCGATCTTTTCTGGGACTCCCGGCACGAACTCAACCTGGAAAACTACTACGATCAAGTTGGGCGAGCGTTGGATGTCGGAATCAGGATCAAAGTCTTGAACGAGAAGATGGACTATGCAGCTGAGATTGCAACGGTGCTGAGGGAGAGGCTGAGCGAGAAACACGGGCTGTTCTTAGAGTGGACCATCATCGTACTGATAGCAATAGAGGTGGGATTCGAGGTCTTGCGGCTGTGGAAGGAAGGCTTTTGGGAGGAAGTGTGGGAGAATAGAGGAGTCGGGAAGGTAAAGACTCTGTAGGATGAAGGATTGATGGCTTCGGCCTATGAAGACGCCGAGGCAGGGCTCAGCATTACATAGTCCGCTGCTCGACATGGAGACACAGACAAGGTATATTTGGCTATGAGGTTACCCATTAGATATCACGCTGTGACCTTGACCTTGTGATTGAAGATAATGCCATAATAGAAGAAGCTCTCTACTTCCATCCTCACCAAATCTATTGCAGCGATCAAACCATGGCGGGAGACACTTGAAAGTGACTTTTGCACAAGCAAACGACCCAGGTGGGAGGGAACGTTGCCACACAGCCAGGATCGGAACACCAAACAGCTGTGGAAAAAAAGGAGCGAAGATCAGCCGAAGATCAGCCGCCATTCTCAGCCTCGCGAATACTCCCACTCCAATGGTCTGCTACAAGTACTTGCAACCCAGCTCTGAGGGAGGCTGACCGCTTCACACAAAGAGCCAGCGGCTGAAAGCGATGTGAGAGATCAGTGAGAGGGAGACTTTTGCCGTCGAACCATCGTCGCGCCCGCGGAAGGCCACAGAATATCGACTCATCTGATCACCGGCCAGGGAGGGTCGATCTGGCGAGCTGACAATTCTTTTGCGATCCTGACGCATGATTGGCTTACAAAGAACCTGATCCGAGCTGGTGATCTTTGCGTGTAATTGGGTAGGTTGCCGACAGATGCGATCTTGTTAGTGGGCGCGGGCTCAACGGTGACGGGCGGCGACAAGACGTTTGACACAGGGCGGGACTTGTTGTATGCAGACCAATGTAAATAAAGGATGGACACTTTCAGATATCTACAAGAGGAATCTTAAGCGAGAAGTAAGGGCACAGGGGAACTCAAGGTTGGTTATTCAAAGCACGTTTTCATTGGAGACTAGCTATGGTTCAAGGATCGTCGCCTTTGATCAATGTGCCAACACACCGTATGACTGGAATCTGCAATTAAGACGCAATAGCAATTAAGTTTGATCCCTCAATCCAATTCACAGGGGGTGTTGCCACTCCCACGAACCATCATGAAAACCTCATGTGGCCAGTCCAATATGGCCTAGCTGGAAAGAATCATTGTTGTTGCAGGCAGTTGATTTCAGGAGTTCCTTGTTGAAAAGCTAGTGCTGAGTCTGTTTATTGTGTGATCATGCATCTCACTTGACGAGATGGACAATGTCTGTTTGTCGTTTGCATATGCTGATGGTTGGCATGTTGTGGTACATGGCAGACATAGCTGCAAAGAGCGTCAGGGTATCTTTTGAAGGTGTATGTACTCAGGCCAACGCCAACACAGCCACCAACCCAGCCAAGCCCATGTTGACACCAACAGTTCCAGCGTCATTTGAGTTGGGAGCTTCTGGAATGCCAGAGGTGGTAGAGGCTGTGGCAGTCGTCTGAGTTTCCGTAGAGGAAGTGGTCAAGACGCTGGTGGTGATGGAAGATGATGTGGTCTCAACAACAGTGCTACTCTCAGATGACAGAGTCGAAGTGGTAGGCACAGGTGTAAGTGGGACACTGCTCTCAACTGCTGTAGTAGGAGGAAGCGGAGTTGTCTCAAGAGTTGGAGTAGTGGAGGTTGTTGGAACACCTGGAGTCTCAATTGGAGTCTCAGTGCTGTCGGTGCTGGCCTCAGAGGTAGAGGTGGAGGGCGCGGGTGGGAAGATGGTGATCATGACAGAAGTGGACGAGGTGACAGTGACAGAAGTGGTGGTCGGAGTGAGAGGAACAACAGGATTCAAGGTGGATGGAGTGCCATATGGGGTGCAGTCAGCTGGGGTCACAGTGACAGTGACTGGCTCTTCTGTAAACAATGTCAGTGGAAATCCAGACAACAACGGGCTTGAAACTTACGACGTGGCATGAGGTTGATGATATCGTTGATGTCATCAAGGGACATGTCTCTAGCTGTGGATTTTCGTCAGTCCTGAACAGTCAACACTGTGTGGGATTCAAATTTCTCACCTGCCAAGGCCGCAGCCAACTTGCCATGGACACCGACATTGAGAGCAGTTGCTGTTTGTCTTGTCAGCAGCAAGAACACACACACAGGGACACAGGCTGCTGAGGTGTGTTGACTCACCGAAGGAAGTAGCAGTAAGGCTAGCAACCATGAGGCTGATGACGTGTGCAATCTTCATGGTGAAGGATGCAAGATGGATGAGGTTGGGTGATGAATGTGGTGAGTAAGAGTATGGAGTATCCAAGTTCGAAGGTAATTCTGGTCCAAAAGAGTGACGCAGATGGTGTTGATGAGAACTTGAAGTTATTTGGTAGAGGGTAAGAGGCGGAGGTTCAGGTTGAGGGTTTGAAAAAAATTGTAGAGAGATTTATACTGGAGAGCAGGCGCTGCAGATCGACCCAGGCCACTAGTGCGATCTGTCGTCTGGTCGTCGATTCACAGCAATCACAGCTGGAGGGCAGTTGCAATCAGTCACTGATCAGATCAACCCAATTCGATCCAAGCCAAGTAATCCGCTGCGGAGCGTAGGAAGCTGCCATGCGATGCGCCTATCCGCCACCCCGGCAGAGCTGGTGCTTGCGCAAGCTCACAAATGGAAGGCTTGCGAACAACAAAGGTCTCCTTATGGCTGTTGCCTCTCCACCACATGCGACCACCCGCTCGCTCGCTCGAAGAGCCACACAAAGATATTCTGTTCCGACCTTCGACGGCTGCACAAGCCTGCAGACAGAGCCCGACGACACGGACACAGGCCGAAGTCGGCGACAAGGGAAAAACAGGCAGACAGACAGACAAACGACAAACCTACCTCAGTATGGTGTTGTTGAGAGAAAATGCCCTGTATCGGCCAGCCAGCTCTTTCGCACCTCAGCAACGAAATTCGGGAGGCTGGAAACCTCACCATCGGCTAGCTGCAAGGTCTCATCTTGGACGCGAAACGAATGTACCCCGATCTGTCACACTCTCCGGTGGCGTCCCGTGGCCGCTACCTTGACAGAATTACATGGCACGAGGATGACTTTGTCAAATCATACTGGACGTTGTGATACAGAAGACCAGGAATCTACAACGAGTTGAGAGACATGAGACACATTAATCGCAGCTGGAGCTATACAACGCTAAACACGGATGATCGACCGCTAGAGATACTAGCGTGCTTTAGCGTCAAACGTCTCAACGGCAGGCAAGTATACCGAAGTGGTCTGCACTGCAAGGACCTCCACGACCCATTGTTACTCAACCATCCCTATGCACATGAAGGATACCAATCCAGAAAGAAGCAAAGAGGGGGCGACAATGAGGAAACAGGAAGCAGTTTAGGCTGCGTTGAAACAAGGAGATTTGTACACAAGACCCTTCCTGAACCTGTCGATGATGTTCACAGACATGGTTTGATCCTGTCTTTCGCGGGCTTAGCGAAGCTTTTCTCGTGACAAGCATATCATATATGATTACAGAAAGCTCTGAATTATACGAGGCTTCGTGTTGACGGCAAGTGATGTCGAAAAGGCTGAATCCTTCGGGTTGAAAGCTGCATCGAAGTTGTAGAGGGCCATAACGGCCGCTACTTTACCACAGATGGTCCTATTCGGTCCTGATACATATCACCACAATCTACTGCATTCCTGTATCTAATTATGAATCATGTTATGTATTCTTTGATGAAAGGAATGACATCGATCGCTTCGTGGCGGCAAGTAATAGTAACAGAGGAACTTTGGCGCTCCCGTACAAATGCGCCTCCGTAGTAGTTTCTGCCACCATTTGCTTCTCTGCTGGGGCTGCCAGTTCTTCTTCCGGTCTTCATAAGAGCTTCTACTATCTTAACTTGAGTGCTTGAGGTCACGCTGTTGCCTCGCAGAATGTGTGCTTGATCGCTCTGCACACCTCATCTGGCCAGCTCGCTTCCATGCACCCCTTCTCCTCCCTGACCATTGGAATCTTCGTTGCTGGATACATCACTGCGCGCTGGGATCTTGTTACCAGACTCTATGAATTAGCAATCTTTGCCTGGTACCACGGGGTCTTTGCACGTGTGGCGAAAGCATTTGCGGTTATCTCCCTCATCTACGTCTTTCTCGCCATACCTCTCGACCGTCTTGCCTCTCACGAAGCCGCCGTCCATCCTCGAATCCTAGCGCATGGAATTTCCGCTCAAGAACAACTACGTCGGAGGGGTTCCTTTTAGGCCTTGACAATATGTTATCATGGTCGAGAACAGCGATGGCATGCTGCGGGTATTCTGGCCGAGCAGCCTTACTCGGACAACCACACCCGGTGTAATAGTAGGATGGAGGAATTCGGAGTACGATTTGTTTGTTATAACAGTCCTTGAAGATGTTGAAGTAAGGCAGTCAAAGAGAGATGAGCGGGAACCAGTGCTGACATGCCCCAGGTCCGCAGCGTTGAATCTGCTCTTCGCATGGGCACTCTGTTTCGCAACAGTCCATACCCAGTGGCCCGAATCTTTCAGCTTTGCGACCAGCCTCAGATGCATGTTTTGGGTACCCTCAATCACCCAGACCCGCCGGAGATCTTTGATCCTCTCAAAATCTGCGCCTTCACCATTCCAGGCTCGCGGCGACCTTCGATCTTTTGTCCGCCGGGTGCAGAGCTGACCGTGCAAATTGTTCTTTTCGACCCCCCGAACCCCACTCAAATGCAATACATGTCTCTTGAGCCAATATCACTTGCTCTGGGCAGAGAATACTTGGCCGTCGGTGCACCCGATTCGACGCTTGACGAAAATGGAATGCAGGGAGAGAAAGAGCGAGAGCGCGTCGCCGAGTTGGTCGCAAAGTTGCGTTTTCATACCGTGATCAGGCATGTTCCAACCGAGAAAGAGTTGGCGTTGCCCGCGATCCTCCGACAAATCAATTGCTCCCAGGAAGTTGCAGAGCTGCTCCAGAAGAACACGCCTCTTGTTGGTCCGCGCCGAAAAAGGAGCCTCTCTGTGAGCGAACGAGTCGTGGAATCGGCACAGTCACTCTACACATTTGCGGCGTGGTCGCTTTGGACACTGTTCATGGCGTATGCCTTCCCTACGCTTTTGAACATTTTCAAAATCGCGATCATTGGACACAGGATCGTTGCTGAAGGTCTTTTGCGACTTTTGGAACTGCCCCTGCCTTTTCAAAGACTACAGTCTATAGAGAGCCGGCGAGCAACCAAGGGAACCCTCGCCCTGAAGGATGTCTCGGCCTGTTGTCAGCAAGTCCATCTTCGACTCCAACAATTCTCCTACTATCCGACACAATATTCACTTCTCCGACGCCGCAAAGCGACTTGGTCATCCTTTCCGACAACAAATAGTGATTACATTCGCTTTTACAACTCGCTTTGGCTGGTAGCAAACGATGTGATTATTGGCATCGCACTTGGGAGCTTCATCAGTGACAATGCGCAAGCTACGTCTCAGCTGATCGGTGGGGTGTTGAATGAGTACACAATTGAAGGTCTCAAACGCATGATCAGGTGGCTCATGTCGTACCCAGGAGGTCTCAAATTGAACACGGAACTTACTACATTTCTCGGCGAACTTTTCTTGTGGGTCATAGAATATTGGGCCTCGACGATCGTCGTGCTCATTGTTCCACGACTACCCACTGTCGTGTATGTTGTGGGATGCTCTTCTTTTGCTGGGGCTACTATGCCTATCGCCATTTTTTCCGACCTCCTGAGCTTGCTTACTATGCATATCTACTCTTTTTACGTCGCAAGTGCGCGCATCTTCAACTGGCAATTGACAATCATAGTCAGCCTCTTTCACCTATTCCGTGGCAAGAAGCGGAACGTCCTTCGCAATCGTATCGACAACTGCGACTACGATCTCGATCAACTCTTGTTGGGTACGATTCTTTTCACCCTGTTGTTTTTCCTTCTGCCAACTGTGGTAGTCTTCTACCTGACCTTTGCTTCAGCTCGTATGGCAATCATCTCGCTGAAAGCCACTCTGGACACCTGTCTAGCATGTCTCAACCATTTCCCCTTGTTTGCATTGATGCTCAGAATCAAAGACAGCAAAAGGTTGCCAGGGGGCGTTCACTTTCAGCTCCTGGATGCAGAACAGACCCGGGTATCCTACCAGGAAGAAACAGAGCGAGGAGATGATCAGGACGACAGTGTTGGCAACACTGAGGAAGAGGAGGAAGGAGGAGAAGATAATGGAACTACTAGCGTGGCTTACATCCGCCTTTCCTCGACCCCGCTGTCACTGAACCAGATATTTGAACAATATTTCCAGCTCTGGGCACGCATCCGCCGGCACTATCTGTCGCCCACGGTCGTATTTCGGCTCCTCACGGGACGATTTGTACCACCTCTTGGTCGAAGCCAGATGTATGGGCTGCAGTATTCGGTCCTTCCTAGACAACGGGCGACAATTGCGGAGGTGTGGAAAAGCCTGAGCGAGAGTGAATCGCCAAGCACAACAAATGGAACACCTGCGAATCCACGCGGCCAGAAGATGTATCTTGGAAATTATGGAAGAGCGATAGGGAAGCAATGGAAATAGCAAGAGCTGATTGACACCCTTGTGTTGTGTTCTGGGCTTGGTCGATGTGCTGCAAAGATGCTGGTAATGCCCAAGTATCCGCTTACATCATCGTATTTGTCCTCATCACGTGTTCAGTGCTCATTCCTAACGGGCGCACCTACTGCTACATGGCACAAGATTCAGATTTTATCAACCATCTTCATGAAAGTTTCCCCTGAGTATCTTGCGAAGCTCTTTCCAGAAAATCTCCCTGTCAAAGTGCTCAGTTCTTCGCTCGACACTCTTTAGCAACCCGACCACCTATCTCTAGCCATATCATCCTTCTCAAAATGCCAAAGTGCCCGAACTGCGGTGGGAGAGTAGACTTAACAAAGGAGGGAGACTGGGGTCACTGCGCTGACTGTCAGTGTTTTCTAACATGGTCTCCAAGACCAGCAAACTGACTCCTGCGTAATAGGCAACAATGTAAGCCCACCTAGCTTGACGAGTTCCGGATTGTACAGAGGCTGAAGCCGCCACCAGATCATTGAGATCAAGACCCTGAAAGATGATAATGAACAGGAGGAGCAACCAGCAACGCAGTCTGGGACGTCGACTGAAGTGAAGAAATAAGTGCTATTCGACATGGCACCTGCCTCACAGCTTCATACTATCGTTGTTGCCCATTTGAACCTAACGCACACATTCACTTCACCTGCCTTCTTTCACTACCCACTGAACCAAGTTTCTGTTTATCTCCCGACAACCATCACCCGTACAGCCTCAAGCGGTGCGGATGCCTTGTCTTTGTTTCGTGATCGTTTCCCACAGCAGCGCGAGCTCTATCGTCCCAAGTCCTTTCAACGTCGTCTTCATCGGCAGCCATGAAGACCTGCCCTCAGTCCTTGTGCTTCCTGCCCATTTTCTTGTTCCTCCTGTCTGTTGTCATCGGTGCACCAACTCAAGAGAGCGATGAGGGTGAGAGTGCTGCGCGGGATGTCGGCAGAACTCTACGTGTTCGGGACACTGCAGTCTTACCATCCGCATGGGGTTGGCACATCGAATGCAAAGTAAATCCGCCTCCCCACTATGGATGGCTTCTCACTGACAGATTCAAGCAACTGCCAGGCGTCGATATCGGTTACTGTCGGGAAAACAACCCTCCACCAGCGCCACAGTCTCCCGAGAACGCGAAGCGTAATACCGACCTGAAACCAAGAAACGGCAGCTCGACCGATTCCTCTCCGTCCTGGGCATTGACACCGTTGAGGTGCTACGATCTGTGCGCCTGCGACCGACAGGGCACACTGATCTGTCATGAGTGGGGAAGTAAGTGTTGGCCGTTGACTTCACAGCCACTGGCAGACACTGACGCAAAGAGCAGCTTGCAACTTCCATACTGTTTACTTTCGTTGTCATGGGTATGTATCCATAGCAAAGAATGTATGTAACTGGACAGCGACCTGACGTTGAGGTTTAACAGCAGTGGAGAGTGTGACTGTGTCTGGGAGGAGCAACTCACTGGAGATACTGCGAAATTAGGTTGGGTCGATGGCGTCGCTGACTGGGCGAGTAATGGGTACGCGAACCATTGGTGGGCACGGAATGAGAAGGAGAAGGACCAGGAGAGCCCAGAGTGAACACGGCTGCCCTGCAAGGCATCGATCGATTGGTGACGGGTGAGAGGGACTCACGCTCTCAAGCCAACATATCTACCTGTTATTCACATCAGTTGTCATGGAGCTTCATCTTCTCGTCGAGAGGTAACTCGACAGACAAGCCAGCGCTCATTCACTGTGTCCCTCTTGCTGAGTCCCTTGGCTTTCTACTTTTGCTGATTTGCTCACCTTAACCATGAACACAGCCAAGGATCGACAACGACGAAATGGAACTACAACTTGCTTTCTACCATTCTCATTCTGGCACTGGTCTCCCGCGCCTCAAGTCGGTGTGGTGTCAACTGCAAGCAAGGGGGTGAGATGCATGGTATTGATTGGCAGAGTATGTCCTCGCACATTTCCACTCTTAGTCTAGTGGTCAAGAGCAATTAACACCTTGCCAGGCTCCGAGGTGCTTGTACTGTACTCGTACGGAATCGGTAGGGAGAACTGGACACTTTGTGATGGGACAGTCTCGACGGCTGCGTCGCTTGCGACAGGAGAGGCTTAGGGATCGTGATATGTCACCAATCATACGAAGATGCCGCCCATGCACACTTGTCTGGAGGGTACAACGTCGGAGCATGTTATGACCGGGAGAAGAGCCAGTGATATTGATTCGTCGATATACGCATGAGTACAAGTACGCAGAACCCGTACTCCGTACTTGTACGGTCCCATGCTGCTGGCGACTCCAAATGGCTCCGTCCTTGTTGTCGGGTCCTCGGTCTAAAGAGCGGCCATGATTCTTTCGAGAGAGTTTAGCGGGCTGTCCAACAAGCATTCTCGAGAACCGTCGGGAAACCATCAGGGTTGGTTGGCGGATCCTGACACAGCCAACTGGGAAGCTTTTCACGAGTCTCCACCGACCCTCCTGGCTTCGACCTCTCATTGCTGGATAAGGAATCCCGGATCTTGGGATGGATAGACACCGAGCAAGAGGCGAGGGACGGATGAAGGAGTAGCCAGCCTGACTCCACAAAATCCACAAATCCCTGACAGAACAGTACGAACTGAAACTTCACCATGCGAATGTTTGTCACGGACGGCCAAACCCAAAGCATAGGTACACAACTGTTCGAACGGACAGGCATTAGCCAGCCCACAGCTAGCCCACAGCACGCCCCGCGTCGGCTGACTTCAAGTCGCCTCTAGAGCGTCCCGAAGAAGCGGATGTCAGCACTGTCTTCGATAGCTTTGTTTTGCCCCCTTGACCTCCAGGCCAAACCGGGGGCAACCAGAGAAACACCATCCGACTGGCATCTGGCAGCCCTCAGTCTGTGATAAGCGAACCAACCAACCTGTATCTTCTCAGTCTTATGCGACCACTCATCAGAATTGCTAAACAAGGGTACAACCCCGTCCGTCTGTCTCTGAGTATGTGGATGAGTGTCTGTGTGTCTGTGCGCCAGTACTGGTAGCCATCTTACCCTCCTGGTTATCCACATCCCATGCCGTCGCCTCCCTACCCAATCGCAGGCATCATCCTCCAACGCCACACGATATACCACGGATCAGGCGCAATTTTCGATTGCTTGCACTGGATCAGGCAACAGGTGCGCCCGCTGCTTTACTGTGCCTCGACACTCATCCAAATTCACACTGGCATTCTGACTGGCAACCGGCTGACAAACTGTAAGCGCTCTGTTGGCCCCGCTTCGATCGACTTGAACCTGCCTCTGGCTGGCCTTTGCTCTCTTTAGAGGCCCAAAGCCTGCTGGTGCCTTGTGTGCATTGCCTCACGAGAGCCACAGGAGTTCAAAAGTACGGGCGACGATCCTTGAGCCTCATACCATTGCTCCGCCGACAATGGTTGCACAGTCGCTACCGAAGGCATGGCAAAGGCAATCAAAATAGAACACTTACTTCTGCAGAATCCTTCACCGTCGATCAGTGAAGAACCACCACCGCGCGTCCACGCTGTGAAGAGAGATGCGACTCAGAGCCGTCAGCCAGCTCATCGCCCTCAATTAGAGCTGAAGACCTCATCTACAGCACTCGTACCAGCCCGGTCACCAACAGCCTCGGAACGATTCTCATGGGACTTCGACAATGAGGAGTTGTCTACTAACCGACGTCGAAAACGAAAGTCGCCCATTGAGGACCAAGTGTTTCCGACAAGGAAGGCCATCAGGCTACCTCGATTTTCCGTCAACATCTTCCACTCGGAGCCAGTCAATGTCTTTCCCATTCCCAACGAAGGTGTGGTTCCGCGGATGGTGAAGTATTGTGAGCACATATCTGAGACTGGATTCTTCCGAAGTTGCGCTAATCATGCATCCAGATTTGCAGGTTTGGGCGGAGCAGCATGGTCGAGCACTTGCCTTTGAAGGCCATCCCAAGCCATATCAGTCGCTGGTGTTTCCGTATGCCCTGGAGCACGCTGTCTTGTTTGAAGCCATGGTCGCGCTCAGCCGGGCGTCATGGCTTTTGCAAGAAGGCATTCCATGGTCCAAGGACAGCGCCCTCGCATATCATCGCGCCAACGCATTCGCCGCGCTTCGCCTGAGGCTGACGTCTGAAGCAACGTGTGCGGATGACACCACTATCTGTACCATTGCGGCTCTTACGACGATCGATGTAAGTGAAAGGCCGTTGTCAGATCAACGAGGTCTAATGGATCTGGTAGTACATGCTCGGTGTACACGAAGGTGCACACAACCACATCAATGCTATGCAGCGGATTCGGAAGATCCGGACCGATCTCAAGGGTGACACACCGTGGCAATACTTTGTCATCTCTGCCATGAAAGCGTAAGATGCCCAATCTCCCTCGCAAGCGCAGTCTCTAAGTTGGCCAGATACGATGCCCTGTGGAAGTTTGTCAAAGATAGAAACGAGGCCACCACCAGCATGGCGCAGCTCTCCATCGAATCACCTATGCGAAACGAACTCCCCCTCTATCCATCTCTCCCATTCAATATCAAAGTGTGCGAGGCTCTCTCGAAGGTGTCGACCTCATTCAACGACATGGCTATGGCTGGGGAAATGTCTATTCAGATGATCGACATTCTTGCAAATCTATCTAAAACAGCCAGGGGCGATGGCAGTGCTACGCCTACCAGTTCGCCCCCAAGCTCCCCGGGAGGACGGAACTTGCTGAACACAATCGCTGATTTGAGATGTTTGTCGGTAATGGCCACCACCTCTATCGAACACAAGCTATGCTTCGGCGTCATTGGGACGTGCTTCACCCTCCACTTTGGGGATGGTAAGATTGGCGAAGAGTTCAACGAGACACTCCAGGAGCTTGAAGATGGACTCATTGGCAATGGCAAGCCTCGACCGCAGCAAGAGAAAGCCCAGAAGAACCATCGAGAATGTCTAATTTGGGTAGCTTTGGCAGCTGCCGGTGCACTCGAACAGTCTGAGCTGTTGTCTGCTATGAGTATGCTGCTGGACCAAACTTTGGACAAATACCCGGAAGAGACGGCCCAGTGGGAGACATTAGAGGGGATCCTGAAGAAATTCTTGTGGAACGATCTACTGGCACGGCATTGGAGAAGATGCTGGGCCAAGGCTGTGCGTCGGCGGTCGAGCATACGGCGACGGTAACCACTGAGGACAAGCAGTCTCAGCTACTAATGATCAGTAGCTATCTTGCGTGGCCAACTGAGGGGTTCAATGGCGAAAAGCAAGCGCCCTCGAACGATAGAGTTGATACCTTGGAACAGCAGCTCCCATCCATCCCAGACCCCGGCTTAGGAGGCGGTTTACTAGGAACGACCGGCAAGGGACCTCGCCCGACAACCTACAGTAGATTGAACTACCTAGGAAGAAACAACCTTCGAGAAAGAAACCTCGCATCCTCAGGTCCAAGCGGCAACAAGTCTGCGGCTTAGAGCAGTGCAAGAGGTTCTCACCGCCTGTTCAGCCTTATTGGGCGTCGATCCTGGCCGTGTCTGAGGTCCATTTTCCTGCATCAGCCGCACGAACAACAGTCTACCAAACGAGCATCAGGATCAGATTGCAGCGCGAACCCAGTTGCCACTTCGGATAAGGCATTTCCTCTCGCTCCTTAGCACTATTGGTCGCAGTCCATGCTGCCAGCTTCCTTCCAAGTTCGCGGACTTGCCGAGTCACCCCCGGGTCTTCGAAGAGGCGGCTGACAATCTCAGCACGTCCAGATACCTCGTCCTGCATTCTTTTGCCAGGAAAGAGACGCTTTTCTCGCCACAAAGCGGCTAGGCAACGCCTAGAGCGAGACTTGTTAACGAGGAGGATAAAGAGATTTTCCCAAGGGGACAGAAAAACTTTTGCCTAGCCTCAGGAGCCCTGTACTATCACACAATTCTATCCGACAACCTTGAGACGCCACGGGTACCACTGGTCATGCTCGGGTAGGCGAAGGGCGGGTATATGGAGTACAAGTAGGGTTAGTGACCCTGTGACATTCCCGGTGGCTAACCAAGGCCATTGTGTATCAGAACGGCCAGGAATACGACCCATGCGATCCAACAAGATCTTCCCCTTTGTCTACCTCCCCACTCGGCTGCTTTTGTCTCCCTTTCCTTGCTGGGATTTCCTACGAGTATAGTACGACGAGGGGCTTCGGTTGGCATCCGACGAATCACGCCCATCAATTCCCGTCACTCCAAGCCAAATTTAGTAATGGGCTCGTGGATGTCCGTGCGTGGACGAGGGTGAGGGTCCGGTGGGATGGGGCCAGGACTTCCGGAGTCCAGGTATCAAAGGGAAGGAATGGCAAAAGGACAGACATTATCCTCCGACATGACCAGGCTCTGCTCAATCTCAATGTACGAGTACGACTTGCTCATCCTACCGAACCAGGAATCAGATCCCCTGGAGCTCCAGTGAGACAGGACAGAACCAGTACTTGCAAGGTATTCGGGTACTTTCAGGCGGATCGCCTCCCACACCCCGGCTCGGGTTGTATGAGTTCCCGTAACAACTTGCAGTGTCAGGCCTCCAGTACAGGGATGTCGCCTTTTCCGTGTTTAGTGCAAGGGAACGAACTGCTCGGACGAGAAGACCGGTGGCCATTCGATGCTTTGGGTCAAAAGACAATTGTCTTAATAACGCGAAGCACGCGCCGAGAAATTTCCGGGTCCAGCCTTCAGCCTTATGGTGAATGATCAACCATTTCGATCAGACTGACTCTGGTCATGGGCAGAGGGATCCAGTTACGAATTATACGAGCATGCACTTGGCCGTCGCACCATGTCTCTCAGAGTTGAGTAGCCGACTGGAGAACAGGGTTGGTTTGAAATTAGCTACCCTGGACATGGCAGTGAGCTCAAGAGGAAGAAATAAGGGAGGAAAAGGGTGAGGAAGGGAGAGAAAAAGACAAGGAGAGAAAGATATGTAAGAAGTTGATGGCCAGTACCACCGCCGCCGCCACCACCACCGCCGCAAATCCTCTCGTTCAACAGCTATTCCACCATCAGTTGCGTCTACCCCTCCTTCCCTCACTGGAGAAAGCATGGCCCTCCCTGTCAGTTGTAGCCAGATTATGCTCAACTCGTCGCCGACCCAGCCGTGTTGGGAGGCGGATGCCGCAAAGCAAGAAAGAGCATGGGTTGGGATGGAGATATTGCCAACGTCAAAGTTTGCATCAATTTTTCTCGCTTCCACAGACCTTACGATGCTGGAAACGACCTAGCACATGATCCCAGACGTGTGTTGTTCTATCCCAGAGTCCAGACGACCTCCCATGCTAGGTTCTCACGCCCTGTATGGCCATGAGTGATCGTGCTCAGCGAGATGTCGCCGATGACCCAGTCGAGTCCCAAGAAACGGAGCATTTGAGATGTCCCAACCACTTCGGCACTCATGGATCGACGAATCGGGCGAGTGACAAAGACGATCTGTTCTTCACTTTGGTAGCCATTGCTCGCTATATTCACCCGCTATTCTGTCTGAAAAGATGCCGATGTCGGGCTCCCCGTACAGACCGACGAAACAGCCAAGTCACACGATCAAACCTAATCCATGCGCTTCACTTTTCCAACTCTTGGGAAGAAAGAGCCTCAGCTGGACGATTCGCACATCGACAAAAGGCCGTGACTGCCAAGACCGACATGTGCTCTCGTATAGATTGAATCAAGAAGTCACACGTCCTGAAGCGGCCCGACAGGGCGTCCGGTAGATCGATGGAGAGAGTGACGCATGAACAGACAGACAAACTAACTAACCAACTAACAGAGGACATCTGTCTGTCTGAACATCATTCCAATCAACCGACGAAAAGGGCGATTGACAAACAGTCTAGCTCCCCCCTTCGATCTTTCTTCTCTCTCTCTCTCACTCCAACAAGCACCCTTGGACGTTCATTCTGGTGATGATACAGCGCCCGCCTACCCGCGTCCGAGAGCGGCAAATATGCTTGCCTGTCTGTATGGATGTATAGATGGATGTCGTGCATACGGGACAAACTCGCAAGAGGGAATAGGTTGCTGAATCCCAAGGACGGGTGACATTGGGACAACGTGGGGGACGTCTGGTTTGTGGCTCTGACTCTGGCTCTGGTGAAGCAAACATTGGCTCACTCAGAACGCCGGCAGTCAATTCCCAGGACCGGCCATCCATGCTTGTTGTACCCAAGAAAGACAAGAGGCGCAAATGATATGTTTCCGCTTCCGCACTACCCAAGACGAGTGACGACATATTCGCAGGTCGAGAAAAGAAATCAAATTTGCACCACAGGGGAACCTTGATATATTCCAATATCCAATATATGCAGCAGACCCTTGGAGGGAAGACCTTGGTCTTTACCAGCCCGTTCACGCCATTATATGCCCTCAACCATGAATGCTTCTTTATGACCAACGCGTGGAACAACAAGGACACAGATGCGGCGCTCCTATAAAACCATGTCTGAAGAAAACAAGAGCCAGCAGCAGCACGGCCATTTCAGGCTCTGATCCCTCCCAGAATCCCCAGAAACCCATGGGTTCCACCGGCAGTAACGAGGAGTATGGGTTGTTCACGCCAACTGCTGATAAATCGCGGTCGGTCTTCAGCCATTGGTGCCCTTTGACCTGGAAGGCTCGGGGTTTGTTGCAGAAACGTGGGAACAGTGAGGATGCCGATGCTGTAGGATCGTTCCGGAGTGGTGAGGGATGATTTGCACAGGCTTGACATGTCTGCGTGGTCATAGCCGCATTTGGGAGATTCACCGGCATCTCCATGCATCTACCTTCTTTTCTTTCCTTTTCCTCCACAAGACTTCCACCCTTCTCTCCAGATGCCTCCCACCATATCCAACAGTAAATGCCCAATCCTCCTAAATATTCTGGTTGTTACACCCTCGCATAGAAATCAGACCTCTGCTTTTTCTGAGATTCCCAAAACAAAAACCACACGGGCAATTTCCAAATTCCCTATGGCTCGTCCTCGTTTTTTACAGCTTGATATTGGTTATTTCTCCTCTTCAGTCTATCCCCCGTGGTGGGCGTGGGTTTATCCACTCTCAATACCCAACAAAGTATATCCTCGGCCGGCAACAAGAACATCCAAACTCTATTGCAACAGAAACTCAGAGTAGTCGTACACATGGCAACCACGGCGTCCAACCAATAGTGATTCGCGGTGGCGACGATAACGGTCAAGACCAACAAAGGATAGCAGATGCCGGCGATAAGAAAGAAGATCTGGGAATAGAAGGGTTTGCGTGGTTCACTCCGCTGGGCGCGCCGGAACACGCCCGAGTGGTAGAGAAAGGTACTCCCAACACAGAAGGCGTACGTGAAATGCAAAGAAGGCATGGCAGCCAGTTGGTTGACATAGTTGCCACCCACCCAAACCGACTCGGCGTTCGCTTGACGGACCGTATCGTGAAAGCCGTATTCCTCGGGCAACAGACGCGGTGGCATGCATGGGAAGAAGGTGAAGATTGCGAAAGCGGCAAAATTGCCCAGAGTCATGGTCCGGCGCACGGTGGCGAAAGCCGAGTGTGTGGGAGCAGCATAATAATACCACGAGAGAAACCTGAGTCAAGTTAGTGGGCTGGCAAGAAGGGCGACTTGGAAGATGTGGACAACATACGCAACGGTACCCGGAATATGAACAAGTGAATAAATGCGGTTTAAAAATGTCATGGCGGTCAAATGACCACCTAAGAACCAAGCTTGGAAGTCATTCTCCCTGATGGGAAAGAGAAAGCTCAGCCAGGATTTATGCTCGATGTCCAGGATAAGGATGGCATGGTCTTGGGCCAGCTGCCAAAGACCATCATCTGCGGAAAACAGAACTTGAGCCACAGCCTTGGTCAGGGTGTAGAAGAGCAAGTTCAGGATCCAGTAAAACATTTCGATCAGGAAGGGGAACTTGGCCAACACTCTCGAGTGCCAGTTGTCGGCGAACCTGGACGAATTCGGGGTCTGGACGACAAGACCACAGCAATTTCGCTTCTTGGGTGGATACTTGGACGAGGTGAACACATCCGAATCAGAGGTGAGAGACTCAGAGTCGGTGAAGCCATCGGGAGACGAGCCTTGGGAATTATTGTGGGGGAGTAGAGAGCGTGTAGGTGAACGGCCCCGGTCAGAGCGAAATATGCGGAAGTTGTGTCTCCGATTAAAATAAAGCGAAGCAGTCATGATACTGACGACAATCTGGAGGGGAGTTAGCAAGAAAGGAATTCACAAAAAGGGGTTGCACGGACAATTGGTTCCATCCAGGTATGGGAAGCGAACTGGGCGCCACCCATGTCAGGCTGCGCTGCATCAGCGGCCGCGGTGACATTGAAGGGTATAGAAGCCATTGTTGTTCTCGCCGAAACAAGTCGAAATCGAGGTGAGTTATAGAAGACGAGGTCTAGGTCATGGATTTAGACGGCCGTTACAAAAAGTGAGAGCCAAAACAAGGTGTCGCGTGTCCGCTTGGAGAAGGTCACGTGCGGGACAAAGGTCGAGCGCGATTTGTGTTGAGCAAATGTTGTTGACGTCCGGGTATCAAGGGCACCGCAAAAGGAGGGGACTGAACAGGTATGGCTGTTATAGGAGGGTACTCGAGAGTATATTAGGCCAGCATAAAGTCTGGGGGCGGAGGCTGAGTAGCGAAAAGTCGAGAATTGACGGCCACAGGCAGAAGGCAATTCGAGAGGTATCGTTAGGGGGAGTCCGAAACGGTTGACCAAGGGTTAGAGAAACCTTGGATGAAAGGGTGGGGGAGGGAGAAAAGATGAGTAGGGATAAAGAAGATCCAGGTGTGTGAGAAGAAAAAAGGACAAGAAAAGGATCGACAAGGAGGAGAAAACTGGGAAGGGGGGAAGTGTGGATGATGAGGGAGGATGATGTGAGTGTATGCGAGAGAGAAAAAGTAGTGGTGAAAAGAGAGAGTGTGTGTGTCCGTATTGCGTATGAGGCCGAAAGGTACGAGAAGAGGCAAGTGAGAATGGAAGTTGGAGAGAGAAAAGGGAAAGAGATCAGACAGTCAGTCAGTTACGCAGTGGTGGAGAGAGACTGAGAGTGTTGAGGCCCGTAACTAGCAACTTAGTAGGAGCAGTAATTAACAGGAGTGCACCTGCCTTGCCTACAAGTGCTTGCCTACCTACTAGGTAAAACTCACAAAACACACACGTCATGGTCATAATACAACGCATCCACCGCAATTCGTCAACCCCCGACAAAATGTTTGACTTTCCTTTTCCCATCTTTCTCCTGCGGCGAAACAACAAAGAGGGCTGAGTTGCAGTTGGGCCGGGCCAGGAGGCTCCTTTCAGCCTAGCAAGACCATCAGGGGGCCCAGTAGTTGATTTTGATTTCTCCTGAAGAACCACCTGTAGCCAACTGCCCAATAATACCTGGGCGTCTACCTTGTACGCTGGCTTGACCCAGATAAAAAAGTGGGAAAGTGGACAAGTGGACATGTGGACACATGGGTATTACGAGTGCCAGTACGAGGTCCAAGTACCTAGTGAGGCATGGAAAGGGGGATCAAACCTGCCCTGTGCCCCCCCATCGTTTAGGCGCCCCTTAGCCCCTGCACTACCTGCAATCATCAGCAGGCACACAAGCACCGCCTGGGTGCCACCCGTCACTTACGGAGCACGATAGTCAGCATCGCCTGCGCCCCAAGTGGCGCCCAGGTGGAAAGGAGGGATATTGGCAGTGGCCAGTTAAGCCAGTGAGGCCGCCCCGAACCTCGTAGATTTTTCCCACTGGAGCCGCTTCTCGCACAAGCACGGAACTCGCCAGTATCCCGAACTCTTTGCATAAAGACAATCACATCTCGAATGAACGGCACTTGCACATGGTAAAGAGAAAGTTTACATGGCGAGTATCTATCTCTGCGTCAACCCTGCACCGAATATGCACGACTTAACATGCCTTCAACGCTCAGCCCTCCATCAGCCCTCCTCAGCCTCCTCAGCCCTCAAATACCGCGAGTACGCGTACTCAGTACCTCGTACAGGTACGAATGAATAATGCGTGACGAATAACAACCCAAGCCTCCTTTGACAATAGCCGCCGCATCTCGTATTCGCCTAGCTGATTCATGGCTTCACCGACTATCCTCAGCACGGAAGTACCTCGTCTGCTCACCATGCAGATTGCTTTGACCGGTGGTACTGTGGACCCTGTCTAGTCAGCAGCATCCCTCATCCTAGCTCATCTGAAACCGGCCGGCATTAATCTGCTGTTGTCTGGCCTTTTACTCGATTCCACCTCTTCATGCGAGCTCACGGGTCACCCCATCACGGATCAGATCCACACGGCAACAAAGCCAATCTTCAATCCACCTTCTCATTAAATACTGGCTTTCTGCCAATCATGATTGTCGTGTCTCTAACTCGTGGTAACATGTCCAAGTACATGAGAAATGCTCTAAGAGATGCGAACATGGAGAGATAAAAAGAAAAGGACAAGATGGAAATAAGACCAAGCCATCCCTCGAACTTCCTCCCCGACTCAAGCCGCCGTCACGTCGGCCGATACAAACCGTCGCACGTCGCGGTACTTGCCCTTGGACCCCTTGTTGCCGCCTATCTTTCGAGGACTGGCCATGCCTGAACTTCCAATGCCCCGCATGATCATCGGCAGCGCGTCCAGCACCTGTTTGTTGCCCTCAAAGTAGTGGTTAACAAACCCTCCAGCGAGGAGCCTTCGAATTGCGTGCAGCCGCATCAGCTTCCACCATTTGTCCACTCGCATTTCACCTTCCCGATGTACTCGAACCACCATCTTAGAGGCATTATTGGACTGGAGCCCTAGCCGGGGGTCCTGCACCGTCATGGCAATGCTGGCAAACGATTGGTGCAATGCCTTCTTGTCTCGTCGATGCATCGACTTGGTACTGAGCGACGCGAGCGCCGTCACCTTGTCTAATACTTCGTGCGTGTTATGGTATGGGTTATACCGTTTGACGAGGTAGGATCGCATGTGAGACCGGTCGTTGGGCAGTTCGTCTTCAGGTATCTCCTCGTCCGACGACGATGATTCGTCGTCTTCCTCGCGGGGTGTGTAGCATTTCTCGTACATCAAGGCAATGTTCTCGCCCGCCGATACTTGGACTTTGGCATCATCTGCATCCAGCTGGTCGAGGAATGTTGCCACCGCATCCTCCGACTCTTGCTCGAGATCTTCCACCTGAGTGGCCAAGAACCCGTATGTATTTAGGGCGGCCGTGACAACCTCAGCACTGTCATCGGCATCAACAAACGCACCATCACTCGACGCAATTTCCAATAAGAAAGTCATCACGTCCAAGATCTCTTCTTCATCCGCGCCTCCAAACGAAACGCAGATCCCAATCGAATAGATTGCCGCAGCTTTAACGGCAGTAGACCGAGAGTCGGAAATACTTCGTTTCAAGGACGCCGCAACCGTTTCGTAGAGGTTGCTATCAGCGAATGTGATGGCAGTAAGTGCCATGGCTCTAAGGGCCAATGTCGTCTCCTTCTCGCTCGTTTCCGCTTTGATGCTTCGGCTGAACGCGTTAACGAGGTCTTGAACACGACCGTATAGAACCTCGGCAAGATAGTGCGATGTCAAGCATTTGACATATGTAGCCAGCGCATCTTCCCTGCTCTTGTTATTGCTCCCTTTACGGTCGAGCAGCTGCGAGATGACATCGCTCAATTCTTGTCGAGCCACGTCCGAGGTCTGCTCATTGATATCGTCGGTTTCGAGGAGAGCATCGATCGAATTGATACTGTGCATCACCAGAATTAGCCCACTTCTTCTAGCGCGCAAGGCAGCGCGAGGAATCGTGATAAGGATTCACCTCTGTGTAGTATCATCACTGAGATTGCCCTTATCCAAATCTTCGTCGTCTGAGACGTCTCTGCTCTGGACCCGAGAAGCACTACGCGAGTTGGGTGCCGAATTGCCACGCGAACTTCCTCTTGACGACTGCTTGGATTTGGCCTTGTTGGAGACGGTCTTGCCACTCTCAAGGGCTCTTCGGCGCAAGTCTTCATGCATGTTGCACAGTCTGAAGCTGATTCCAATGAGAAATATTGGGAAAGAATGGTGATAATAATAGGTATGGCCCGTGTGGCAAAACCGGAATTAGTCGATCTTCTTGGATGAATCTGCAAACGGCCGACCAGAGGTCGAGTACTGGTCACCCTTTGGGTCTCGAGGCTCGGTATTTCGACAGATGATGTGGAGGGAGTCGTTGAATTTCCATGTGGGAGGAGTTGACGTTGAATATAACGGGGAAATAAAAAAGGTCCTCGCGGGGGGTCAGGCAGAAGCCCACAGCAAAACCAGATGTTTAAAAAGGACAGCGCAGTCTGAGAAGCGGTGACAAAAGTGAAAGGCAACCGGAGAAAGTGTGGAGGGAGGGAGTTTTGACACGGGACTTGGGACTGGGATTGGGCCACAGGTTCACCCACTTGGCAGACACGGTGCGATTTGGAAGCTGCGGGGGTGGCACCCAAGTGGTTCCCAGGTGGTGACCCTGCGACCCTGCGACCTGCGGACCTTGGGGCAAACGCAACGGACAAGAGGACCTTGCCAGCACATGCCAACAAGCCTGCCTGTCACTATACCGATGAAGTACCTAGGCAGTTGTTTACCTGAGGAGGTAGGAGTCGCTAGAGAACCAAGTCAGCCACTGACGACTGACACTACCAACTCCGGTTTAACCCGCCATCCCCTCCTCCAAAGTCGACTCGGCTGATCAGCATGACTACCACCTCGCCTCCTCGTTCTCGTAGGCCGTTGACCAGTACCGAGTCCTGTGGGAGCGCACAACTACCCACAATGCCGAAGCTACCAGTCCTGTCCTTCCCATTACTATTATGACGACACGCCCTATCTGCCTTGTTAGTGCCCTTTCGCCTTGGAGTCACCAGATGTCACACATACCTCCAACGTCTCACTCCCATTTCTTGGTCGCTGCAATCGAGTGCACGTAATTCCCACTGCTGCAGGGACATATTGCATACTATTCGAGAACGAATTTCTGCTCAAAGCGGACGAGAGCTGTTGGCTGGTTGTGTGGTAATTCTGCCTTGGTCACTAAGAGAAAGAGAGAAAAGATTGAAGTACTTTGACAATCCCCGTAGGCACTCCCTCGATCACGCCCTAACTCAGCCTGATCCAAAAAAGCCCACCTAATCCGGCTCGCGTATTCCTTGATAGTCTTGACTTTGCTTTCATTCTGTGCCCAGTAAAAGGTGTAGCTCCCATCCTGCGCATTGCACTCCTGTGGGTGTAGCTCCGTGTACACTCCATATTTTCAGAAGCACCGTGCCTGTGTCCACTTTGTTCACTTGGCCGCGTATGTTTGTCCGTTCATCACCAAGTCCTCATCACTGGCGTCCAAAATGTCGTACTCTTCATCCGTCAAGAATCCTTCTTCATCGCTGTCAGACTCCCCGAGCTCGAGGCTCTCAACGTCCTCGAGAAGTTCGTGCTCTTCTGTCTTGAGAGTAGGCTCCATCACGGCCGCCGGGGCTTCTTCGACCTGCGTTCCACGAACATCATGCACGCTTGAGATAGGGGACTCCTTCTCCAGCTTAGGGAAGATCATGGTCGAGCTATCTTGCGACTGGTTGTCGTCCTGGCATGGCTCACTGACCGTCTCGATGGTGACAGGAGGAGCAGGCAAGATATGCGAGCGGACAGGCAGCTCGACAGGAGTCGAGCGAACCTCGATGTCAACCCAGAGCTTGTGGCCAAATGGAACACCTCCCGGAGTCTTAAGACGCCAGTAAGAAATGGCTCGTCCCTCACGAATTGGAGACTTCAAGAGGACAGTAAAGACTGCCGTTGTACCAGGCTCGACAGGATGCCCCAAGACGTTGCTGCGATTGGCGATGGTCATCGCACTTATGCTGGATGGGTGCAGGACATCGAGATTACGCATGTCATCACCTCCAATGTAGTAGACAGCACAGCCGGCGGGCCAAGCATCAGGACCTGGGTTGCGGAGGGTCCAGGATTGGGAGACGAAATGGTTGGGAGCAACTTTCGTGCCGTCTGGGGTCGAATCTGTAACGTACCAGGCCTGCAGATCGCGATTGTCAGGTTTCACCGAAGTCGCGACATTCGCCGTAGCGATCTCAGCCTTTGGGGTGGCCTCAACAGGGTCCACTTCCGCGACAGTCTGGACTTGAGTCGCAGCGTTGGCGGAGGTAGATCGAGTAGTCTCGGTGGCAGCGTTCTTCGCAGCCGGTCGGTCACCCAGTTGGGCAACCTTTTCACCGTGCTCATTCTCTTGTTGAGTACTGATCGACACATGTCGGATCGGCAGCTTAATCTTGATCAAAGGATGAGATGGATTATGGCCGTTGCTGGGAAAAGCTTCGCAGTTTGCGCAGAAGTCGGTATCGTGACAGACGACACACTTGTACCGGTCACCAGTGATGTACCGCTTGGAGGACGTGCAAAGTGGTCCATCACAATAAATGCCACGATGAGACGGCTTAGAAGTGCGCAACGTCTTGATAGGCACATAGATAGGCACGAAGCGGTGCAAGGGGTGTTTGGTGCCGGCAGATCCAATACAAGAGGAGCAATAGTCGAAGTCTGGGCAAGACAGGCATTTGTGTCGGACACCGTATATCGCCTAGACAGAGAGTCAGCTCCCGAAGTGGAGCAGTAGAGAAGGACTTACCTTATCACAGCCATCACAGATAGCGTCATGGCGAACCCCGCGTCCTGGGCGGCACAGAGTTGTGATATTCACATTGTCTTTCACTCTTTCGGACTCCCGTGCCTCAAAGGCATGGGATGGATCATGCCCGTGTAGCCCGTCCTGGAAACAAGCGAAGCAGAGATCGTAATCAGGACATTCCTGGCAAGTGACACATTCACCGGCGGACATTCCTAAGAGGTCGTCAATACTGGATGTACCAAAGGCTTTTCGGGTATGGACTCACGGAAAATGCATGAGTTGCAAGTGAGTTCCGTATCATCACGTTCCGGGCTAATTGGTGTGGTCAGTTCACTAGAGGAGTCGGCCGCTACCCTGGACAACTTCTTGGGGGCCAGGGTTTCGGTAATACTGGGAATGATAACCCCATTACGAAGGGTTCGCTTGAGCAACCAGTGCTCGTCCCCATTACAGGTGAATCCTGCGTCAACGCAAGCCTTGCAGAGATCAAAGTCGCCACCTTCACAGATACCGCAGTGATAGTGTTCACTGGGGACAGGCATGCCACAGTTGTTGCAATCGATTGCGTACGACGTGGCAGGGAAGTCGTTGGTGGAAGGAAGAGGCAAACTGCATATGTCGCTTGGATGACCCTGAGGGGGGTTGACAGCCTGGTCCATGCTTGAAGTATTGACGTCGAGATCAAAGGCTCCCGGAATGGCACATTTGGGAGAGTATTGGCATGTCTTTTGGAACGCCTTAAAGGACGGAGGGGCCACACTGTTGCTAACTGGCTGGGAGAGAACAGTCTCGAGGAAGTTGCTCCTCGGTTCAACTTGGGAGTCAGCAACGTCCTTTAACGCGAACTTGCTCTGGGCCATATGAATGTCTTGTGGGAGATCGTCTCTTGCAGCTTTGCCGTCAACGGTAGCCCTCAATCGTAGCTTGAGCTTCGCTTTTGCCGCCCGATAGAGCTGCTTGTAGATGGCAGGATCGTTACTATCAAGGGTGATGTATCTTGCCTGTGAATCGGAGAATCGGTCGAATCGAACGTCTTGCTCCGGGGGAATGGCAAGCAGAGATCGAAGCTGCAGATATAAGAACCGTTAGCTCTCTGGTCACCAAGGCGTCATGGCCCAAGGGAGGGCTGAGGCACAGCCGAGGATGATTCAATTCTCAGGCTGACACCGATGGATCTACGCACCTTTTGTGGAAGCACGTTGGCAGTGAGTTCTCGCAGGGCAAGTTTGAATCTTCTGTTTGTCCCGTCGATGATGACCTTGACGGTAATGAGGGTATCGGGGCCAACAGGACCTGTGTGAGGATGAAGGGTAGCCATGGTGGTTGAGAAGGCAACGCTGGATTAGGCGGTGTCAGGTTGGTTTGACCGTAGCACCCTGCGGGCAGGTTGCAAAGAGTCGGTCAGATCGGCGGTGCGAGGAACCTCAACAAGCAGCGGACATGAAGAGTGTATATCTCTTCCGTTCTACAGGAAACAGAGAGGGATGGAGAAGAGGACGCAAGAGAGGTCAAGGTGATGGGTGGGAGGTGGTTAAACACAGCAGGCCTTCGAGAGGAGATGACGGGTGCAAGTGGAAAGCTCGCAGCCTGGCAGAGGCAATCAATCACCACTCAACCCTCCAAGGCGGGGAATCTCGACCTGTCGGACCTCACTCCACTAGTGCACGTGACTCCACTGAACAGGCAGCACCAAATCACAATTCAATGCCAAAGGTCACTTACGGCAAGGAGGATGTCCGGCTTGCACCCGCGATTCGTGGCCGACACTTTCTGCTACAGATTCAACATTCCTCACCGGTTACATTGCTCTGGTGCTATTCTGCTAGTACGAGCCTTGTCAAAACTCTCGGCCAAGGCAGATTGGGGCTCAGATGACCTTTGCCTCTGTCAAGTATCAAGCGCAGCCCATTAACCTGAGCTTTCAAACCTCTTTTCATCCTCCCTGACAAAAAGAAACCTCGCCTCCCATCGACGGAACTACCTTTCGTTGATCCCTCAGACACGAGGTCAATCGCTGACAAAGCTAGTCCTGGTGAATCTTCGAAATCCCTCTACATGATTGCCACTAATAATTCCACAAGCGCATCAACCTGCAGCTTTCGAGCTTTTGCACTCCCTTCTTTGACTTTGAGCTCACTCTTGCAAAGAGTCTAACAATCATCAACAAGGTCTCCTTTTTTAACCACGAGATATAATGTACATGAAGAATATGGTCAAGGATATCTCGAAGCCATGATGGAAGAAAACAGAGGAGAAAAGTCTCCAGGGTATTCCCCTTTGACAGCCGACGAACCGAGCTTCACTTCCCCCAAACACAAGAGTGCTCCGTACTCCATTACCCGCTGAAAAGGGAAACTAAAGAGTCAAGATATAAGGAAATCAACAAAGACATAGAGAATCCGTAAACCACAAATCAGCCAGATTGCGCGGGGTAGAACATGCCGCCAGGGGCAGAAGAGTAGTAATAGGGAGCCTGGGTCGGCATTCCATTGGTCAAGGGCATCATGTTTCCATTTGGGGCAATTGGGAATTGTTGCATTGTCCCCTGAGGATCATGGGCGAACATTGTCGGGTTGTAGTAGTAGACCATGCCGTTGGACTCGTGCGCAAGCATGTTGCTTTCCGTAGGTCCTGTCACAGACATGTAGCTCATCGGGTGCGATTGCGATCCAGGCACAAAGCTCGGTGCCAGTGCTGGGCCTGTCATTGGAACTCCAAAAGCGCTTGTACCAGGAACTGGAGGGTAGAAAACGGCTCCGTTGCTGTAAGGTGGCCCAAAATACGCAGCGCCTCCCATGGCTGGATATGGCTGGAAGCCCGGCGCGAAGACCCCTCCTTCCGGTATCTGCGAGAGAGGCGTCATTCCAGCCATCCCAGGGACTGCCGGTGGACCAGGTTGAGCTATTGCCTTGTCTTCCGCATATAAGCTGGCCATTTGGGCGGGGACTTGCTGGTGGAACGGTATTTCTTGTTGCTGTTGAGGAGCTTTGAAATGAAAAGTGGCGGGCGATTCAATGTGTGCCACGGAGACGGTTTTCTGGGGGCGAGGTTGATGCATAGGAATGGCTGCGTTGTGGCTCCCATACATTGCAGGTGCTTGCATTTGTGTTGGTGTAGCATTCATAGCAATCTGACCATTCACTACCGGCATCCCAGTTCTCGAGAGTGATGGTGTTGGAGCTCCGGATGGCATGCGGACTACAGGCCGACTGGTTTCATTTCCAGTTGCTGGAGGGCGAGAAATAACCGATTCGGCGGGAGATCTGATGCCATCTCGCAAGGTGGACGCCCCCATAGAAGATTTCCGGCTCATGGCAACACTTGGAGTATAGCCTCCATATATGCTCGGTCTGCGGCTTCCTTGGAAGCTACCTCTACCGCGGCCGCGCGAATATCCCGGTTGATTGGGACGGAGAGCCCGTGGGATGAAGATGAAGGACCGATCTGCGCTAGGAAAGACGTATCGTGGTGACGCACCTGGGATTGAGATGCGTACAGGCTTGTCCCTTCTCAGCGGAGGACGATGTTGAGGGAGCAAAACATGGTGCTTCTTAACGACGTTCGGTACAAGGGTTTTGGCATCCATGCCGGGAAATGATATTTGGACGTTGACGTTTCCCAAAATCGATGTGAACGAAAACGATCTGTTCGGAGCTGTTGAAGCAACTTTAGTTTTGCCCTGTTCCTTCTCCATGTCAACAGGGGCAGCAGTCGGTGTGGCTGAATGCTGCAACGACTTCGTCTTGTTTTCGTGCTGTTCATGGAGATCATGTGCCCAAGGCTTATCAGTCGGTTCAGTGAGACCAATTCCTCGTCTACATACATCAGTAAACGCAACAGGCATCTCGTTTTGTTTTACTTACCCTGAGCTTATTGCAGGGCCATAAGCCCGACCTCTGCCTCGCCCAAGAGGTCTGGTGTTTGGTCCAATCGACGACGAGTTCCGGTCGTCATGGAGGAAAAAGCCCCCTCTGGTGGGCACGAATGCGGGATTTGCATCTCTTTGGCGAATGTACTCTTGATGCTCCCTGCGAGCACGCTGAGCTGGAGTTTCTTGTCGAAAATCCCTCGAACCTGAAGGAGGAGGAGGAGGAGGAGCAGCAGGAGCAACGACCTCTGCGCCACCAGCACTCGTCGAAGCAGGCAGGCTGTCAAAGTGCAGCTGTTCGGTCTGTTGTGACTGCTGAGCTTCACTCAACCCATGTAACATCGCTTCAGTATCAGCCGAGTGCCCAAAAGTAGCCTTAGGCTTTGAAGAATCCTCATGAGAGACCATAGCAGCGCGGTCCTCCTGATCCTGCGTTGTTGCGCCTGTTGTAGCTTGCTGCGCCGGCTCTCGCTCGTCTCCACTAGACTCGCTTCCTTCAAATTCTCCTTCCTCCTCAGCGTTGGTAACCGCGGAGCCCTCGCTCAGAGAATCATCCTCAAAATCACCGAGGACAGATCCTTCTTCCTCTCCTTCATCTTGTCGCCGCCGTCTGCTCGCGAGCAGATTTTTCCGTCGAGGTGCGGGCATGATTGTAGTGATTCCGGACCTGACTTGAGATTCTTGGAACGGAGCGATTCGAGACGCGAGGTAAATGAGATTTAGGAGATTTGAGGATGAATCATTCTCGGTTGTCGAGCACTGAAGTCTCGACTCGATGGAGGTTGGACGACGGCGCTTTTTTGGGCAAAGAACATTTACAGAATTCTGACATCCATCCCAAGGTTGCGCGGATGAAAACAGAGATAGAAAAGCTGATAGATCAAGTCGAATTCGGAGGTCTTCGAGATTTTTAGGCCAGTGACAATGAATCAGTGCGCGGTCGAGGAGGCACAGGATGCCCTTGCATTCACCAGCAAATGTGTCTTTTGACCGGAGGCGAGACTTGAAGTCGCCTCGGGCATAGCTACTAGCCTCGATCAGGCCGTTGCCCCAGGTTTTCGTCATGGCAAGGGTCAGCCTGGAAAGGTGCCTAACTGGCTGGGGCCTAGCTCGCCTAAAGAGGCCCCTAAGGAATGAACACCGGCCCGCTGCCAGTTGAGCTCCCATTCCATCACTCCATATATCTCGTGCCCCCGTAAATGATCGAATGATGCCGCCTGTTAACGTCCCTAGTTTGTATATGTGAGGCAACCATCGTTATTCAAAGACAGTTCGCTGGCCTTTACTTTCGATGATTGCACCCGTCAGTCTCTGTACAGTCTCCTCTGAATATTTGCCTTGCGTCTTGCTGGGATCCGTCTTCTTCTTGCCATACATGGGTTCGATCTTCGCCTCCTCATCGTTCACCTCCGTGATCCCACTATCTTCTCTAGAATCTCCCTCACCAGATGCCGCCTTCTTCGCCGATTTACCAAACCTCTTCTCGTATCGAGTCGCCTTGTCTTCAGCATACTCCATCCTTAACTTGCGGCCGTGAAGTCTCTGAAGCAAGATCTTGCTTCTCGACGATTTCGACTCCGCGGTCGAGTCCCCTGCACCATCTCCTCGCTCAACCCACCCTCGCATAGCCTTTTCTGCAGATCCTATCTGTTCGAAGTCGATCCATGCGAACCCTTTGCACTTTCCTGAATCTTCAAACGTGGCCATGTGCGTATGGACGATGGGACCACATACTCCAAAATGCGCTTCCAGATCCTCTACCGTGGTGTTGAAATCCAGGTTGCCAACAAAGATTCTCTTACTTGGTGGCCGAGCCTGCTTCTCGACCTGGTCTTTTCTCTGCTCTGGTCTACCCTCGAAATTCTTCGCATTTTTGATCAACACGCGGCGGCCGCCTAGAACAGATTCGCTAAGGTTCAGTGCGATGTCGATGCATTCTTGGTCTGAAAAATCAATGTAGGCAAACCCTTTGTTCTGTGCTCTGCCAAACTTTGGCGGTCCTTGAGGCAGATGTATCCTGGTTATCTGATCTTGTCCGATTACATTCGTGGGATTGGAGGTCAAAAACTTCGTGAGGTCGTCCTTCGTAATACCAAAAGAAAGGTTCCCGATCCAAATCCCGTATGCAGAGCGAATAGACTCTTTGTGAGGTGCATCTTGTGTTCCGGTGAATTGTTCTGTGTTCTTTACTTCTGACGAGGACTTGGTGGCATCAGACACTTTTGCTTTCTTTGCTTTGCGAAGAGCCTTCTTGGAAGGAGGTTCGGGCGCCTCCACATCTATCTCGATCTCTGCGGTGTCTGCATTTCGTTTGCGGTTGTTGGGTTGCGATGTTTCTGTTTCTAGCTCCGTAGTACTCATTGTGGACACCTGGTTTCGTTGGAGACTAGAAAACTGGCATAACACAAGACGAATAAATGTACAGTATGTCTTTGTAGGTTTTAAAATTTCCTAGTGAACTTTTCCTCACCCATCCAATAGTCCGCAGAAGGGCTCCGCCGATAATTAACCCCCAAAACGCGCTTGACTTCTTTTCCTCACCCTGCATCCTCATCGCAACTCTCCCTCTTAAGTCAGTTGCAACCTCTATCACGGTACCTTGACAAGCTAGCGCATACGCGTCGAAAATCATGTCTTCGATAGAACCGACAGATGACCATGTCCCGGGGGAGCAAGCCGCAGTCTTGTCCGATCAGCCTCCGTCCTCCAGGAAATCGTACAGGTATCTGTCAAGCAAAACATGGTGCTTGATCGCGTGTTCTGACAGCCACGTACAGACGCAAATACCGCAAAATCATGGTGACGTTTGAGGAGAAGATGAGGGAAGGCAACACGCTGTTCAAAGAAGAGCAGAGGATAATGGATATATCCCTAAGGCTGGCTGAACAGACAGAGTAAGGCAACTGATGCAGTATGCTGTTCGCTCACTGACCCCTGAACCAGCCAACTCCTTCAGCTTCTTGTTGAACTCAACTCCTGCCCCCAGGTGCCTCAACGGTTACGCTACGATCTCCGGCCTCCCAGCGAGAGTCATTCAATCGAAGAAACTGCAACACCCACTATCTCTGAAGAAGACGGACACTTGGATCTCAGGAGAGCGAGAAGACAATTGCAAGCTGGGGAAGTCTCTCTAGCCGGATATAGAGAAATCGAAGCTGCCCTCCTCAAGACCCGAGAATTTGCACCAAGCCGTTCGTACGCTTCACTGCTGTCGATTGCGCCTCCAACTGGTCAATCAGCGGACAAACTTGAGCCTGGCAATCCTGTGTCTGCCTGCTTATTGTCGACGAAACAAGAAGAGCAATATTTGCAAGGCTTGGATGCATTCCTCGAGGGGACGGCGACTAATCCCAGGCCACATGTTGCTCATAGCCTAGGGAGTCGAAGTGCAGAGAAGACAACAGAGCGTGAACGAGAAGCGCAGCTGAGGAACCCGGTGTCTGTCTACAACTGGCTTCGCAAGCATCAACCTCAGGTGTTCCTTCAGGACCATGAGGCCACCACAGAGAAGACGCCGCGAGCCACGGGTTCACGGAGTTCTATGCGCAGATCGGCAAACAAAGAGGCACTCAAACAGGAGCAGGATTATTACGATGAAGACGGTTTCGCTTTGGACCATGGATCATCGTCGAGAGCAAAGAGGAAGCGAGACGCTGATGGGGGATATCGACCCAAGGGAGGCAGTTCCAGAAGCGCCAAGCGCAGAAAAGAAACGAAGGAGGATTCAGTTCGAACCAAGCGCTCGAAGAAGTTGTCAGTGGACGCCAGATAGGCCCACGTAACGGCCACACGCTGATGGTCAGATCCTGTCCTGATAGGCAGCCGCCTCGAATGAGACTTGACGAGCTTTTCATGTAGCAGAACATCCCAATCTTTCCACGTGGTATTGGAGTTGGATGATTTTTGCCTCGCCTTTTCTTTTAGCGCCCCTTGTTGATAGTAAGAATTGATCATGAGGAGACCTCTGAGTCGTTGGTGGCTGGCTGGGGACTCCCCAAGGCCGCAGCATGCCGGCAATACGAGGTGATGATTGACGGTTCAAATTATGGTGCCTCGTAAATGGGATTATGCTGTGTTTATGTCAGATCGCCCGCGCAGCAGAAATGCCGCTGATCAGTATTCTCGGCAACTTATCACATCCTCCTCCGAAAGACGACTAGGAGACCAGACGGCCAACTTCTTTCCTGGGACTTCAGACGCACGAGTAGTTATACCTAGACTATCGAGCAAATAACACTGAACGAGCGGAACGGAATAGGCCTCTTTTTTCGGTGCTGCGCAGAAACAAAGCCAGATCAGCAACTTCCCCTGACGCTTGGATGCAACCAGAGCGGCGTCGATAAGGGAGACAGCATTGTGCACCTACCCTCGACAATATATCGCTAGCACGTATACGATCATGACCTGAGCAGTCCCTCGTCGAAGATTTTCGAGGGATTTGTCATTACCTTTTCCCTATGGCTGGCCTCGAGCAGATCGAGGTGCATTCCAGGGTGCGCTTCCCAACTGCTACGTGTCATATGGATTTCTGATATCAGGCTTAGAACTACCTGGTGCGCTGGGTCAATGTCAAACAAGAGCATACTATCTCCTGGACGGTTCAACCTCACAAGAAATCCATCAATCTCGGCCTATTCAAGCACCCCGGACCGCTCTCGAACCTGCATTCCGCTTCCTCTACCTCCTTAGCACCTCCTTCTCCCGTCAATGCACCAGTCGATGAGGACAAAGATAAATCAGAAACGCAGTCCACCGCAATCGAGAAGCTGACGAGCATTGGGTTGAAAGTGGTGCGATGGATAGGCAAATGTGAAGCCGACAAGGTGTCGCAAGGAAAACACGATGTCCGTCTCGGTGAGGGAGGGAACTATGCCTTGGTCTTCGACAACACATTCTCCAAGAACATCTCTAAGACGGCGACAACCTTCCTCCTCACCTATCCCACTGTGTGTCAATCGCAGATTCAGTTCGGGGCGCAATTGCACCACCCACAGTCAATGGCTACCGCCATGGCCATCGCCAACACTTCATCCCAGCTATTCAAAAGAAGTCCTAAACTAAAAGCTAGGGACAAAGAATCCGTCGACTCCCTGAGACAGGCTTCTATTAGCCAGTCTGCAGGAGGCAGCATTGGTCCAGTTTCGGAGGAAACAAAGCTTGCAGAAGACTCTACATCGATCCATACTGGGGTATTGCAGAAATTGAGGCGCAAAAAGCATCAGGGGTATGCACGGAGGTTTTTTTGCCTAGACTACACCTCTTCAACTCTGTCCTACTACCGCGACCGTAACTCTTCGGCTCTACGAGGTGCCATTCCCCTTTCTCTTGCTGCCATTGCAGCCAACAGCAAAACCCGGGAGATCTCGATCGATTCCGGGGCCGAACTCTGGCATCTGAAGGCCAACAACGACGCAGATTTTGAAGCATGGAAGCAGGCTTTGGAGACCGCCACCCGACTCATGCTAGAGGCCAAGTCGCCAGTCGACAACCTACGCCTGGATACAAGCGAGCGCCACGAGGGCGAAAAGTCCACATTTGAGGATCAAGAATGGGCGAGGCTGGAGACTCTGCTCAGCAGAATTTCAGGCACTCGGGATGCCGTACGCCGATTGTGTTTAGATACATTGGCTCAACCAGTGCCACTACCTTCACCGAAACTCGGCGCGACTTCTACCAGTACCACGCCTACAGAGGGGCCAAATGGAGATGACTACTTCAGGCAAGACGAGAGACGGCCATTTTGGAAGCGCAAGGTCAGTATGACTAACACCCAGGCCAACATCTTCAAGCGCAGTGTTTCCGCCCAGCTCGCTGTTCCGCTGCCGGGCGTTGAGCCGATCCTGCGCAATGGGACGCCGCCACCGCCTCCTTCGGCGCCTTCCACGTCGCGGCCAGTCATCCATCATGAGGAAAGCATGTATGACCATTGCCGAGCGTTACTCCATGATCTAGACGCGGTAGTCAGCGAGTTTTCTCTATTGATCGCGGAGAGCAAAGTCCGGCGTACGACTCCCCCAAAGTCGGCGGTTTCACGACTAAGCCTCCAGACCGTTGACTCGCAGGAGTATTTTGACGCAGAAGACCATCGACATGTGCTCGATATCCACAGCGATACAGATCACGAGGCTGAAACAGCTGAGGAAGACGGAGGCTCCGCAACCAGCAGCGACGTTGGCGAAGACTCGATTCCTGGACTGAGGCGCCGATCAGGAAGCGTGTCTTCCTATCTTCCTCCTCGAGCGAGGTCTTTAGCCCCGCTGCCGTTGGATCCAGTTCCTCGACGGGACAACATAGCAGCGCCAACGATTATGCCGCCGAGTCTGATAGGCTTCCTTCGAAAGAATGTGGGCAAAGACTTGTCGACGATTTCGATGCCCGTGTCGGCCAACGAACCCTTATCCCTGTTGCAGCGTGCAGCGGAGCAACTGGAATACTCACAGTTGCTGGATAGCGCGATCCGCTGCAGTGACGGGTTTGAGCGACTGATGTATGTGGCAGCATTTGCCATCTCATCACTGTCGAATGCGCGAGTCAAGGAACGATCTATCCGCAAGCCGTTCAACCCGATGCTTGGCGAGACGTTTGAGCTGGTGCGCGAAGACCGTGGCTTCCGCTTGATTTCGGAGAAGGTGTCGCATCGTCCTGTGCAGCTTGCACTGCACGCTGAGTCGGAGCATTGGACCTTCACACAGTCACCTATGCCGTCGCAAAAGTTCTGGGGCAAGTCATCGGAGATCATCAACGAAGGGAAGGCCCGACTGGTGCTTCACAGCACGGGCGAAGCATTCAGCTGGTCGGCGGCTACGTGCTTCCTACGCAACATCATCGCGGGGGAGAAATACGTCGAACCTACTGGGACCATGACCATTTACAATGAGTCTGCTGGTCACAAGGCGGTGGTGTCATTCAAAGCCAAAGGCATGTTCTCGGGTCGCAGCGAAGACGTCGAAGTGCAAACCATCGACGCGCAGGGCCAGGAATTGTCTATGGGCTTGAGCGGGACATGGACCAACTCACTGCAGCTGAAAGAGCCGGGCAAACTGGGCCAGCGGTCCACCATCTGGTCCGTGGGCCCGTTGGTGGAGAATGCGCCTAAGCATTACGGCATGACGCTCTTTGCGGCTCAGCTAAATGAAGTGACGCCGGTGGAACGAGGAAAGCTACCGCCCACCGATAGTCGTCTCCGACCCGACCAGGTGGCATTGGAAAACGGAGACCACGAGACGGCGGAACACCTGAAGAATCAGCTGGAGGAGGCACAACGGGCACGGAGGAGGGAGATGGAAGAGAGCGGCGAAGAGTGGAAACCGCGGTGGTTCTCGAGGGTGGAACTGGGCGACGAGGTAGTGTGGAGGTTACGGACGGGCAAAGAGGGATACTGGGAGGAACGAAGTCGGGGAGAATGGACAGGGGTGGTGCCGGTGCTACAAGTATAGACAGTCCGGCGGGGAAAGGCTCGAGAGCTATCTATAGAGTGTACACCAAGTACTGACAACGGAGTATTGTTCTCCGGGGGTATCACTGGAGGTACGAGGTACCCGATACCACACTGTGAACACCCAGTGTACCTACAGTAGTACTTACTGAGGACTGGATATCTTCAACAACTTTTTGACGGAGGAGGTTGGGAATTAGCTACTCGTACTCGTTTGTGGCTCCCTTGGTGGCCCCTCCTTGGCCCTATCTCAATCCAATAACAGAGCCTACGGCCCCACGTTCTCCAGGGACGAATCCGAGTAGTGCTGGTGGTGCTTAGCATTTGATTAGTCCGATGAACACGAGGGAGGTAGATACAGCATCCACTACTTTCTTTTTTAAAACGAAGCCTTGATGTCACTGTAGCACGAAACCAAGGTTCATCTCTAAGACTCTAAGTTTTTCATCATGGTTCTAAGAATTCCTACTAATCTCATCCCGATAACCCGCTGCAATTCGTATCGTTCGGTTCCTGTTTCTGTTTCCGCTTCCGCTGTGACCCGCAACACTCCCTCAATATCTCTCGTGTCTCTGACCTCAAACCCCTCCAAATCCATTTTCCCCAGATTCCCAAAGGACTTTCTACAACCCCTTTCATTCCTTATCTTTTCCCGGATAGTGCTACCTTTGCTGCTGCCCTTGAGTTCTGCGTTGGTTTACTATTCTTCTGGTACATTTCTATTCTGTCGATTGATCCTATCCATACCCAAAAATAAAGCGCGCATCCGGAAGCATTGAGTCTCTTGAGCCTCACACCACCATTCTCACTCTCGCCTACATATCCACAATCCTATCGAGAAATGGACATTTAGCGTCGCCCTGACCCATGGTCCTGGGACGTTCCGCCCTTTCGCATCCAACACTGGCCACAGAATAGACAGCAATTTCTCCTTCCTGTCTCCCAAGTCAAAATGAGCCTCTTTACCTCCTCGCTACCACTGCTGCCACTCGATCTCTGATCTATATACGAACCACCTACTGATCCAACGGTCGCCGCAGTCGTTCGGACGACAGAACAAACTAAAGAGAGGGGGGATATGGCCATTACCCGACGACCGTCTGCGCTTCATCGAACCATGAGTACTCCTCCCACCACTCCAAAGACTGCGCCGAACGCCGAGTCCAAGCTCCCACATACTTATGCGAGCACTTCGGTCCTGACTCCGCCCACCTCTCCCCGCCAGAGTCGATCTTCTTCCAATATCTCGGAACTTACGACGCCCATTTCCGTGCCGGTCATTCAATCTCCTCTGGGATCAGCTTTGAGGCACCAGGGGCCCAGACTCGACCTCATCGACACCGATACCGTCGCGCCGAGCATATCAACCGACGCAAGTGTTACTGCCTGCCCCTTTGACGTTGAAATCCTCAAGGACGAACGTGGCCGAGATGCTATCTTCGGCACCGGCGCCTGGAGCACCGTCTACAAAGCCACCACACACGCCAAATCGAGAACCATGTCAGGTTCTTTGACACCGCCGCTCTCGCCGACATTTGCCACACCTATCCTAGTAGCACTCAAGAAGCCCGCACGTCGAGACGCAATTCCCATTCTGAAAAGCGAGGCTAAACTCCTCACTTACCTCCGAGCCATCCCGAGCAGCGATAAGTGCGTTGTTCCCTTCTACGGCACCGTCGATGAAACCTCTCTTGTTCTCGAGGCCATTCCGTTCAGTCTCGAGGACCATATCCGACAATGTGCAGCTAGGGCTACCCAGAACTTGTCCACTTGGACTATGACAGAGCCGGTCCTCGGCAGCGAAGCAAAATGGTTTCATCTGGCACGCCAACTCATTTCGGCTCTTGCGTGGTTGCACAATGATGCACGAGTTGTCCACGGCGACATCAAGCCTGGCAACATCCTCCTAACTCGCGTCCAAGGATCAGGAGTCGACGTAACCTTTCAGCCCGTGTTCGCCGACTTCTCGTCGGCCCAACGGCTGGATACCGAAGACACCACGCCGAATACGCTGTCGGCCGTTACAAGAGAGTATACTGCGCCCGAGCTTCTCAACTCCAAAGTTCTCCGCGATCCAACGTCCACGGCCACGCCTGCTTCGGACGTCTTCTCCATGGCAATCACCTTGTTGGTGGCAGCCACAGGGCAACTACTGGTCTACCCGGGATCAGTGTTCCAGCGACAGGCCATGGCCACTCAAGGTTGGATGGTTTTGAACTACGCCAGGAATGGTGAACAAGGTTCAAGATTACCCAAATTTGGGCTTGTGGAGAGAGTGTTAGAAAGGGCAGTCCTGAAGGCGGATTTGGGAAGAGTCAGCGCACAGGAATGGTTGGGTATTGTTGACACCATCGCACAAGGGGATCCTGCGAAACTGTGAACCCTAAATACGAGGCGTGTTGACACAATGGCGTATTGCTTGGGAATACGAGCTCCAAGCCGGATTGCAGCTTGGCAAGATTCCTTGGAGAAATGGTGACATGTTTATTTGAGGGTTAGCTCACCTACGTCTGGGACGGCTTGAGTGGTCATGAGGAGACCATCTGTTTTGACTAGGACCATGGCTTGGACAGGAAAATGTATCAGGTATGTTATGCCAAAAAAAGGGCTTGGGGATCATGTAACCTACGGGATTTAGGCATGTATTTCGACTATGGAAGAGGTTGTCTACATTGGATTGTTGCATCTCTAGACTGCCACATGGAATTAATGTATATGAGTGAACCAAAGATCCTTCAACATGTACTGTATTGAGATGTTCCTCCACCTCACCCTGGCTATGATACGAGCCTCACACGTGACCGTATTTCAGGCAGCCTTGCCAAGCTACAAAGCTGCCAATATGCCAAGTCCCACCGATGACCTCATTGACCCGGCAAACTCCGCCCACCCATTGTATATCAACTGGAGACTCATTTTCGTGACCACGAATACTTGGGCTTCAGTGGATGGAACAGCTTTCCAGGTCGGCCATCCTCTCTGTTCTGCCGCTATCATAGGCCCTGCCTCTGTCTGCCTCTGCCCAGTCGACGGGAAATGACATCCAGCCGAGGAGGGTCTTCCTTCTTCTGCTCCGACTTTTTCCCACTAGCAGCACCCAGTAACGACATCCAGACAACCACTGCATGAAATATCCCTTCAAGTGGTGCTTCATTTGTTTTCACTTGCCCTTGGCCACATCATTTGCACAAAGGCGAAGATTAGACTTCTCTGAAGATGAAGCTACCTAAGAGAAACAGCCTGTTTCCCCACCGCTGGAACGGCCTTTGGTGGGCATGACATTCGCAACATACGCAGATCTCTTACCTCCCTGAGAAAATGAGCAATCTCTCCACCCTCTGTCCGGCTTTCATTGCCGTATGACTGAACTGGAGGATGTGTTCCAGTCACCCACCATCCGTCGCTGGTAGGTATTTCTTGTCATACTCCATGCAAGACACCCATAAGAGAAGGCTAGCTTGTTGATTCTGACATCATTTTTCAACGGGCCCGCCGCGTCTGGGCTTGGAATATGAACGTGTTTGCAATATACAAAATATCCACTACTCACTTCAGTCAACTTGTCCACCGGTGTCCTGCAAGATATTATTTGTGTTGTCTTTCCTGTTCTGGATCTCTATCGTTCTGCTTTTGAGATTTCTGCGCCTAGGCTTCGATATCATGGACCCGGATTTTGAAGGCCGTGTTCTGGTCGTGGCCAACCGTGTGCCCATTTCTATCAAGACCACGCAAGAAGGCGAATTCGAGTATAGCATGTCCTCTGGGGGCTTGGTTTCCGGGCTCAAGGGTCTGGCCAAAGCAATTGACTTCAAATGGTTTGGCTGGCCGGGGATTGATGTGCACCGCAACGACAAAGACAGAGTACGGCGGCATCTGCAAGACAAATTTAACGCCGTGCCCATCTTTCTGGCAGAAAGCCTTGCCGAAATGCATTATAATGGGTTTTCAAGTACGTCCTATCGCAGCCCTTGTTCTTGTCTGGTCCATATCACCCTGACGCGATACTGTTATACCTAACTAGAGAACGGCAGACTCAATATTATGGCCTCTGTTACATCGCATGCCCGACAGAGCTGGCTCAGATGAGAGGTGGTCCAAAGCGTACCAAGAGGTCAATGAGATCTTTGCCGACAACATCGTCCCGTACGTGGAAGACAACGACATTATTTGGGTTCACGACTACCATCTCCTGCTCCTACCGGGAATCTTGCGTGAGAGACTGTCGAAGAAAAAGAATCTCAAGATCGGCTTCTTCTTGCATACTCCGTTTCCCACCGAGGACTATTTCACCATTCTGCCCTTCCGGGAGCAGATCTGCAAAAGTTTGCTCCTCTGTGACGTGGTAGGGTTTCACACAAATCAGTACGCCAAGGACTTTCTGGAGAGCGCCCGCATCGTCCTCGAAGGCGTGGCGAGATCTCCGAGTGATCTGCACTGGAACGGCCGCAAGGTGATTGTACACGGCTTCCCGCTCGGCATTGAAGCAGATGAGTGGAAGCAGAAGCTGCAAACAGACGCGGTCAAGCAAGAAGCGGCCAACTTGCGGGCCGAGTTTGATGAGCAGATAATTATTCTCGGGGTGGACAGACTCGACTACATCAAGGGCATTCCCCAGAAATTACGCGCCTTTGATCGCTTTCTGACAGACCACCCGGAGTGGGTGGGTAAGGTTGTCATGGTACAATTGGCGATTCCCTCGCGAGAGGATGTCGACACATATAGAAAGCTGCGGGAGGAAGTTGAATCCCTTGTTGGGTGCATCAATGGCAAGCACGGTAGGACTCTTGCTTTCAAGCCCACCTCGTGATATGGTTGAATCTCCTGGGTCGAATGTCTACTGACGCTGCCCCGTTGGGGGATAATAGCAACATTCAAACATACGCCGATACACTATCTGCACCGGTCAGTGAAGCCGGAACAGCTCTGTGCTCTGTACGCAATTTCGGACGTCCTCATCGTCTCCTCGATCCGCGACGGATTGAACCTGGTGAGCTACGAATATGCCGCGTGTCAGGAAGAACGCAAGGGCGTCCTGATGATGTCGACCTACGCAGGGGCAATCAAGACGCTGCCCCCGTCCTCACTGATCTTGCTGAATCCCTGGGATACGCCCCGATTTGCCGAGAGAATCAACCAGGCCGTGAATATGGGTATGGACGAGAGGGCGCAAAGGCACAAGGAAATGATGCAGGTCGTGGATACATGGACAAGGTCAGTATTCCCTTTCCCCCCTTTGTTTCTGTCGAGAAGGACCGCGAACAATGGCAAAGCACAGGAGCAGTGTGGACTATACACGAATAGGGGAAACAAACAAGTATGGAAGCTAACATGGAAAACGCATGGTGGGTTGAACAGTGTCAAATGGGGCAAAGCCTTCCTCCACACCATGATGACCATGGAAGTCCCTCAAGAGGCCGAGATGCCGGACCGCGACTCGTTGGTGGGATGGACATCAGACGTCCCTGACTCGGAGTCGGGCACGATTCGACCCTGAAGAGAGAGGAAGGGCTGTTCGTGCACCACGAGGGTTGTTGAACTGGACCGGCGGCCTTAATTTCCTTCTCTTCAGAGCCTTTCCCTCTCTGTTTTTATTCGACAAACGCAGTTACCACCAGCCGCCAGTAATCTTTACCCCGCCTGGCAGGAAAATCAAACACCAGAGAGTTCAAACGAATGGAATGGGCATTCGAGCGAGGTGGCGTAGACCGATGTACATGTCGATAGATGTGATATGATATGATATACCATGGCCTCTTCTGCTTCTTCTTCCACACAAGACCACAGCTCGGCTTTGCTCTGAATGTGTTGTTGACCTGTCTGGTGTATGTATGTATGTCATCATACCTAAATCGGCCCATACATACCACGGCAAGAAGGGAAGGGGGATGATTCTCGCTCCGGACTTAGTTACTGCATTACTGCACAGTCTAGCATGTCTGATTGATTGATTAGGTAGGTATATTATGAGATCCAGTACATGGCACGGAGTTGCAGATATCGGACTGTGATCTTGACTGTAACCGTATACCGCCATGCTCCCTATAAAGCTGCTGCTGGCTGGCCGCAGAACTCATTCCACCCGCTTCCACCAAAGTTGGCGTCGTGTCAGTCATGGTCATTATCATTGGAGCGTCACCGTGTCTCCCGGCCACAATCAACTGTCGACCTGACGTCGTCAGATCGCCGTACATTCAAACCCTTCGCAAGTGAGCCTCGACTCCCAGCACGCTTCGCGGCCAATCTTTCTGGCTCTCGAGCAAACTCATGCGACGCTGAAATCTCGCCTCTCCACCGCGCCGCCCATACTCTCGCAGAACTCGCCGAGCATCCTCCCCCATTCCGCCATCCTCTCCTCCATGTATGCACTCTCCTTCTTGTTCCTCTTTGACAACATGCCCTTCTGGCACTCCCAGTCCCAGTACTCGCACATTTCCTTGCCGTCGCCAGAGGTGTACGGTCGTATTTCGTGCACGCGTTGCGTCTGTAACAAAAACCGAGGGTAGCTCTTTGGGGGGTTGTAAGAGCCGGTACTGCTCCACACCAGTCTATACACACCGGATATAGAGGCCGTATGGGTCTGCGTGCGCTGAAGGGCAGCTTGTCCTGGGTCGTCTTGCGGATCGTCTGGACGGGAGACTTCGGTGACGACCACGGCTTGTTCCCTCATCTCCTTGCTGTGGGGTAGTTTCATTCTCATGTGTAAGGTCATCCTGGTGCCCAATTGGATCCGCACAGAGGGTTCACCGTAGAGGGCATTGATATGTAGCTGTCTCCTGTGCTGGGAGCTGGCCGCGGATTTCCGCCGGGAAGCTTTGGCTGCAAGGGCGGTCGATTGGGTATTGGCAGGTGCTGGCATGAGAACAGAGGCGTTCCCAGGAGACTCGAGCAGAACGGAATTGGGGTTTGTGCCTTGATCTGTTGGAGCAGGTGGTGATTGGCCGGGGGTTAAGGAGGCTCTTCGTGCTTCAGTTGCGGCCTGATACTTTTGGGCCGCAGACAACGCCCCAGTGCCATTGGTGTTTGCCGTTGAATTTGACCGTGAGGGCCCATCCACACCGTCCTGCGAGATTCCCGAGAATCTGCTGGCATTGCTGGCTAATCTCTGCCTCGTCACCGGTGGTGGACTAAGCGGCCGATCAATGCTGCCGGACTGTCTGCTTCCAGGGAGCGCCGGACTGGCGCCTCCGCTCCCTGCGCTCCAACCACCACCACTTCGCCTTCGATGCGCCGTAGAGTGCTCCGCTGATGGTCCCGGCATGACTGCTCCATCCGTAATATCGGAGTCAAAATTCACCGCAATGGAAGTGTTCCTCACCAACTCCTCGATTTCGGCTAACGTGGCGTCATCTTCGTCGTCTGGTTGAAATGTGATTGTTACACGGGGGATCCAGCGATTCCAATCTTTCCAGGTCTCGGTGTTGCGGAGGGTACGAAAGACTAGGCTTGCAGGGGCGTTGATGCGTGTGCAAGCTGAGACGTAAAATGTAGCGGTGGATTGAGGTATATCAGGCGTTGAGAAGTCAGTTTTTGTGGCCATTCTGGTGGGAAGTGGTCCGATGAGGTTTGGACCTAGCAGATATTATGGGAAGGCCGAACTCGGAACAAAAGGCCGATATTATATGGTGCCTGGTAAATGATCCTGGTCTTAGAGCTCAGCCTTCGTAGGTTCAATTGTCTTCATACGAAGCATCAGTCGCACAGGCCGATGTTGGCAAATGGTGCTTGACCTGGGGGCGACGTGAAGCTCATATGTACCAATGTAGTAGCGGCAGTCACAGGCTGGGAACTATTGTCAATTGCGCTGTTGTCTGTTTCTTGATAGTCGGGTCGATGTGAAGCTCGCAAGGTGGTCGTCCAGCGGAAGTCTGTATGCGCCAGATGACAGAGCTTCGTCTAATTCCTCGTGACAGAATTGAAAGGAGCGCAGAAGATTATTCGTGAGTCAGAGGGTCTTTTATGTCGCGACTTGGTGAGTTCGCCAGTGACAGGGACGCTGGTTACCTGGAAGATCTCAAGGCGGGAAGCGCGATAGGTGCTGGATAAAAACGAATGATGGGACGACTAGTAGAGCTGAAGATTGTGCCTACCTGGGATGCATCATGCAAGCTTCAGGACTGGTTTCACCGCCAGTGGAGGAGACGTGGGAAAAAATCGAGAAAAGAAGGATGATGATGCATTGTGGGGGAAATTGTGGGGGACGACGAAAGGCGCACGAGATGCGCAGCTGGAGGGGGAAGGTGCTGGCGAGGTCACGTGGATGCACTCACCAATTCCCCCAGCAGCCCTTGTAGGTCATCCCTATGAGTAAGAACCCAAGCATTCTTCTGCATCAATTGAACAGTAACCAACTCCTGCCTCCAACTTGTGCTGAACCCCAACTGGGCTTGAATCCCGGATGCAATTCCTCTCACCGATATCTCTCTCCACGAACCGAGCTAATGCCAGACATCTGGTCGAACCTCCCGGAGACAGAAATCCTGAGCAAAAGGAGGAGTACATACAAATGGACCAACCAGCTGGGTGAGGATCCTGGCCTTTTGTACCTGTAGGGCTGTTCCCTTCAGACATCGGCCCGAAACCTGACACTCCCGGACCCATCCTCCCTGCCATTCCTCCTCGATGAACCATCACATTACCTGCTTTGTTTTCTCCAGACTCCAAACAAGTCGACGGGACGGGCCTAACCAGAGACGGCTGGACCCATCCAGGCTGTCTCCCTCCACTGCGGATACTTCTTCGATAATTCGACTTCATCAAAAGCCTGTGACAATTTCCCACGTCATGCCAGTGAGACTGGAAAAAGCCATGTCCTGGTCAAATTCCGAGTCCCTCTTAACACATTAAACCACGATGGCTGTGTCTTTGCAAAATTCCACTCGTGTCATTCGCGGATTGTGTCTGTGTTTTTTGACCTTGGCTGCATGATTGGATGTGGCTAGAATGTCTAGCCACATGATAAGAGCCTATCGGGCTACCCCTCGGCTCGAGGCACACTGCGCTCAACATGTGAGGGCTAGCTGGTCAGTCCTGGTAGTCCCAAGCGCGGCTGTGATGTAGTGCCTGCGCCCGATGAGGCCGTCAAAGGAATCGTTGGAGAGTAATCCTTCCATCCCTTCTCTTTGCCTGGTGACAACTCCAAAGAAGAGATGCAATCAGAAGCACAGCATAGTGCCTTTCCTGCCCAAGCCTGCTTCATGACCAAATCCCTTGCGACGGCCAGGCTGTCTCATGTCTTCTGAATCAGAAGCCCCATCCGACACGTGGTCCAGTCTCATCACGGATTTGAAAGAAACAGCACTGGGCGACCAACAGACACCGACTCCTTGTTCCAACGAAGCAGAGTTCAGGACCAACTTTGAGTCGCTCTGCAACGACCATTATGAACCAAATGCTCAGCGCCTGCTTAACCTGTTCTCTCGACAGCATGGCACGATTACAACCTTTACCAGCACAATAGATAGCGCACAAAATCTCCAGCCACCTGACACACTTAGCGATTTGTTCTGGCAACTTGCTTTTGCAACCATCCAGGTTGGCTCATGCCGGACATCTGTTCAAGATTGACACCCATGGCTAATTGACTCAGGCCGCTCTTGACGCCGGATTGTCATTTAAAAACCTCTTTGAAGAACTGAACCCCCTCAATCAAGCCCTCAAACCTTTCGGACCGCAGCTACCGCAATTTCCAACCCGACCCCGTGTGCAAGAACCTCTTCAGGTCGTATTCAGAGAATATATAGAGTGCTACAGCATCATGCTAAGTCACTTCGCGTCACATCCCCCTGGTGAGGCAATTCCATACCTAATCTAAAAAGGCCCGAGACTGATGGCAACAGGTCTTACGTTCGACACCTTTCATTCCCGAGCCGAGACTGCAGCTGAGCTGTTTGAATCGTCACTGGAAGACTGGAAAGAGGTGGTGAAACGTTTTGGAGAAGAAGAAACGAGGTCTCTGCCTCCGTTGCCAAATCCGGGCTTGAGCCATCTGTCTCCTGGCTCGACTACAAGCGCACGCTTTCAGTGGCTTGAACCATTGGGCACCGGCACATATGGCCAAGTTTCAAAGGTCCGCGAGGTCTCCACGAACAGCATCTATGCTCAAAAAACCATGCGGGTCCAACATAGCCATCGCGCGAGGAACATCATCGAACAGCAGGTCCGAAACGAAGTGGCCATCATGCACAAGCTCCGCCACCATCATATTGCCTCTGTCCTTTTCTACGTCCGGGATGAAACTACCTTCTCCATCATCATGCTCCCTGTAGGCGACTACGATCTTCGACATTTCTTGGAAGTGAATTGTGCCGGGTTCCCTCGCTCAGAGACGAGGCACCTCGATCAGTGGTTCGGTTGCCTGGCCTCAGCACTGGCATATGCACATCAGGAGCGAGTCAAACACGAAGACATCAAACCCTCAAATATACTGATCCGGGATCATCAGCCTTACCTGGCAGATTTTGGTAGTGCGATAGATTTCTCCTTGATGGAAGGCAGCACCTCGACAGAGGAGTACATTGTGGGCACACCAGTGTACTGGCCGCCAGAGCCACTGCAGCAGCGAGGACGAGCGGCCGACGTCTTTGCTCTAGGATGTGTCTTCAGCGAAATGCTCACAGTAAGGCAGCACAGATCATTGCAAGAGTACCGGGATGCTCGCTATCTCCCTCATGTCGACCATGGGTATGCCTTCCGGTCAAACCTAGAGGTCGTGAATACCTGGCTTCTGGACCTCCCTGACAATGTTGGGCCTCCAGAAGTCAGGTCTCTTTTGCTGGAGCAGACGATGGTATGTCTCCTGAGGGTTCCTGTCGGACTCTTCAATCCAGCCGCGTCCACTTTTTCCCCAAAAATGACCAAATTGCTGACTTCTCTGTTGGGACATCTCTAGAACATGCTAATTGCAGATCACACGCAAAGACCAGAAGCACGCGTGGTGAAGCGAAATTTTCGACATGAGGGAGACGCATTGTTTTGCCTTAGTTGCGCATGATGGGAGAAGCATGATCCTGTGGCAACATCATGAGCGGGTCTTCTAGCCAGTTTCTTCGGTAGCCGTCAGGCTCCAATTTTGGTATGACTATACGTGGTATGAATCTTTCCTTGCTCTGCTCACAGCTCTTCTGAAGCACTCGTGGCAGATTGGGACGCAACCTCCGGTCCTGCCCGAGACAATTCGTGTTCCTCGAAATTGTCAATCTCGTCCATCCAAGGAATTCCTTCCTGAGCTCCGAGACGTGTGATTGTCAATGCTGCGGCTTTACAAGCACGAACAACTGCCTCTCTGATATCCCATTGTCCCATCTGCTTCTGTCGCAAGTAATCTGCTGCGTACGCCCCCGTGAATGTGTCCCTGAGATTCTTGTCAGCATTCGTTCATAGTGCTGGTCACCACCACATCAACACTTGCCCTGCCCCTGTGCAATCTACCACGTCGACCTTGAAAGCCGGCACATGGCCAAACTCGTCGGCTCTGCCAAAGAAGGCTCCACGTGCTCCCAGGGTCAGGACCACGTTCGTCACGCCTTTCCCAAGGAAGTACTCGGTAATCTCTTGCCAGGTCTCTTCATTCACTTCTTCCACTTCACGGCCAGACATGGTCGCTGCCTCGGTCTCATTTACCAGTAAATGGGTGATCAGCGGGTAGTAGTGGCTCAGGATGTAGTTGGCCGGTGCGGCGTTGAGCAAGAACTCGATGCCTGCTGCGCCCGCCGTTTCGATCATCTGCTCGACCACGGTGCGATCAATTTCCATCTGTGCAATGACTAGATCCGGTGGCCGCCCGTTGGCAAGACTGTCGAGGTGGCTGAAATAGTCGACCAACAATGCATCATTTGCGTTGCTGGCAAAGATACATCGGTTCTCTCCGTTGGCGGATTCTACCAGGACGAAGCTGATTCCTGTCGGTCCCTCCACCTTCTGAAGGCGCGACACATCGACTCCGTTCTCTTGCAGCACGTCTTCAAACATTTGCGCATACTTGTCATCTCCCACCGCGCCGATCATGCATACTTCAATCTCCTTGTCATTGGAGTTGTCGATTCTCTCATCGGATGAGGTGAGTTTGCCCTCGGGGGGTCGGGCATGGCTGCTTCGATAGACGGCGATCGCCGAGTTTGCTCCTTTCCCTCCCAGTGTCTCATGATATTGTCTTGCCTTGTAGCTTTCTCCACGATCCGGTATCCGGTCGGTGATCATGATACGGTCAACATGGAGAGACCCGACAACAGAGATGAGTCGCGGAGCCATCGAGCCAGGACGGCCCATGGTCGGAGGGGTGATGTTGTCCGGACCTGACGCCTACTCTTCCACGTTGATAAAGGGCAAGGTGAGAGAAGAGACCCTGGTTGCCGCAACCGACCAATCGAGCTCAAGTGCTTCGGGTAGACAGAACAGCAACTGTGGAATTCCAGATGATAAGACAATCGAGCCCGCGCTACGCATAGTGCGTTCTCCTCTGGGATGAAGTTAGTGCGCCCGATGTCTAGGGGTGAAGTGACATTGAGTCATGTCTATAACCGGTGAGGCTGGAGTATTTTAGCCATCAGGATATCGGAATCCATTGCGAACCTTGCGAACCCCTACCTGGCATGACAAGGCAGATTTATGCCTTGTTGGCTACTTGTTCGGGAGAGGGAGTGAGGAGTGATAGGCTGCGGAAGTGGTGCCATCCTCCGCCCCTCGAACGAAATGAAGCCAGAGTGCCAACTTGTAGGTGAGTGGCGGCTGTGCGAACCAGCGAATTCCATGGCCGGCCCCATGGCACATCAACTTGTGCGCTGGCAAGAATGGTTGGCTCCTTGGAGGGATTTTATGCACGAGGTCTGGAACAAGTTGAGACTTTGACGGGCTGCCCCTCATGCCTCATGCCGTCCCCCATGACCTGAAGCCTGTCAAGACTCTTTTCCCCCTGCGCCCTCCAACCTTTGCCAATCGCACCACCCAGGCTCTCCAACTGCGAAGAGGAAAGCTATCCCAACCCTAGAGACGCCTTCGAGAGCACTAGAGCGTGAGGGCCAGACCCGACCCTTGATCCTGGATTTCAGCCGCCTGCAAGATGCACGACAGCCTTTCCGGCGGGGGGCTATATATGTGGCGGAATTCCCTAGTGGAAGTACTCGTTCAAGTCTCCCAAGCAGGCTTGTCATGAGCGCTCCTCAAGTCGAAGGACCTTCGTCCCGGTAGAAGACCCAATCGACCATACCTGCCATCGCCGTGTCTTTCTCCCACGCGGCCAAAACAAGATGGAAGACGGCTGACCGGTATTCCAGTATAACCGATCCGTGTCCAATGATGCTCAGCAGTCACAGATACAGAACCACGTCGAGCCGCTAGCCTTCTGCCTCACGAACCACTGATACTCGCGCTTCCAAGTCAGCAGCTGGCACAATATCGTCTGGATCTGCTCGAAACAGGTCGTTGTGATCGCCGTGAGTCAAGTTTTGCAATGTGCCGGTAGTTCAACATGAGTGGCCTGGATGCAGCTGCAGGCATTGCTGGCCTGTTGACCCTGTCCTTTGCCTGTGTGCAAGGTTGCATCAAAGGGTTTACCCTGCTACGTCGGGCGCGCAGCCATGACCGTGATGTGGCGGTCGTGAGCCTCATGATCGAGCTCGAACAGCACAAATTTCAGACCTGGGCCGAAGAAGCTGGTTTGTTTGAGGATCCGCCAGACCTACGGGTGCATGCCCGAGATGCTCGCTATGTACCAAAGATTTTGGATCAATTGCGGAGACTACTGCTTGATGTGAATGGACTCAGGAAAAGATACAACCTGGACATAAGGGAGGGTTCGGAAATCCTCGACCTCGACGAGGAAAATCCCATGGGCGTCAGGCCATCTTCACAACCCCGAAAGTCGCTGTCTGAGCTTTTTCAGCACAAAACAAACTGGAGAAAGTGGACCTGGATTGCTTTCGACGAGAAGAACGTTCGCACATTGATGGATGATGTGAAAGTCTTGGTTGACCAGCTCCAACAGTTCCTTGAACACGAAAGGCAGGTCAAGATGGAACAGGCATTTGATGTGTTCCTCAGGACCACCGTGGTCAAGACAGCCAACGAACAAGAGTTGGGTGTTATCGGTCACGACCACAACCGCTCTTTCTCCAAGGGAGCCATTCCTGCAGCCGCTCGCTTGAAACGACAGGGTCTCCTTCTGGGAGTCGCAGATACATGCACAGACAACCATACACTCATCCCAAAGCCGGAATCTGGGAGACCATCAACTTTGAGGGACTCGCACTCTTCCCTCTCCAGTCTGTCGGTCGCGTCTTTGTCTTCGTCCTCGTCAAAGTCGATGAGGCTGAAGTCGAAGGAGCTTATCGTTCCATCGTCACGAATGGAGGGCCATCGTTACTTTGCCTGGTATGCGCGTGAGCCTGTCCTGCTCGAATGGAAAAGCGGTGGTGGCGGAATCAAGCTTCCACTTCTTGAGAATCGAGTGGACCGGGTTTCAGCATTCTTGCACGAACTAGATCAGTCCTTCCACAGTTTACCCTGCCGTGGCTACATCAAAGACTGGGCTGCAAAAGACCGATATGCCTACGTCTTCGATCTTCCCTTTGGTGTCGATCCTCCGACAATGCAGAAGAGCCCGGTCAAGAGGCATATGGATCTCCCACCATTGCCAAGTATGCATACATTGCGAGACATGCTAGAACGACCGATGGAAATCCCGTCGCTCAATCTTCGGCTGTCCTACGCCATCACGCTCTTGGAGACGTTGCTACAGATCCATACCGCTGACTGGCTGCACAAGGAACTTCGCTCCAACAACATCCTATTTATACGTGGACCTCAATCGGACAATGCATCCGATGAGGATATCTTACTTTCGCCCATCTATGTCGCCGGCTACGTCTATGCGAGAGTAGACAGTCCCAACGAACTCACAGAGCCTACCGAGTCCGACTTTGAGAACGATCTCTACCGACATCCACTGTCGATGGGGAGCTCCAGAGTTTCGTATCGCAAGAGCTTCGACATCTTCAGCGTTGGTTGCGTCCTCCTTGAACTCGGGTTGTGGACAAGTCTGCCCGACATTTTGCGCAGTGGGTCGAGAAGCCTGCGGCCTGGTGTAGGCCTGTCGGATGCCACTTACAAGTATCCGGATTTCTCGTTTTCGACGTCGTCATCCACGCTTACGCCGAGGTCATCGTCCAACTCGATCAATAGACAGAGCCGTGATAGTTTGAGGGAGAGGCATAGTCGCGATCTGAAGCTGCGAAAGAGCGTGCACTCTGTCGACCAAGAAATCGGCGACGACAGCCCTGCTTTCGACCTTCTGGAACTGCGACATCAGCTGCTCCTCTCCAACGCGAGCGGAGTACACAGTCCCGAGCCGCCCACGATGAAACCTACCTCATACAACGAGATTCTGAGGGCGTTGAAGGCGGCCACAGGCATTGGTTATGCAAGAATAGTAGAGAGTTTTCTGTGGGTGGTTGAAAACATGACGGCGACTGAGAGCAATCCAGACATGGCGGGACACATGGATGAGCACGAGTACGCGCTCAAGTTGGAGATGGAATCTCTGGAGTCTCTCCGGGCCATTGCAAAAGTCATCTGATAGAGGCATTATGTTATGCACATGGGGGAAAAGGAATCCCCCTAGGGGAGCCACCCCCCCCCGGTTCATGTGGCTTCGTCTATTGTAGCTAGTTGTGTTTCAGCCTGATGGCTAGCCTCAACCTCAACCTCAGCAGCTGGCCGCGACCAACTCTGCTGCCTTTGGCCTTGTCTTCGTTTCTATTTTCAGTCGCGCCTCCCAGCGTGTGAAGTGTTTGCTGCAGTATGTCTCGGCGGGAGTTTGTATTTTGTTTGATTGATTTCAAAATGTACATGATGTCTTGACTTGTTGTGTCCTCTTGTACATTGTGTGAATCTTTTCCCCATTGAAATCATGGCGCCCGCATCTTTATCCAGTACTGCCTCTGAAGCGTCCATGATGCCAGACGACGTGTTCAGTGATGAATCCGACTTCCACGGTGAGTTGCGGGCTACGACAGCATCTTGTCTTTTCGTCTTCTTTTTTCCCCGCTGGGGTTTATCATTTGATTTCATTTGATTTGATTTGATCTGATCTGATCTCATCTCTGCCACACAGGGAGCGTGGAGACCAAGTCCACATACCAAAAGCTGGCCGCATCATACGATCCCCAGAAATATTGGGCCGTCCACGAGTGGTCCACCCAAGTGAATGCCGCCAAAGGCAGGGTGGCGTGGCTCGAAGCTGCTAGACTGCGCGCAGAACTTGCTCTGAGGAAGCAACAGCAAGCGGAGCGCAAAGCAGACGATGGACAGGCCGGGCCACAGCAGGCGGAAGGGGAAATTCGCGTGGGTTTCGATGGAGATGGAAAGAAGGGAGATGGAGACGGAAAAATGGATGTCGACACCAAGGTCAAAGCCCCAGCGAGCCCTGATCCTGACACAGAGGACGAGGATGGCCAAGACGATCGCCGCACGCCGCCGCGGAATTTCTACGAGGGCATCCCTTCTGCTAAACAACTCTCAGAGTCTGTTTCCGACTTCCTCGCCCGTTTGCCCCCGTCGACCACGACGTCTGGCTTAGCTGGAGGCCAACCGTGGATCTGGATCGCGAACCCGTACCCTGACCCAGTACCTAGCAGACGGTCGGCAGGAGAGTCACGAAGCACGAGCACCAGCACCAGCACCGACCCAGAATTCGGCAGTGGTGATGTCGCCACGTTCCGCCAACTCGGGACGCGCCTCCTGGAAAGATATCTGTCCCGCAAACATGAAACCGAACTTCAGAACCCCGGCAAAGTACCCGGGTCGATCACGCGCATGCTCCGTCCTGAGCGCCTTCAGTTGGAATCCGACATCAGGGAGTTAGCCAAGTCACGCCGTGTCACGGCGGGCAAGTGGATGCTGTTCCCCAGAGACGATGAAGTAGACACGGCATGGGCGGTTGTTGCGCGCGGTGTGTGGGATGGGAAGTTGGGTACCGGAGCCAAGGTGGCGACGGCCAAGGGCGAGGGACACATGGTGGTCGATGACGACAATACCGATGACGGTGGTGGTGGTGGTGGTGGCGATGGGAAAGACAACGGCTTCCGCCTGATATGCATCTATACGCGCGACTTTTCCGACCAAGCAGACGTCAAGCGCGTCCTGCAGGCCATGAAAGACCTGGGCCTGCTCAGCGGCGGCGTCGACCTCGACGGACGCAGCGCCCGTCTCAGGACAATCTACTACAAATGCGACGCTTACACCCACCTCGGCTTGAGCAGCGGCAACGAGTACAAGTTGCGCGCCAGCATGTACTCGTCCCGAGACCTGTTTCCCGCGTGGTACAATGGTGTTGCCGGTGCAGGGCGTGGACACTGATGATGGAAAAGAGAGGAGCCCGAGAGGAGAATCAGTCAAGTGTGTGTGTGTGTGTGTGTGTGTGTGTGCATATCTGTGCATATGTGTCTATCATGGGTGCGCAGATTTGGCTGTGCAGAGGAATTCCAATCCAATCCAGTCCAATCCAAACTAACAGAACAAGGGAAAGAAGACGAACGGGTTACGAGTTTCTGCAATCGCAATCGGAGGTCTGGCGTCACTGTAAGCAAGCGAGCGAGCGATTCATGCCATGCATACAAAGTACTGAGGGGGATAGGTGACTTGACTATTAAGTGTTTGTCGAAGTAATAGCGAAAAGACACGAAGGAAAGGGGTCCAAGGGATAGGGAAAGTATTGAAGTCTCTTCATCTTCATCTTCCTGCGTTGTCTGTGTGTGCTCGCTTGGAACTCTACTATCACGCCCATCGTCCGTCTCCCTTCCTCTCATCCTTGTCCTCCCTCCCTCTGCCTCATCATCATCATCATCAATCGGCGTTGTCGTCGTCATTGTATCACATCATACCGTCTCTGCTCTAGGTCCCCTCCGTTCCCCGCCGACCGCTGATGCAAATGATAACAAAAAAGTCTCAGAAACAAAAGAGAGGCAAGACCTCGAGATGATCCTGGAACGTGTGTGCGTGTAGCCCCGGTCCCTTAGCCAAGACGCTTCTCCCCCCCTGTGCAATCTACATGGCCTTGGTCGGATTCGCCATGTCGTGCACATCCAACATGCACGTCTGCACATCTCCTCACATCTGTTCAAGTGGCCGGTTGAAGAACGACGACCAAGAGTCAGAAATGTCTCTGGTTCTTCATTTCTTCCCCTTTTTAGCCCCCTTGGCTCCGCCAGCAGTGCCCAGCGCCGCCTCTCTCAACTTGGCCTCACGCTCGTTCTTCTCCTTGTCACGGGCATCTTTCTCTTCCTTCTCGGCCTGTTTGCGTGCGGCAGCGGCCTCGCGTTGCTCGCGGATCAATTTCAGGCGCGCCAGATCGGCCCTTGCTTCGTCCGTCTTGCCCTCTGCGTGGAGCTTCTGGTATCGCTCTCGAGCTTGCTGAGCAGCAATGGCTTCTCGTTCCCGCCGGCTGAGGTTTTCCTTTTCTGTTTTTTTCGGTGCCTCACCGCTGGCGCCCGTGACGGCCCGCGCTTGCGACCTTGCCTTTTGTGTGTGGTTGGGATTGGCGGGCATATCATCGTCATCGTCTTCCTCCTCCTCGTCCTCCTCTTCCTCCGAAGTACTGGGCAGGTCCCCTACTGCCGCAGTCTTCTGGCTCTTCTTCGCAATAGCCTCTTGCTTCTTCTTGCGAGCTAACTCCTTGCGTTGTTCTCGAGTCAGCTCATTTGACGGGGCCTGCGCTGAGGAGGCTCCCTCGCCAGAGTCATCTGAAGATTCTCCTTCTGACTCCTCCTCTTCTGAGGACTCGTCTTCTCCTCCTTCTGCCGGGTCTCGCCACATGCCCATTTGATTCCCCTCCTTGTCCAGAGGTTGCAGGTCACGGGAGAAATGTTTGCCTCCTGTAATTCAGATTTAGCCAACTGTGTGGTGGAGTAGACTGGGTGAAATCAGGCTGGGATCAGGCTGTACATACCTCCTCGGGTAGGCTTTGAGAATTTTCCTCCTCGTCCTCGTGGAGGCATGGTGGAGAGTGTAGAGATCAAGGGTCCTCGGGCAGATAGATGGTCGAGAAGAGAGGTGGGGTATAGGAGAGTGGTGTGCAAGGGGGGTAAATCGAAGTGCGGGTCAACAGAGCGTTTGGATCGGCAGGTGAGTCTGCTAGAAGCACTCTCTCTGGAAGTCCAGTCAGTAAAACACCCATTCAGCCTGAACACGAAGCAGAAACTGGAGGCATGTGACTGGGACAAAGAGCGGTGGCATCAGAGGTTGCAACCAAAGATTTCTTTGTGCCCAAAAACGCGGGGGAAATGGGGAAAAGAAGAGGGCGCACAAAGCAGATAGGGAAACCAACCTGGACTTCTTCTCAGTAAAAGAAAAGAGACTGTAGCACAAAGCCAACCTGCGGTAGTGTAGTGAGTAAGAGGGTAAAAGTGACCTGTCGAAAGTACTGAAGAGGGGGGAAACAAGAGTAACAAGTACAAAAATGATTCAGAGATGCCAGACGCCGCCCGCTGAGTTGTCACTGGAGCCACAAGTCTCGTCCCACCAATCAGCTTAAACACGTATCGCTCTGTTACCCTTTGTGCCTCTGGCAAATCTGTGAATAAGACGTAAATGACTGGGTAGAGAATAACAACACATCCAAGTCAACCGGATAGGCCCATCTTGTGTGGCCAAGTATGGGACCCGATTATCGACTACAGACCAAGTAAATCGTCAACACAGACCATCTACTCTTTTTGTGTCCTATCCAGATCACCAACTTTAGCTACCAACTGGCCACTCATTCCTGGCCCAGTTCATCGAGGCCAAGATTGTGTCCTGAAATCCTACACGAATGGAGAAAAAAAAAAAACATTCATCGTCATGTCAGTTCCAAGAGCTGGGTCTATCGAAAGCCCGAGTCGTATCAGCAGTAAAGCTCCACCACCGTGATCTGTTCTGTGTTGTTTCCCTGTCCTCAATGATTTGAATCTTGAATGTCTGGTAAAGCTCTTTTTTTCCAATGAATTATGTCGTCTTGGTCTTTGTATTTTGGGTGGACAGAGAATGACAGCCGCACATCAACGTTCCTGCAGGCGAGGAATGGCGCAGCTGCCGTTGTCGCTTCGCGATGGAAGGCGTTAAGTGAAGAGGAGTGCTCAGTCATAATCCCTGCGCCCGGGAGCCTAGAGGTTTTCGGCCTTGTTCAAAGCCGCGATGGTCGCGATGACATCGCTTGGCTCGAGCAAGTGCCATGTCGCCAGGGTGCGTTTGCTGCTGGCGCCCACTGTACACGCAAAGACGTGTTCTTTGGGAAGGTCTGTCTTGAGCAAGGCGCGGAACATGTCTGGACAAAGTCGCAGTCAGTGAAATGGTGTCCTGCATGCCAGGAGGGCGCCGCGGATATGTGCAAAGAGACTCACCTTCATCCGTCTGGTCATCCCCCAGACACAACACAAACTCCGGTGGTTCCCCCCTCGCGTATCCGTACTCGTTAATCAACCTTGTTGCGATGAAGCCCTTGTTCACAAACTGCGGCCTCACCTCCAAGTTGGCCTTCCCGCTCATCACCTCAACATCCCAGTTCTTCATGACATTCTCCTCTAGGGCCTTGCGACACTC